ACTTCCCCCGAGTGAAGGGGGTTCAGCCCACTAGAACTCCACTGTTTCAAGATCTGTGGAGAAGTTCATCAAAATACATGGTATAAACCGTGCCATCGCAAGATCTCGCAGCCTACAACAGAATGACGGACTCGTTACAGTGTTTGGCATCCACAAAACGCGCAAACTTGCATAGTCAGCATTCACCAGTGATTTTATGGAACTCGACAGGCAAGATTTGGAGCATGGACGGGCAGGCGTAGATGCCTAGCTCGTATTACAGGTTCGACTCTATCTACTTGTTGATTACCGGTTGCGAAGTGAGCCCGGTCAACCCTGTACCGTAGTTTCCGCCCTAACATTGCAGTTGAGATGCTTTGGAAAGGCCCGACGATGCGAATTGGCAAAGTAAGACCAACCCGCGCTAATGCTCCATTGACAAAGACGCGGGGGGGGGGGGGGGGGGGGGGGGGGGGGGGTGTTTGGTTGAAAGCAGCGCTTCTGGCCGTGGTGAGAGAAACATCCTGTTGGCCTCTCAACGGTTGAAGGAATTCAAGTCATTTGCATTTGACTCGACTTGGAAAAAAGGATGTGCGTTCTCTAAGAGCCGGTATGAGATGCGCATGTTCTTTGGTTAGTATCGTATTTCAATGGCGCTTGGCAACTGGCCAAGCGAACTCAATCAGCTACAGAACAGTACACCCGGGCGTCACAGACAACCCACGTTTGGTTGGGTCTGGCCAATCTGCTATGCCACATGACCCCATCTCAAGGTGACCACGACGGTGCGAGCCACCCGGCTAAGGACGAGCGCTTGAAATTCTCAAAGCTATGCGAGTCGTGATGGCACTGCGACCTGAAATGGCTGCGATGGAATCAAAAGCTAGCCTACTAACGGCTAGCGCTATTGTCATGATTATTCTACCCAGGTTCCCATTTCCAGACCGCGAACATTTCCGTTTGATCTAACAAGCGTAGGAAGTGGCCCGTGGAGCGAGGGGAACGAAAAAGGGACGGCGCTGTCGGCTAATAGCTGGAGATGCATCGTAGCACACGCTATCATTGCTTCGTTCCTTTCTAGTCCCATTCTAGGCGCGGCCATCATGTACATTGATGGGGTAGGCCTAATGGTGAAACGAGATGCTCTGAGCGGTTGAAGCGATGGATCGTCCCTGGCAATATCTCGAACATAACAATTCATACTGAGTTGAAGCGATGGATCGTCCCTGGCAATATCTCGAACATAACAATTCAAACTGACAACAAACCAATACACGACAACTCATCCCACAATTTAGAATTTTTTGCGAATACGATCCCTGGCAACAGGTAGGATGCAACCAAGTGTACGCTAAGAGCCCCAGTCGCAGGCCAGAATCAGAGTTGTTCACCAAGCTGGTCAGCTGATGGAGCCCCGCGTATTGGAATCATCATCCTGACAGGACGGTAACACCCCCTTGCCTCGCGAAGGAAGCGATGTCTTCTTACCGTACGGATACCTGAACAGATAAACGAGGACGCGGGACCAACCCACCCCATTGTGCTGCCTCGCTGGAGTAGACCCCGTCGAAACTTCGTGCAGCTGACCAGTCGTACGGCCGCGGCAACAACCTCCGAGTGGGACCTGGATTGAAGTCTTGACGTCTAAGACGAGAATAGACGATGAAATGTATTCGGTCTTCTGCCGCGACGAGTCCGAGGCGTCTCATTCCTTCCCTTGTCCTCCGGGCCGGCCGTGTTGTCCCGGATGCCGTGTCCATGCTACGCTATCACGACAGGCAGCGCACTGTTGGAAATATGATGACGATGACATTTAACCACTTTACGTGGGCCAGACCCCCTGTCGCATCGCTTTACGGGCGCAAGGGAGGTTGGCCATCTGCGTGTCATTTCGGGATTTGAAGGAGGCGCTCAGAATCTTGCCCTGCGGCACGTGCCGTTGGTATTCTCAATCCTACGGCGGCAGGGTCTTTCAAGGATACCGGGATTCGATAATCATACACGTCGGGGCATGTACTTTCCTCATGCAGAGCTTGGCCGCAGCCTTGCTCCAACAGCTGCGATGGCCACCTGTTCACGTACGTCTTCAGCTGTGATACAGCATTCGATAGTCCAGGCTACGGGATTCAAGGGCGATATCTTTGTGTCATTGAAAAAAGTTCCCTGCTGGCCACAGCGGACAAGACTGACTTGAGGGGCCATGGGTGGCTCACTCGTAGTCGCACAAGCAGGGCGGGGCCCATTGTACGCCCGCTTCTCAGCCCAAGAGCACGATCGGAGCCAAGCCTTGAGAATACTCCGCTGAGATGCTCAAAAATCAGGGCGGAGCAGCGTGGAGCGGTATGCAATGAACAGGCATTGAATTTTTTTTATTACTGACTCTCACCGACGGGGCGTTGCAGACAAACGGCTCCGCGATGACGGGTCGATTGATGCGGGGGGGGGGGGGGGGCTCCATTGTTGACGATGTCGCTTACAATACGCGAGCGCGAAGCGGGGAATGATGACCGGGGCCTGGCATCGTCGTACGCACCCGGAAGCCAGCTGGAGGTTGCAGAGAAGTTATGTTATGCGGATTCCATGCATATCATAACAGCGCGGCAACCGACGAAGGATAACCACGGGGCTGCACCGCACCATCTTTCTAGCTCACAATCTCGGCGCGCTCAAGACCAGGCGATTAGTTTGATGCCGAACAATGCAGCTCTTGTCAGAAAAGATGACGCTTCTAGACTGCCCAGCAGACTTGTGTATGCATCAGCTCTCTGCGACCCTCTGCTGATGTCTTACTCATCTGCTTGGCCCTGGATCCCCCTCCTTGATGGTCAAATGACGACACAAAGTTCTCCATAAGCGGACGAAATGCGCCGATGGTATCTTCGACGTCGAAGGAGAAGTTTCTGCTTCAAAGGTGCAAAAAGGGATGCCTGGGTGTGTACGCCTCCCTTTGTGTGCGCTCCCCATCGCGTTGTCAGGCGCATGTGATTGTGCATACTCATTTGAGACAAGCAGATATAGAGTAACACAGAGACACGGAGAGACCCTGGGGCGGAGCCGCGGGCCTTGATCCAACCCCGCAGGGCCGTCAGGCAAGGGGGTGGAGAGATGCGAGTACGTGAGATGAAGACGGGAGGGAATAGCCCGATGACAAAGGGATGGAGGGGTGGGGTGTGAGGAGTGGTCGAGATTTGGGATATGAATACTGATCTTGTTACGAATGGGGTGGATCGTGGGGGAGCAGAAAAGGGAAAATACGGGCGAATGACGATTACCGGACGACTGACATCGTATGTCAGGACAGGAAAAAAATCAAAAAAATCCTGTTGAGGCTCTGTGGAAGAGTGGTATACCAGGATCAGGGCGGGGACTGGGACTGGGACTGGGACTGGGACTGGGACTGGGGCGCTTTCCAGGAATGCAGACGGGTGTACGTCTGTCTGTCTCTCCCGAGTCTAAAGTTCTGGCATGACTGGCAATACCTCGCTGTGGAGACCCTTCCCATCGGCGTCTTCATCTTCAGCAACGGTCTTCTTAATGCTTGGCTCCCGACCGGGGAGGGGGGCAGAACATCCCCTTTTGTGGGGGTGTCGATTAGCGAACTCTAGGCCGGGAAGACCGTCCGGCGCGATGATGTCCTTCTTCGGATGTCATATGACGTCCAGCGGAGAATGGTGGGGGTGAGCGGAAGAGATGAAACGTCGACGACGGCGGACAGCCCCGGTAACAGCTACGGTAGCCGTATCGGTAACGGCAGCAGTCAGTAAATTAGTTAACTAGCTAGCAGCGGAGAGAATGAAAGATGCCGAACAAGGTAAATGCTTTGGCAAGAGACCGGATAGAACGACCCCAGGAGAAAAAGCAGAAGAAGACGGAGAAGATGAAGAAGAAAGCGAAATGACAACTGACAAGATAGATGATGTGATTACAAACTACATACCTTGCTTGCTGATAGGCACAAGGGGGAGAATAACGGGTACCTGCCTCATGCTCCGCTCGCTTCCCTTCCAAGTAAGGGTGCGTTGATCGCAGACCAGATAGAGTTTCGATAGAACGGGAATGCCTGCGTTTTCGAGAAAGTGTATGTGTCTGTCGTGCGGGTGTGGTTCTGTCGCATGTTATGTGCCGTGGACACACATACACGCACACACACACACACACACACACACACACACACACACACACACCAGCAGTAGTAGTAGTAAACTCGCAACAGAGTTTAAAAGAGTTAAACCGTCGCAAGTGTTTGGGCCAAGACCCATGGGGATACATGGATGCGAGCTGGCAACCGTAACAAGACATGATTGTCAGGGGAGGGAGTTTGACATGTCCGTCAGGGGTAAGCATGTAATTAGACACATATTGAAAACAGGGCGGTGGTAAAACATGAGATGGACTGAAAGGGGGGGAAATAAAGTGGAAACATGGAAACTTAAGCAGTCGCTGTTATAGGCGACGGGGCGGGACAGCAAGGTAATTTTGACTTCGTGTATTAAAACGCGAGAGTACTACTATCTTATGGGGGGTACGGCTACTCAAAGCGTACATTCTATGAACCGTGTAAAACCACAAAAAAAGATAACACTTGAACACCGCCGAATACCATGAATGTGTGTTGTAAGGAAAGACGAACAAGAAATTTCATGACAGATAAGGAAAATTCGAACCCATTATGAGACAGTACTTTGTGACGCTCCCGTTGCAAGCCAGGATAAAAACGCCCAAGAGATTTGCCTGTGTCCTTTCCACTTATTCCTCCTCTTTACCCCAGTTCCATCCACCATAAATAAGGAATGATTCGTGTTTGTATGATGTCGCACTTGTACAGGGAGCGGATATCAATGTTAAAACAAGGTTGAAAAGAGAAAAAAATGATGACAAGAAATAAGGAAAAAAAAAAATAAGGAGATATAGAGATGAAAATAAAAGAAGTCATATCCATGCTCGCATATCATGTAATGTCCTGTGTCCCTTCTATAACCTGCAATGCGTGTGCTCATATGCATTCCGCTAATGTGGTTTCCTTACTCGCAGACTGCTTCGCGAATAAAAGTACCAAGCTGTTTGGCCTTAACAAGGTGTTAGCTAGTGGTTATCAAGGTTGTGAGGGGTTATAAAGACTTACGTAGTCGCCATGCATCATGGAGAAATGGTTACCAGGCATGTGTCTGGTTCTGAACTTGTTAATGTCCAGGTACTCGTCCCAGCGGTTGGGACCAAAGTCCGTCCTGTTGTCAAGAAGGAAGAGGGCATGACCCGTGGGGTAGGGATCCGGGCGAGGGTCAGTAGGGAGATGGCAGACACCGTCCTCGCACCAGATGGCCATGACGTTGGGACACTTCTCCTTGGGGATGGGCTCCGCAGTGTAGTTGCTAAGGGCAGTGACACTTGCGGCGAAATGAGGAAGGAGCCAGGATGGGATCTTCTTGGCACTCTCGTCATCACCCTCACCTAGAAGACCGATGGAAGCGAACCAGGCGTGGAGGCTGCGGGGAAGAGGCTCAATGGTGATAGGGCAGGGAGCGTCAATGATGATGAGGTTGTCGACGGTCTCGCCAGCCTTGGTGAGCTGGTTAACGATCTCGTAGGCAATGACACCACCCGCAGACCAACCCGCCAAGGAGTAGGGGCCTTTGGCTTGTCTGGCCTTCATGGCTTCGATGAACTTGGAAGCCATGCCGTAGACACCGCAATTGTACTCCTCGGGAGTCTTCATGAAGGGGGAGAAGAGACCCCAGACAGCCCAAGCGGGTGAGATTTGGCTAATCTCCGTGTAAGAGGTAGCACATCCGGAGCCGTCGGGAACCATCCACAAGTTCTTGGTAGCGGTGCGGGTGCTGCCCTGAAGGAGGATGGAAGTAGCCTTGCGGTGGGGGTAGTTGTCAATAATCTTCTTGGGCGGGGGAGGTTTAGTGATGGAAGCGGTGGTGTTGCCGGGGTGAGTGTTGATCTCCTTCGTAGGCTCAACCTTCTCGCGGCGAGAAGTGGGGGCAGCCTTCGCCGGCTTGGGTGCAGGCGCAGGCTTTGGCTTCGGGCCAACACCCAGAGCCTTTTCAACATCCAGGAGAGAGGGGTTGGTGACGAACAGATCATTGGGAATGTCCATGCCCGACTTCTCACGGAGGGTACCGAGAATAGACAAGCTCATGAGCGAGTCCATGCCAAGGGCGGCCAGGTCAGGAGCTGCGACAATCTCATCGACTTCAACACCCATCTCGGTAGCGATGGTCTCGCGAAGAATGCTTTGAAGGTCATCACAAGCCTCCTCCTCATCGGCGTCACCCTTGACCGACCGGTCGCTCTCCTCGTAAGGGGTGGTCACGTTCGAGTCAGATTCAAGCTCAGGGGTCTCAGAGACTGAGCCGCTAGAGTCGCCAGAATCCTGGACGTAGCTGTCCTTGCGACCAGGAGTCTCGAATTGGGCGAGGAAAACCTTGAAGGCACCGATCGTTGGGTGCTCAACAAAAGCGTGGGAGTCGATGTCAATGTCGAGCTCCTCACGCATTCTGCCAGAAACTGTCAGAGCCATCAAGGAGTCACAACCCAAGTCAGTGAAGGCAATGTTATCAGCTAGTTCGTCGTGGGTAACGCCGACTTCCTTAGCCAAGATGTCAAAGACATCTTGAACAACGGATCGCTTGGCAAGCTTGGCGTTGACAGCCTTGAGGTTGTTGGCAGTAACTTGCTTGGTACCCTTCTCCTTGGTAGTCTTCTCCTTGGAAGCAGCCTTGACAGGAGCAGCCTTGGCCGGGGCGGCAGGAGCGGCAGCAACACCGGCGGCGGCACGTCCGCGAGGAGGCAGAACCATGTTCAGAACCTTGCGGGGGATGGCAGCGAACTTGACATCGCCAGCAACACCGACGATACGATCTCCGTCGAAGACGTAAGCATCACCGGCCATCATCTTAGTGCCCTTGACAGGCTGCATGCGGATGTAAGAGCGGTAAGACTTCTTGGCGTCAAGCTTCTCGGTGAACCTGAGAGATCCCCAGCCGTGAGAAATGTAGACCTGTTCGCGAGAGTCAACAGCATCGGTGCCGTTGATGATGAAGCCAGAGATGTGACAACAGCTGTCAATCCAGTAAGGGTTGAAGAAGAAGTCACCATCCTTCTCAGTAGTCTGGAAAGTGACCTTGGCAGTAGCCTCGCAAGTCTTGCTGTCCAAGATAACTTCTTCCATACCCTGGTACTTGCGGTCATAATCGACCAGAGAGGTGAAGAGCTTGTAAGCCAAGCCACGACCAATCTTGGAAGCCTTGCCTTGTCGCTCAGCCTCTTCAAGAGCATCAACACGGCCCTTGATAAGGTAGTTGACGCGCTCGAACTCATCAGCCCACTGCTCAGTGCTTCCGTAAACAACCTTGCAGTGCGCGTGCTCAACCTTCTTGGATCCCTCGCCAGTGTGGAAGCTGACATCGGCATAGCCAAGAGCGGCATTTGCAGTGACGGTGGTGCGGAGGATGTGAGCATCAAGCTTCTCGTCGAAGATGAGAGTCTTGGGAACCTCGACGTTAGCGACGTTCAAACCAATGTTCTCAGTGCCAGGGCGGAGCGTCTTGTACGCGTAGTCCGCAATGGTCATCGCCATGTCGGCATAGAGGGTGGAAGGGCACAGAGGAGCTCCATTGCATAAGTGGCCCTCGACGAGTGGTCGGGTGTCAGGACGAGAAAGGTTGGTCTCAGTTTCAATGATGGCGATATCTCCCTTAATATCCTCGTTGGTGATGCCGTGAACGGAGGTAGTAGAGAGCTTGGGCTTGGGCGCCTCAATCTCCAGTGGAGCCTTGACAGCCGCAGGGCCGCGGTTCTTGGTGAGACACCAGTCACCGGTGTACTGAAGCCAGTAGTTCTTCTCGTCGAAGGAGTAGGTAGGAATATCGAGAAGGCGAGTGCAATCGCTGAAGTCACGGTGGAACTCATCCCAATCCAGGTTGAGGCCAGCAGTGTGCAGAGTGCACAGGGTGTTGCTGAGAACCTTGTAGGTAGACTCGTTGCGGCGGAGAGTGGGAACAGCCACAGAGCTAATGCCGAAAGAAGACTTGACAAAGTTGGCCAGGACGGGGTGGGGGCCGATCTCAAGGAAGACAGTCTTCTCGTCAATGGTACCAGACTGCTGCGCGTGGACGAGGCCGCCGAGGAAGTTAACTGCGTCACGAGCGTGGTTGCGGAGGTAGGCAGCGTTGATGGGCTCATTCTCAACAATCTTTCCAAGGAGGGGAGAGATGATGGGGATCTGAGGCACCTCGAAGCTCACAGAACGAGCGAGAGTCTCGAAATCATCGAGAATGGCATCGACCTGAGCAGAGTGGAAGGCGAAGGGCACCTTGAGCTGGGTGCATTTGAAGCCAGCAGCGCCAAGGTGCGAGGAGATCTCGCTGATCTTGGCAGAAGCACCGCTGAGAACGGTCTCGCGGGGGCCGTTGATGCAGGCGACATTGACAGACTCGGCCTCGGAGCCAAGAGCCTCCATCACAGCGTCGACGGAGCCAGTCACAGCGAGCATGGCGTGGGTACCAGCGGTGCACTTCTGAACAAGAAGCTGAGCGCGAGCTCCAACAAGGTAGATGGTGTCACTGGCAGATAGGACACCAGCAGCATTGAGAGCAGCGTACTCTCCGAGGGAGTGACCCATGACAGCACCAGCGCGGATGCCCCAGGAAGCCCAAAGGCGGGCGAGAGCCATCTCAAAGCAGCAGAGACCAAGTTGAACGATGACAGGGGACAGCTTGGAGACATCAGGCTCACTGCCGTCAATCAAAGGCAGGAAGCTGGGGAAGCCGTGAATCTGAGCGAGCTGGTTGAACTCATCAATGCTCTCACGGAACACGCGATAGTTCGCGTACAAGTCTTTGCCGAGACCGGCATAGTGGGAGCCCTGGCCGGTGAACATGAAGGCAACCTTGGGCTGCTGGGTGGAGATGGGGGTGAAGTTCTCCTTGAGTCTATCCTTGATGAGACGCTGGGCATCAGGCAAGTCGGAAGCTGCCACGTTCATGCGCCAGTAGTGCTGAATGCGACGAGCAGTGGTGGTGTAGGCCACGTGCGACAGGGGAGTCTGAGGGTTCTGCTCCATCCAAGCAACAAGTCTCTCAGCGTTGCGGATCATAGCAGCCTTAGACTTTCCAGTGACGGTGACGACCTGGACATTGCGAGGGTCGACCTCAGCGGGCTGTAGGTGCGGGGCATCCTCAAGCAGAAGGCCAGTGTTACCACCAGCGGCACTGAAGTTGTTGACAAAGATACGTCTGGGCTTGCCGTCTCTCCTCTTGAAGGGGGTCAGGTGGAAGGCAATGTTGACATTGCGCTCCGAAAGATCCTTGGGGAAGGTTTTGTTGATCTCCTTCTTGATACCGACGTGGGGCGGGATGGCGTTCTTTTGCATCATCATCAAGACCTTGCAAAGGGCGGTAACACCCGAAGCAGCCTCTCCGTGGCCAACGTTGGACTTGATAGCACCAAGGTACAGAGGGCGGTCAGCAGGTCTCTTGCGATCAGCAGGAGCGAAGACGTTGGTGACGGAAACCATCTCAGTACCGTCACCGGCCTGGGTACCGGTACCGTGCATCTCGACGTAGTCAACATCAAGGGGGTCGACACCAGCATCGTCGAGGATAGAGCTCGACAGGATGGATTGGGTAGGGCCGTGAGGGTGGGTGATGGAGATGGCATCGGCAGAGTGGTTGGTGGCAGTACCCAAAATGACAGCAAGAACATTGTCCTTGTCTGCGATGGCATCGTCGAGGCGCTTGACAATGACGGAAGCGCAGCCATCGGCACGGCAGTAGCCATCAGCACCGTTGTCGAAGGTTGCACAGGGTCCAGTCTTGGATAAGAACTGTCCACGACTAAGACCGGCGAAAATGTCCGGGTTCGTCATGCAAGACAGACCACCAACAATGGCGGTATCGCAGTCCTTCTGCCACAGAGAGTTGCAGGCAACGTTGAGGGCAGCAGCACTGGAAGAGCAGGCCGTGTCAATGTTCAGACTGGGGCCGCTGAAGCCGAAGTGGTAGTTGATACGACCGGGGCCGAAAGCGCGGACACCACCAGTGATGTAGTAGGTGTCGACTTCCTGGGCGGCGTTGATTTCACGCCAATCGTCAGAAGTCTGGCCGTAGAAAGTACCAATGCGGTCCAGTCTCGTGGAGGGAGTTCGGTTGGGGACATAACCGCACATCTCGAGAGCCTCGTAGGCGGTAGTCAGAGCCATACGCTGCATGGGATCGGTCTGGAAGGCCTCACGGGGAGACATATTGAAGAACCTGGGGTCGAAGTAACCGGGGTTCTCAATCCAGCATCCATACTGGGTGTGACTGGTGTTGACAGCCTTTCCAGTGATGTCGTAATGGGTGGCAACGGGGAAACGGTCAGCAGGGACGACTCTGTGGACGTCAAGACCCTTGGAGAGAAGCTCCCACAGCTTCTCGTGGCTGGCAGCGTCGGGGAAACGACCGGCCATACCAACGATGGCAAGCTTGCACTTGCCGTTGGAACCGTGGTTGCCAATCTTGGAGGTGTAGCTCTCCCTCGTGATCTTGGGTCCAGGGCGGACAATGACATCAAGTTGTGTGCGGTCTTGAATAACCTTGGAGAGAGTCTCGGCGTTGTGCGTGGGGCCGAAGGGGATCACGAGGCATGTTGATCCCTCGAAATCGCGAGCAGTCTCGATGCAGCCCTCGATGCCCTTCTGGAACTGAAGGACGTCGACAAGGCACTCATGAGCAACAGCCTGGAGCAGAGACTTGGTGTCGGTCTCGGCGAACCAGATGCCCTTGGTACCAGACATAATGGCAGAGCGGGGCTTGGTCTTGGCCAAGATCTCAGCGACCTCGGGGTCGTTGAGGCGGAGGATCTTCTCGACATCGGCGGTGCCGTGAAGATGGGCTGCGTGGTAGGGACCGTAGACCGGGATCGCCGTCGACTTGACGCCGAAGACGTTCTGGTCATCGAGAGCCTTCAGAGTAGCTGGCGGTCCGGAGATCGCCAGACTTGATGCCGACACAGCGCTAACGTATGCTTGGCTGGCGACGGGAATGTACTGTACATGGGGTTAGTCATCTTATGAGAAATTGAAAAGACTGTGTAAACCATACATTAGATTCATGGAAATTAGTGAGTGCCTCTTTGGCATCGGATTCCTTCAGGCCAGGAAGGATATGTGTCCAGGGTTCAGATTGACCGACCGGCGGGCTGAGTCTCTCAGCCAACGAACCGACGTGGGAGCCAGTTCTGAAGGCCATGAGGACTACCTGGACGGCAAGGGGTATCAAGGTAGAGACTGAGGGGGTCGAGGCGATGGCAGCGGCGGCGAAAAGCCCCGTGCAAAGACCCATGAAGAAAGTATGGTCATGAAGGCAAGCATCTTGAGGCTCCTTTTCAGCGCGGCTATGGACATGTTAGTGACTGGTACCTCATGATCCTTCTCTCACGTTGCTTGATAGAAGATGGGGGAGGGCAAATTCGTGTTTGGCGGCGACGTACTCAATGTAGTGAGCCAGTTGGGTAATGCAAAGCAGAGCGCTGTCGATGCCTGGGTGCTTGATGCTCTGGGCGTGGTATCGTTCGTTCAGCTGGCGGAGGGTCATGAACATGGGGAGCTTCGACCGTTCCAACTTCCCCAAACTTTCGATCTCCTCCCTCAAAGCCTGGCCAGCCTGCTCGAGGAACGTCTTCGCAAGGGTGCTCGGATTTCCTTGGCGGCAGAACTCGGCGAGAAATCCATGGGTATCAAGTGACTGGTCTCCGAAGAGGAGATAAGACATCTTGTCGGCCATCTTGAAAGGTTGTCGACATAGATTTCCTTAAAGGTGATGAGGTTCCGGTGTCCCAACAAGAACTGGATGTGAGGATGCCGGGAGCGAGTCCTGAACTTATATGATTGAGATGGGCTCGATGATGGGTGTGCACACCAAAGCCAGCAACGGGCCTCTTCCCGAAATAATCAACCCAGCTGTCAATGTCATGGCTGATGGATAGCGGTATTGCAACATGGAACACTTGCTGGGTAGAGGGAGTGAGAGAAGGGGGTGCGTGGAAGACGTCCCATGTAGGCGCACGCCCCCTTGCACCCCTTCCCTTCCTGCCCACTTGGCCCATCCTTTTCCTGCCTGGGGTGGATAGCGTCTGCCCGGCCCTGAGCTTCTTCGGTGACCGAAAGCTGATGGATGATTTTCACTGTCTTGCCGCATCGGTCATGGCCCATTGGTTCAGGGCAATCGATCGGGGCCGCCACACGGGCTTCCTTGCGCCAGTTCCTCTGTGCTGTGGTGAGTGCGAGCAAGCGGACAGACAGAAAAACGACCAAAAATACGCCGCAGGACGGCGACTAGAGCGGAGCAAGGTACAACACACGGCTCTGCTCACTAAGTTTTCCCCCATATCTCCTAGGCACTCACGATCCCACACACCCAGGACAGCGAGGGAGGACAGGTGTGTAGATTACGGACGTTTACACAGGTATCGGGGTCCATGACAGCACGCATCTAGGACTGTGCTTGGAAGTAAGCAGTGACTGGCCATGTCCGTGAGGTACGTCAAGGCTAACTGATTTGGACATGACGTGATGCCATAAGCAAATTGCCCAGGACCACCAGTCTAACAAACACAGATAGCCCGCACCCGTGGCCTGAATTCGGCAGGTATGGTAGAAGGGCGAAGCAGCGTATACGACAAGCCACCCATCAGGATTGGTTTCGAGTCCCATTAAGGCATTTGAGTGGAAAGAAGGGTCGATCTCCGAGGCGTTACCAGCCAGAGGATGATCGATTGGGGTGAAACGGGTCTGAGAAGACGAAAGTGTGATTAAGGTAAGCTTGATTGATGGCGGCAGTGGGCTGTTGCTGGGTTCAAGGCAGTAGAGAGTGCTCTCGATGTTTCTCGAAAGGCCTCAGTCTGGCCGTAACACCGGCGGCAGATGGGGGCGGGACAATCGAGACCGGGCCACCTGGAGCTTGGGTGTGGGAAGCGTGACGAAAGTACTGAAGAGGGTAAGTAAGATGGAGATGCGAAACACGACGACGCAGCACAGAAGTACACCGCACCAGCAAAAACGGTCGAGTGAAACTCCGTAAATACGAGCTGTGCTGCGATGGGCAACGGGCGACCTTCGACCTCAGACAGCGGGCGACCTGAGATCCCCACCTGGCCACCAGGGGGATTCGGGTCAGCAAGCCTGTTTGATTCCTAAACATTAACCAGGAGGCCAACAAGATGAAGAGGAACAAACAGGGTGATCCGGGTTGCGGGATGGAAGAAGGTCGCGGCTGTGGGGGTGGGCGATGGTCAACGCTTTGTCCGACGGACATCCCCAAGGACATTGCCAAAGCGAGATGAACCCAGAGATAGAAATCAAACCGACACACCCCACGCCCCCCCTCTTTTGTTTTTCCCCCCCTTAGCCTGCTTAGAACCAATTGAGAATCATGATTCTGGCGTTTAAAAAAAAACAAAAACAAGATATCAATATGGAAAGGAGAAAGAAAAAAAAAAAAAAGGAGACAACAGCAGGATTCGGAAGATGGCTTGTTGAATGCATATTGACGTTGTCATGTTCCCACACCTGAGGTCGGGATGACAGAATATTGTTGGTTGGACGTCGGATAATAGACAACGGGATTGGCGCCGTCGGACAAATTTGGGGCTGGTGTGGGCTGCGGCTCAGTCAATCCTGCCCTCACTTTCCACCACTGGGTTGCTTCCCTTCTCCCCTCAGATTAGAATTATGGGTCTCGGGCCACGGCAAGGACAAATGTTACTACTAGGGTCGCTCTACACTAGAGGGCGGTATGAAGGTACGTACTTCAGCCGTGCCTGTCAGGGGTGAATCCGTATTGGAAGGCGGCTTGCATAGTGGATCCGGTACTTCCTTCCATGTACTTGCCTCAGTGGGAAAGTGGATTCTCAAGGCTCAGAATCTTGGTAAGGATACCGCAGTGGGGACCGCGTTCCCCATCTTCCTCCTCCTTTCTTCAGGTGCATCTGCAGGGCATGGACGGTAGGAAAGGTCATATTTAGTGAGTGAAGAAGGAGCTAAGGCGAGGCACCAAGCGGAAAGTAAAGGAGAAAGACCTAGCACGTGCCCTGCCTGTCTATCTGCCCTGGTACCTTTGGTAAGTTGCCACTAAGCCCGCCAGAGCATCAGAATACAGGAGCGGCGCGATGCGGGCCATGGATTTTCCGGGCAGACTCCATCTCATCCATCCCTCTTCAATTCCCCCTTCCCACCGCCGGCGGTCTAGCGGCAGCAAAGATGCAGATGTTAGTACATTGGCATGGATTTGGCCTCGAGACCACTAACAACTGAACAGATGGTCTAAAGCAAGGCACTTCCATACATAGGTCAGGCTAGTCCTCTTGGCGGCTAGCAGCAGCACAGGACTCTTTCCTCCCCTCCCCTCCCTAAGCCCTTTAGAGTAAGGTACCCAGGCAAGGGGCTACGCCTGGTTCTGTTTCTCTTTTGCGCTTATTCCTATTATCTGGAGCCTTGCCAAGCTAATTGTGGTGCGGCGTAGATCATATCGTTCCTCTGTTCGCTCTTGCACACCGCGTCACGCCATGGCCATGCTATGCTATACCTATGCTCTCCGTTGTATGACACGGCCTACCTCTTGGGCCTATGGTTCGACTCGTTCACCAGACAAGGCTGGCCGTGTCCACTCCGGTGTCCTCGCCCAGGCCTAGCCTATGGCGAGGCAGGGACGAACAACTTCACCGGAAACACGCGCGATCTAACTGCTTGCCTTTCCCCAATGCACGATACGCCCCACCAGGAACAACTCTAGACGATGTCGACGAGCAGGATGCAGAACAGACACTCCGCCAAAGACACACCCCTTTCCCCCCTTCTCCTCTTGTCGAGCACACCTTCGTCGAACCAAGACGACTAGTCAAACATCCATTGCCCGCCGATGCCACCAACATGCACCGTCCACGCACCTCCAAGATGGCAATCGACTTTTCATCCGAAGGCCGTACTGCGCCTAACATGGGCGCCGTGCAGACGCACTTTGATGGCAAGGACGACACACTGACTGAACAGGCGTCGCATTCGCCCCTCTCATCCTCACACCCTCTTTCTTGGGCCCTCGGCTCTGCTTTGTGATCCCCCAAGCACCTTATTCGTGCACAGCGACCTGCCGACGCCGACGACGCTTTCTTTTCTTCCAGAACTTCTGAGAGCCTTACGCGGAGTCCCCTAGTAGACGGTCCGACGGCAATGGCCACGACCAAAGGCATCAAAGCTTGCCTGTCCCGCCACCCGGAGCCCTAATGCAACGATCATGTTTACGCATTTCCATACTTTTGTACCTTACCTTGGTCATGTCCAAGAACCCCAAGACCCAGGATTGAATAGCAAAGCCATGTAAACCAGCAGAACCATACCAACACAAGCTGCAGTCTGCGGTCTGCGGCGCTGCACGGCACTTGGCAGCTTTGTGATTCGTCCTCCGATCCCAAATTCTCCTTCGCAATATCAAGAAGGTTTTTAGGCGCTGAGACGGATAGCAATTGGAACAGCTCATGCTTGCCTCACCAAGTAGACTTTATCCGTCCTTCCTTCTTCCTCCGCTTCCTACGCAATCCGCTCAACTTCCAACTTGACGCTGAACTTTCAACTCTGTATTTTTGCCTGGATCACTCCACAAATGCATTCCCCCCTCAATCGCCGGGGTAAGGGGTTATTCACGTTACCCCATGTTTACAGAGTAAAAAAAAAAGGGCGTGCCCCTAGTCGATCATTACACCTCACCAAACATTTGATGCATGCTGTCTACTTGCTCCTCCGCTCACCATTCATCTCATCATCTGGCTTCTGTCCCTTGGTCATGGACACACGGGGAAATGAAACCCATTTTCGATGCAGTATTCCCTGTTAACTCGTATTCCGGCTGCGGACAGCGGATGCAGCGGAGAGCGCGTCTTGCAGGTGATCCATAGCACTGATGTCAGGACATATGTCCATAAAGGTCATTGCAAGCATGGGGGATGTGCGTCAATTCGTCGTAACGACCGACTTTCAGGTGAGCCTTTGCGGACAGATGGCCCTGTTGTGCAGGGCCAAGCCCACCGCGCTACTGCCTCACATCTCATTAGGCTCCCAGGGCACAACGACCTTCAGCGTACCGCTGTCTACCAAGATGTAGTTCGACTGATGTCTGAGGCGGTAGTGATTTCTATGGAAGCCCGTATTTGGGATGGCTCACGGCGGGCCGTACGTTGCCTCGGCCGCGGGAGACTATGACCGGCGATCTCCACGTCGAAGACGCAGTAGGTGTTTTGCCTAAGCGAGCGACGGCATAGTATCATCGTTTAGGATGATCATAGGGCGGCCGCTGGGCTGCTGAGTTACAAAACATATGCATCTCAATGGGTGCAGGACCGATTTCTACAGAGACTAGCTCCATTTTGAGCGCAGCTCGCTTCGATCGCAGTCTTGCTGACCAACACACCACCACTATCAGTACCTGCTCAGGCTACCCGGAAAGCCGGCACAAAGTTAGATATCGGATGTAAATCGTTGGTTGTCTGAAGCCTGATATGGATGAAACCAAAAAGAAAAAGAGGATATGGCCTCCCATACCGCCGTTTGTAAGCAGGCTGGAAATATGAGACCTGGCGCTGGACTGAAATGCCTTCTCGGGGCGGTGGACGTGAAAAGATAACAGGAGCTTCTAGCGTCGTCTTGTCGCAGGTGAACCAATGGCAAAATCGCCGGTGAGCCTGTCAGTAATGTCCCGAGGTGTTTTTTTTGCTAGCCGGAACATAACTAACCACGGGCGGTTGGACTGGCGAACTTTTCTACCAGTAGTGGTACCTTACCACCAAACCTTAGCAGTTTTTCAATGCCCGAGGGCGCTCCGTCACATCCTTTCCCGTTGCCCTTGGCTACCAGGAACCGCAACCTCAGTGGTCGGTTACAGTGGCTTACAGTACATTTCAAACCCCTCTACCTCTCCTGTATGTTAGTGTGTTGGAGCGCCCAATGGCCTTATGCAAGGCCCCTACGCCGGACAAGGTCTATCCCGTCCCATACAGTCTCTCTCACCTTCACCTTGCCCAGCTTGCCTCCTACTCCCTTTATTTTTTTTATTTACTTATTTTCACTTTGTATTTGTTCCTCCTGAAGTGGAGGTGTGCGGATTGAATCTTTACAGAAACATGACCATTAACCACGCCCCAATTCCACCCCCTCATCATGCAACGGTAGCTACAGAAGAAGCTCTTCTTGCTCTAGCTAGCCTGTGCACTTTTTTCTTTTTTGGCCAGACACCAACATTGATGATTTCAACGGTCCCCTAAACGAAACAAAACAAAACGCAACTAATGGCTAGCAGACAACAAAAAAGAGCTTTGCAGGCCTAGTCCTTCACAGAAATAGATGCGATGGCTTGGCTTGATCGTCGGTGCATGGCCTCGCGATGGATAGTAATCTAGCTTAGTGCCGGCACGCCGCTCATCACAACTCAAGTCCGGATGATGACTCCATGTCTTCGTGCCGACCGGTCGTTATCCCAGGTAAATGGCCACGCCGCATCAGAAAGCTCAAATATTCTCCAAGGTGGACACTCGGAATCGGCACGCTGTCATCTCATGCTGCCTCCATCCCTCTAGGCCAGCCTGGTAGAGCCTTGTATAGACCGAACGGAAGTGGTGTCAGTCGATCGCATTCCACAATAGGCTTATTTTTTATCATCCTTCCTCTCGGTGCCGCCGTCAAATTCAAACCACCTTGTTGCCAAAAGGGAACACCAAGGCGGGTACGAGTAGGTGTAGGTGATACACACTCTAACGTCATCTCACCCTCCAACAAGAAGGTGTGCAACAAGGTGCTGCCCTCCAGTCTCAGCCTTGATCGTCCACCAATCAAAACTCGGTTTACCGCAGCCGTCTTGACTTTGTCATCGGGATGCTATCCCTCAAGGGTCCAGTTGGAACACGGCACGACTCTTCATGTCTCCAAGTCCGAGTACGGATTGTCGTTGCGACGAGCACGAACTTCCGGTCTGGCATGGTGCTTTCAACCCCCGGTTTTGGTCCAACGTTGCGCTCCCGTCCCAGGGCCAACACCTTACGCACCCGTTATTGCGGTGATGAACCCAACTTGAACGTTTAACGAGTGCAAGGTTTGTAGCCGCTGCTCCAGCATATTCGAGTTGGCGGTCCCAGAAGCGCGCATACCTGTACCCAGGTAGGTGTTCAGAGCGAACTGAATTGAACTTCGGCCTCGAGTTGCCCAGCCGAGAAGCCACTCGCTTCTCAGTAGTGCCATCGGACGTCCGACCACGCCTGCATAGCGTGCCTTGCTTCGTCAACCTAGCGCGCCTAAGTTCAGCTAGCAATCTCAGCGGGGCCCTACCATTGACTGGTAATTCCCCTATCATTTAATCCGAAAGGCACAATGGTGATGTCGATAGGCGTATCCTGGCCAAGCCAATGCCCCTCCCTTGGATCTCACGTACCGAAGCCTGCATATCTAAGAGACCATCAGCCAAGCATCACCGCGGCTCTGCATCGAAGGAGCGGAAACCTAGGCATATTTTTCCTGTATACTTTAAACTACCAGAATTGATGACGCCTCTGTACGACTTTCAACACGTTACATCCCAGGGGGCTCATCTTGTCAGTGGATCTTCCTTAGGGGTGGAGTGTGTTGCCACGAGGTTATTGACAGCCGCCCTTTCCGGTCTCACTGCTTAGGGGGTCCGCAGGGTAGAAGTTCTTCTGATGATGCCAACGACATGGTCGCCGATGTTCCATTTTGATGCTACGTTCCGTGCCGTGGCGCCGTATCCTCTGTCGATAACGCAGACATCCATCTGTCCCACCCTGACGCTCAAATCTCATCACCGACTGATTTCCACACGCTTCATCGGGTTTCCTAAAGGGCTCTGACCCCGACCTCCTTCTGGTCTAGTCGAGACAGTTTTCTCGTACTTGCCAAGGAGGAAAACCGCATCCCGAGAACCAGCTTCCTCCGCGTCTAGCGTGCCCCTCGAAATAGAAGCCAATCAACTAATGCTAGATTCATAATATCTCCTCTCCTTGTGTCTTCTGCTTCCGGCTGCAGCTCATACTTCACAGTTCGAGAGAACATATCTCTTTGCTTGACCATCCGGCCTGATACAGAGACCATAACACTGCATACTGCACACTTTCGGTCCAGGATAGCATCTTTGTGTTCTTGGCGAGGCATTTGTCCGTCAGGATTCAGTCGAAATTGGTATAGCGGTACTCTATCTGATTGAATCTCGTATTTCCGAGACATGAAGTCGTTTTGGTCGGGAATTGCTAATGGTCTACCGTACCCCAGGTCTTTCGGCCCGGCATTTTGAATGGCCTCTCGAAGGCGAACCATCGCGCTGGGAACCATTTGTTTCTTCGACGCCCCAGTCTTACCCAATACTCAAGGATACTACCCTGTATTTCTTGGAGATCCCCTGGTTTTTCAGACATAGCTAATATCAACTAGACCCTCATGACAAAAACTCGGAAAATTCCAATGGAACATGTCTCCTGCCACAATCAATTCTTGGCGCCGTGCCCGAGATGACACGCCGCATCTGTATCTTTCGGGGCTTGTCTTCTCGCATCTGAAGCGGACATTCCGAACAAGTGGCCGTATGACAGCATGGAATAGCTGCATTTTCTGCCTCCTCGGCCGAGACGTCGAGTTCCGGATTTGGCGCTTATAAGCGATACTATACTGCTATCGATTTCTTCATCAGCCCTAACCGTACTTTGTTGTAAGACTCGGGTGTCTGTCAACATTTATCGTCCGTTCTATTCCGCTTCTGTCGCATCTCTGGTGTCTCAGCGGCTGTGGACGCGCTCTTGCCCGTGTGGGCCTGATAGAGAGCATCTTGTAGGTCCGCGTCCTAATTTAGGCGCAAATTTTCAGTCTCATCGGCAGGCGTCTGCACAAACCATCAAGCACCATCTGAATATCGGGCAATGCCCTGTCCAGCCGCCTTAACATCGGGCCTTGGCTGGCTTATGCCAGACTGAACTTCGGGCGTCAAAGACTTTGAACAGCTTCAACCTCTGTCTCTGATCCCTTACCGTGGATTCAGCCTTCACGCCCAAGTGCGAGTGAATTAAGAAGCTTCACTTCATCCTCTCCGCTTTCAACATCACACGCCCCTATGTGTAGTCATCTTGGCGTCTGCCAGATCCAACTTAATCAGAACCCTTCCCGCCTTGTCGGCGCCTTACGGAATGGCACCGAGCTGCGTCAAGACAGCGTCTATCCGCAAGACTGGTCTGGATGAGATGACAAGACCACCGAGCCCAGGCTGGAGGCTCTACTAGAGCCGCTCGGCTCGGAGTTTATCTCGGACACAACGGCTCGCTCTGTTCTGTCCTTCAATCTTGACCTCAATAATCATGAGATGGGCTGAATGGTGGCTCTAGAAGATTGTAGAATTGTATTGAGGCTAACGCCCGAGCTGCGTGCGTCTTGGAAAGTACACAAGAGTCTCAGACGTAGCCACTGCTTGGTCCTTTTGCCACGATTTGTCGAAACTACATACTAGAATAGCATTAATAGCATTATTTCCATCAATATGACAGTTCCTCCGCCAAATGCCTGGAAACATTGGTGCCGTGGGCTTACGCAAGCCGTCCCTTCTTCTTGGTCTTCCCGGCTGCCCGTCCCCCCGGGATTGTGAATGCAAACGCTGACACTTGATCCACCGCTGCTCAATCTTTTGGACCGAAGTCCAAATGGTGAGCTGAATAATCCGTTTCCTCTCATGAAGACACTCCTTATCAGCATAATCATGAACGCAGGACGTCCGTTCTCCGTGAACGCCCCCTCGACGCTAAGAGGTTGCACAGCTCAGCCATTCCCGAGGCGTACATATTCTGACACAAGTGCCCGCACATGTCTTACGCCTCTCTACTTTTTCCCTGCTTGCTTTTGAAGCTCCTTACTGGCTGAAGAAGGAAGAAGGTTACTGAGCGTCCGACTGGCTGGGTCAATACCGTTTCCTTCTTCCTATCAACCTGCACAGGTTTCTGATGCTGGGCTGCCTCCCCGGTTTGACTTCTTGTTCCCAGAACCATGGGAGAGCAAACAATGAAACAGAGCCAAACAGCAGTGGGACTTATCTGAGATCGTCTTTGGTATCCAGTAAAATATGGTTACAAGCCAGATCGTCTCTTGTCCGTCTTGCACGCCCCCTCCACCCAGGCCTCTGTCCGTGAATGGATATCCAGAGTATCGTGAGGTTTGTAATTCGTCATCTTCAGCTCCACCGGCATCTTTTCTTCTTCGAACGGGTTCCTCAACGGGTTCCGCTAGCATCCCGTCTCCCCGTCGTTCATCCCACCACACCTGCATCTGGATGATGGTTTAGGTCAGTGGCGAAGACAGTATTAGATTTGCAGGGGAGGAGTTACGAGTGACATGTTGCTCTAGTGTTATCTCACAGCTTCTTTTTTGAATGCCGAGGAAAAAGGAATGGTTGACTGAAGCAATCTGGAGCTCATGTTGTCGTTGTCTCCGACAGATAGTGGCACCAAAAGAGACAACCACGGAGAGACTTTTTTGATAATCTAGACTGAACGTAGACGACAACACATCTTAGCATTCGTGGCGGTCTAAATGAAGACTATCTCCTGCCACGGCCGATTACCTCGCACCTCCGCAGCCGCTTTACTCGCCTTGCTCGTTCCCCGGCGGCAGCAGCTGGATCCTTCCTCCTCATCTCTGATTGCTCTCCTCCCGAAGGATGCATTCATCCCCGGTTGCAAAAACCATCACCGCTCCAATCTTTCTTCGCATCCGTCCATTCACAAGCCTCTCCTACCGCCACGGCGCGGAAAAGCCGTGATGGAGAGGTGCGTGATGTGACGACTGGGCGTCCGCTCTTGCGCTACGGTCTACGTTCTGCGGTCGTGTCCCACAAAGTCAGACAAACGGCTGGCCTCTGCCACTCTTGAATTCTAGTCACTGTCTTATGGTTCTTCTTCCTTTAGCACCGCTTGCTTCCCTAGCGCACACTCTATTCACCTTGGGCCTCAGGGTGGTCTGCTGTCTTATTTATCCGTACAGTCTTACACAACACCGTATTTATTTCTGATCCTGCATCCTTCTCTCCTCGTCCCCCTGCTTTTTTTTGGCCTTCCCTACTGATTCTACTGGTTTTTGGAAAGCCGGAATGCGGTGACTGTCACAGCAGAAACAGCACACGTCCGCACACGCATACAATGAGAAGCAGGGGAGGTTCCAGAGAATGCAGGTCACGGTGCGGTTGCACTGGCTTTCAGCTTGCTCCCGTCCCTCTTCTGTTTAAGGCGAGGGTATATAACGAGTGACGGAGTGGCGAATATTCCAACTTTTCGGTTCTTCCCTTCTCAGCTCTACTCGAAATATCGTGTGTTTGCTCCTTTCGTCTTCCCCTCCCCAAGTTCCGCTTACCTCGTCCGTTACTTGATCCTTCTCTCAACTCTCCTCCAACAGCCATGGAACCTCAAACAGCTAATGATGCCCCTGATACGAGTCACGACGATGCCATTTCTCTCATGATCCTCGAATATCTGTAGGCGGAACCCAGTTCTGCCCCACGCCGCTGCTCAGCCCCGGCGTCAACCACCTCCCCGCGCCTCATGCGCTCCAAGCGTCTTGAGAACGGGGCAGCATCACGTCCTGCCTATTTCCAGCCGCTTCCTGTCAGAATTCTGGCGGGAGGATTCACATCCGACTCCATGCTACGGTTTCAATGCCGCCCAACGACGCGTCCCCTCCCCAGACGATCACCAATAGAACAGCTCCCGTCACGATCAAGTCTCCGAAAATAGCTTCTCTCAAAGCATTTCAGACCCCTACACAACTCTACTGGGCGTCTCTTGATTATATCTGTCACGGCGCTAAACTACTCCGCTCGTCTGCCTCGGATGAAGGCGTCAAACTAATACGGCATCACTGCCCGTCCGCACGAGCAAAATACTCTCGACATGAGCAGTCAGAAACTACGACAAATACCCGCCGTCTCGCGCAGCAATCCTCCCGGCACCCACAGGCAAGCATCCTGTCGATCAAGAAATGTGACAAATGTCAAAAAATAGACCATCATGAAGTCTGGACCCATGGATAAACTGTTTTCTTTGTGTGTGGTTGTGTGTTCATCCGAGCTTTCCCCTTTTCCTCCCTTCCGCGCGCCTCATCTAAGCCCATCCTGCGCTCCTTGCCCGCGCTCCGTCTACAAACCTGTTTCGGGTTTTTATTTTTATTTTTAAAAACTGCAACAGGCGGGGGGAGGAAGGGAAACTTGGGGGTGAACAAACCCGTTCTTGAACCCCCTCTCCCGAAACGGAGGCACTCGCATGAGGAATTACACGTCATCATCCTGTCCTTGTTCCCCAATCTTCTTTTCCGTCCATCGCGGCGTGGGGAAGAACAGTGCCGCTTTCCCGAGTCCCTTGTGTGTGTTCGTTCCCTTCCCGTCATTTTCATTCGGTTTTCATGAGACGATGACTGTTGGAGTGTGTGTGTGTGTGTGTGTGTGTGTGTGAGTTGTTCCCGCTCCGTCGGCACAAATATGATCAAGCATGAACGTGTACCGGACAGAGCGCAGAGGATTCGCGATGAGGCTTGTCATCCACTCTCTTCTGCTCTCCAGGTCGCGTTTCTACGTTTTTTCAAGGCTTGGCTTCTTCATTCTGCTAATGTTATTTTTTTTCTTCTTCTTCTTTGTTCCTCCTTTGATGTCATCCTCTCATTATTATGTTCTGGGAATATACGCGCGCGAAGCTGGCTTGCTTTTGGGGGATGAGTGACGTGACGGCAAGTGCCGAGACAGGCGAGGCTGCGCGGATAAACCCGAAGTCGCCACGCCTTGTCTCATCGTGTTCCCTTTTTTTGTATTGCCCTGAGTAAGAAGAGGCTCATTTACTATCGTTGATCTCATAGTGTTTTTTTTTTTTTCCTAAAAGAAAAATTTCATATAGTGTCATGAACAAAACTGGCGGAGAACGATGTGAGGGATGAAAGCTATTCGGAATGCCCTGATTTATCTCACATCGGGTATGATGATGGTTTTCATTCCGATATTTTTTTTTTCTTTTCCTCAAGCCGGAATTGTTGTGTCTTCATCTCATTTATTGTTGGGTTTCAAATATCCTCAGAAGTGAGATCATTTCATTGTGTTATCGTGAGATTGTGAACTGCGTCAAATGACGGACGATATAACCGACTTCTTGAATATGAGCGATGGGAACTCGGTGAGGTTCGATTTCATATCGTTTCCAAACAGTTTTAAATATGCCAACAGCACGACTCATTTTCTCACACCCACACAAAGCAAGTACATTTCCTCACAAATGAATAGGCAACAACACAAATAAGTTGAGATCCAACCACATTTCTCATTACTGCCGGCTGTATATATCTACCTATACATACCTCGTCACCATCTACAATAAGAAAGAGATATATGCCAATCTACCACATACGCTCCGGCACGGAGTTATTGATGGATTATACATTACTCCGCCCGGAAAGGCCCTGTTCTTTCTTGACAAAGGAAAAAGAAGAAATACAATAAAAATGTTGTTGTTGGTTTTTCGCATATCCACATGGCATCATGGTGTACTATGTACAAGAATGGCAGGGAGACTCATTCAGGATATGAAATATTAAGGAAGTGAAGATAGTTGCGTTTTTAAACCGCTGGGGGACAGGTCTCGTTTTTCAGAGACTGCCGCGGATGACGCGGGAGCGAAGCTTGGCCGGGGCCTGGGGCGGGGCCTGGTTGCCGGCAGGAATGTAGGTGGCACTGCGGTGTTCAAGTCAGCTTTTGCAAAGTCAAGATGTGAGGGGGGTGGTGGGTTCAAGGCCAACTTACCCAATGTAGTTGGATGGCGGAACCATGTTCATGCCGGTCTGGTCGAGCGGGTTCAGGGTGTTACCGGCGGCGTTGCCGGCGGTCGGGATGTTCTGGCGGTCGCACATGGCCTTGTGGTCCGCGGGGATGGTAAGGTTGCGAAGTCTCTCAGGAGCCTCGATGATGGTGGCGGTCAAGCCCATCTCGACGTGCCACTCGATGTGGCAATGGAAGAGATAGACACCGGGGTTCGTAGCCTCGAAGCGGAGAACAGCGTAAGAGTTGCCCATGACCGAGACGGTGTCACGACGAGGAGGCTTCTGGTTCAGGCGAGCGCGCTGAGCACCAGGCCAGTCACCAGTTCCGGTGGCAGGGCGCTTGACGACCTGGAAGTGGTGACCGTGAAGGTGGAAGGGATGGACGGCGGCATCCCTGTTGTTGACGACGATGTCGACAATGTCACCGTACTGGACAACGAAGGGGTGAATGTTGCCGTAAACGAGGGGGTTGGTGTTGTTCTCACCAGTGGTGGCAGCGGTGTACAGAGTAGGCACCTTCTGGTCCACGTACGGAGAGCCGTTGACGCAGGAGCGAGGGATGCCATTGGCGTCGAAGCAGAACTGCCAGTCGAACTGGAGGGTCTTGGTGGCAGGGGGAAGGATGGGGGCATCTCCGTAGGGCTCATAGACAGCATCGTCAGATGGCTTCCACTCCTTCACGGAGTCGGTGCCGAAAGGCCTGTCGGGGAACATGACCAGTTGGCCAGTGTAGTTCATGGGCCACGACTGTGCCTGGGCCTTGTTGGTCCAGTCACGGTTGACGTCCGCAGAGATGAGGAAGCCGTAGTTGCGGTTGTCACGCTCAATACACTTGATCAGGATGTCGTAACGCTGAGCCGGAGCAATGCGGATCTGGAATGTGAGCTTCTCCTTGATGTAGGCCGAGTCGATCATGATCAGGTTCATGTCGTGAGAGTCGAAGTGCAACATGAACGAGGCAAAAGCGGCGTAGTTGATGACACGGAAACGGTACGTCTTGCCCTTCTGGAAGTTGTAGTTGGCGGGCGCGCCGTCGTTAATCAACAGGTTGTTAGGAATGGGCGGCTGGAAGCGAGTGTTGGTCGGCAACAGCATCTTCTGCACCAGGGGAATGCTCTGGTCGTTGTACCTGAGCTAGGTTAGGCGCGCCGCGTCTGGAGGCTCTACTATGCGGGTAACTCACCAGTCAGACATAGTCAAGATGTACTCCTCGTCGTACTTCCCAGCATAGGGGTCCTTAGGGTCGTGGATGATCAAGGGGCCGCGCATGCCGTCAGGGTACTGGCCCATGTTGTGAGAGTGCCACCAGTAAGTACCACCCTCATCAGCCTATATCGCTGTCAGTCAGTCTGATTCTTCCCTAGAGCCGTATAGGGCACATACAGTGAAAGAGTAAGTCATGGTCATATCGGGAGGCAAGGGGCACTGAGTGACCATGCTAGGGCCGTCCATCCAGTTGGTGCTGATCTGGTTGATGCCGTGGAAGTGAATACCGGTCGTCTGGTTGCCAAGCTTGTTGGTCAGGTGCACGATAACGGTGTCGCCAACGTTGGCCTCGATCTTGGGGCAGGGCCATTGGCCGTTGATGCCAATGACGGGCCTCGAGACACCACCAGCGGCAGTGTTGACCCAGGTAGCCTCCCAGTTATAGGTGACCGTTGCAGCCAAGGCAACACTGGCCAAGGCCAATGAGAAGAGAGATCGCAGCATGGTGGGCGATCGTAACTAGCTAGACGGGCCTGGTCTAGGAGGGTGAATCAAGAAATTATAGATACTCTTCCAATGAAACGAGTGGAGAAAGGAAGCGAGTATGCAAAGGGAAAGAATAAGGAAAGCGAGAGGCGGATCGGGATGAGGAGTCAAGTCTCATATCTGGATTCGAGGAGGGAGAACGACGAGGGTTATAAAGAATGCCATGCGATGTGGACCGGTTAGGCCACAGCTGGAGGTTATCAGACGGTCGTCCTGGAAATTCTCTTTTGGCCGGCCGGCCCCGGCTGATCGGTAATGTTGGATGAGCTCTGACATGGTGCCGGGGCTGGCTTCTGGGAAGTCGATCGATGCTCGGGCGACAAAGAGGCAGCGAAGAGGAGCCTGGCGGCTGAGATGACATATGGTGTCGTGCTGACTGCCTCGCACATGGCAGGTACTCCAGTCGGCCATGCCTAGACGTATAAGCCACACCTTGGTATTCACCCACTGCATGGTCGGATGTCCGTTGCCTGCAGCAGGCTAGTAGTAGGAGGGGACTAGACCTTGTCAAGGGTACCTAGGATCACTCGTGTTGCTGGGCCCCGACTTGGTGGGTATGGCATGGCATGGCATGGCAAACCCTCAGACGAATGAGCGTCAGGAGGGTATACGGTATCCAACTGCACAAGACTTCTTGACCGGATATGTGAGACAGAGGCAGTACGATCGTTCTGCTCGTGACTGTATAAGAAAGCCAAGAGCTGAAAAGGCTGAAATTTTGTGGAGATAAGCCGTTTACAGCTCTCAATGCAGACAGAAAGGAGAGAGAGTAAATGGGCGTTTATTATTTGATTATTTCAATTTTTGTCTGAGCCTGGAACCCTTTCCCTGGTACACCAGTTGGCTCAATAGCAGATGGGGATGCGTGGAAAACGACATATAGGAAAGGCCTGAAGAACTGATTGGACGATCGGTTGGACGCCACCATGCAAGCAGGGCTCTTCCAAGACAAACAAATTAGAACATGCACACGTTGGAGGATTACAACAGCAAAGCGTTGGCGTGAATCCCTGACACTTGCAGGTGAACACAGGTGGACGGTTCGTCGAGGCTGACTTTGCAGCCCGCATGAGTAGACGCATATACCTTGCGAGCACGAAGTCGTCTGAGCCTGTGGCAAGGGAACCTTAGTGTAAGGTCAAGCGATTCCTCGGCTGGTGGTTGTTTACCACGCTTTCCCTCTCAAAACGGCGACAATACAACGGCATGGACAAGTTGCCGAGACGCATGTGGCCGGTGAGTGAGGAGAGCTTAGGGTTGCATGTCTAGTTCGGGTGAAGCGCTCAGGGACACGGCGACGTCATGGCGGTAGACTTACCTGGTGGAGAGGCTAGCCGTCGGGTATTGGCGAATCCAAGGCCGAGACTGCTCGAGTAGATGGGATAATCGCCGTTCCGTCCGCCGCATTTTCCGTCCCAAATTCCTTCCCTCCCCATATGGACATGTATTGTGCGATTATATCATCTTGGATTTAGTTACAATTGTGGAGGGGACAAAATCATAAGCGTGCGAGGTGGCTTGTGGCGTCGAAGACTGAGGAAGCTGCAGGTCGCCGTGTCTCAAAAAGCCAAGATTAAAGGTGAGGCAAGTCTAAGTAGACCTCGGGGCTAGACCTATAACAGAGAATGTGAGGACAAAATAGTTAACCAGGGATCCCCGAGGGTTAAAGACGCGGAACTCTTGGACGACCCGTCCATCCATCAGCAACTCTGGGTCCACCTGGTCCTGACAGGGGCGGAGTCGTACAGTTCCTCTGGTGTGTCTACGGTTGTGCTTGTGCATCTTTAACTGACTTGTCTCTGGATAGGTAGGATGCAACTACAGTTGTAGTGCGGAGCTATTCTGCAAGACATGTCAGACCAAGGAGTTGATGGCGCTAACAGGGGCACCAAGAGTACGGCAGCGCCGGCTGAGATACCTCGTGCCGATTATTAGACAGGAAAGTCGACCGATATGGCTCGTGGAGATAAGCAGGAGTAGACAGTCATTTGGCTGTATCTAGACCAACAGGATCTTGTTCTCGTGATCCGCAAAGGTACAGAGCTGGACGGAGTTTGTGGGGAGGGGAGGAGAGGAGGTCCAGCACCAGAGTAACCAACGAGCGGTGCACGGGACATAGTACGGACCGACCCCTGTGGCCATGGTCATGGTGATGTGGTGTCTGCGTTGTTGGCGTGGGCCGACTCAGATGCGTTTGGAGATCTGTGTGGATGTAATTGCAGAGCGGGGAATGTAGTTGGAAGAAAAACCATCAGAGGCGGTGTTGAATTCCCTCCACAGTCAGCATGTGCATAGTACATCCGTCGCCCAACTGCCTTCAGACTTGAGAGTCAGACCAGGCCAAGGACAATAGGCGTAAGAGAAATACAAATGCCAATGCCCCGGACCAGCTCCGTTTTGCCTTGTCAGATTCCTTGGGATGCGAGTTGTTTTTCCTCCAGCCCTAGCTTCGGCCGATCGCGACCTCACCCATGTCATACTCTGGTAGTTCCTTTCCCACCCTCAAAATAGCAATTCGATTGCGATGCAGATTTGAGCATTCCCCTTTTCCTAGGCGGGTGAGCTACCTCTAGGTTAGTTTACTTCCCCTGAACTGAGAAGTAGCTAACTCGACAAGTACCGCCACAGTACAGTACACTTGGCATGATACCTAGCGCCTTCACTGCATTCTTTGCTTACGATATAGACCAAGTATGTACGTACAACGTAAGTAGACGAGTATGAACATATGCAAGGATATACGTATTTGCCCGGGCCTGCATTGGAGCCAACTCGATTAGGAGGGGAAACAAACAACTTCACCTCCCTCATCCACCCATTCGTCTCAACAAACTCTTTCCGCACAACCGTTTGGCTTCAATCCAGGAACAAACCCAGTCCCCCTTGGCGATCGGAGCCACAAGTCCCCTCTGTGGAGAGCACAGAAAAACAAAAAAAAAAAAAACGCAGTGGAGAGCGGCAAGGCACGAAATGGACCGCCCACTAGCGCTATTCGCGAGAAGTGGTTTATTGACGGTCCTTGCGATTTACACTCTTACTCCGAAACTGCATCTTTCAGGAACTTGTGGAACTCCGCTCTCCTTTCCTCTGAAGTTTCTGCGTCGTTGGAGGCTCGAGTGCGAGTCCGAATGACTCTCCGTTCGGTACCTTACATCATCCTCCCGCGTCGTCTCATTCTATCGCGACATGCGGTGCCATGTTAAAGTCAAACCCCGAAAGCCCGGCCCGTTCGCTCCGCTAATCCAAACGTTACCAAACCGTCTAAAATTGAAGTTTGACATGTTGACTTTTTGGATCGGGAGATGGTCGTAGCATCGCCTTTCTGATGAATAGTTTGACTGACAAAGAGGCCTCGGCTCAAACACATCATCCTAATCATCTTCTCATTTTGGTTGTGCTTGCGGATTCGGCAGCCCAGATTGCCACGCGCTCAACCTCCATCGTTACATGGTATGTTTTCGGCGGGTTTTTCATAGCTGACCAGCTCAGGCATCGCAGCCCGTACGGTTTGATGAGTTCGCTAACCGGCTGGACTGAGACCAGCAGAGAAAGCCCCCGCCAAACGTGACCTGATTATGCGCCGTGTAGTATCGTCATGTTATCGCCATGGAATACGATCCCAGTCCACTTTCACCGAACACGACTACGGACCACCAGGACACCCCCCTTGCCCCTGGTTTTTCAGGTGGCCCGGCTGCCACACCACACCACACCAAAAATGCCCTAGCCTAGAATAAACTACCAATTCCCACCTCCATCTCATCGGCACCTGGGGCTGCGCTATGCTGCTTGGCCCCGCGGCTGCCCGTCCCCCCCCCGCCTGTTAATCCCTGTCCCAGATCCTCCACCTCTGGGCATCCCCAGCTGGCACCTCCTCGGCCCCCCTAGAGTCGTGGTGGGTTACCCTGGAAGTGCGCGCTAACTAAAGCCCCGAGAGGGTTGATTCTTCCTCGCTTCTGTCTCCTCTCCGTTCACCATGCTTCCGAATTCGATAATCGATCGAGAAATGGCTGATGAGTTTGACATCATCAACTTCAATCGCGTGCCATTCTGTCCAACACCAACTTAGCCGAGGTGCTCTGTTCCGCGGCGCCCGTGAGGATCGGATGGTCAATGCTATAGCAGCTGCCAATGGGTTGCTTGTCAAAGTGCGTAAGAAACGGCTGCATTACTGCAGTTGCATAGCAAACATACATTGCTTTTGGCGAGTCTTTCTAGACTATTTACTATCTCCATCATGCAGCGTAGCACAAGCATGCAATTGGCCCCCAGATCGACACGTCAGGCCTACTGATAAGGCGGGGGAAGTATTAAATTCACTTAAAAACAAAAATAAAATGAAATAGAAAAGCTACTCAAAAAGCAAGAAAACGGAAGAAAAGAACCCTTGGCTGAAAGAATTGGGACGACGCCTGGCAACATCCAAACTTGGCGTGCTGAGCCGCCCTCCTCTCTCTCTCTCAGCAGTGAAATTTTTCCCCATATAGAAACTACTCGATGCATTTTTGCACAGACCATGAAGGAAAGAAACCTTGGCTTAGCCCTAGCACCCCGTATAGCTGCCCAACTGACGCTGTCTCTCGCTTCGCCTGTCTCTCACCTCACCGTCTTCACTTGGCTAACCTGACCTTTCTTTCTTCTTCCTCGAATTTTAACTTTTAACGGCGGTTCTGGCCACGCCAGGAATAGGAATGTACAGCTCTGAAAAGTCTTGAGAAGGGAGGGGAGGGGAAAAAGCAACAGTTCCATCACCCTAATCGTAAGGTCGCATCAAATTACTTCCCGTATTGCACCCAACACGGTTGGCCCAAGGCTTTGGATTTCCAGTCTGTGCTCAGCCGGTGGTGACACGGGGGGGTACACTAGTACATGCCGCTCATGACGGTTACACATTGCTGCATGGCAGTAAAAAAAAACAAAAAAAAAATCTTCCATACCTGCCGTGATATGCTAAGCACCAACGGAGACTAGTTGGCTTGCGGATACTGTCTCTCCTTGCTACACCAACAGAGGCACCGTCCCATCATGGCAGCCTATATCCATCCAACGAATTGCAACGTCGATACGAAGTGGCCGTGTCAGCAGCCCCAACAATGTGCATCTTCATTCCCCTGGGCACCGCCTATGCTTCGATGCCGAGCCCGACATATGCCAGCTTCTCTTCGATCCTGGTTGAGCCACATACGCTCCCCATCTTAGTCAACCAGACCCTTGCAGTATCTTTCCCACGCGCTGCTGCAGCCCGGAGGCTCATGCAAACGCCAGCATTTCGCATACGCACATGAGGAAATATTGCATCTTGCGTCGGGCCTATCAGCCTCCCACTCTCCATTTAGTGGTTGGGTGTGAAGCATCCCGCCTTAGCGCGTATCATTCACCGAGCCTTGCATGACACCCTGGTCCCCGGGACCACACTATCGCGGCTGACAACGACCGAAAAAAAAAAAAAAAAAAGGGTCAGTCCACTTCAACACTCGGTCGACATGGGGGATTTAGATGCAGCCCTCCTTGACTTTTGATCATGAGCCAGCGGGGGGGAAGCGAGGCCTGGCTCTTAGCTTCGTGGCGCAACCGGCTTGGATTTTGACACAACGCGGAGTGTAACCGAAGCGAACATGGAATTGTGTCAGCTATGTAGTCTTACAGTAGAGGCTGACGGCATCGCTCACTGCGAGCCATGGGCGTGAATCCAAGCTGACGGCTGCTCGGCACGTACTTTGTAGACCTTGAAGTCAATCTGACCAGATCTTTCCCGAATGGGGGTGAGGAGCCCGCTTCGGCGCGGATTGCCGAAGCGGAAAGTGGGACCCCCCGAACCTCCGTCCGGAGCCGTTTTTTTTTTTTTTTTTTTCGGGTTTTTGGATCCAGCTTCTCCAACACTGGGGAGGGAAAAGAAGAAAAAAAAAAGTCCAATGTCACGGCATGCGCGGTGATGGACCAGAAAGATTTTTTTTCCTAAAAAATGATGCATTTCTGTCATCACTGTGATCCATCCCAAAAATAAACTGCTACCTCAAACTTGCAGCGGAAATGCACAATGCCGTAGCATGGCTGCGAACTGCTTTTCATCCGAGAGTTGTGTTCCCTCCCCATGGAGAGGCACCTTGTATGCACTTGATGGATCTTTTGTCCCACGGCCACGGAAATCTGTCGTTGACCGTACGGCCATGGAAAACTCGGGTTCCTTCCAAAGGCTCCGTCGGTTCCTGTCAAAGTCCCCTAGGCCGAGGATTGCTTGGGGCTCTAGGTGACACCAGCCTGTAGCTTTGTCTGCGCTTTGATCGCAACGCACACCCACGCGGCGTGTCCTGTTGCTACTCAACCACTGTGGGTAACCCCACAGATTGGAGTATTCTACGGTGGTTGAAACGTATTTCTAGGGGAGTGCTCGGTTTGTTTTCGCCTGCGTGAACACGAGATGGGCACTGACGCCCACCAACCATCGCTTGGTACCTGCATCCGTCTTGGCCGACCGTTATTCTGCAGGTTGAATTCCATGTTACGGCAACTTTTGTCTAGACAACGGCCCAAGTTCGTGGATCCGGCCATTGAGTGCACACGTCCCGCCGTGGCATCATGGCGGGGATCCGGTGGTCGGGAGGGTCGCCGGGCGACTGGCAGGCTCACATCTTGATACGAGATTTGTCGATCCGTCTCTTTGTCCGCGTCTTAGATGGTGATGGTTTTTCTCCGAGCAAACTGAGGAGATGTGGCAGAAATGTGCTATTACCAGCGGGTTGGCAAGCTCACCAGCCACATCACATCAGTTAAGTTGGAACCTAGGTGTGCGCGGCCTGCGATTGTGGCTTTGGAGGGCCTGGAACTTTGTAGACGAACCTATCGCCTCCCCCTTGAGAGACAGAGTGGTGTATGGCAAGCTTTCATTAACATGGGCTGTTTGTGGCCCAAATTGATGTCGAGGGTTCGAACCTCAACCCAAGGTATAGTAGAGAGAATGTGACTAGGTTGTCTAAATGATAACTCTATCCTGCTACTTCCATTATCCAATGAAATCTCTTGAATGTATATACAGTTCGAAGGGAAGGGCTTTGTTCACCCATCCATCTAAACACTTTCTGGCGTCATGAGACGATCATTCCACAGGTTTGTACATGACAGACTTCAAAGTTTCTCTGGCACACATCATTTCGGGATCATGCCCCGAACCAGTCGGCAGAACGTATAAGCCCCAGCTATCGGCCCTCTGCCTAGGTGTTTGATAGACCTTTATCCTTGGCGAGGCTTGCAACCTGGGCATCTCGAACCCAAACTTTTCATGCCATCCTTTTCAGCAAAAAGCTTTTTGGGCCCGAACGAAACGATGATTTTTTTTGACATTACACAAGACAGGCACCTGTAGCCGCCTTATATCCCTTGTCCCCGGGGAGGAATCAAGCTGATCTCTTACTAGCCCCTATTATAAGCTTAAGTTACTGCCATGGCTTACAAGTAGAACCGGACTTCTCCTACGGACAAAATGAAGTTTGTTTGCCATTCCTCATAACCTTCTGTATATCGCGCACTGTGAGTCGACATCCAGAGGAAGCAGTCGACTGTGGCTGCACGAGATGGTTGAGCCGCTGATTTTTCACCGCTGCCATTGAGTTTTCTCATCTGTCTGATATCTGAGGATGGCTTATCCATTCTGGACGTTATACGCAGACTTTACATCGCGGGCCGGGCAGGTGGGACCTCATTGAGAAGAGACGGGACTACAGGTTTCGGATTCCAAGGGTGGTGGTGGCCTAGCTTTCGGCTCTTATAATGCGCTATCGACTGGTTGAAACGGGCGCAGATACTCGGGAATAGTATGCGATGGTTGAAAGTCTCGACAGACTTTGGAAACAGTATCACCACCCAGAGAACTATCGCATATTTCGAGCTTGAGGCACCATTTTTTGCGCGCTGCGGTGCCTTCGCGACGATGAAAGTGAGGGATCAATATTACTGCCTGATATGAGTTCCGTGAGCGACATTAACCGATGTGGACTTTGCGAACTTTATCATCCTAGAACACTAGATCCCTGGATTTCCATTACATTCTGATGTAGGGCTAGCAAAAACCACCAAGATGTCTACTCACCCTTCCGACGTCGATATCAGCACGGCTAATCTTGGCTGTGAACTTTGGACGTATAAGTTTTTCTAATACAGAGCATATCTTGGTCAGAGCCGTGGGTGACTTCTATATCCTATTTGCAGAGGTAGTCACATCAGAACGAGTTTGTCTTCATACCGAAGTAACCATTGGCCTTACTGGCGCGAGCAGTCTTGAAGCGTGCTGAGTCGTGATCAGCTGTTTTGTATCGACTAGACCAAAGGAGCATTTCTGAAGACTTGGAGTCATGCATGATGAGAACAAACTCATTTGAGTGTCAGCGTCGTTCTTCAAAGCAACTTGCCGAACAGCTACATTAAATGACCGTGTATTTTATATCCAAAAGTACTGGTAGCTGTGCGGGCGTTCCTATGACGTTGAAGCATGCCGAATTTGCGAGTAGTTTAGCTATATTGCCCCATCCCTGCCATTCTCTACAGTTGACTATCTCTGAAGAGTTACTAACGCACTGATCAACGACGCCTTCCAAATCAGTCAGACTATACCCGCATCTTTACCTCTACGATTGCTTAGAGTTGTTCACAAATCCCCATTTCGGCAAGTTACTTGGTGATCTCTGACGTCCACTACTGACCAACCCAGCTTCACAAGATCAAGAGCCACACTAACCCTCGTACCTCAGGTTGGTAGCCGTACAAATCCCCAGGGCAAACGAGTCTAGGTACTTCTAAAGACGGCCTACACTTGTCATAAACACGGCAGATTTCTGAAGTACGATATATTCATAGAAGCCATGTACAGACTAGTCTCGTAAATGCAAAACCCAGGGACGCTGGGTATAACGAGAAAGCCACGCTCTACGCTTCCGCCTGGATCCAGTTACGATATTAATTGTTTGCAAGTTAGGCGCAGTAGCAGTCACAGTCCTGATTGGGCTTGGCCATGGCCCTGTAGTTTCCAGTGCGGCACTGATAAAACTAGTCAGCGATTCGGTTCTTTACAAAGACATCCAATATTACTGTAGCAGAGGCCTGGTTCTGGGTCATACTAGGACTCACCTTGCCAGAGCACAGTGCGAAGCAACCATCCCGATCTTTCTGGTTGCAGTTGGATACCCACTGAAGAAAGCCATGTGGTTAGCGCGTTGCCATTTCTCGCCGCGGCACGAAAAGGATAAGGGCTGCCGTGGCTAGGTGTTTAATACTTACGTTGCCGGGCCACGTCTGACCGCATCGCTTGAGGATCAACTCGGCAGAGGCGAGCTGCAGCGCAGCGAGGAGGATGACAATATCGAAACGCATTTTCGCAGTTGGGTTGGGAGTTGTAAAGACTAAGAGACTGGCAGTTGGGATGAGCAGTTGAGTTGAGAAAGCGACAACAACTTGGGCGCAAATGGGGGTTTATACATGGTTGCCAAGACTTGATACTTGAACATGAACCCGCCGGCCTGAAGCAACCATATTAAACACTGGGGAGAGTTGCTGATTGTGAGTTGTTAAGGTTAAAATCGGCCGACTGACTCGCAACTTAATATATTAAACTCGAGACTAACATTATCAAGTACTATAATTGAGCCGCCCACGTCTTTAAACGAGGTCTTGGAGCATTAAGGGGTAATTGCCATTTGAAAACTATTATAGTTCAACGTTATTATGCGTTCTAATGACAAACCTCTTAATTTTGTGATCATACGTGGTGCACGGTTCCGCCGGATCAGGCTGGGGTTGCGGAAGCTCCAGGCCAGGTAGGAAGTTGTGAGCTGATCAGCTTCAGTGAGTAGGACCACGGAGAGTATTTAGGAGATTAGGCTAGCTCGCAGATATAGAGTGCTTCGGCATTGGTGCTTTTCCCGTGGTTGCTGACTCCTTTGATGAAGCTGTTCGAAAGAGGCAATAGAATTAGGTTTCTCCCGCACTTGCCATTAGACTTGCGGACCCTAACGTCACAACTCCGGCCCTGAAGGTATTTCTGCGTCAAATTTAGCAGGTGTCTTTTTTTGATAGGTTTCCAATTACCCGCGGGAGCTTAATCACGGCAACTCTTGCTTCAGTTCCTTGCCATTTTCTGAGAGCTTATGTAATTAACGAAATGTTCTGTCGTATAGTACTCTTCATATGGCATACTCACCATGGATCTGGGCTAGCCGGGTTGAGGGTTAGTGTCCGAGGTTAACTCAAAAAGCAGGGGACTGGTGGGGATGATGGTCACCTGCTAGTGAGTCGGAATCAATCTTGACTCCGAATAGAGAACTTCAAGAGTGGTATCAATACTAGGTCGAAATGACGCTTGCTGAAATTAGTCGCTCGGGTCTTAAAGATCGTTTTGAATGGATTTGATTGTTTCCCACTCTGGCAGTAACTGTCTTTCAGATTGATACCATAGGTTTCTGTTCGGGCTCCTAACAATTCCGCGTTTGCATGTCTCGCAATTAACTTCACCATGGTCTGTTCATCCTGTATTTCGTCTATACTAGGTGTTTTTGAGACTATGATCATTTTGTTGACGCCTCGGAGTCCGATGGCTAAGGCTTCAGATCGATCACCACTTGTATAACGACCACCGGCACCCTTCAGTCGATTTCCCGTCCTTTGCATCACCCAACCAAAGTCGTTCTTCACCCCTCAGAAACTCCGGTGGTTTACATGGAGTTGAAAAGTAAACCACTGGAGTTGGACCTGCGAGAAACATTGAACTTGATCAAATTTTCAATATCGCATGTCCTCCGTCAGAGCAATCAAAGGTGACGCGTGGGCTGTCTGAAGATATAGGTGTAAGATACATATGAGTGTGGTAACCGTTCTGCTAGTGGCCATCTGGACGTTGACCTCTTCAGCGTAAATATTCTCAAAACTTTACTAAGAAGGCCCTTCAATCGTAAAAATGGTGACTTTCGCCCCTTTTCTGCCAATAAGACACATTGTTAGTCTTTGAAGCGGGATTACTTACCCTGGCATGGCGGTCGACCGACCTACGTATCCGAAGCCATACTTCCAATTCCCAAAAAAAAAAAAAAAAAAAAAAAAAAAAAAAAAAAAAAAAACTCAGAGTTGCCACGTTGGAAGCAGTTAAAAGGAGTCATGACGCAGTGCTGCAATGCCACTTACTGGCACCACCGTCCAGGCTTCTCCTCATAAGGCACTTGTTTCGGCTAGAAGCAATGAATTTCCCAGGAGGCTTTGAGAGTGCAAGACGTCTCGCTTGCATTCAATGCCAGCAGCCAGATCACTAACCGCTTTCCCCTTCTTGCTCTTCCAACTAAGCACTAGTCACGAAGGTTCATGCACACTCAAGTAACGATATTGTCAGGTAAATTCGATCAAAATATCATCCGTCAATAGCAGGAATCATCCAAGCTTAGAGGATGAAAGGAGTGTGCATCGAGCCATTGGGTTTAAACGAGCTAGCTACCGATGAATACTAGTAAAATCCATCCAAGGAGGAGAGTCCCAGGGTAAGCAAAGGAAAGACTCACGCGTAAAAAATGGCGTATACGTAAATTAGGTATCTACCATGTCACTTGGCTAATCTCCTGGCGCTTGGTTTTTCGCTGGAGAGTGAGGACGCCTCATTTAGGCGTTTGATAAACATGTCCATTACTGAGGAACCACGCACATCAGGGATTCTTGTCAACCAACTAACTAATTCAAGCGGACGCGAAACCCAGGCAATTGCTTGTGCATTTAGCTTTCAGAAGACAGGAGCTCTTCACATGATACGTTGCAGATCGTTCAAGGTAGAACCGCTTCACTCATTCCATCTATGCCTTGTTTAACCAAGTCTTGACTTTTCTTTTATCTGGCCTAACTCGTCAGACCGCTGATGGCAACACGTCTCAAGTACAAACAGTATACCGAGGAAAGGGACTGAAATGGGAAACCCTAAACGCCACAGCTGGCTTCTTCGTAGGCACATGAGCCTCTCTAAACAGAAAAGATATTCTCCACGCCGCTCCACGTCCCCTTGGACCTCTCCTCCCAGTACGATTCCTTGCCGGTCCTCAGCTTCCACACTTCTTCGCCCTCTGGGCCTTGTCCGACCTTGACAAACCACTTGGGTCTGTATTCCTCGCCATTCTCCTCCAGCACGCGACGTCGGGCCCGCTGTGCCTCCTCGAGGTTGACCTTCCACTCTTCAGCTTGGTCCAAATCGCCCTGCTCCGCCAGCCGCTGGTCGGGTCTGAGTCTGCTATCCGTGGGAGGTAGTCTACCCTTTTCGATTTCCGTCATTTCGTTCAGGGATGCCGCAAATGTGGTCATGCCGTACGTGTTCGCGGCGTTATCGACAAGCTTGCCAACGTGCCAGATTTCGTGACCAGCTGCCTTCCCAGCTTCAACAACCCGAAGGCCGCTGGTCCACGTTCCGGAGAGGCTGCTTCCCGTATGGACGCCATCTGGCCCATACGTTTCTACCTGAACGTCTTCACCTCGCCCACCAAACATTCCCTTACTCCTGAACTCGATTGAGGCCTTGTGTCCCGTCGAGTCGTTGCAGACTTGCATCACTCCAACAGGCTCAACGTATTTCTCACCCATCACCACGTTGCGCAAGAACATGGTAGCGTGTGTCCATGAGTACAGTTCGTCAGATCCATCGGGGAGACGGAGAGCGATGCGGACACGACCTTCTGTTGTAATCTCGGCACTCTTACCCCAGAACTTTTGCGAGGGGGCTGGTGATTGACTGAAAGACCAGTTGGCTGAATCAGCCTGCATGGCAAGCCTGACCGGGCGGTGACAAACCTTCTCGACAAGAAGACGGAACCCTCCTGGAACTTCCTGCTCTGTCCGGAGCAATTCATAGGTCTCACCGAGTAAGGGGTTAAAAGGCTTGCGAATGGCACGCTCCTTTGCTCTTCCAGTGCTGAATTGTGATACAGCGAACGCTGTGACATAGAGGAGACGCTCCTTCGGTTCTTTCTGTCCAACTGCCTGATCGAGAAGCTGGGCGTATTCCAACTGTTCGGCTACGCGCTGCAGTAGGGAAATCGGTTCATTTGCGGAAACAGGCATACTGATGGTGCTAAGATCCTTGCCTACATTTTTCCGCACGAACGCAATCAAACTGGGAGGTTGAACCAGAGCCGGTGGTATCTTGGTTCGTCTGGTCACAGAAATATCCACAGGCAATGGCGACAAACTCTTGGGCTTGGCCGGATAGCAGCTGGTCTCATCCTCACCAATGCCCGCATCCTCTTCGGGCGCCGAAGAGATGGATGATGAATCAGTGAGGTTACCCTCGTCTGGTTCAGAGTCTGGGCTTTCATCCTCACTTTGGGTGATTTTGACAATTTGCGAATTTGTTTCACCAGCCTCAGCATCGAAGAACTCATCTGTCGATGCGGTTTCCATACTTCTCCGGGAGGGCGCGGCTGATAGAGGAGCGGGGGTCCGTCGCCGCTTGCTGTTGGCGATGAGTGTGGTAAACTCCGACACGACAGAGTCCAGGTCGTTGAGAAGCGCGGCACAGTGCTCTTGCGTGCTCTTCTCCTCGTGGATAGAGGCCTTGGATTTTGTTCTTGCGTGTTGGCGGGGGCCATTGGAGCTGATAGTAGTCGTGATGCCACCTGGTGCGGGAACAGCGAGGGCATTCGCACCGGATGATTGATTCAGTTGAGGAGTGGTGGCTGTAGGGGTGGCGGCGCTTGATTTGCGCCTCCAGAATGGCCGCCTCTGGGTCTGCTGCTCGGCTGCAGCAGGAGTTGGGAAGTAGTTATCGGGCTCTTCGCCTATGGAGCTGCCGGGAGACAGGAAGGTTGAGGCAGCCATGCTTACAGGTCTCTGGTTCGACATATCCTTGACCAAGCGACGTAATGCGTCTCTGGTTCCAACGATTCGACTAACCAGAGTCTCAACCTGCTGCCATTCGCGCTCATCCTCCAAGTTGTACGCAGTCGGCTTCAGATGGGTGGTGTTCACTCGTAGGGGGGCCGTCCTAGTGTTGTTTGGTTGTTCCTCACCGGCCTCAAATCCTCTCGCTGCCCGGCTGGCTTTCTCAAGAGCTCGGGCCCAGTCGTTGAAGTCCTTGGCGTTCGAGGCGCGCAGATGCCAGATCTCAGCGCCAGAGTCGATGTTAATTTCTCTGCGGCGCTCATCGGCTGCGATTGCCGCAAGACTGAGGGGGATAGCACCGCGGAGTGCTGATGAGTTACGGTTGTAATAGTACGAGAGCGTACAAGACGAGTAGTCGAGGGAGAAGAACCTGCGCGCGTATCCCTGACCCTTCTTCCTCCTTCTCTTGTGAAGGATACCAGTATGATAGTTGGCGTTGCCGTCACTACGGCCTGAAGCAGAAGTCGGGCGAACCCCACCCATATGGCTGTGGAGACTGTCTTGCGAGGCGGAGGTAACAGCGCTCACCTGGGGTAGACTCGTTCGGCTGGCAGTCGCATTCGAGCCGGCCTGCAGGTTCGGGAAAGCGTGGGCGGTGGTCTGCGGTGGTGCGCCGGTTGGGTAGGTCAGCAGCACGAATGTGGCTGTCTTGGAAATCTGCTTGGAAAAAGTATTGTCAAAAACCAAGCCGAACATTCCGCCTTGGCCCTTGGGCACATCCCAGGTACCAGTTGACACCTTATCGGCATCGCATTTTCCGTGCCATTTCACCGGTATGAATCCCTTGTTGGCGAGCTGCTCTTGGGCAGTGCTCGTATCCCGCTTGCCGAATCTGCCCTTCGGTTCGGCCACGCCAGAGGTAAGTGCGCCGGCGGTAGCGGCATCGTCGGTCTGGTTTGAAATAAGGCCAGTTGCGCCGGTGCCAGGGTGCTTGACGATACCAAAGTTTCTGCCGAGGCGAGCGGTTAGCACATGTCGAGTTGAGACGGCAAAGTTGTGCGACAAGAGGGGGAGAAGGAGGGGAAGACAAATACGCACATGGACTTCTTGTGTGGTTGGACGCTCCAAGAAATGGTATGACCTTCGTCGACTTTGACCCAGCGCACAATGTAGGACTATTCCCAGAAAATAAATGTTAGCATGATGACGTCTCATCGGTGTTAAAATGGAGGTTGGGCGGAAGGGAGAGAGGGTCAGGCTATAACGGCTCACGTACCTTGCTATGAATCTCCAACTGCTCAATGCCCGCCATCTTTGCGGGATGAGGCCGGAGCTGGAGCTGAAGCTGGAACTGGATCTAAGATTCAGGGACGGACTGAAGGTGCAGTATTTGGTCCGAGTGAATATGGTGGAGGTCCCAAAAACTATTGAAGGGACATGCTGTGGAGGGTGGAGAGTATAGATATGGGGTTCAATTGCTGAGGGAGGGAGTAGAGGTCGAAGGTAGCGGAGAAAGACGAGCAGACGGGTTGGGGATGTGACACCCTTGTCTGGAGCTTGCACCAGTACCAACAAGGCGGCGTCGGTCAGGTACGCGGACTTGTGCGTGGGAGGTCTTTTTCTGGACACCTCACCTCACTCAGCCCAGCCACAGTACAGGCGCACCCTGGGCAGTTGGTTGGGGGCAGAACGTCATTCGGTTCAGGTCCTCAGCAGGTGACTGGCTGTCATTTGGCGAAAATAAGCGGAGAGGAGGGGGGGGGGGAGTGCGACAAAACGGCAAACGGGCTGTGCGAGTGCGGTAAGCCGCGGGAGGGCGCGGGCAGGGTAGCAGCCAGTGGTTGCGGTGGCAGGTGCCCGGTGAGGTGGATGCGACTGGTGTGTGGCTGGTTAGCTGGGCAAGTGTTTGGCGCTAACAGGTGCAGCGGGACCCAGTGTGTTTGCCCTGTAGTGGGTTTTCTATCCCGCTGACAGATGGGACTTTCGGTTGTGGTCAGGTCGGATTGCCTTTTAGGCAGTCATTTCAGGGCATCTCTGGGCACTTCAAGGCAGACCAGACCCCTGGGAGATACCCCTGAGATAGGCAATGACACTGTGGAACCCTGAACACGCTGGAGGCCTGAATCTCAACCTCCTCCCCTCCCGATCGTGTGTGACGTTTGCGCTACGCAGTATCCGATCGCCCGCCATGTCAAGCTGCTGACGGACGCAGGCGCAGGCGCGATATCCGCGTACTCGCGTCCGCTGGGAACCTGGTTTCATTTTGATCACGCGTGTGCCGACATCCCGTTTGAACCGACCGGGATACAAAGCCCCGTCCACGGCGCCGAGAATACTCTTGTTCGTGGCCGGCCGGGATTAACACATTGAAAGATAAACTATTCATCACTATCAACATCGATCAAGGATTCTTTGGGCTTTCGATTCAAGGCCATCTGAATGGATTAGTAGTCATTTCCATGTCCATTCGTCATAAGGATCTATCTCGTCAAGGTTTGCTGCGAATTAGTGTTGGCAGGGCTCGGTGGACAAAGCGTTGAAACAGATGCAGACGGGCCCGAGGCCATGAGAGCAGAAGCGATATGCTATAAACATCGGGATTGGCGGATGTACATTTCCTGTTTTCTTCATGGGCAAAGACCGAGAGAGCCGCTTCACGTCCAACTAGAGACGCCCCTGACCCAGCCTGGCCTACTCGGGGACGCCGGAGTTTTCTGCTTGTATGATAAATCAATACATGGTGGGATTATCGTAGCGGATCAAAACCGTATAGTTTAGCTTGATGATAAACGGATCCTGGCGGTAGGTCAAGGCAATGATGAGGTCAGACGGTGTCTTATGTCATTCCGCCTTATAGTCTGCTAGTTGTGTGTTTGGCCGTGTCACACAAGGGTAGTTGCGGCAACTGAAACGATGACTTAGCCCGGCAGACAATACCGTTAGACTGGAAACACGAAGAAACAATCGAGCATGGTTGGTTGAACGTCAACTGAGTGGCATCTCAAAACAGTGACAGCGCTAGGGGGGGTGGGTAAATAAAAGAAGAAATAAAAAGCAATTCATGCGAGGTGGGAAAAAAAAAAAAAACACCAAGCCCGTCAGATTTGGTGGAGTGAAATTCATCACAACAGTATCCTTGTCTCCAGCAGTTCTCGGCAGTACCCGCAGCACCAGCGGATAAATGTCGGGCCTCTACCCTTGTGGGGATAACGCTCCAACCACCCGACCACCCACAAGGTTATGGGCTCAGGGCAGGGGCCACCTGATATCCAATTGGTTGGAAGGCTAAAGTGGAGACCTCATCGAATCCACTTCCACGCGTTCCTTCCATGATGCCAGTTCAGTCCAAATTTAGGGGCCATCTACTCCGTCCTACGGATATCTTCACAAAGTTGCGCTTGGAGAGGGGTTTTTATTTATTTTTATTTATTTTATCGATTGTTTTTGACACCCACAGACGGACCCCTTTGTTCATGACCCTCCATCGCTTGCGCCTCTACTTACTAGTAAATCCCCCAGTCCAGTCCCAAGGCCATGACCACTATCCTTTTTCGGCTACAGAGCCGGTCCCACTTTTGATTTTCCCCTCTTCACAATCGCAGCAGTCACATTGGGAGCTGCACTGTTTATTGTTTGTCTGTCTGTCTTTCCCCTTCCCAGGGCCCTCTCTCCAATCGATCGTCCCCTTTCTGCCTGAGTCGCGCACTATTACCACCCGCCCACCACTGCCCAAACCCACCAAAATACATACCTGGCAACCCGCTGTGGAGTGTCAGTCCGTCTTCATTACGGATACTACTGCTGAGGCATTCTTTTGTTCGCTGCATTCCTGCCGAGTCCCAGTTGTCAAATATTCGGAAGAGCGAGAGAGCAGCTGTTAAAAACATCCTCTGCCTCCTGCCCCCTTTTTGCTTTACCGGTCACTCGAGCGTCATATTGATCCGCCGCCATCCATCTCAGTCTCGTTGATCAATCTCGGTCTCAGCCACGGCTCGTCTTGTCTGGAAACCGACATCGCATCTCTCAGCCTTTCCGACGCATGACGGAGGCCATGTTTGTCGTCGTGCTTCCCTTTCCTCCTTCGACATCGGGCTCCCTCTTCTTCAGTGCTTTTTTCATGGTGCACCCTGTTTCTTAAAACCCGCTTCCTAATCCCGTCTTCCGGCCCAGTTATCGGAGTCTGTTCTTGGCCCGGTCGAGAACCCCTCAATCCTCCTCCAAATCTCAAGGAACCGCGCCTTTGCTCGATCCAGTCCTGTGTCCCACGACCACGAACCGCACCGAATCACCGCCTACCACCACTGTCCTCAACTTCGGCCGCTGCACATCGTTGTCAAGTATGACGGGTGTCCTCAGCAAGCGCCAGCAGGCGCGCAACGAAAAAGTCCTGCACGACCTGGTCCAGACTGTTCCAGGAAACAACTTCTGCGCCGACTGTCAAGCACGGAACCCAGGTATGTGCAACGGTGCCCTCCCGCTCAGACCCGTTCGTCGATATTGACAGTAGTTCGCAGCATGGGCCTCTTGGAGTGTAAGCACTATGAACCCTTTCCGCAACCTATCGATACGACCCCGAATTGAGTAGTGGCTTTGCTGGATATAATGAGAGAGTACTGACGGAAGCGCAGCTGGGTGTGTTCCTTTGCATGAGATGCGCCGCTATCCATCGAAAGTTGGGTACGCACATCTCCAAGGTGAAATCCTTGAGCATGGACAGCTGGTCTAACGAGCAAGTCGAGGTCAGTTGAATTATGCCTGCAGTCCTGTCACTGTCGCCCTCTAACACATGTCCATAGAACATGAAAAAAGTCGGCAACGTCAGATCCAACCAGATCTACAACCCAGACAATAAGAAACCACCTGTTCCAGTCGACGCTGACGAGGCCGATTCCGCGATGGAACGTTTCATTCGCTCCAAGTATATGAATAACAATCCTGCCCCTGCGAGAAAACACCACTCGGGTCTCTCAGACGAGGGCATTCCACCTCCTTTGCCGCCAAAGGCAGGAGGCAAGTTTGGGTTTAGGTCTGCCTCGTCCATCTTTCCCCTGTCCTCGCGTTCGAAGAAGGATACTGCGATGCGCCACGTCTCGAACCCCAGAGACATGCCCCGAAGCCCTTCGCCAAGTGAATTGCCGAACAAACCGTCCAAGGTATTTGGCGCCAGCGTCCAATACGAGCAAGAAGACACGGAGAGAAAACTGGCCAATTTGAGGGACATGGGATTTTCCGACACTCAGCGTAATGCCGCGGTTCTGAAAGGTGTCAACGGGAACTTGGAGCGGGCCATTGAGACCTTGGTACGGCTGGGCGAGACCGACAGGAGGTCGCCATCTTTGACAGGCCCTCGCGAGAGTTCTTTGCGCGCAACTCGCTCTCATGCGAACCTTTCGTCATCCGTTGGCTTATCTGCACCACAGCCCACCTTCAGTGATCACCCACAGTCGCCCTCGACAGCTTCGAGTAACAACCCGTTCGATTTGTTGTCTGCTCAACCACAGTCTTCACAGTCAACCGGGACCTTGCAGAACAAGAACCCCTACGCAAACAACCCCTTTGGTGTGCCAGGCCAGTCGCAGGCGACGCAGGACTTTAACCAAGCCTTTAGCAACATGTCCTTGGCGCCCGCCCAACCCCTTTTCCCTCACCATACGGGCGGCCTTCCATCATCCCATCCGTTTGCACAACCACAGCAGCAATCGTATCAGCAGCCTATGGTACCGGCATCACAAGCGCAGCAAGGTTATAACCCCATCAACTTTAATAGTAATATGACGTATCCTCAACCCCAGCCTATCCTGCCGCAAGCAACAGGTTACAACCCGTTCTTCGCCAATCAGACGCAGCTCATTCCGCAGCTGCAGCAGAACTTGGGGGTGAACACGAACCCAATGTCCGGCGCATTCGCTAACAACCCGTTTGCGCGCTCGCCGACGAGAATCCAGTCACCTTCGCTAGGCCAAATCCCCGAGCAGGCGCAGTCAAACTTTTATACCACCTCGCCGCAGCCTCTGTCGCCACAAAATACCAATCCGTTCTTCGCACAGATGAACTCACAGCCTCCAGCACAGCAACAAGTGTCTGCGCCGCTCCAACAGTCGTTCCAGCAGCCTCTTCAGCAGTCTCCCTTCCCACACCAGGAGGTGCCACAGCAGCAGCAGCAGCAGCAGCAGCAGCAACCACAGCAACAGCAACAGTGGCCTCAGCAGCATGATTTCTCGCAACAAATGCAGGCACCTGTACAGCAGCCCATGTATCAGCAGCCTCAGCAGCCCCAGCGGCCGGATAAGGCTTCGATTCTGGCGTTGTACAATTACCCGCAACTGGCCCCTCAACCGTTCGCAACCCAAGGACAGGCGCAGGACCCTGTGCAAGCAGAGAACCAAGTATCTCAACAGCCGGGCCAAGAAGTTAACGGTCAGGTGCCAGCTGCTGGGACGAAGAATCCTTTCTTGCCAAACGGACCGACATCACCCGCAGCGGGCCAGGGAGGGACCGGTCCGCGACGGGCTGGGGTAAGTCGAGAAAGCATGGCATTCACAGACATGCAGTGGACAAATGGCCGGCACAGTCCTGATGCGTTTGCAAGTCTAAGCGCGAGGCACATGTAGCGTGTGGTGTCATGCAGGTGGATTCTTCTTGTACATAACCACTTTTTTGTTTTGTAAAATACCGTCTCTTTGGGACGCTGGAGGCCCGACCCGCATGCTCTGATTGTCGGGGCTCACATGATTTTCCCGCGTCTACACCCATGCGTCTGTCTTGACGTGCCTTCCTACCTGTAGCTGATACCGTGACATACAACTTTTGCAGAGAGCCCGATGCCTCACTTCACAAAGTCAGACTGTTTACACACAAGACCGCGGGGAAACAGTCCCCGCACATGCGGGCCCCCGACATCGTACCGAAGTCGGAAGCCCCGGCCGAACCAGGTCACACTAGACCCGGATCGGATCGGTGCCTGAAATGCCACCCCCCACATACATGTAGCCGACGAATACGACTGTCCCGCGGTATGTCCGTAGACCCTATTCAAATCCCGGGATTGAGCGTCCCAGACCCCGACTTCAAGACTCACAATACCACCTAACTCTGTACTTCTCCCACACTATATTACCCAAAACACGGCACACCTTGCATCATCTTTGCCTTTACTCTCACCCGTCAGCACCTACATATAATGGCATCCCCCGAATTCCACGCCCGGCTCCGCGCCGCTCTTCCGGACGGAGACGAAGCGACAACCCTCCCCGCCGCATCGGCTCTTGCAAACGCCTCCGCGTCTCTTCCGCGGCCCTCGTCGGACAATTACCTCTCGCCGCTCGGCACTGAAGCGACGCTGTCGCATATCCTGGACGACATCGTCCCGGCGCTCAACGGTCAGGCTAGGAGCGGCCGGTACTACGGCTTCGTCACAGGCGGGACGCTCCCTGTGGCCGAGGCAGCGGACAACGTCGTCTCGGCGTTCGATCAGAATGTGCAGGTGCATCTGCCGTCGCAGACTGTCGCCACGGAACTGGAGAGCGTTGCGTTGAGGATGCTGGCGGATCTCCTTGGGTTGGAGACTGGGAAGGGCGAGGCGGAGGTCTGGAAAGGCCGGACGTTTACGACGGGCGCGACGGCGAGTAACGTCCTGGGCCTGGCGTGTGGCCGGGAGGCCGTCGTGGAGAGGAGAGGCGGGAGAGTGGGTGAGCACGGCATCCTGGGGGCGTGTGCTGCGGCTGGTATTAGGGAGATCCAGGTTCTTACGAGCATGGGTCACAGTTCGTTGTCCAAGGCGGCGAGCGTTGTCGGTTTGGGGAGGGCGAGTGTCAAGGAGCTCAGAACCAGCGCTGATGAGCCGTGGAGATTGGATTTGGAGGCTGTTGAGAGGGAATTGGCGAGGGAGGGCGTGGCGAGTATTATTGCTGTTAGTGCGGGCGAGGTGAACACTGGGAGGTTCGCGATGGGTGGCTTGGAGGAGATGAGGAAGTTGAGGGAGCTCGCTGATCGATTCGGAGCATGGGTCCATGTTGACGGCGGTAAGTTGTTGAAGCGTCTGTCTACTGGGATTGTTCGGGGATCCTGACTTGGTCATACAGCGTTTGGAATCTTCGCGCGGGTTTTAGATTCTACCCCTGAATTCGAGAAAGTCAGAGCCATGGCTTCTGGACTGGAGCTCGCAGACAGCATCACGGTGGACGGGCACAAGCTATTGAACGTGGTGGGTGCTACCCGGGATGACATCCCACGTCTCCTTAGACTTACGTGCTAACCATTGTGTACTAGCCTTACGACTGCGGCATGTTCTTCACTCGCTCTCTAGAAACTCTGACTTCCGTCTTCACCAACCCCAACGCCGCATATCTCTCCTCGGGCCCCTCCTCGATCCCGAGCCCCCTGAACATTGGGCTTGAAAACTCACGCCGCTTCCGTGCTCTGCCTGCATACGCCGTTCTGCGCTCCGAAGGACGCTCCGGTCTTGCCGCCATCCTCGGCAACATGGTTCTACTTGCTCGCAACATTGCGCTGTGGATTCGGGAGTCGGATTCGTATGAGCTTCTTCCCGAAGGTGATTGGAGTTTGGAGGAGACTCATATGATTGTCTTGTTTCGTGCAAAGGATGACAAGCTTAATGAAGAGCTTGTGGGAAGGATCAACGACACTAGGCGTATGTATGTAAGTGGTACGAGCTGGAAGGGACAAAAAGCTGTGCGGGTTGCGGTAGGAAGCTGGAGAGTTGATATTGAGAAAGACTTCGAGGTTCTCACGAAAGTTCTGGAGGAGGTGAAGGCGTAATTATAGACGATTCGCAGCTTTACTGAAAGATCTCAATGAAAGTGAGAGCACCTCCGAATGAGAAAAGGTTAGGTTCGTTTTCCCAGATGTGGCTCCCAGTAGGAAGGGTCCCCTTGAGGTCGTTCTTTCCTCGTCGGGCACCCACACCCTGGAGCTCCTTCCCCAAGGAAACCAACACCACAACACGTTCCTTCCAAACACAGAACTAAGAACGAACAAAAAACAATCCAACCTACTTCTCATTCCAATCTTCTTGAAATTGTCACCGGCAACAGGGGCGTCCCGTAGGCGTAACGGGATCTGGTCAAACTGTTGTGTGCGGTACACGCCAAGGTCCTACGTTCGATTCGCCCTCAATACCGAAATGAAAAAAGGAACCGAGTCCGAGAAGCCCCAGCACGCGCACCAAGAGATGTAGATCCCATTCCAACACTGAGGGATCGAACTCTTTTGACCCTTGTTCCACAATACATATCATTTCTCTTATACTTTATACTGGCCAGTATTCTTACTTCATGAGGTTTACCTAGAAACATTGCATTTGTACAACGTTTATATTAGTATTGGCCTCCACTGTGTGCACTCGTTCACCCAGCTCTTAAGAGCCATGTACTAGACGTTAGCTATTCTGGGCATATCAGACCCGAGGATCAAGGGAAAAGGGCTGCTTTATACCTCCACGGATAGCCTTTGAGGCATAACGAGCGATCTATAATACATACGGCGATCTATAATTGATTTACTTCCTAGGACTATAATCTATAGATCCAGTATCGACTCGAGCGGCACTCCCCAGTACCAGCTAGCCACACCCATTGCGCCAAGGCTCATCGTGAAAGCCATAAGAAAGTTTACATCATTATTGTCCAGCAGATCCCACCCAGTCTCAATAACACGAGAAGGCTGCGCATCACCAAAGCTAGACTTGCGATGCTTGTCTCCGGGGTCGTACCTCTTGACTCCAGCTTTACCGTCAGAGGCATCACCATCGTCTACAGCGCTGCTATCAACCTGCGCAACAGCGTGTTTTCCCTCTCCATGAAGTGCAGCGGCCTTGATAGCGGCGCGCTTCTGGTTCTTATCGGCATGATCAGCTGAGTCGGTAGAGACCAGGACCTTGGTTCCACCCTCGCCCTCGACGATCTTGCCGGATCTTACATCTCGGACAGAGCGCTGGAAGACAGCCCCCAACACACTGTCCAAAAGGCTCCCAAGGACACCCCACAGAGTCATTCCTAACATAAAAGTCGATCGCTGCTGAGTCGTCCAAGCACCAAGCCCGCCTCCTACCTTACCGGCCGTTGTATCGCCGCAAAATGGGAGAAACACCATCGATGCCGTGACAATGATCATCGATCCAAGCGCTCCAGCAGCAATACCTAGTGGGGTTACACCTCCGTTTGTGCCCCGTGGAACCTTGCGGAAGGTGGGTGATGTGATGAGACGAGGCTCACCCTTAGCAAGTATTCCCAACTCGGAACTGAACGTATCGGCGGCGACGGCGGCGTAGTTGGCGATAATACCAATGACGAGGAGGTCACCTCCCCAAGAGTAACAAAGGGTGCCGGAGGGGTTCGGGGTTGTGGTGTCGACAATCGCCTCTTTTCGCTTGTTCAACTGGTAGGCGTGGAGAAGGGACAGGCAAGAGGCCATTAGCGAGTTCGCGAAGACTGCACCATACAGTGGTTAATGAAAGAACCTCCAGAACTATTTTTCGTAAAGCGACTCAACTAACCTTGAACGTGAGTTCGAGCACCTTCACCTCCTGGCGTGCCCTGGGAGGCAACCGTCAAAGTGGCCTTGACATCCTTCTTGACCTAAAGAGAATAAGAAAAAGGTTTTCTTGATGGGACAACCTCCCTACCTTCGTAGCTCTTGTTCCAGCGAGAAAGAATACGCAAAGCAGCGCGAAAGGAAGGTTCCACGGGTGGTAAGCATGGGCTATAGCAGTGATGACAGCAGCGACAATGCCTGCTGGGGTAAGGGACTGGTGCGACCAGGCTCGGTAGACGAGGGCCAAAGTCGCCGGAACGGCGTAGATTGCTTTCATCGTAGCGTTTCTCGGCAATCACGGTGTTTGTGGACAGTTGAGTGTCCTTGGGGAGTCGAGATTGAATAAGAGATCAACGTTCCAATCCTGTCAGGCGGGACGGGCAGGTGCCTCGAACGAGTGCAAGCTCCACGTGACGTCAGTCCCTGAAGCTCCAAAATGTGGGAGTGAGCTTCGAACCCCCACACCCACCCCAAATCCCATTTCAGATAGCGTCCGTGCACCTTCCCAGCTCTTCTCCAGACGATCATTTAAACCACCGAAAGACTCGTTTAGAACATATTCGCTTTTCTACTTGCTACGGTTTTTGGGACTGAGGCCAATTTGTAGCTCTTGATACAGACCATCTTCAGCCAATGAAACTCAAGTTTCTGCCAATATGTTGGTAGGTACAATCAGAGGAATAGGTTTAGACACTTGCTATTACCAGAAAAATATGTCCCTTTTGCGGTGCAATGGCACTATATAAACGTCTGGTTGATCAAAGATGCTGTTGAGAATTTTCATTCTTGGGCAGCTCTTTGACTGCTGCCGTCTACTATTCACTGTTTTTTCTTCTCTTTTTCAGAAAGACCAAAAAGATGCGTCTGCCTGCTAAAACAATGCCTCTAGCACCTGCTAAGCATGCTTGCCCTTCAGACCCTCAAGACGAGTCGCCCTTCTTCCGTCTTCCTCTGGAACTTCGTATCGACATCTACAAGATTGCATTTCCCCGGATTAATTCTCCACAGCTTGTCTACACGGCCGTAGATAACAAGCTTGCATTTCACGAAATTGGGGAGGTCCCTTCTTCAGATCATCATCTAAGCCGGATAGTATGCAATGGGGTGTTTGAAGATGATGGCATCGAAATCCAAGCCAAACGCAGGGCTTCACATGCAGACAACAAGCGAGTTCAAGCTCAGTATCTTCGTCGTTCAGAAGAACTACTTTACCCGCTCCCTCTCCTGTTAGCATGTCGCCGGATGTATGAGGATGTCGCACCTCACTGCGATCAGTCCCTTGCATTCCAAGATTTCCTAACCCTCGAATGCTTCTTTGCAACATTGTCGGGAGACAGCTCGATCGATGGTCTCTTAGACCGTCTGAACAAGGTCTCTCTGGACGTTAAGTTCAGCAACGCCAACGCCTTCAAGCCATCATCTAGGAAGAAGATTCTTGCTAGCTGGACCACAGCATGCAAGAAGCTCTCAGCATTGAAAAGCATACAGTGCTTTCATCTCAGACTTGAAGTCCCTCTTTCGCAACGAAATTCGGTGCCGGGAAACGTCCATGCTTCTATAATTGAGGGACTGAATCCTATCGCCGCATGTATCCCAGAAGTCAAGGTTGAACTGATGCTTACATCGGTGGTTCATCCCAGGTCTGAGCGGGTGTTGATCTACCAACCACAACCATCCAAAAACAAAAAGCTTGATCCCAATTTTGGGGTATCAGGTTGGGATACGAAAGTATCAAGTTTGAACTCAGTGGAACGACTTGATGAGGCGTGATTCTAAGGATTGATTTAAAGCGTGGCATTGCGACTTTGATGGATGCGATCAAGCTTAATAGGAGATAGTCCACTGAGCGTTGTTAGGTCAATGAGAAAGATTGTGTATGCGGTTAAACCATCCGTATTCGTTTATCCGTAATGTCGGTCCGACACAGGCTGATCCGACCCCGGAGTCGGCTCCTTTTTCCTAAGCGAGAATCAGAGAGCTAGCTTCATGATTCATTAAGACTGTCAGACTGGACACCACGTCTCACCAAACAACAGGCAATGGAGTTTGTGTGAGAAGGGTTATTTACAACGGGGGATATATCTCTTCTGTAATCGCCCTCGGAATTATCCGTCGGCTTGACAAAGTGAGAGATTAAATTGGATTTGCTGCCTGCTGCTCACATTCTCGCTCCAAAGCCTCAACGTTTTTTTTTTTTCCCTCTCACTTTCTAAGAGACGAAATGGCGGCAGACGTGAGGGAGGAGCACAAACCTGTAGTCAAGAACTACAAAGGTTTCGTCGCTGGAGTGTTTTCCGGTATAGCCAAACTCACAGGTTCGTAATATTGCCTTGGCTTTCAACGCTGAAGTGCCTCAATTGACTGACGCTGCGAAGTCGGCCACCCCTTCGACACGGTCAAGGTCCGCCTCCAGACCACAGATACCTCGCGCTTCAACGGTCCGCTCCAATGCGTGACCCAGACACTCCGCAATGAAGGTGTCGCGGGCCTCTATAAGGGCGCCACTCCGCCTCTCGTGGGTTGGATGTTCATGGACTCGGTCATGCTGGGCTCATTGACTGTCTATCGCCGCCTAGTTGCTGAGCGTCTCTTCAAGCTCCCCGGGCCCGAGAACTTGCCATCGTATGGCCACGGCATCGCTGGTATCATGGCTGGCAGCACAGTCAGTTTTATCGCGGCTCCCGTGGAGCACGTCAAGGCGCGCTTGCAGATCCAGTATGCCGCCAACAAGGCCGAGCGACTGTACAGCGGACCTGTTGACTGCCTGCGCAAAATCTACACTCACCACGGCGTTCGCGGCATCTATCATGGTCTCAGTGCGACGCTCCTTTTCAGAGGTTTCTTTTTCTGTTGGTGGGGCAGCTACGATGTCTTCTCGAGATGGATGAGAGAGAACACAAAGCTCAGCGCGCCGGCAGTAAACTTCTGGGCAGGTGGCCTGAGTGCGCAGGTATTCTGGCTTACGAGCTACCCATCAGACGTTGTCAAGCAGCGCATTATGACGGATCCGCTGGGTGGAGGTCTCAACGACGGCACGCCGAAGTTTCGGAGGTGGAAAGATGCCGCAGCTGCGGTGTATAGAGAGAGCGGATGGAAGGGTTACTGGCGCGGGTTCCTGCCGTGTTTCCTGAGGGCTTTCCCAGCAAACGCGATGGCTCTAGTGGCTTTCGAGGGCGTGATGCGCGCACTTCCATGAAAGAGCATCATGTACATGTACAAGTGGGGTGGGCTTTTAAATAAGGGAATAAGGTGGCTGGACACAACATAGACTGTAAAGGATACCCGGAATCACTTTTCACAGATACATCGATAAAAAGACAAGGTGGCAGATCAAAAAGCACACGAGGGTGCTGACTTTTGGTATTTCCCATTAACCTTGCCAAAACCTGTGCCATGCCGACCCAAGTAACCTAAACCTGTTCCATGCACGAAAACCGTTTACTCGTCATCATCCTCAGCCTCGTCGTTGACGACGTTGAAGAACTTGAGCTCGTAGACACCCTTGGAGGTGGAGACGACGCGAAGCCAGTCACGGAGCTGCTGCTTCTTGAGGAACTTCTTGGTACTGAGACGCCGAGACAGGTCAGTAATCTATTCAAAGAAAATGAGACTGATGAGAAAACTCACAGGTACTTGAGGTAGCGGCCAGAGAGCTCGTTGTGGGCGATGATCTCAATCTTGCCCTCACCCTGCTGGGAGATCTGGACGGTCTCGCCGAGGTTGCCGACGCGACCCTCAACCTTGATCTTGTCCTGGAGGAACTTCTCGAAGGCAGCGACGTCGAAGATCTTGTCGGAGGCGGGCTGAGAAGCGTTGATGATGAACTGTCGGGGTATTCGGTTAGCATCAATTAACACAATGTGCGAGGTTCATGGGAAGTATCTCACCTTCTTGGTGACCTTCTGGGCCTTGCCCTTGCCGGTGCGCTTGATCGCCTGTTGAAAAATGACCTTAGCCTACTGTTTCACGCCGCGGCCTTTTAAGGCTGGGCCAACAGCAAAGCGGTGTCATGTACATACTGCTTGAGGAGCCATTTTGGACGGATGTGAAAACGCAAAGAGGTGTTATCCTGCGTGTGTTGGTTGTGTGTGGTGAGGGAAGGGAGGTTGTCAATTGAGATCGCTGAGCCTGGTCTTCACGAACTTTTCGCAAGTGGATTTTCGTTGTGGGTTTAGGAAAATGCCCGCCAAAAAAAAGTTAGGGCAACGGATTATCAGTTTTCCCGTCTCAATTCTGACCTGGGTGAGGTTCGAACCGGCTCCACCACCAAGGTTTAGGGCATTGTCCTAATTTGGAAGGTAAGTGGGTCCCTTGCTCGTTCGAAGCTCTGAAGCTCATCTGTTCATGAGCGTTGTTCAAATGACCCTTCTCGGCCATACGGCCATGACGATATGCCCATTCCTGGCTTCACTTCTACTGCCCACATGTGTTACGGTCCGCCATGGTCCGCTCAACTTTATGTCCTCCAGGGCGTCTTCATCAGACTTACCTGGCATGCCTTGGTATAAATCACCGGGGTAATCCCATGGGAACGGTAGAGCCCCTATCATTGGTTCATACCATACGTGGCTCCGTCTCCTTCGCCTGTGCATGTCTGCAGTGAGCAGCCAGTAAGGTTTGGGTCGTTGAATACCCCTTAATGGCCTTTAATGAGCCAAATTACATTCCTTTTGACCCAACGTTGCGGCTCCTCGTGGCACGGCAAGCCTTCAGTCGTCCCCTGTTGGCGCGTCACCAGTTACTGAAATTAGGATTTAGATATTTCTAGTGTCAACTCGAGATATGAAGATTGGCCATGAGCAAGTTTGAAACAGCGTGCAAACCTCGTACCCAAGGCAACTGCAGAGTCGGCAGTTAATTTGACGTCAGTTACGCGTACAGGCATGCTGACTCATTGGATACGAAGGGCTCAGGATAATAATATCTTGGTTAGATGGTGCCGGCCGCGACTTCGGGCTTCAAGAGACAGAGCAACTCCTGAGCTGGTGAAACATCTCATGACTGACGTAGTCACCAATCGAGAGGGCACTTGGGGTACTAAAGCAATCATCTAGCAATCTCTGAGGGCAAGGTCGCTCGCTGGCGAAGGCACGTCCGGTCTAGAATAAGATCAAACACCATAAATTGCATTTCTTAGGACCTGGTTGAAAGTGGAATGCGTTTGGCAGTTTAAATACGACCAGTTTCCTGATATGCATCGTTTCTGCGTGCGAAGATTTATGGGGCTATGCTTTGCGTCCACGTCTTTTCCCTACTGCCTCCAACGACCGTCAGCAGTCTCTTAATATTCATGCGGCCGAATGCGACCAAGTAGATTTAGGAGTTTTCAGGGGCCGTGACTGAAACTGAAATCAAAATCTATCGGATAGGCCATTTCATTGCCAATGAAGCTAGGAAAAGACACCAGTCGTCGTCCGAGTAAGCCCATGCATGAGCCGGGATTAGCAGATCGCGATGAGATCAGTCGTGTTTTTATAGGTATATTTTTAGGTTATAAGTAATGACGCTTGTCAACGACCGGGATGGCATGGCGATGGGGAGCTTAAGTGATAGGCATCAGTGGTTGTCGCTCCTAGTCTGTCGGACGATGAGAATTTTGGCCTTTGAGGTGCCAACTTCTCATTGCTGTACTTAATAGAACACTGTAAGAAAAAATGATCGTCTATAGACAGAGTAAGCATACACGGCCTGTTACGCAGCGAAACAACTATGTAGAAGCGTCAGTCAGCCCGGACTCGTAAAGTGAGTCTGAGCTCTGACCAGTGATGAAACCCCGTCATGAGTAATAGCAAGTAGCGGCGGTCGTGTGATGCCGGTTTTTAAAATGCGCAATTGCGATGAAGGCTTGTCTGCGTCTCTGCCGTTGCTGGTGGTCATCATTGTGGGCTCCCTCTCTGTGGCATGTGGGAATCAAAAACCCAAATGGGCCATTAGGCTGTCGCGGATTGGGTCTCGACGAGTGAGGCGAGGTAATTTTTATCGAATTCGGGGCATATTGGGGAATGTCCCTGATCAACGACCATTGTCTCGGGAAAGGATTGGATGAGAAGCGGTTGAGCTTCCTGACCAATGCAGTGCTACCTCCTCCATGATGCACGTGATCCATCCCCTGGTTGATCCACGCATGATTGTGGTGTTCATGGCTCGTGCGTCCACCATCTACTCTTGCGGCCTGAGGCTGAATCAAATAGGGCTGAGGATGGTGGGTAAGGTACCTACGTACCCAAAGAGACCCTAACTTTGGACCCTCCCAAGACTATCGTCATAGCCAGCAATGCCCCTTTCCAGCGCGGACTGCTTGAATTGGCGTTCCCGGCGTAATTCCTACGAATTTAGGCACCCAGTCTCATGGCCAAATTGCCTTTCAGGGAGCCTATTTCCAAGCCAGGGTTTTGCGCCAATTGGAGCTCCGCATGCCGCATCATCCACTTTGACACAGATCGCTATTGATTCAACGTCAAGTGCTTCCAATCGGCAACCGGATTGCGACCTTCCAACGCTGTTACATTTACGAAGATTCAAACCTCGTCATGCCCATATTTGAATCCTTCCTGGGGCGAGCATCGGTCAACTGAGGGGTACTTGGCCGTCGACCGCCGAGCTGCACTAGTTTGATTTGATCGCCAGCAAGGATCCGGAATCTCTCCCACCACACCATCTTCAACCTGCCTGACCATCCTCCACTCAGGTATCGTATCAGACAATGCAGGCTCATTCATTTGTTTGTCGTAGATGCAAACACAAATCCGGATAGGTAGTCTCGCCTGCCCACATGCTTGGCTTGAATTAGCCATCCAAGGCGCCCTTTGATATGTTCCTCATCTTCAGTACGTGTTCGCCACCATTCAACCTGGCTATTTTCGAGGTCTTCTGGTCATAGTCGTTCATGTATGACAAGGTACTTTGCCTTATTCTGCTAATCGTAGTCCGCATGATCTTGGACAAGGTTGGCTCAGTGGCTCAATGGCGCATTAGCGGGTGATGGTGGATGGAAAGCTTCGAGGAATGCCGCAAGTAACACTATGATGGCCATTAGATGGATACCTCAAGGCCGCTACACTCCCGCCGCGAGACAGGGTTAACTGTGCCGCGACCCAGTTGTCTGGGAAGCGGTTGCTTGCAGGAGGGTGTTGCCAGCTCTCCGAGCCAAGCATCCCTGCGGATTCCCTGTGGCCAATGCAGTTTTTCGATCCGTCCTGTGATCAGGCACCTATTACGACGGCCGTTGTATGGAAAGACTTCACCCGTATTTCGAGCGGTCCGGAACCCACAGCTGGCTCCCTGGTCATTGATTGCATGCAGATCAGCAACTGCCTCATCAAGCATAACTGGATTGATAGTGCCTTGAAGTGTGCAACCCCACAAAGCCCCCCCCATACCTGTTGCGAGGCGGCTCCGTACGTACTTGGATTACAATGGCAAACTGTAACATTCCCTCAGGGAGCTCGCTAAGCCATCTCTCTTGTTCTGACATGCAACTTCGGGTTCTCCAAAGCCTCACATTGGTTTTGTATTGGTTCCCAAGCTCTACCGGAAGGGCTTTTTTTATTCTGCTGCCTCGTATCAAAAGAAGCAGTCGTATCTTCAAACACGGTGACTTCGCTGCGTCTTGTCTAATGGTGTGGACTTCACAACGGCACTTACATCCAGCTTCTCGTTCCTACAGTTGCAATGATGGCGTATACAAGGTAACTATTTCTGAGAAGTCACAATGTCCCTCAATGATAAAATATATAAATCGATTCTCCGGGACATCCTCAAGATTTTGTTTCCTAACACTATCAGCATTAATACTATACACACACATAATACCGCAGCGATGATGAGAATAGCGATTGCTGGTGCTGGAGGCTTCGCAGCCATCCTCACCCATCACATCTCTCAAACAGCAAACCCAATTGTTATTCTTTCAAGAGAGGTATGGCCCTTCAGATCCGGCGTATGGTCCTTGACTAAGATCTTCATCAGTCGAATCCGGACTTTGAACAACGCTTTGATTGTCAGGTTGCTGTCGTCAATTATGATGATGAGGAGAGCTTGAAGTTTGCACTTCAAGGTATTGACCTCGTCATTTCAACAGTCCGAGGCCCCGAACAGATCAGCCTTATCAAGGCCTCTCGTCACGCTCGCGTGCGTCTCTTCGTTCCTGCCGAGTTCGAAGGTTGCCTTTCCCACCGGCCATCAACATCAAACCATCCCCTAGACTATGGTTCACGCGAAGCTATCGAGCTGTTGAAGCACTACTCAAATTCCAAGTCTCGGAAGATGGACTACACAGTCTTCTCTTGCGGGATACTGTACGAGCGCTTTGCTCCTGGCGGCCTTGGAGAATATGGTATGGGATCTCGTGAACATATACAAGACCAGGGCAGCTATCTAGTCGACGTCGGAAACGGCACTGCAGATATTGTTGAGACGAACTCATCCGGGCGGCCAGTTCAGGTCTCCATGACCTCTGTCAACGATGTCGCCCGCTTCGTTGCGGCCGCCATAGAATTAGGCCCGGGCACCTGGCCCCGGGAATTCAAGATGCGTGGAGACAGGATGTCTGTTCGAGACATATTTGCTAAGTGTAGTAATGTTCGAGGAGGTCAGTTCCGGAAATTTTTACTTCCACTCAAACTCATACATCTTCGCCTAGAAGTAACTACTAACTTGAATCTTGCCAGTCGCCTTTTCTCTTCGGACTCGCAAGTACTCCAAGCTTCAGAACGAACTCTCTCACTATGAACAAAAACAGAACTGGAATCAGTGGTGGAACATACAGCGTCTCATTACCACCGCTGACGGCCGCTACGACTTCCGTCAAGCAAATCTTAATGAGGCTATCAACATACAACCTGTTAACTTTAGGACATGGCTCGAGTCCCAATGGGGCCCAGGTTGATTATATTCACGTGACCGCGATAGCTTCGAAGTGTGTATGAGCATGGCGGTTTCTATTTCAGTTCACTTTTTCTCCACTCCTTCGCTTGCATTTGACACCGCACTTACATCCTCCCCTTACTTGGCTACATCAGGATATCATCATGTCACAAGCGGCAGCAGGGGTATGTATGACGCAATCTATATAGCGTGGGTCATTTTTGGGCAGTCCATGGTCTCTCTTTCCTATATTAAGTTATCTTAGACTTCATCGTTTGTACTGGGTTGTGCCTGGAGCACCAGCTGAATCGCAAGACTCGGCGTTGCATTCTACTAAGTTCGCATTTTTAATTGAATACGCCTCGGCTGAGAAACTTCAAGATCCTTTATGTGTTCTTAATCATCCTACAAGATATTTTTCCCAAAAGAGGAGGCCTCTTGGAGGGGAGAGTCAAGATGCTTGAAACAGTTGCAGACAACTAGTAGAAGGAGTGTCCTGCAAGCTCCCAAATCCTCTGGAGTTCAGACAGCCAAACTCCAAACCTGCATCCCAGCCTTGAAACGAACGTCTAGGCTGCCGCGAACAGGCTTCTTTAAGGCTTCGATTACATATGTTAGTGCAATCTTGCTGATCCAGCTGGACCCAAGTCCCAGGAACCCATCCATCCCCCGTCACAAGCTGCGCCACACAAAGGCTTGCAGATGCTGACAGGTTCCGATATCTTGCCACCCCTGCCCCCCAACGTCGTGGGATGAACCTTTATTTGTCAATCACAGCATTTCAGCCGACATCGCCCTTGTGCTGGACCACCCTCGCACATTTACGGATTTCCTAAAGCGGTAGTTGAGCCAGCCTCACCACCACTAGCTACATGGGTAGGAGCAGCAACATCTACCCTTTTTCGTAAGTCATACAGACATCAGAATGCTAGTCGCCGGTAAATTTTAACGACAGACACTACATATTATACATTTACGACGTCATTTTGCTGGTTTCAAGTCTCCCTTAGCATGGTAAGCGGTGAGGATGTTATGACAAGTATTCGGCGCCTTTCGGCACTGCATGATACAGGCCAACCATACATTCATTTTGACATTTCTTCGTGTGTTCGGCCCGATGCAAGAGTCCAGGTGATTGCCGATGATCAAATTGCTGTTGCCTTGTCAAGTGGGTGTTCTTTGTAGCTAATGACAAGTCACCGTGTGACTAATTCGCTGTTGGGCTCTAGGAATGACGGATACTCGCGACGGAGAGAAATAGCGACGATGCACCTGCTGACAGTCATTAATCTACTTTTGATGTGTCGCCCCGAAACGTAGAAAGGTAACAAAGTGCTGGCGCGAAGGGAAAACCACCAATCCAGGCGGAGGTGAAATCTGACTCTTTGAAGAAGCAGAAACGTTTTTGCTCATGTATTAGGGTATCTCATTGCTAACCACCCATCCGTCGCCAAGGCAGTGTGGTCTCTAAGTTGTTTTGCCAAATAGCACTTTTTTTTCAGTGCTTCGTCCACCTTGCTCGTCTTCGTGCCCCTCAACCTTTTAGTAGTTGCCCCTCCTCAGCATGAGACGCTCGGCGTTAATTCCCATCTACCTTTGGTTCCTCTTAACCCAAAGAGCAACCTCCAGCGTACGTGCGAAGTTGTCCTCAAGCCAAAACAGCCAGTCTTAGCCGTACTTGCGGCTGCCACCCTTAAATCCCTTCTCCTCCTTCTTCGCCTTCTTGCCCTTGCCGATGAGTTCAAGGTGGCCAGCGCGCTCGCCAAGAAGCTTCTCCGTCTGCGTGACCAGGCCGGCCGCAAACTTCTTTTGCATCTTGTCTGCCGCCATGCCCTTCTTGGCCTTCTGAGGCTTCGCCACTCGCTGGGTATTCTTCTGCTTCTGTTGCTTCGGCTTGCCCGTCGGCGCAGGGCGGGCCGAAGACTTCAGACCTCCTTGGGCCATTTCGTTTGAATTATCTCTTTCGTAGGTTTGTGGGTAGGAAAGGTGGTCGTGCCTTTGGTTTCCTATGAGGGGCGTGTTCAAGAGACTGTCGCTTGTGGTGCTGGGCGGCGTTCGGCAATCGACCGGGCCGTAAGGTCGACTGATGGAATCAAGCAAGCGACTGCTCGATTTCTCCGCCTTTTACAGTCGTATCGCGAGCTAAGGGTTGTGTTGGCGCTCTTTAGACGGTTGAGCAAAGACGTCTAGACGTTCACTGTCGCTGGAAAGTTTGGAAGAAGGGCGCCGGCTGGGGGGGCGGCACATATCAGAGAAAATTTTAGTGGGGCTGAGCTTATCTTGGCCGCCGATAACCAACACTAACCCCACCTCTATGATCCATACGTACTCCAATCCCTGTACGAGCCTAGAATTCACAACTCATCCGTGATTCTATTTGGGATAATGTTTTTTTCTTGACAACATATTGCTCGAGAAGTTAGTTTCTTTAAAAAGTGATGATGTTTTTTTTAATGCTAGTGACTTGAAAATCCAACCAACCCTTGAGTTAACGATTTCCCCCTCAGAGCTGATTCACGCATCCACTAACTACTTTCGAGGTTTCTCCTGTGATTAATCATCACTTGAGAAACATCACTTGCTATTAGGTTGTACCTGTGCGGAAAGTTTTTAAGTTGCTGAAAATTTTATATTTGTGTCCATAATGAAGGCGAAGCCGTTTGGAACCTCCAGGTCATGTTACTCAAGAAATGCTCAGCATCAGCCTGGCCCACTGCGGCGACTCCTGCTACATGTGTTGTACCGGAGTATGGCTATCCTGAGTCCTTCCTCCGGTCCAATATAATATATCACGTGGAAGAGTAATGGGAAAGACATACCAGCCTTCTCTTGAAGCGTGGATTCCAATTGCAAAAACAAATTGCGTTGCTGCCAGTTTGGCTCCTTCAAACCCGTCGCCTGTCTAGACCATTGAGGTTATCCCCCAGTACCTACTTTCAGATATATTATACTGGTGTATTCTTTCCGTATTCTGTTCTTACCCTCGTAATCCAAACCCATCCCGGAACTTTGGACCCTGGGTCCCAAGATGGCCTCCACGATTAGAACAACACACTGCCAGCACTCTTTCAGTCATTAGCTCCACGACATCCATCTCGTTTGAATTCGTTACTTAGTAGAACAAATTCCGTACCCCTTGGGCATTCATTTCAACGCTTTCGGCTTAGGCTGTTGTGTTCATAGTCATGGCCGAATCTTTAACGCACGTCGCTTTCTTTGGCGTCACCGGGGGCGCAGTTTTCAACTGCCTAAAGCAAGCCCTTCTAGATGAAAGCATCCATTGCTACGTCCGTACGTTACAACATAGAGGCAGGTATGTGGATTATGACTGACGTTTCACTGGTATAGTTGTTCGAGACACAGACAAGTTGAAGAATTTGCTTCGCAATTCAATGGGAGACCCTCCGTACGCTTTCTCGCACCGGCTTTTAGTCGTTAAGGGCGACATCGTGGACATAGACGTTGTAGTCAGTACTTTGTTTCCAGCGCGACGGACCTGGGACCCCGTTGATGTCATTGTCTATGGTGTCAGCGGATTCAAACTTGACATCAACACTGAAGGAAACTCCATAACTGATGCCGAGATCTGTACGTATGGTGTCGATATTATCGAGGAAGCCACGCTCAAAGGATATGAATCATACCACTACGGTATTCCTTATCACTACCCTCGCTTTGTCGCCATCGGAACACTTGGGATTGGGGCAGCATTTAGGAACACCTCCAGCGCACAAATTGAAGCGCTCAAGCCAAGTTACGACTGGTTCATCGAATCGGGGGCATATGAAGACAAGATCTTGATGGAGGAAATTATATCTCATAGAGACTTCCAGGGCCTATTCAGAAACACTCTGATCGTGCGTCCTGGGTTTCTCACCAACAACGCACCATTTGGGCTCAACTCAATTCGCGTTGGTACTCGGAATATACCCCCTCTAGGATATACAATCAGCAGAGATAACCTCGGTTGTTGGCTGTACCAACATGGGATTTTAGGTAACATGACGGGAGTGATTCTTGTCACAGGTCCATGACAAGAGACTGATCGAGGGACTAGAAGCTTGGGGAGATGCTTTCGAGGAGGTTGGATTGACATCCGCTGGTTGTGTACGATGCGATTGTTGGATTTTGTAGAGCGCCTAGACGAATTATCTTGAGAAAAGCGTTAATAAACTATACTCTCAGCGCTCTATTGGCCTTCAGAGTGCTAACATTGTCTACGTCCGTTCTCAAGCGGTGACTTGGTTAGCCGCGAGGTATAACCACATCGTCACCCAGCCTACCTGTAATTGATGTTTCTTGCATACAATCAACAGGAGTTTGAATTGACTGAAATCCTATGAAGCACCCCATCGCTTCTTTTACGGTCCTATAATTGGTATGACAATGTTGTGGGCAATTTACCTCAACCTTGGAGGCGCGCAGTGACTTAGCATGCGCAGAAGCAGTCGCAAATGGAGGGGGCCAAATGTTGCAACACGCTCAAGCCCCTACTGATCATACTCAGGAGCGCTATTATCCTACCCAAGAGACTCGGCGAAGAGCAAATCATGCAAACATCCTTTGTTGGTAAGCGTCAGACCGTTGAATATCGACAGGTAAAATGAGGCAGGATTAGAAACAATTAAGCGTTATGAGGAAGGCCCTCATTTAAGATTGGCTTGAATAGCCGCTCAGGTAATGAACGAGTCACTCAGTTGAATGGCCGAATGCATCACATCGTGCACCAAGCAGACTTTTCATAAGGCGCGATATTCAACGACCGACTGGTTCCTGAGGCTAATTTCGCACGGCTATCTGGCAACTGATCGGCGTTTTGACTAGCGATCGTTTTCGAGATTCCGGAGCGGAGGGGGGAGACCTCCGCACAACAGCAAGACAGGGGTTTTGTATTAGCTCCCGTAAATTTCGACTTCTAGAAAGCCGTTTAGCCTTGCAGTTGTACGCTACCACTCAAGACTTGTCCAGTGGTGCTGGTGGCGTACCATCTAAACTGTGCGTGTGATTTCAGTGGCTTGCTCTCCTATCACTCGCCACCTTGTCCGCTCGACGCCAAAACCAGACTACAAGCTTCTAGGGTTGGTTTCCTCCAGCCGCTTCTGGCAACCAAATCTTTTAATATGACGGAACCTAACATCTTTCGCACCTTCAGTAAGGGTAGCGCCATGGCTTTTCGCCGAGAGGCTCTACCCTAGTGTAAGCACGAAATTATACTGGCCCATTCTAAGTTCTTGAAAATATACTATCCGGACATAGGAATTACACTTAGATGACTCGGAAGGCGCTAAAAACATTATGTCGCTCGTCTTGGAGTTGCCAACACCCTTTTTCCTCGTTGCAATGCAGATTCAAGCTGCCTTGCACTGACGAGCATCTGTGTGCGTCGCATGACACCTTATTTGAATGATCATGCTGTGTAGTTCACACCCAAGTTGAGATCTTGAAGCAATCTTTTGATAGTAGGCTCTAGCATTCGGTTACATCTGATGGCTGTAGATTCATGCTTCGCGTTTCTTGCCATGACTTCGAAAGGCTTCACATCATAAGTGCTCCAAAGTGTCGGGCAACAGCACTGCAAGGAATGCTGGAAGCTTAGACATTTAGGCGCTGCAATACCAATTAAAAATTAAGGGCTGGTCGCAAGGTGTCCATGCAGGACTTCCAAATATGCCTCGGTCGCTTCTCAACATCCTGCAATCAACTCTGGCCACACCCGTCTTGAAACTCTCACTTCCAATCCACCCTATTTATTTATTTTATTCGGTTAGGGACGGAGAAAAGTAGGAGTGGCATTTCTGCTTACTTTATGCCATGGTTCTCTGCCATGTCTGAGATCGGGTGCTTCAAAGTCCACGATTCGAGGTTGAGTGGGCGACGCCCAAGAAATGTCGTAGCATCGCAGCAAGGTTGTCAGCGCCTGGGTTATGATGATCATCGACACATTTTCTCCCGGGCACTGCTTGCTTTCACCTCCCAAACCTTCTTTTGTGCCCTTCTCCTCGACGTCGACGAGCTTGTTTTCTGCATTGAGCCATCTGCCCGGCATCCAGGAATCCGAGTGATGGAAACCGGCTGGGCTATGATACGGAAGGCTGGCTGAAAGGGTAGCCACTGACTCCTTTGAAGCGGTGTCTCGCTGAGCTTGTCGCGAGCACGCCATGTCCTTATAGTACCGTATCGTCTCTTTAATGCATGCCTGTAGGAGAACTGGGTGGTTGTCTCCGCTCCGAGCATCTCTCTTAACCGCGTTCATCATATCAGGGTGGCGCAAGAGCTACCGGACATCGTCAGCTTCAGGGACGTTGACATATTAGAACGTCACTTACGCAAGTGATGACCAAAGTTATGGCAGAAGCCGTGGAGCTTTGGGCAGCAAACATGATAGCTGCGTGGTGATGGTGGTAAAGATGCTTCAATTGTGCCGTGTTCTTTCCGTTCAGCATGTAAGTAACGTAGTCTTGCAGGTCACTCTCGATAGGGCCACCGGCGACTGCTGTAGCATCTCTGCGCATGAGTTTCTCCGTAAATATGTCTCTTATGCGTTCTACTGCCCGTTGAGCCCGCCAATCCGCCGAGTGAGGCAACCATTTGCGTAGTATGGAGGAACCGGATTTTTTCATGTCGGAGCTTAGCTCATGCAAAATTGCAAGCAGTTCGTCACTGGAATTGTAAAAGTCATCGCCCATCAAAGTCCTCACAACAGTCTTTTGCGTCAACTCAGCCACGCCTCTGGAGAGTTGGATTTTGTCCCGGGTCGTCCATTCTAGCGCGCACCGGTGGGTTTCTTCCACGGTACATTTGGCCGTATGTTCGTGCGCCGCGGTTCGATTAATGAACTGACCCAGAGACCCGACCATTGTTTCAATGTTTTCCATGTAACTCTGATCAATAATCTTGTTGAGGAAGACTCCCTGGTGTAGATTTGAGTCAGTGATCCCCCATTCCAGGAGCTGTCTCAAACTAGGTGAGGCGGCTTCAGGGGTAACGAGGGTGTGGTCAAGGCGACCATTGGGGGGGGGGGATAACCTGACCAATTACCCACTTATTTTGTGATTTGTGGGGCTACCCTGAGATCAGCTGACCATGGTCAGCTAGTTAGCTATGGTCAGGTTGAAATTCCTTAGCGCGGTTTGAAACCTCACCCTTGACATACTTTTTGTAAGAACATACGACATTTAAACGCTTCCAAATCCGTTCCGAATCGATTTACAATGGCTCTTCAATCGATTGAAAATCTCTTCCCTCGCCTAGAGGGAATAAGTCCTCTATTAGAACCTACTAGTCTTGATGCAGAAGCTGAAGAAGACTTAAATCTTTACTATCAACTACCAGCCCAGGCCCAGTCTGGCTTACCAGTAAATGAGGAGGTAGGGATATATAAGAACGACTTTGGAATTAGTTCTAAATCGATTCAGGATCAACTCGAAACCGATTCAGAAATACCTCCAACACTTGTTTCATCAGAGGCAACCCGTTCTGGGCATAATAGCCTCAGGGATGTTCATGTACTTGCTCAAAAAGTAATCTTTCTACCTACATTTATAGAATATCCAGAAACAAGTAAGAATGGAGTCCTTTATGTTATTAATATAAAGACTTTAAATAAGGAGGATATTAAATCGCCTTGGAGAATGGTAAACGAACTACTTTTGAATCGATCCGGGATCGATCCCGAACTACTTCAGAACTAATTACATCACAGATTCAGTACAACCATGCCCGGCAATTCCCACCAAAACGGACGACTTCAGCATTCCTTCAAAATGCTATTTGTTTACGTTCAACTTACACTTGTACAGGTGGAAAGGCATGCTCTTATTTCGATCAGAATCTTCCATGCTGGAAGCATCAGAAAGTTACCCCAGAAATCTTGCAAAGTATTGAAGCATTACGAACAGAGGTACTACAGTATGATCTCAAACGGAAAGCAGTTTCGTAAGCATTCAGAATCGATTCCGAACGGGTTCGGAACCCTTTTAGAAATAATATACTAATACTTATAAATAGATGGGCACAAGCACAGATAAAACGTTTCCAACAACATACCGCCTGCCGACCGTTTACAGAAAGATGTAGTCTTGAAGTAGTTAATACAGAGTATGGGGTAAGAAGCCTTTCTGAATGGATTGGGAATCAATTTGGAACTGATTCGGAATCACTTTAGTATATTCCAGGAACTTCCCAGATCACAGCCCGCTGCATCTGCTGGTCACAAAGTCTCCAAGGAGAAAACCATTATATTGGCTTTCCTCCAATCGAATTCCAGCTATATTTACCTCTAATCAAAACTATACTTCAAGGGGGAAGTATAGAAGAAAGCTCCCCTACTGATAGCTGTTATCTTTTTGCTAGCAATAAGAGGAGAATTACACGATGCGGTAAGTAAATTAGTATCGAATCGAATCCAAATGGGTTCCCAACTGATTCTGAATCAATCTAGACGCTAATCATATCGTTCCTGAAACAATTCTTCAAATTACGTGTTCAGTAAAATGGAACTTCTGGGTCCCGCTTGATCTAGAAGCTACCCCAGTTATTCTTCTAACTTCTCATGGGGTCCATTTACATCCACCACCACCACCAGTTAGAGCCCCAGCTGGTATTATATCTGGGCTGCAACAGGTAGTCCAGAAGATCAATCAACCTAGAACGGGGTTAAGTGAGAATCCTTTTAGAATCGTTTCCGAACCGATTCAGAACTAATCCAGTACTGATTCTAGATGCATTCCTACAATCTCGCGAACTTCAGGAATTCTGTGATACTTATAATAGCCAGACTATTACAAGCGTTCATCAAAGTCTAGCAAATACAGACTTCTTACGCTCAATTATCCGTAAACAAGAAGCAATTAGCTTTCCAGCAGGCTGTTCACGTCTAGCGATTTGGTATGAATACCAGTATGCTCAAACTAGGCGTCAAATTCGGGTATGAAGTGATTCTGAATCGGTTCTGAGCGGGTTCAATACTAATTTACTTATAGTATATTCAGTACTTTAATGATGACGGCAATACATACCTATGTATTGTATTTCATGCAGAGCAAGCTGAATTATGGAAGAAAGAGGCTTTTAATACTTTCCAGGTAGATACAAACTATAAACATCTAGCTGGAAAGGAGGAAGTTGAGGTTATTTGGGGATGGTATAATTCGATATCTTCGAAAGGTGCGTAATCGCTTCTAAATCGATTTAGAACGGATTCTTAACAGATTCCTAACTATTTTAGCAATTCCACTTATCCGAGTTTTTACCAATTCTGAAAGTACAGAAATGTATCAGCAGATGTATACAATTGTGTTTAAACTACTTTATAAGAAATTTGGATATAAAGTCAAGTGGAAACACCTTCATGGTAGGGGTCTACTAGGTATTACAGTTGATCAAGACCATAAAAACCTTATTGGTATGGGTTCTTAATAGTTTCTAAACCGATTCAGAACCGATTTATAACTAATTATCTAGGGTTTGGGAAATATCTATCTCTGGAATGTGACCCAGAGCATAGACCATGGGCATGGCAGGTTGAACGCTCTGTACGCTTCTGTTTAATTCATTTCCAACGAGGGATTGAGGCATACTGTACAGAAGACCGTAGCCCTGACTCTCTATGGAATCAAATGCGCAGCCTACTATTCTGCCGTTCCTCAGAAGACTACTTCGCTTTATGTCAGGCATTTGAGAGTAAGGATCAATTCTATATCGCTTCCGAATCGCTTCAGAATCACTTGGGAACTAATTTACTTAGCTGAACCTCAAATAAAAGCATGGGCTCAACATAAAGCCCGAAAAACAATTGCAGCTGGACTTAATCAGAACTGCTCTAAAATCCCCTTATCAGATTGGAGTCAATTCATACCTAATACAAATACTGTTGAGGTTTTACATGAAGCCTCATATACTTGGAGTAATCGGTATTTACCATTACTTACATGTATCCAGAAGTAAGTTTGGAATCCCTTCTGAATTGATTCGGAATTGGTTTGGAATGCGTTGAGAACTAATTCAAAAGTACTTAGATGTGCAGAATACGATCGCCATCTTTTAGAGCAGGATACAGTGTTTACAACACTAGGAATCCGGCTTTCCTGGAAAGATGTTTCTATTATTGGCCGTTATAATACAGCTGCAAGCCGTTTACGTAAGTTAAAAATACTTTAATATTTATTAATAATTATTTCTAAATTATTTTAGAACTTAAACGCCAACGCCAGAGGGAATCCCGTGAGCAACTAGATAATGAACGTGTTGAAAGGCTTTTATCAACCCGACTCTTTACGTCTAGTCCCTCAAGGGGTACTAATTCAAGAAGTCCATCCTCAATTCCGAATCGATCCCGAAGTCTTTCAGAAGCGATTCGGAATCGATCCCCTCGTCTTTCCCATGCTTCATCTTCTGGGGTTATTAGGTCAAATACTCTCCAAAGAACATCTATTTCTAACTTAAGAAACGAAATCAGACAGGGACAACAAGATGACTTTGACTTACAGAAGCAAAGTCTAGAATTAGAAGAAAAGCGATTAGAATTAGAAGCAAGAAAACTTCTAGTTGAAAAACAGAAGCTTGAACTACAAGAAAAGGAACTAGAGTTAGCAGAGCGGCGGAGAAGGTTAGGACTTTGATAGCATATAGGATAGGTAGAGAATCGATTCTAAATCATTTCTGTATTGATTTAGAAATGCTTTTTTTTAAAAAAAGCTTAAAAACCGAACGCCCCGGGTATCTATAAAGAATTGATTCTAAAGCGGTTCCAAATCGGTCCCGAAAGAAGTCCCAAACTGGTTCCAAACCGATCCTGAATTGATTCAGGCCTCATCTTCTTCATCATCCTCAAAGCGGGCCCAGACCTCACATTCCTGATCGCGAAGGGCGGGAGGACATTCTGAATCGATTCGTAATTAGTTCTGAACTGCTTCAAGACTGATTCTAAACTTACTGGCATTGCGGGCAGTGGTGCAGTGGGTGCACTTGCCCTTGGCAGGGAAGCCGGCGGCGCGACGCATTTCGGCGAAGTTGATCTGTTGCAGAATCGATTCAGAATGGGTTCCAAAAGGATTCCGGATCGATTGAGAATCACTTACCACAGTTTGGTTGCCCCGCTTGCGCGTGGGCACGGCAAGAAGGGGGGGAGGGGTCTGCGCCTTCCGTTTCTTGGAAGGAGTCTGCAGCTCGCTGTCATCGCGAGCGCCGATGGCGATGCCGTGGATGCGGTCGTAGAATTCTATTCATAATCAGTTTAGAACTAGTTCAGAATCGGTACAGAATCAGTTCAGAATCACTTACCAGCTGCATCATCGTTCTCCTCGACGGAGTTCGCGCCGGACTTGCGGCTCTTAACCTTGGCCGGGACCCCGTCGAGCTTGTGCTTCTTGATGTGGTTCTTGAGGTTCGACTCGCTCGAGAACCGCTCCGTCTAATCGATTCGAAATTAGTTCTGAACTGATCCGGAACTGATTCTGAATTACCTTGGTGCACGTGATGCTGCTGGATCTACCACCCAGCGGCAGTAGAGTTCGCCAGGGGCGAGCTTGACTTCGCCAGCCTGAATCGATTCAGAACTGTTTCTGAATCGTTGTGGAATCGCTTCTGAATCACTTACCTCGTTGAACTCGAAGGGAGGAAGATCCTCCATGCGGTGGTTCTTGCCGCCCTGGAGAAGACCTTCTTTGTAGGTCTTGTAATCGTCCTGATTCTGAATCAGTTCTGAATCGATCCTAAACCGATTCCATTGTACTTACAGAATCCTTGTATGAAGGCATGATGTCGGATTTCTGAACTGATTCGGAAGTAATTAGGAATCGGTGCGCCAGGGGGGGGGGGGGGGCGCATACGATTTGAAAGGGTTACGGAGGGAAAAGGAAGCGAATCAGAATAGAATAGGGATTTAAATATTAATATGGGGTATGCACCCTAATCAGTAGTGGGACGCAATCAGTAACTGGTCCGTGCACCTGACCGATTAAAAATTCCATGGTCAGGTGGACCCACTTCACCTCAATACAGCCAATCATAAAATTGGTCAGATAGACCCATAATTCATTTAAATAAGTGGGTAATTGGTCAGGTTATCCCCCCCCCCCAATGGTCGCCTTGACCACACCCTCGGGGTAACTCACCATTCCCTGCCCGAACGACAGTATTGTCTCGGACACGTTTAATGAGGCCTTTTTGAGCCCACTATCTCGAATCAAAACATCGCGTGCTGTTGGGGACCGGAGGGGGAGGTCATTGCTGCATCTTTGAAGTTTGCTGGTGAAGTATGCGGGTTTGAATGTATCCTCGCGAGTGTTGCTAAGAAAGGAGTGAAAACCATGTTTTTCGTGACCCGGTATTGTCACTGAATTGTGGTACCACAACAATAGCAGAAAAACTGCTAATAGAAGAAAAATGAACGCTAGCATCGCTCGAATCTGCAGGAGTAGGATAACAATGAGAGGTAATGACAGATGGATGTCCCTAAGGATTAAGCGGCAACCTTTCCCTGACAACGGCAGTAAGACGACAAAATGTGAACAAAGAAGGGACCATAAGGCTTTGCTGCAGGGTCGCATGATACTTATATTTACAAAGAGGCTGGTATTTTGAAACCAACAACGGAAGTCCGTCCAAGTTGGAACGATTGAGACAGAATTGTCTTGCGAATGTTGAGATCCATACTAAGGGTATTGGCGTGATAGATAAAGAACCATGTTTACGTATTTCAAGTGCAATATTTTTGAGACTCAAGTAGGAAGTCAAAGCGCTTGGCGGGTGGACATCGGAATGCCGCGTTGTGTAGGTGCCAGCTCGTTCCAACATTCATGCTTGGTAGGTGCGCTGTTATAATGACCTGAATGTGGCGGCAACTATAGATCAGATTGTGCGGCTCGCCCAATTGGCGTACGATATACACACAATGCGAGAGCCAAGAGGTGTACATTGAGAAGTCTCTAGTAAACATACAAATGTCATACAGTTGCCCATTCCTTGTTCAGAGAAGCAAGTCATGGGCGTCGCAGTCAGAATCACACAACAACTGTGACCTCCATTAATCTATCTGGATTTACCGTCCAGATTGCATAAGTATACATAAGAATTGCCTCATATATACGGCTCAAAGTTGATATTCCATGATTCTCCGTCTATTCACGGCTTCCCATCGACCTTAGCCTTGCTAACATCGGGATAGACGTCAAACCGCCTCTGTGTGTTGATAGGAATATTCCTCCTCGCCTCCTCGATCTTGATGTTGTCAAGCTCCCACGTAACCGTAGTCTCCTTCTCCTCCGCCTCAACCAGAACATTCGCCATTGGGTCAATGATCAAGCTGTGGCCCCAGGCGTGGTACGTTGCGTTCAAGTCCCTCGCGGGGCTGCACATGGCGACATAAATCTGGTTGTCCACCGCCCTGCCCTGACCTAGCAGGCGCCAGTGCATCGGCCCTGTGGTAAGGTTAAACGCGCCGGGGTACACCAGCGCGAAGCACCCCTTTCGCGCCGCAATCATGGCCAATTCGGGGAAGCGGATGTCGTAGCAGATGGCCACCGAGATGCGCCCGTACTCGGGTAGGTCTACAACAGTCACGCTGTCGCCAGGGCTCAGCACCTCGGACTCCTTGAACGTGATCTTACCCGGGATATCGATATCAAAGAGGTGCACCTTGCGGTGGGACCCCAGTAGCTCTCCCTTGGGCGAGAAGATAAGGCTCGTGTTGTAAAACTTGCCCGTATTCTCGTCCAACTCCGGGATAGAGCCGCCGATGAGGTACGCACCGCTCTCAGAGGCCATGGCTGACAGGGCGTGGAAGCTTGGAGACTGTTCTTTGGTGGGATGCGAAGGGAGTAGCGTCTCGGCGTACTTGGGGAAGTAGTCACAACCGTAGGGCGAGTTGAAGCACTCGGGCAGCACGACGATTTTTGCGCCCTGCGACGCGGCCTCAAGAACCTTAGACCGTGCATTGGCGAGGTTGACGGACTTATCGGCGCCGGATGCAAGTTGGATGCAGGCCAGCTTGACAGGCTGCTTCAGCACCGGAGAGGCGGCGGTTGCTGCTGTGGACATCTTGCGGAAGGGAATGAAACGTTGCGAGGACGGTTTAAAAGCAATGCTGGTTAGAGTGCAGAGGGTTTGGAAGGCAAGACGCATTGTTTTTTACAGTTGCCGATGGATGGGAGTGACGTTAGGAGGCTACGGCGGGTAATTGGGGATGGTGGGGGGGTTGGAGTTGCGAGGAGCTTAGTGGGGGCGATCACGGCGGGGTAGCAACGGTACGGCATCGCCATCGGAGCTCATCCTTGCCGACGGGCCGTTGCGTTACTGTGTAAGCACTGTACGTTCACAGGCAGATCTGGTGTCTATAGACAGTGTAATATTTATATGCACCGTGCAATTGTCCGATGCATCGGGAAATGATGTGATCGGGACCGTTTCGCGACATCGGCGTTGGCCCCGGATGGGTTGGAAAACCCGAGTGCTGGATGCCATAGGGCGTGGACTACATATCGTCATCTGCCTCAATTGGACATTCAACATTAATCACCGCGAGTACTCATGTTGCGTCGCCTCGGCATCTGTCTTGTGACCTGTCACTCAAACGTTTCGTAACTGACAGCAGTCGTTCACGATGATAGTGACTTCACAAATTCATCACTCTCAAGCGGCCTGTCTTTACTACCCAGTATTTGAATCGCTTTGATTTATCCTCCTCATGCTTCTATGCAGATGGCCAAAGACCATGTTGGTACAGGCGAAACGGAAGGGGCCGTTGTAGGCCAAATCTAGAGTCAGGACAAGCGCGCCTGAGTCACGCAAACAATGACGACAACCGCTTCATCTTCCTGCAAGTCAGCTTGAAGTACTCACACTTATTTGGCAGTGTACTCAATCACCAACACACTCGCAGTCACATAATGGGACGTCAGGGTGGTGGTAAAAACTTAAAGGTACCTAATTCATCTCATTTAGGCAAGTCAGGCTCGTCTTTAGACCCATGCTGGGAGCGTGGTCTCGACCAAATGTTAATTTTCAGTAGCTTCTCATTTCTTCTCCCAGGAACCAATCAAACAAACAATCCTTGCAAGTCTTGCCTTGAGCCCGCCACAAGTCAAATGATACCTGCCAGCTCAAATGTTGCTTTAGTCGCCCAAGAGCACAAGTCGGGACAGTGTTGGCTCTGGGAAAGGCCAAACAGGTCGCGGGAAACATGATATCCCACTTCGCCTGATGGTGTCGTCACAAAGCCATGATGCATAAGACACAACAAAGAGACATGCGCGAAAAAGATCACTGTTGCCTTGACAGCTGGTTTGTAAATATTTTTTTGAAATGTTTTGTCAAAATATCTTTCAAGTTTGAGTTGCGTGCTTGCTTCATCTTGTGCTCGTTCTTTCAAGCAGCATCGTCCACACGCACACACCACCCCTCTTATTTTCTTTCCTGTTCCAAACGTGGGGAAAAAGCTTGAAACAGAGCATTAGGTATCAATCCATCGCACGCATAACAGAGTCAGCTCGGCCTCTCCCATGCTTTCGTTTCGTCTCATATGAACCACCCTTCGCAACCTGATCCGTCTTTCCCCCGCGCCTCATCTGCCGTTAAATCTCCAAGCAAGGGCCATCCTCGGCACCCTACTCTCAGATCAGCTTCGGTTTGGCGCTGCCCGCCATCGGCCGTCGCATGGTGGCAATGATATGCAAAAAGCTGAAAATCCCCTTGCCTCATTTTGCAAAACTCTGTTCGAATAAACGCCTGCATATGGACAATAGATAACCGTAGAAATAGACACAAAGGAAGCGGAAGTAATGTACATCCAACTCGACATTCGACTTCTCGTTCAAGGCTCGCTTAGAGCCGATGCTGCGGCTGGGCTATACGCTCGTCATCGTTCGAGCGAAAAGAACAAATGTCGTAAATGGATGGCGCCGCCGTACGGAGCCAAGGCGGGTTTGAGGCCGAAAGGCCGCGGGTATCGATTAAGATTGGCGTGTTTAATGGGCGCCAATTGGTGAAGGTTGGTATAGTTTGAGGCCACGATGTGACCATAACATTGCAATGCCGGCCTTATAGTATCAGCTGCTTCAAGTTACGCTGGATGATCATGTCCTGGACTGAGCCCATAGTAATCTTGAGCAAATTCGTGTCGGTGGCGTTTGTAAAATGACCGTAGATCTCCTTCTCGGTGTTTCGGTTCAATGCGCGAAATTTGTCCAAAAAGTATTTGCTGGCAGCCTTCCAGTCGTCGGGAGGTCCATGGTAATCCGTGAAACCGTGTGATGTGATGGGATTGTTGGGCAGCTTCTCCTTGAAGAGATCCATCTTGTTGAGGAACAAAATCAGGGCGGACTTTGTGAACCAGTGGGAATTGGCGATAGACTCCCACAGCATTAGAGCCTCGTTCATTTGATTCTACAGCATCAAGGTTAGCCACGCCTCAAGATCGCGCATGGGAGCACCTACGCCATCCTTATCTTCAACCAAACACTGATCGTATCCACTAATGGCGACAAGAAAAAGCAAGCAATTCACATTCTCGAAGCAGTGAATCCACTTTTTCCGTTCTGAACGTTGGCCACCGACGTCGAACATACGGTACGTCAGCTGACCCAAGTCGAAAACTGTTTCGGTGATACCTGTTGTTCGTAGTCTCGAGCGCAGCAAATCCTGGTCTGTTGGCACGTAGTTTTCACTCCAAATGCGGTCCAAATCGTCACAAAAGCTAGTACGGTTAGCAGAAGGCTCGGGGTCCGATATAATTTACGCAAAGGGTTCCTACTATGCCAGGTTGTCATGCAGGGCAAACTCGTTACCCTTGGCAGTGGCCTGCTTGACGCCACCATCGACCCAAAGTTCTTTTATGGGTTGCAGATAGTCGCGCGGGAGGGGATCTGAAGCATTGATCTCGTGTTCCACCAAGATGTGTGCCATGTGTTTCTGTGAGAGACAAGATGTGTCAGCCCAGTCGTTCTTATATCAGGCGGACCGCCGCATATCGCAAGCTTATGGTGTGCAGTTGACCCTGTCTAGTGTTGCTTACCTCGTTTTCGGGGTTGCTGAACTCGATGCCCATCTCAGCCATGGCATCTTGAATCAGGCGAAAGGATTGAACAATATTGTTGAAGACGACGGGCTTCCATTCGAGCTTTTCGTTCTTGCTGAAGCCTTGGGCGTAGATCAACTTCATCTGTTTGAGCACGGTCGACTTTCCAGATTCTCCGGCACCTGGCAAAACACACGAGTCAGCGAATGGAGGGTATCACGAAACCAGAAGAGGCGAAGACATACCCAGGAGCAGGAGCTTGACTTCTTTGGACAAGCGCTTCTCATCTTGGCGGATCATGCGATCCAGATCCCGCGAGCGAGCGGCGCTCCCATCGTCCTTCTGTCGACTCCCGAAACACATCGTGTACCAATTCGAATTGATTCTGGAATCGATTTATGATGATGATAACAATAATAATAATAATAACAATATTAACAAACAGCCGAAGATCGTAAGGCGAGGGGGAAGAGGGAATGCTGGCCCTGCAGTGAAAGAAACGTGTTGGAAAGAGAACGCGAATCGGGCGTGTCGGACGGTAAGGCAGGAGTTGTCGAAGTAGATAGCGAAAGTCGAGAAGGGTTGGGGGTGGCGACCTGAGAAGGACGGTTTGGGAATATTTGCTTCAGAGACGAGAAGAGTTCTTGTTATTGTCTGAGGGCGTTTAATGTCAGGAAGATCAGACCAGAAGAAAGCAAAACCCCAAGACTGGCCAGTCCAGGCGCTGAAGAAGGTAGGACGGTTATTTCGGGTCGAGTCGAATCCTAAGCAGCGGTTGCGGCGGCGGAAGTCACCTGGGTTGAAGTCGATACCAAGGTTGACGTGACGGCGTAAGGAACGTCAGCGATTGAGGAATGGGTGGGCGAAGCTTTTGGAGGTTTTAGAAGACCCACGGCCAGTTTAGAAAAAGGCGCTAAAAACCTTCGGGGCGTTCGTAGTGGACGCCCTGTGGGTTGGGGGTTGGCTAATGTAATCCTGCAGCAGAGGAGTAGTAGCTCCTTTTTTTTTTCCTTTCCTTTCCTTCTCTCACTTTTCTGTGTTGGGTAACGAGGCCAATGGCGTGTCAGAGGAAAGACTAAATGTGCTAGCACAGGTATCTGAGAAAAGAAGATGGTGGCGAGTATGTAAGGAATGTACGTGGAGCGAGAAGAGCGAACAAGTCGGAGTGGACGCTCAGAATGGAGACTATGAAAGAAGAGGACGGGCTGGATGCGAGGAGGATGCACGAAAGCACGAAAGACATGAGGGAAAATGCGCACACGGGCGAATATGTCCCAGGTTGGATCACTTACTACTACAGACAGAGTATGGGTAATACTGTATGCGATGGGAGGAAACGAGGTGCCTTTCCTACCTTGCCCACCCTAGCTGCCTGGAAGTAGCTTGACTCTCCGAACAGGGTAGTCATGAAATGAAATGAATAAAAGGTAAGGATGGACTTGGTATGGGTTCTCACCACACACGACACTGCCGTTCTGAGAGAGATTCCAGTGAGGGACGGGGGGAGTGGGAAGTGGGAATCCACCATGGTGGACAAGGCACTCCACTATGCTGGACACATAACAGCGTCGGTGGACACCACAGAGAGGAGGAGCAGGAACCTGATGAACCTGAGGAACTTTCGCGACCGGGGTGACTAGCAGGACACAGTACGTAGTTCTTGCCTCAGCACAAAATGCAGCACTAAATCGAGGTACGTACAAATGCCCAGGGCTCTAGAGCAGAAAGAACAACGGCACCATGGTGGGGCGGCCCCTGACGTACCCGAGCGGTACCGTCGCTTGATTCGACGCGCTGCCTCAGCCTGCAGATGCCGCAGAAAACACTCCATCAAAGACTTGGCAGGTACTTCCGTGCTGTACTACCAAGGTTTCCTGCAACTTCCTTGCACTTGCATAAGCAAGTGACCCTTCCTCAGCTTGAGCTTCCCCTTCATCATGACCGCCCACCACACCCTTCCGCCAGAGGGTAGGGTGTTTGCTTTGCATTCTTCTAGCTTCGAACAATCAATTCCTTCCATTTGATGCGGGCTCTTTGGGTATCTGGCATACTCCATCCCCATTGGGGCGTCTCAAACCTATGTTATGCTGGCCAACACATCAAGTCATTCTGCCGGGTCCGTCTTCCAATTCAACTTCTGGTGACAAAGGCAAACATTCCAGATACCAATACCTACTTGTGTAACGCAGGCCTTGTTGACCTGTCTACCGCCTCAGCCGATGGGTCTGTCCAGCTGGGAAGAAAAGAAAAGGGGCAACTCTCCCCCCTCGCTACCAAGCATACTCTCCGGAACCCGCGGTGGAAACGTGCTTTGCAGGAAGCCCCTCCATCATCGTTCGACGCACATCCTCCCGGATGCACAATGCTGGGTCCGAGTGTCCCAGCAAGAGGGTTGCGACCTGCACACTGCCATGCCACATGGAGAACCGTTGATATGGCAAGGCATGGCGAACAAACAAATCATCCAGACAGCGCAAAAGCAAAGCGAAACAAGGACGCATTGAGCGGGGACTGGAGTCGACTCAGTGAAATCCAGCCCATCCAATCCGCCATAAGCGCTGTCTCATGGACTTCAACCTACTTTGATATGCTTCAAACTCAAAAAAAGATTGGACCCTCCGCACAGAACACACGCGCTCAACCACGGCATTCCCCCTCCTCCTGAACAATGACTACGTAGTACTGCTTGGCCGCGGCACAGCAACATATTGCAGCCCTCTACCATTTTTGGCGACACCCTTTACAGTTATTATCACAAGTGCGGGAGCCACTCCGATGGACCCTGCGTGAGACAAGATCGCTGCTAGATAGCCCCAATCGGGCCTCTACGCCGAAAACGCCTCGTGCCCTTTTCTAGCAAATACTAAAACCGCAAGCCTAGCTTCACAAGCCGCTGTGCGCCAAATCGCTTGCGGAAGTCCATATCATTTCACGACGCTTCCAACGTAGTGTCGAACGCCAAGAAGCCATCGGGCATCAGGCCCGTTGATCTGCCTTACGCCCACCAAAGGCTTCTGAGGTTGTTTCCGCTTTCGTTTCTCGCTGTTTGACCTGTGCAGTGCAAAAGTCATCCGTCCCATATGCAATGCGCAACCATGATGCTGGTCTGCGTTTCCACCAGCGGGGTCCCTTGCCGAACGCGTCTGCTCCTGAGGGAGATAGGCTCCCCTGATTCATGCAAATACAACGACAACAGCGAAGCACGACTCTGTCGCTGAATTGTAACATCCCCGGTAATGATTCTTCTTAAAATTCATTCCGATCAGCATCGCGCAGAGGAAACTAAATGTTGCATTTGCGGGCCTCCAAGGGGCGCCTGCAGCATCTACGGATAAGTCCCGCAGAAACCAGAGCTTTGACGAGCAGGGGTCACCCCATACATGCTGTCCGCTGGGGCATGGCGCCCGTAGTAGGGATAAAGAATCGTGGCTTGCCTGGCCGACAGGGATCCTGGTTGTGAATGGATTGCACAACTCGTGGCATTTGGGGGGCATCGACAAGTCAGATCAGCGCCTGTTTCCCAGACGCATGACAGCTTTCTCAACGCCTCAAGTCAGACAAGGCATCAGCAAGTATCCATTTTCACCAAGAGAGTCGGAATGCCCCACTCAACATGATGGAAAGGTGTAAGTAACCACCACCAATAGGCCAGTGATTCTTTTTTAAAGCAAATGCTTGCGCCCGAGCCTCATTTCAATGATGGCCGCAATAGTAGACATTGGACATTCGAGACCGGTCGTCCTGCAGAAACTTTTGGAGGGTTGCCTGGTCCGTGTGGCCAGGTCCCAGCCAACCGCTGGGTTGTAGAAAGAGACAAGGTCTCGTGTATTCCAGCGTCACGAGGAAATTTGGCTGCCCCCCCCCCCCCCCGACAAGACTGCAACCCGTGGCGCCCGAAATTGTTTATCAAACCCACCGCACTTGTTGGGGCGGCTCTGCTGAAGAAAGAGCATCGTCACTCCCTGTGAGATGCTTCCGGATGCAGCCATACAAGATGCATGAACCGAAACGGTCAAGGGGAGACAGACAGAAGAAGAAAAACACACGAAAATAAGAAAAGAAAACACAAGAGCTAACAAAGGACCCATCCAAGCGGAGCGGCAAAACGCAGATGGCACGGAAAATAGTGGAAATGGTCTTCAGCTTCGTCCGTTATCAGGCTTGGATCCAGAGGGATGGTATGATGAGCCACGACCAACCGTCAGATGGTATGGCTGCGCGGAGCAGAGGGATCCGAGTGCCAAGAAGAATAAAAGATAAAAAGAACGTTCAGATTCTAAGGGTTGCCTTTTTGGCAAGTGCAGTAAACTTTGGGACTCTGGCTATCGACGTACCGCATGGACTGGCCATCCTGCCCAAATACAAGACAGTTTTCTAGTGTCTGTTGCTGCGAGACGGATTCAAGGTTTTTTGCCTCGGCACATGGCATCCATCGTATTGGTGGCTACTGACAAGCGATGGTAGGACATCAGGTAGGCAAAGCTCCGCCCCTCACGTCTGTTCCCAGGGGGCTGGGGCCTGTGAGACACCATCTCAGTTCATGCGGGACCAAAGCAACTCCGATTTTGATAACTGAATCCGGCTAGATCTGGGGTGGCATCCCCGATCATCCGGTCCGTGGACGACGTTGCGGTCGTTTCTGGTCGCCGTGCAAGTTTACTACGTAGTAGACAGTTTAAAGTGATGGTAGACAGCGTCGCAACAGGTGGGAAGTGGCATAGCTTCATCCAACTGCTTGTGAGTGGCCAGAGTTTCGCCCTGCGATTCAGACCAAAGCCACTGAGAGTGCCTGCTTGTCAAGAAAACTTGGGCGCATACGACAGGCAAAGCTAAAGTTCAGTCGCGGCTGGCCAGGAAGAGTATATGATTGGAAACATCCTACAGAGCTGCTGAACACACGGTTCTACTGGCGCAACCGTTGCAAACTTTGGTTGTGGGTAATAGAGGCTGAGAGAAAACGGGAGTGAAGACAGGGATAACAGGGATAAAGCCGTGTCGGGCCTCAATTCGAAGCTCTGCGGACGGGCTCGGCCGGTAGTGCCCGGCTCTCCCGGTTTGTCTCAGCCGGCTGCAGAAGAAAGAGACACGCATAGCGGGGAGTGCCCCATTCCTAGATCATGAACGATACCTCTCCCTCTCAGGGGACGCGCCGTTTATCGTCATTTTGGAGGTCGACTCTGATGATGAGAATTTGAAACTGAATTTGACTGCATTCATGGTCATGTTCTGGCAGGGTGCAGTCTAGTCTGGATATCTGCGCCAGGAGACCAATAGGTTGAGCCGATGCCGCTGATCATCGTCTCATCTCGTCTTCAAGTTAGACAACAGAAGAGGGGATGATCTTTTTTGTCATCCCTCCCTGTCAAGTACAAAGTAGGTATGAGTAGAGCAGACGCCGTTGGTTACCGGTGATGGTGGAGCCGGGACGTTATGGAGCCCTTGAGCTATGCAAGAGATGGCGAAGAGGCGGCGAGAAGAGGAAGAAGCAAAGAAGGCGAAGGGAGGGGGAGGGGGCAGGGCGAATGAAAGGGGATGAAAAATAGGAAGAAAAAAAAAAAAGGATGACCTTGGGTTGGTAATCCCGGCTCGCCACGTTTTTCTGAAGAGGTGCTTCCTCCTTGCTTATTGGTAGGTAATTCCCTCAGGGTTGACCATGACCGTCGGCTTTTGGAGCATCGACCACTGAGCGTCCTCTCTCATAGAACCTGTGCATTTCACTGGCTCGCTGGGCGCAAACGTTTGGCGAGTGTACTATGGGACCATTCAGTGGGGTTTCTGCTGTCAATGTTTTAGATAGCGGCTAGTTGACCCCTTGGTCACAGCCGCCTGGGTAAGATGCCAGTGTTATGCGATATGCAGGCGCGTCTCCATCCATGTAGTTTTTGCTCCCGTTGTTTGTGGTTTCTGTGAGGTAAAGAATGCGAAATGAGATGAGGTAAGTAAGGCCGGATATGCCGTTCGAATGCAACGATAAGAGGAAACAAATAAAAGAAGAAGAAAAAAAAAAAAAAAAAGCACTGATGCCACCGATGAGGAGAGGAACCCGCCTGTGGGGGAATCCCTCACTCCTTTCGAACGGGCCAGTCACTGGTGTTGCAATTCTGGGGCTCATATCTCAAAACGAGGCCACCCCGGAACCACAAAATTTTTCATCCTAATTTTTTCGTCCTTGCCCGCATCTGCACCCGCACCAGTGCCGCATTCGCACCTCGATTGGTACACCGCATCGGCACCACAAACCACACGACGTCAACGCACATTTTGACACCCATTAAAAACAAAAACACAACTGTAAGAATCGCCCGTCCTGGCTTCCCTCCTCCGCCATATATTACCCCGTCCTGCTCGGTCACTGCGTTTGCAACAGAGACAACTGCCTCGTCTGCCTGCGCCTTCATTGACCTGTCGATATCTACACAGTAACCCTGCCAAACCCCCGTCCTCTACCAAAATGAGCGAAATTACCCATCCTACCATCCAAGGTTCGTGCGGTCCACCTTCCTTTCCTTCCCTTCTCCTGTGTCTTGTCAGTCATCCTTCAGTCGTCTTGCCACTGCTGGCCCCCCTACCGAGCCCAGGCCGAGGCCCTTCGCCGGCCTTCCGGTCTTTCATGGGGCCCCAGCAAGTCCATGTTGTGATCTCCCCGCCGTTCGCCTCCTTGGGCCTCCGGACAGGCGACCGGAAATATTTTTTCACAGCATGTTGGCCCCAATGACCTCATGTGTTGTTTCAACCATTTGGCCTATTGGCAAACGGACTCACTTGGCCCTATCACCCCTCCTGGTCGACATCCAGCATGCTCCCGAGACTATTGACGGGTGGCTTATCCGCCCGTTCCCGAGTGTCGCAAACGACCTTTTTCCCCGGCCCTGGCTTCCTCCACCGTCTGAGCGCCTGTTCGCTATTTTGGATCCCACTCTCGGTTAAACTATCGCTCAGGAGGAACCATCAGCTATGGATACTGATCGACTGTCGTATAAACCTCTTAATGAGGGTGTCATCTAAGAATCTGCCGCGTCGGTGTTTGTTTCCTCCGAGCACGGCACTTCTTGCGATCTGCAGTGGGGGGTTTTGGCTTCCGGAGACATGACAACGACTCATTCATTATGAAAAATAGATGAGTTAGGACTGCGCTAATCTTGACGGGTAATTACAGATGGCTGGTTCCGTGAGATCTCAGACATGTGGCCTGGTGAGTTGAACATAACCCGACATTGCGAGAGGACCACCCCGTGTTAATGACCTATCCTAGGCCAGGCCATGACCCTCAAGGTCAAGAAGGTCGTCCACCACGAGAAGAGCAAGTACCAGGATGTTCTCATCTTCGAGTCCACCGACTACGGCATGGTCCTGGTCTTGGACAACGCCGTCCAGGCCACCGAGCGTGATGAGTTCTCCTACCAGGAGATGATTACTCACCTGGCCTTGAACTCCCACCCCAACCCCAAGAAGGTTCTCGTCATCGGCGGTGGTGACGGCGGTGTCCTCCGTGAGGTCGTCAAGCACGAGTGCGTCGAGGAGGCCATCCTCTGCGACATTGACGAGGTGAATCAACTCCAGTTTGCCCCGTGGCCGGCTCGGCCCCACTAATACGGATCTCAGGCTGTCATCCGTCTCTCTAAGCAGTACCTCCCCGGCATGGCCGTTGGCTTCGACCACCCCAAGTCCAAGACCCACGTCGGTGACGGCTTCAAGTTCCTCGCTGACTACAAGAACTCCTTCGACGTCATCATCACCGACTCCTCTGACCCCGAGGGTCCCGCCGAGGCCCTTTTCCAGAAGCCTTACTTCCAGCTCCTCCACGACGCCCTGCGTGAGGGCGGTGTCATTACTACCCAAGGTTGTACGTTTCCATTTGTCAAAGATAATCATGGGGATCAAGGAAGTATCAGGCTTGGGGAATGTAACAGCAGGCACCCGAGTTGCCTGCTTTCTTCTCCAGCCTATCCTCGATTCGTCCCATGAAACTTCCAGCGCCCAGTGGCGACTGGCGAGCTCTGAGTTGTGTGAATCCCGGATACGCTGATTTCTACAATCCTCTGTGTCTGGTTGTACCTTCCGAGCGTCTCCAGATTTTCTTCGACTATATGTCGGGTTTCCTGCATCTCTCCCATTTCATGCGTGGCGTGCATAGGCTCCGTAAACAGATCGAGAACAGAATTAGCTAACAATCCGCACAGCCGAGAGCCAGTGGCTTCACCTGCCCCTTATCGCCAAGCTCAAGAAGGACTGCGGCGAGATCTTCCCCGTTGCCGAGTACGCCTACACCACCATCCCCACCTACCCCTCCGGCCAGATCGGTTTCATGGTCTGCTGCAAGGACGCCACCCGCAACGTCAAGGAGCCCCTCCGCAAGTGGTCCACTGAGGAGGAGGAGAAGCTGTGCAAGTACTACAACGCCGACATCCACAGGGCCTCTTTTGTCCTGCCCACCTGGGTCAAGAAGACTCTGCAGTAAGCGGCTCGGCTTAGAGTCTCTCTGGCCATGACGAAAAAAACAATTTTCTTTTTATGAAACTGGGTTAGATTCTAGAGGTGGTGACGGCCTACAAAGGGTGGCTATGGATGCAGGTTTAAGGAACCAATGATCATGATTACTTGGTCGGTAGAACCGGGACTTTCTTTTTTGTTTTGCTTTGGCAGGTTGAACAGATCTACCAGTGGGATGGACAAATCGAAAGAAGAAAAAAAAGTTATTTCTCTCCCCGGAGGTTGACTCCGGCGTATTCAATCAATTATGTTGAATCATCCACTACCACGTGGCCTCATTCTATGCTCTATGTCTGTGCCTATCTATAAACCATGTTTCGTCTAAAACTGAAATGATATATTTCCGCGCCGTATATGAGGGTTATCCTCATCCCCCCCCCCCCCCCCCCCCTTTTTTTTTTTCTCTGACCCGTAGCTTCTTGCCGTTTTGCAGCATTCATATAGCCCTCCCTTACCAATCACTGCTCTTGGCCAGCAACGCAGCAAGCTTCTCCAACCACGCCTTGTCAACCTCGTCGAAACCGTTGACCTCGGCGCAGTCGATGTCGATGATAGCAACGAGCTTGCCGTCGACCACGATGGGCACGACAATCTCGCTCTTGCTGTCGCCGTCGCAGGCGATGTGTCCAGGGAAGGCGTCAACGTCGGGAACGAGCTGCGTCTCGCGCGTCGAGGCAGCGGCGCCGCATACGCCCCGGCCAAAGGGGATGGTCTGGCACGCGACCTTGCCCTGGAAGGGACCCAGGATGAGAGAGGGCTTCTCGGGCTTGGCTGTGGGATCGAGGACGTAGAATCCGGCCCAGTTTACGCTTGCTGAGGGGGTAGGGAGGGAGTGGTAGGCGTGCCAGAGGAGTGAGGCCGTGTTGGAAAGGTTGCTTCAGAGTTTTAGTAATCAAGAGCTTCAGTGTGGAAAATTTTACTGAATGGTAATGTAGAGATTGGACGTACCAGATCTGCGGGAGGAGGTGTTAGTGCAAGTTCGACTGAGAGAGGATTATTGATGAAAGGTGGTTGGTGAGTGACTCACCCAGTTCCTTTGCTCGTAGAAAAGACCCTCGGCTTGGAGAAGGACCTGTTCGTAGGCCTGATCCTTGGTGACGCCGCTGGCGAAGTTGGATGCGTCGGCGTGGACCTGAGTCACTTGGTGTCAGTGAACGAGAGCTTGTGAGATTTTTTGTTTTCCTTTTTGACTTTTGGAGAGACTTGCCATGATGTCGGTTGGAGTTGTCAGTTTCCTTTAGGGGTTCCTGAGACGGGAGAGATGGGATTGAGACAGCGAGTAGTGAAAATCAATTAAGAGACGGCCCTTGTTCAGTGAGATTTCAATGAGTTGTCGTTTGATCTCATGCCCAAATAGTAGCGGCGTGGGAAAATGTGTGTTGAAATCCCAGCGTCCAATCACGTCAGACCTCGGTGAGCCACTCACCGTGGTGAAGCGGAGCCCTCTTCGCATCCCGTTTGTAAGCAGGCCAGTTCAGACCCGGCCCTAAACTTTGGGACGGCGATTGTGGTGCTCGGCACGGACGGGACCCAAGTGGGGAAGCTTCTGCGTTTCCGTCCGGGACTCCCTTGGGTAGGTTGTGTCGGAAGATGGCTGGGAATGCGCCATGGTAATGCGTGTCTGAGGTTTAGACCGGAGTAATCTCCGCCTCTTTGATACCCAATTCCGCAAGACACATCGTGCCAGCCATGCCTCAACCACGCGCCGGAGCTGAAATGGGCCTGGAAGGCAGCCAGACTCACTAACATGATAAAATCATGCTTTTTCCAGAAGGTCAGATTCAGCATGGTAGTTTGGCTTGCTCTGTCGGCAGTCCGCCAGCAAGTCCAATCCCTGGGCTGTGGCCATGCAGGCGGCGGCCCGGTGGCTTGCTGAGGGGAAAGTGAAAGCTGACAAGCCAAATAAATGTTTGGGTACTTCAACCCATCCTATTTTCCCGCAATGTCATGCTACATTTCCCGCGCTACTCCGAATCAAGTGCCTTCTGCTGCCGTTCCAGCGCTCAGCCGCACTCTCCTTCAATTACAGGTCGACCAGACACACAGCGTCATCTTTCTCCATAACCCAAACCATTTGGCAAGCACACTGATACTAAATACCAGACGGTTAAGAAGCGATACGACATAGTAAAAATGGCATCGTCGCAATCACCCCGCTTCTGCGCCGACTGTTTCAAGGGAACCCTCCGCGGCGACGTCGTGCCGCAGGGGAATGAGGAGACGATAAACGGCCTTCCGACATATGTCGCGCGCCCGGACGCCGGCCGCGAGCCAGCGGGAGTCGTCGTCATCCTGCCGGACGCTTTGGGATGGACGCTGCGGAATACGCGAGGTTTGGCCGATGCATACGCCAAGCGGATCCCGGCCGTGGTGTTGGTCCCCGAGTTTATGAACGGTGAGTTGATTCACTGCGTCGTCCGCTGGCCATGCTTCAGAATGAATGCTGGTGGTCGGAGTTGCGATCAAACATGGTGTTGACGTATGACGCAACGCTGACAACGGGACTTAGGCAACGCACTACCCGACTCCATCCTCACCCTCAGCGACCGCATCGGCGTTGAGAAGTCGTGGTGGTACAAGATTTTCTATCTTTTCCCTGTTGCCGCCTTCACTCTGCTTCGATATGTCATCCCGCTCTTTGTAGGCACGCGGTCCAGCGTCGTTGTGCCGCGCATCGCAAACTACCTGCGCGCTCTTCGCGTTAACCCTCCAAGCCCTCTCCCCCCACCGTCTACATCGGACTCTTCCTCTGCGGACGTGAAAGAGCTCAAGATCGGCGTTGCAGGGTTCTGTTGGGGCGGGAAGTACACCGTTCTGCTGACACAGGGTGCGGGTGGTCCGTTTGGCGAACAGTTGGTGGATGTAGGGTTCACCGCGCACCCGAGTATGGTGAACGTTCCTTCGGACTTTGAGAAGGTTGTTTTACCGCTGAGCGTTGCAAACGGGGATAACGACTCCATGATGGGCAGGGCACGTATGGTGCAGACGAAGGAGGTTTTGGGCGCGAAGGAGAACTGTGAGGTTGTCGAGTATCCCGGTGCCGTTCACGGGTTTGCGGTCCGTGGAGACCCGAAAGATGAGAGGCAGGGGGAGTTTGGGATGCGTGCAGAGGATCAAGCTGTTGGTTGGTTTAGGAGGTGGTTTGGTCAGGGTGCTGTGGCGTAAGATGTGATTCCTTTGGGGGCTTCGGTATGGGCGAGGTTTCTGATACCGAGGATCACGATAATGGGCTTGTTTGATCGAAGTCATTTATGATTGGCCAGGTGAGATCGCATGTAAGAAAGTATTAATGCGACAATAGTACAATAGTTCAGCCAAGTTCTTTAATCTTGCAATCATTCTCGTGGGGAACTGAGGCCAAGCGTAGAGATTATTCTGAGGTACAAGATGAAGTGGCTTGCACGGGCAAGAAATAAAACGTAATAAAATAGGAGGAATGAAGTGTAGTATCGTGTCAAAATGCTAAAAAAGAAAATCAAAAAAAGACGTTCTCCCCTTCCAGATTCGAACTAGAGACCTTTCGATAATCTTGGTAAGAACCATTACAGTCGAACGTGATGAACCAACTACACCAAGGGGAGTAACGGGGCTGAGCCCCGCTTGGTGGATGACAGCTCAAGCGCAAAGCTGCATGAAATGGCTCAGTTTTTGACCCACTGAGAGTCAACTTCATCGGTCATCTTGGTTCCTTGTTCAGTTGCAGATCGATTGGTAATCCTAAGATCGACGTAGCGGCGATCAACCCGTGAATGATTCTTTCTATCAAAGAAGGATACCCTGTTAGCTCTTGCCAGATCTGACGGCCAATTGTCGATCGGTCGGCGACAGTGAGATGTGGCATGGAAATCTTTGTCCATTACTGGGTTTGCCCTGGCGTGGTTGCTTACCGTGGTCATCTCCCGGTTCTTAACACAACTGTTTATTTATGTAACCATGGATATGAGCTCTTTCGGCGAATATTCAGTACATGGATATGTTGACTTTAGCGGGGACTCTTGCTCTACAGCTTGATTCTCTCGGCATCAACAAGGACAGAAAATTGACAGTTGTCAAGAAGACTCGAAGACGGAATTATACTTCAATTTACCCTGATGATCATTAAACCATTGCGGCATTCCAGGAACGACTCATAAAACGCCAAGGGGAATAGCAAAGCTTGATTCGGTGACAACGGGAGCGCCCCGGACCCGATGCTGCGGGTGGAGGGTTCAAAGTGGGGCCGACGCAGGGACGGCACACTCGATAAGCGATAAGCGATAAGACACGATGCACTACGTAGGCAATTAAGTCAGTGACGAAACTCTAAGTACTTTTTTTTTTTTCTCCATATTGATTACCTAAATTTCGATATACCTGGTCATCTTTTTGGCCCCTGCTGTTCACTTTCACGACCTGACCCAGAACAAGAACCCCCCCTTCCTCTCTCCCTACCGAACAATCCGCCCTCCGCCCATGCAATGAATCACAGAACGACGCTGCGCGTAATGCGCGCTCCGTCGGCTTCGACACTCCTTTGCGGCGGTTCAGTTCATTCGCCGTTCCTCTTCAGCGCGACAACAACAACGACGACGACCCCCTACCGCCGCCTCACAAGTTCCCTCACATCCGAAAAGTCACCCTCGGCACCCGTCCTGAACCCCAAGGTCAACCCTGTGGCCTCCTCCCGTCCTGCACCCCTCGAACTACCCGAGCGCCAGCCTGATCAGTCCAAGTTCTCTCACCTGTTCGCGCAAGCCAAGACGTACATCAAGTTCTACAAGAGCGGCCTCTCCGCCGTCTTCGCCAACAGGCGGCACATACAAGGCGTCATCGCCACCAAGAGCAAGACCGTCGAAGGCTTCCGCTCCCCCTCCGTCTTCACGCCGGGCCTGGTCCCTAAGGGTTTCAGCCGCGCAGACTGGGTCCTCCTCTGGCGTGTGCGTCACGATATCCTTCGCGTCCCGCTCTTCGGCGTCGTCTTGCTTATCTGTGGGGAATTTACCCCCCTCATCGTCATCTTTGTCGACGGCGTCGTGCCCTACACCTGTCGTCTCCCTCGCCAGCTCAACGCAAGCTTTGTGCAGGCTGAGGAGCGTCGGCACAAGTCGTTTGCGGATTTTGAGAGGGCCGCGCCTCAGGGTGCAATCCCTGGCACTGCTAGGGCGGCAGCGCGCAAGCATGTCCTGCGTAGCTTGCACCTTCCCGGCATGATGTGGGAAAAGGTTGGCTTCTTCCCGCCGGGCATGTGGGCGACCAAGGGCCGCCTGAGAATGGCGTTCCTGGAGGGCGACGACAAGTTGCTGCTGCGCGACGGCGGTGTTGCCGGGCTTGAGGAGCAGGAGGTGCGGATTGCGTGCACTGAGCGTGGCATTGACTGCATTGGTCGCGATGACGCGGAGCTGAGGAGTCTGTTGGACAAGTGGCTTCGCCTCACCGACGCAGAGGAGACTGCCGAGAGGAGGAAGCGTATGACAGTCATGTTGACGACAAGGTAAGATGTTCCCATCCCTGTGGCATACCCAATTGCTAATCTTTTTTACAGGACCGAGAACTGGCCCAAAAACAGAAACTTCACCCTCCCTGAGTGGCATCTCTGAGTGTCTTGGGGTCTTTTTCAGCATGTATGATACATTTATCTTGTGTGTGTGTGTGTGAATTGCAACGACTTACGGCAGTCCCTTTTTAGACACTCGTATCATGGCGAGTGCGGTTGCCGGGTCTGTACACTATTTATATTTTCATCGCGGCATGAGTAGAAAGGGTGGGCGCCAATAAAAAAAACACAGTATACGGCAGGGTTTTGGAAAAGGAATTACAGAGAATGGGTTCGGTCGCATATAGAACAAACTCCGTTCCGGACAGACAGCATACATCAAAGCCAAGATCCTCCCTTTTGTACTCTCGAGCGCAGTTTCTTGTTCCAGAATATGTGTGCGAAGGCTTAATGATTCATGCTGGTAAGTATTGATTCATGCGTGAGGTTGCCGGGTGCTTGTAGCAGCTGAATATGCTCTCTAATGTGAGTATATGGAGTAGCAGCCACAAGTGTGGGACAACCATTGTATTGGGGGGATTGTTCGCATGGGCATTATGAAAGATGTCGCCGTGTACATGGGTGAAAATTTAACTAGAACATGAAATAGCAGAGCACATATGGCAAGTGTGGGATAAGGCACTCATAAAACCAACCGCCTGCCAACTCATAGAAGTAGGCGTTCTACATAAGAACCGCATCTCCGTCACCGCAAAAAAAAAAAGCAAGCAGCTAGCTATCCACGCTCCATGATAGTAGGAAAGAGAAAAATGCCTCTTGCCAAGGCATGCATGTGTAAACACCCAATCTCACCTGACACTTGAATTACCCAGGTAAGTGACATATTGGCGTATGGTTGAGGGGAACGACCTTCATCTCGGCGGTGAGTACTATCGTCTTGAGGTCTTTATTCATGTTAACCTCTAAAGTAGCTCTACGGGAGAATGCAACTGCTACTGGTGTGATGATGTGTTGAAGCATCCATAGACTGCGAACGGCAAGATTGGCGGTCAGCACCGGTACTGGTACTCCATAGACCATGCTCACAAGATAAAGAGGGTATATCACAAAGTAGCGTTAAGAACCAAGTTCCAGAGTACACATCCTCTTGTCCATGTACTATAAGTGCCTATTCTTTGATAAACTCAGACATTCTCTCTACATCTGTGATTTTAGGTCCACCTCAATTCCCCCATAATCCTCCGCCGCAAAGGACGCCCTCTACACAGGCGCCCTGCCCAAGCCCAGACGTTGCTGTTGGCTAGGGAAAATGAATACTAAAACAAAATGCAGGATCCTAACTCCGTACCCTCTCCCAAAAAGAGCAATGCTATGCCTTACCTTTCTTCGCTAACGAGCCCGCTGTCTCTTCATCTAGTATAACCCGACCAAGAAAAAATCAAAGGAGGAATAAATCGAAGAAAGAAAAAACGCTAGGCCCATTCTTTGCATCATCCTTCATGCCATCTTTTGATCATCCCTCATTTGGCGTTGGCAGACTTGTTAGACTCCAGAGCGCCAGCGAGAGCCTTGGCCAAATCTTCCGTCTTGACCTGCACCATCCAGGTCTCGAAGCCGCTGCCTGTCTCATTCGAAGTTGTCAACTTGACATACTTCTTGTCAGACTTGTAGTCCTTGCCCGGAAGGACAGTCCTGTTCAAAACAACATGGCCACGAGGTTCAGCACGCAGAAGCATACGAACGGCACCCGTGGTCTTGTGCTTGAGCAGACGGAACGGACCGATACCCTTGGTAGACCAGGGGCTTTTGTTTTTGGGCTGGTCATCGCCACTGTCGTCCTCAGTTCCAGGCGGGACAAATTTCATAACCTTGGCCCGCACCTCATGTACAACGGTCTCATCTTCCTCGCCGGGGCCGCCCTCAGTCAGCTTGATCTGCTCATGGGGCTTGCCCTCGGTGTCATCGCCCTCGCCGCCATTGGCTGCGGCCGCCTTCTCAGGCTCTGCTGTAGGTTCAGGGGTTCCAGTTGCGGGTGTCGTTGCTAGGCTAGAGGCACCGCCAAAGTTGAAGGGTGAGTTGGTTCCGGTGGTCGAAGCACCGGCCGGAGGTTGCAAACCACCAAACATACCAGAGGGCTGCGCGGGCTTGGCGCCAAACATGTTGCTTGTGGCCGATGGGGTAGATGCTCCAAAAAGCGGCTTTTGGCCGGCAGGGGGAGCAGTGCTGCTCGTGGCGTTGGATGCACCGAAGTTAAAGGTGGGAGCCGAAGCAGCAGGAGCAGCAGGAGCAGCAGGAGCAGCAGGGGCGCCTCCGAACTGGAAGGGAGAGCTGCTTGGCTGAGCACTGGACGACGAACCACCGCCTCCAAACTGGAAGGATGTAGATCCGCCAGATGGCGCAGAAGATCCGCCGCCAAAATTGAATGATGGAGGCGCAGAGCTGGATGTTTCACCATTGGACGCAAAAGGGTTATTGAACGACTGGCCACCACCTGCACTAAAGGTGAAGGACGATCCGCCTCCAGAGCCGAAGCTCGGGGGGCCGCTGGCGCCACCATTGGTTTGAGGTGCAGACGAGCCTCCGAACGGGTTGGAAGGGGCTGCGCTCTGGGATGCTCCAAAAGTGAAGGAGGAGGTGGAGGGAGCCGGCGCGTTGAATTGCTTCTTGGCCGGGGGACCGTCCTGCTTCATAGGACTACCACCGAAGGGAGGGTTGGCAGCATCCGACTTCTGGGCGCCAAAGAGAGGGTTGGGTTCCGCTGGTTTATTGCCTCCGAAGCTGAACATGGGTGCCGCAGAGGCGGCGGGAGCGGGCTCTGGAGCCTTGGGGGCAGCAGCCTCGGCAGGCTTTGCGCCGAAAAGGTTCGAGGTGCCTGACGCAGGCGCATTGTTGCCGAAGAGCGAAGTGGACTGGAAGGGACTGGCAGTTCCCGAAGTGCTGGCGCCGAAAAGTGGCTTGGCTGGCTCAGCGACGGGAGTCGTCGACGCTTCTTGGGGCTTGTTCCCGCCGAAGAGAGTCGATGACTGCATAACGGCAGGCTTGTCCTGGTTGCCGAATAGGCTGGAAGGAGTGGTCGAAGCCTTGGCATCATCGGTCTTAGGAGCGGAGGCACCAAACGCGAAGGTTGGGGCAGCCGGCTTAGGCGCAGACTCGTCTTTCTTGGGCTCTTCAGAAGCCTTTGGCTGGAATCCAGCGGAAAATCCAGCGAAGGGAGATTTAGCAGGGGGCTTCGAGCTGTTCTCCTTGTCGGATTCAGCATCCGTATCAGGAGCGGAGCGCTTCGCGGGCTTGGATTGGTCCTCGGCCGGTTTGTCCTGCTTGGGGGCGCCAAACAGATTGGATGCAGGTGCGGCGGGCTTAGCACCGAACAAGGAGCTCGAGCCACTGTTGGTGGAAGCTCCAAAAAGATTGTTGCTAGCGGGGGCAGGGGCGGCGGCGTTGAACTTGATGGGTGTATTTGGGTTCCAGGTGGCATTGACGGGAGCCGGTGCAGACTCCTTGTCCGAAGTGGATGACGGATTGACGGCAGCAGGTGCCGGCTCGGCAGAGTCGGAGCGGAGAGGCTGGCCGTCATTTCCCTTGGTGACGCGGTCGAAGAGGCTCTTAGGTGTGGTCTCTCTAGCATCGGCGGACGAGACGCTGGAAGGGCCGGTAGTAACGCCGCTGGAGAAGAGTGGCTTCTTAGCAGCAAAGAGGTTAGAGGCAGGTTGAGCTAACGGCGTCTCGGCGCCACCACTAGCGGCAACGCTGGGCTCTGCCTCCTCCTCGGAATCGGTCTCACTTTCGCCGTCAGCCTCCACACCGCTGTTCTTCGCAGAACTATTGTCCGAGAGGTAGCCAAAGATGTTGCCTCCTTGAGGCGGCTTGAGACTTTCAAACACGGACTTCGCCGGCCCGCCATTGGCGGCCTGCGATGCAGCGGCAAACGGGTTAGGCTTGGCCTCTTGAGCCTTGGGTGCGGCTTTAGGAGTCGAGGCGGGGCCTTGGTTGTTGGCGATGCGCTCAAACATGCTCTTGGTGCTCGAAGGAGTTGATGTTGGCTTTTGAAGCTTGGATGGCTGGTTTTCGTCCGACTCATCAGCCACGGTTGCCTTTCTCTTGTTCTTAGCAGCCGGTGTGGCAGCAGGCTCTTCATCCTCTCGGTCGAAGGCACGTCTTTTGTTGTTCTTGTTGGGGGATGCGGTGGAAAGGGCTGTGTCCTTCGGAGTGAGCTGCTCTTCAGCCTTACGCTTAGAGCGAGTAGTTTGCCTTGAGGGGCTGGCATCGGCAGTTTCCTCCTCGGGCTCGGGGAGACCATGGGCGGCCCTCCACTTCTTCAGAACCTCGTCTGAAGGCTTAACGTTCTTGAATTCGTACAAGCCGTATCTGAGCATGATCAAGCTCCGGCTCTTTTCAAACTCCTTTGCGAAGTTCATAATGTTGAGCTTCCAATCCTTCTTGGCGAAAATTTCGTTAGCAGCGTATTTGAGACGGCGGAGGTCCAGAACGCAAAAGAGCTGACGTCGCTGAAGGTCATCGTATTCGGCGGGGACGAGATGGCCGAGGTACTGGTCAGCGTATACAGTACCCTTCGCTTCAAGCTCTGGAGGGATGTCTCGCGCGAGAGCTTCGCCCGAAAGCTCAGGAGGAGGAGAGGGAATGCGCATCTGGAACAGGTCGGTGGAGTTCGATTTGGAAGAAAGGCCTCGAGGGGTGGCCTGCGCAATGTTCTCGCGGTAGACTTTTTGCGAAGCCGGTGTTGCGCCAGGCGCGAAAACCTTTTTCATGGTGCTCGCGGGCAGGCTCGGGGTGAAGGAGGTAGCGGCCGGACTGGCGGCAATGGAGGATGAGCGGAAAAGGTTATGAGCGGTAGAGATTGTGCTCGTGTTGAGGTTGCTCGAAGGCAAGGGGTCGCGATTCAAAACCTTATGAGGAGCAGTCTGGGGAGTGCCGAGTCGCTTGTTGGGGTTCAAAGGCGAAGCTTGGTAGCTACGGTTTGCGAACTTGAGCGACGGGCGCGCCCGCGGGGTGCTATTTCTGTGATCCATAATGATGAGGACTGGCAAGGAACTCGGAGATAGGATTATAATTAGTCGTTGATGATGAAATTGGTGCCAGTCGGGTCGGTCCTAGATGGGCAGTCGCGTCTCGATTCACGCAGGATTCGCGGACAAAGCGACGGGTGCGTAATAGAAATCAGGCGCAACAGCGAGAAGCGACGGCGAATGGCGGGGGGAAAAAGTCGATAAAGTCACCTCAAAGGGGTGATAGAGGTTAACAGCAATGGAAGACAATAACGCAGCGATCAGAAAGCTGATCCTGGATGGCGCATCGAAGACGGCCGGTGTCTGGCTGAAGAGACCTCAGGAAGATTTTGGCTGGGTGATTTTTGGTGTGGCACGTCCTGGTGACGGGTAACGGGGCCAGCTATGAAAAAAGCAGGCCGCAGGGGGGGTGTAAAGCAGAACTAGCAAGGTGGGCCCACCTTTCTGCCGTCACCAGCCTCAGTCCTAAGGCAACCGCCTTTCAATTGGTTGTGACGATGAGAGACGAGGACTGGACGCGACTGGTTAATTTTCGGCGCTTCGATTTTTCCCAGAAGCTCTGCTCAGTGGATGGTCATGGCTGGTCGTCCTCCAAGCCAGGGGGAGGTGTTCTGCAGGTACGTAGCTTGTACTTTCCAACCAGAGTCCAGTTCACCTCGTGTCCTGCCTATCCGGAGTGTCTGTTGGCCCGCGCGTCTTTTCTGGCCTGCTTAGTAAGGAAGCTACCACCTCCATTTCCATGGCCGTCACACTGCAACAGTGTAACACACCAAACACACCCTCCTAGTCAGCTGCACTCCTGACTCTGTTGCATGTGCCTCGAGACAGTTGTAGTCATGATGGCTGATGCAAATGCGGCGCTGAAACCAGGGGAGGAGGGGGACGCGCCGTGGCCGCCATAACGAGTCTTGCGCCTACCAAAAGGGGTTCTTCTCAGTTCTTGGTAACAGCCATTTGACAGACAACCCCAAACATTCCCTGGATCTTGGCGGAGAGCGGTAGGCCAATAAGCGAATACCAGAAAGCCATGCTTCTGACAGATTTCTTGAGGTATTATGAATGAACAATCGAAGCGTGTGTATGATTCACACAAAGTGCTTTCCGGCCGTCGACGTGCTGATGAGGTCGGCGGCGTTGTCGGCCCTCTAGGCGTTGTGTCTGCTGACTCGGACCGGCAATAGTCGGGAATGCAACTAACTCATCTCCATCGTCGTCCCCCCGAGTGTCGACGGAAGCACGTGTCTCTAAACACGAGTATCCGGTACCCAGTTCGCATTGGCTGACTACGACGGACTGCATTCCCGCGTTTCTCGACGGTTTCGGTATTTATCTGGTCTTCAAGACCTGTGAAGCGATGTGACCTCATTCAATTAAGTTTTGGCAGAGATGCTCAGTTTTTGAATTTAGCCATGCGTCACCGGCTATTTTGCAGCAATCGAAGCACGAATAGCAGTTTGTCTCGCCTCGCATCATGAAAAATGGTAGTTACTTTGTCATATTCTCGTTTCCTATGAGCGCAAAATTGACGCCTTTCCGGGCCTACATAGTAGCGCCCTTTGGTATTCCAACCAGTAGGTTATGGTACAGGGTATTACCGACAACACTCAACGTCCACCATAGTTCGCTTACAACTTGGCCTTGGTCTGGGCCTTCTTCAGAATGGGCTCCATCTTGGTGGCCTTCATGACATCGCCCTTGATCTTAAGCTTGCCGGACATGAACATCTTCTGAGCATTAGCCTTGCCGAGGACAAGTTGGCCGAAGTCCTGGTCGGACAAGGACAGGGTAACTATAATTGACATGTTAGACAATAGTACCCAATTAGTTATCCCATCTAGACATACCGGTAGGCTTATCACCGAGGCCCTTGGCAACCTGGCCCTTGTTCTTGAGGTCGATGTGCCAGCTGTCGGTCTCACCAGCCTTGTTCTTCAGGGTGAAAGCGAAGATGGCGTTGCCCTGCTTAATAGCGTCCTTGCGGTCGGCCTCGCTGGAGTTCAAAGCCTCGTTGATGGCATCGAAAGCGGCCGAGGAGGGGAATTTGTCTGACAAGAAGCAAAAAAGACTGTCAGCAACAACCGAGGTAGAAAGGGAGTCGCTCATGTGCGCTTACCGTTGGCGAGACCCATTATGAAGGTGTGGATAATAGATACCAAGTGGTGGTGATTTGGGCTGGTTGGTTGGGTATTAGAGATGCACTGAATATGTTGACAGATCGCGAAAGATTACCGAAACGCGGGGGACGACCGAATACTTTAAATACTGGAAGATTGGTGACGGTTAAAGCCGTGCGCCGGAGGTTGGGGGAGGAATAATTGCTGGATGACGCTCAGTGTCGCATGTGAACCTCGGCGATTTAGCACGGCGTCATGTGCGCCAGAAGCAGAAGTGGGTACCCCACATCCAAACCCAGTAGTAATAGGACCCCGGCCATGGAAACTGCCCCGATCAACCTCGACTGCGGACCTGGGGGGGGACCGACCACCGCTTGACCATTACCATGTGCATTGGCAGAACCGCAAGAAAAACGCTAGTGTATATCGTCAGCGGGTTCCGCCATCCGGTAGCCAGTGCTAAAGGTGGCTTGGCTCTCAGTAACCGAACCAAGCATGGGCAAGTACCTACCCTAGGTATAAAGTACGGAGTAGGCAAAGACAGGCAGGCACTGGAACGAGGCGCGGCGCAACCATCCATTTCTGGATTCTGGAAACCTTCTGCCATTTCCATCCACGAATGACAGACGCCAAAAGAGGTAAAGAGGGAAGTCTCCAGTGTATACCGCAGCGGCCCTCTAGTTTAAATTTTCCACGCCTCCGTTTTTGACATTGGAGGTGTCCCTAACCGGCAGTATCCGATAATAACGATAATCATGAACCACTACCCTTATTCATGGAATCTCAATTGGCGTTCACACTTTTCAGGGCCGCCTGCAAAGCCACTTGGAAAGGCTCTAGGCCTTTAGCCCTCGTTTTTTTGACTTCAAAGGTGTCTCGTAAACACCGAGTCCCCTAAAGAAACACGCGAGAGAAGGTGGAAAGCCACAGAGACACTAACCAACCCGTCTTTGGCAGGACAGCAAACAACCAAGAAACAGGACACTGCGACGGTTTTGACATTCCATTTCCCCTCAGAAACAAGCTTCAGACGGCCGTCATTTGAACGAATCGTATCCGCATGCGCCTGATTCATGCTTGCACAGAAGGCACGCCACAATCTTACCATCTCTTTCCACCGATGACGCCCAGATGCGCTACTACACACCAGAAGTCGACTCAATGCCTAACACACAAGACTGACGGCAGCCGAGGGATAAAACATGAGGCTGGATGGAAGTGAACATCCAGATTCGTTCGATCGACCAAATTGGGCAGCCGCGACGAGAACGAGTCCGAGTGCGGTAATGCGTCACACAAAGACTCAGAACAAGAAAGCCAAATTAAGACAAAGGCAGCAAAGAATGCCTCGGCAGAGGACTAAAGAACATTGAAGTTGGCACGAGTTAACCGTCGTTCCATTCTGGCGGTTCGTCTGACACAAAACTCTGGGTGACCAACTCCAATTCGATGAGGCACGGCTTCTGCTATCTGATTCCACTCGCCATGACATGCAACCCCTGTCTTAACTCTAGGACGAGCACCTGCCTCGAATGCAGATCCTTTACGACGGCGCACGGTCTAGGCCGCGGCTTTTCAAGCGCCCGTATCTCGGAGATACGCCGCCAGCACGCCTCCCCAAGAGCCGCCATTGTCCCGGGCCACAACCTTCCAAACCTCACCGCCCGTCTGGTCGTACAAGAGGTTCGTGGAACTCTTGGAGTTCAAGCCAAACCAGTATGTTGATTTTGCGCCATTGGCAAAGGCTTGGTTCGTCATGCAGATGCCACCTGTGTTCTCACACTGGGGGTTCTGCCAAGCGTTGTCGTTCATCTTGTTAAAGAACGCCCACAACGCCGATCCGTGAATCACCACCTTTGAGCTGCCAGTCATGTAATGTCCCCAGCCCCGGTAGCATCGGTCGTTATTGCCCTCACCCTGAGCCGCGCAATTGCTGAAGTCCGGGTCGCCGTATGCCGATTTGACACTGCTCGGTTGTGTTAGCACTCGCGCCGGTCTCAGACGGGATATACACCGGACCGCCGGCGGGGTTGGGGCTACTTACGACCATGGAGCTGGCGCGCGCTGGGGTGTGCCCTCGCCTTGCCAATAACTCGATTCGCTGTGCTGCAACGAAATGTAAACATTCTGGGCATTGTGGAGGTTGTACTGATACAGGACGCAGTGCTCAAAGCTGGCTGCCACCAGCCACGTGGGCTTAGTGCTCTCGATGAGTGCGCCTCTGCCCACTGCAATGTTCTGCGCGGCCCCACCGTCGAGCGAGTGGTCTGCCACCCAGCCCCAAACGTTCTCGAGGTACGCAGATGCCGTTGATGTCACATGCAAAAGTGCAAAAGCAGCCTTGCAGGAGGCGGGGTTCAAGCCGCCGCAGTTGGTGTTGGTGAGAGAGTGCTTGGTGCCGCCGACACGGAATACACTGCTCCAGATACCAACGTCACCGGGCTTTGATCCGGCCATGTTCACCTGGACAAGGGTGGCGCCCTGAAGGACATCGGCAACTTCTACTGTGATATCGCTGATCTGAGCCACGCCGGTTTCGCCGGGGTTACCGACTTTGAGAACAGGTTGGGGGTCGTCAGGGTTCCACCACCGCGAGCCGATGCCGTTGAAAGTACTGAGCGTCTCACCAACCAGCCGTGTTCCAGGAGGAACATAGATGGTCTCTTGCGTAAGATAAATACCCTGAGGAACGAAGATAATCTTGCAGTTCTTGTACTTTTGGAGGATCGCGTTGATGTTGGGTCCGTCATTGTGCGAGTTGTCGCCGTAGACGGGATACTGAGGATCACCCTTCAAGCTGACGAACTGATCCAGTGCATACTTCTCGTACTGAGGTAGCGGCGCGGTGAAGTACCTGTCGCCGGACAGGAGCGCAGCCGGTCTTTCAATAGGGTATGTTGTGCCGCGCTGCAGGTTGTTCGAGTTCACGTACCCCAGAACCCACGTCTGGCCCGCCGGGACAGAACCCGAGCGCAAAGTCGAGCCATCCGTCGATCGGACCGCTGTGGTGCCGGTGGCCTGGAAGTTGTCGATGACGAGTGAGTTTTGGCCGTAGCCGGTCACGACAGTGTTGACGCCGGCTTGGCAGGTCTGCACCTTGGAGTCGACCAGAGATACAGAACCGGCTGTGCTGCGGCTCATGTCAATGCCGTACTGGCAATTGGCGAAGCTGGCGCCTTGGACGACGAGGACGTAGACGCTGTCCACCGAGATGCCGACGTTACAGCCATTGAAACTCAAGTTCTTGAACTGGTACTGCTGACCGTTCATTTTGATTCCAATGGCGCCTCCCTCGAATTGCTGGGTCTCGTCAGCTGTGTTACGCCCGAGGATGACGTAGTCAGACTTACACTGTCGCTAATCAAGATGCCGGAGCCGCCCGCCTTCATGGTGACACCGATATGGCTCGAGTAGTTGGGCATGCGGATTTTGACGTTGGTTAGGGAACAGCCCTGAGAGACAGACCAGTCGATGCCAACCGCCTGCACGCCCGTGCCAATCTCGTTGGTGTCGATAATGACGTTACGCACAGCCATGTAAAAGTTCTTGGTCGCAGACCCGTCGCCTTGGTGGGCATCGTAGCCGTTGATGACGGGTTGAGCGCCCAGCGCCGGATCGGCAATAAGCACGGGGGGTTTGAGAGGGTCACCGATGAGGTATGTCGAGACGAGCATCTGGATCGGCTTCTTGATGCGGTAGCGGCCGGGAGGGATATATACGTATGCCGGACGGGTGGTCACGGTGTTGCCTGTCCGGGTCCAAGCTGTTAAAGCATGAAGAGTTAGTTCTCCGAGATGTTTGATTCCCACTATCCGACTTGATGTGAATATACAACGCACCCTCAATGGCCCAGTTGAACGCATCCGACGAGTCCTTGACGCCGGTGTTGTCGGCCTGGTATTGCACGACTGTCCGGTAGTACTGAAACGTGGAATCCGTGCTCGTCGGTGCCGTGCCGTTGTGCCCGATGGCCGCGCGCCACCACGTCTGCGGGTTGCTCTCCACTGGCCCGTTGCATGTCTGCCGGGACTCTATGGTCCGTTCGACATCTTGCATATGCGGGTGTGCGGCGACGGCCCCGATACCGAGGGTCGCAAGGAGAGGAAGCAGCTTCATGACGGATGGATAGTCCTTATCAGAGAGCAAACTGCCTTAACATTACAAACCAGCTCAAGGGAGGATCAACATTATTTATATTAACATTGTCCCCCCCCATGGATGAAGGACGGCCTTCATTTCCAGCCCATGGACACCAGCGGGTTATCGATAGCCTATTCTAGCCTAGCCAGCCAGTTACAGCTAGCCCTACGTCGAGGGGGAACATGAAAAGAAAGAAGAAAGAAAAAAAAAAAAAAGCGTTGCGGTCCCCCCCTGTTCGGGATATTGGCCCTTCTGCATGTGTCTGAATAATCGCCAGTCTACACTAGTACACCCCTGAGTTTCCGCTTCTTTTCCAGCTACCGCCGCAAGTACCAGTGATAAAATTGACCCATAGATCGCGGCCCGGGCTCCACAACCACCGAACGACCGGGTCCTCGTCTCGGAGCTGATGTGAGAGGATCGTAGACTGCACCTGCCGTTCCTCTGAAAGGCCAATTCTATTCGTTGTTCAGTAGCCAAAATCGAGTGGAACCCAATTGACGAAGGGCTATGGAAGGAGTATCAGCCGATTCGCGATATCTTCTCTTTTTCTTCATCAACTGACCGCGTTTGGTACAGTTTATTATTTTTTTTATTTATTTTTTTAGGCAGAAGGCATACTGGGGTGGTGCGTGTTTTTGTTCATTGCGGGGACCCGGTTTCTTGGCTGGACCTGGACCGGATCTGCACCTCCCTAGTTTGGCAAGGGTGCAAAATCGAAAATGGCTATTTTTATAAAGAGTGCTAGTTTAGAGTGTCATGCTATCCACGTGAGTGCGTTTTTTATTCCCAGTCATCGTGAAGGGTGAAGTTGCGGTCGGCTGTCATGGCTTGAGTCTGATAGGGTGTTGTCGGGGTAATCTTGGAGGGGCTGGCTGTTTAGAGAGTAAGAAAAAAAAGAGAGAGAGAAAGAAAACAGATGACCGTCCACGGGACCTGTCATCTCGATACCGCTTGGCGTTATCGGTTGTCTTGCTGCAGGTTGACCGGTTTTTTGCTGACACATTTGTGTCCGCTTTTGAATTGACGGACGTCAGTTTAGGGTTGCAATATTGTCTGGAGATGCGGTGGGCTAATTGTGTTTCGGGTGTCGTTCGTGCTGACTACATCGATAGACTACTGTGAGTTGTTTCTTGGCTGGCTGACGAGGTGATTAAGTTGACGGCAACATGTGGTTATTCGGCGACTACCCGGGTATCAAGATCATGTCCCATGAAGTGTGCCTCGGTCTACGAAACTATTTTTAGCATCTGAGTTTGAACCAGAGATCTAGATAGCTTTTTGTCGTGATGTTGGAAAATCAAGGTAGCGAGAGCGCTGGAGTGAAAGGAGGTTTTCAACAAGTTGATGTCCGGCATCCGGTTGGCGACTACTTTGGCTTTGTAGATTACCTAGATCTCACCAGCTTTTCCAGGCACTGCTTCACCACCACATACCCTTCATACGAACGGGTAAAAGGATTCCTCTCTCCCCAAGTTTACATTTATGCGCTTCCATTTGGGAAGAAAGATTCCATGGACAAAGAACATGTCAAGACCGTCACACTCGGCACATCACGCAAATTTTCTACAAATATTCACATCTCAGTTATTCCTTCTACACCTCACTACTTCAATTGCAGACCTTTCATTAATATCATGAAACTTTCTACAAAGATAAACGTAACAACGTCTGCATCTCCCTCAGAATTCCATATCTATCTGCTTACCGTTCTTTCCCTTGACACAGTCGAGTTGGGCTAGTGCTAATGTACTTTCACAAGATTCAGAAGTCTAACCCAATATTGACCGAACAAAAACAGCATGGCGTCTAAGAAATCAGCCAATCTAGTCATTGATATGCTCAAGCCATTACCATAAACGTCAACAACCCAGACGCTATTGATCCTGACGTTGGCTGGTTAGTCGCCAAACGTCACGCCATTTCCTCAGTATATCTCCAAACCGACTCAAGCCTCCGTGGGGTAGAAACCTAGGAGAGTCAATTCCTCACAACGCCGACTTGGAGCAGTGGAATTTTCCGTCGGAGAAGAAGACCGCTACGCAAACTACCGACCACATGCTCTTGGCACACGAAGCCACTCGTCCATACCCAAGGACCAAGGCCAGCTGGCCCCTCTGAGCGGCACAGGAAAACATCATCAGTCGCCGACCTAGTTTGCTTCCAATAATCTACCTCCCACGAGGCCGGCTGTCTCGAGTAACGACCATCCAAAGCCGGAGCTTCCTGTCCTATTGGAATCGAGATCTCCACGGACGTCTGACGATGCAATGACTGCTCCACCTGTTGAAGAATCTTGATGTCAGAACATTTTCAGGTTACTAGTAGTCTACATTTACGCTCCTGGTCAGTGCGCCAAAGCTGGCCGGAACCGGATAGTTCAAACGGCGATCAACCCAGACGGTTGACGACCACAAGGAGAAATGCCCCGTGGCAGGTTGACGGGTCTTGGCACGGGGCGGTCTCGGCTCCTGTGTAAGTCGCCCACCAAGCGACGACTGGCATTCGTCTGGATGTTCACATTTTGAGCGAGACCACTCACCCGGGCGACCGCTCTTGGAAGCGTCCCACGAGGGCTCACTTGGCACATTCCTGACGTCATGGCGACCTGAAGAATGATTCTGCCTTAATTACGGATACTGTATTGGCTATAATAGATACGAAATGCGGCGATGTGCCTCTGTTGTAAGGGTGAATCCGTGTGGTTCTCACACGTAAGCCCATGCGGGCGTCTTCCGTTGGCCTGCCACAACAAGCCTATCCGTTACCATCCGTTCTATCCTCCCCTCCATATCCCGCCATTTCTGGTCCTCATGTATTGATGCGTGCTGCGTGCAATTTCCCCCTTCGCTAATGCCTGCGATAAAAAAATGCAATCCCGGCTCAATCATGGTATCAATTGCTGTGTTTCCCTGAACGCCCCTTTTGGTAACTCGATGTAACGCCGTGAAAGATTGTGATGTGGATTTGTAGACAGTGAATAATAGTTCGCTCATTCTGAGAATGACCTTGAGAAATTTAGCTTCTCGTCACAGCTGGAGGTGGGCTCGCGACGGCTGGTGGTGTCGAAGACGTAGAGCCAGTTGCTGTGCCATAATCTGGTGGCAGGGAACCCCGGGCAGTTCCTGCCGCGGCACCGATGGGTGGCGGCGGGGGGATGGCGCCGGCCGCGGTGTGCTCAACATGAGCCATCTCGAAGCTGCCGTCTCGGGGAAGAGTCTGACCGGGCTTCGCTTTCGGTTCGTAGGCGGGCGGGGCCTCGCCGAACTCGTTCAAACCCTCATCGCTGCGGGTAGTCCACGCCCAACGACCATTACGAGATGAGCGTTGGCCTCCTTGCCTTTGGCGATTCGCCTCTAGATCGCGACGAGGCCATGGGCGCTGCAGACCGAGCTTGCGGAGACGGCGGCGGCGCTGGAACTGGACGAGTGTAGCGAGGATGCCAATGGCGAGGAAAACGATGAGCGGCGTAAGAATCCATGTATACGGCGTCGAAGATAAGCTATGCCCATCTCCACTGCTACCCAGGGAACTGCTATCCACTGAAGACATGATGTGCTGGTAGTATGTCGTAAGGAGAGGGAGACGACTGGTAAAAAAGAGAGAATGAATGAAGTTGACGAAATCGGGGATCCGCGGCGATGGATTGAAGTAGGCGTGGCAAATGGCAACAATGGGTGATTATCAGGGGGTGTTTGCCTGGTTTGTTCCAAAAGAAGCCTTTTTGTCTTGTTTGCTGGACTGCGGTTGGTGTTTAATTCTTGGGGCGAAAAGGAAAGACCCCTGGTGGTCGTATTGATTTGGATCGAATCACAGAGATGCGGAGCGAGGCAGGGAACGGATAGTGACAGTGTTGGTGATGCAAAGAACCGGACTGTTGGTCTCTCACGTCATCATAGCGTGGCTCGGTTTCTCGACTTCACTAGTGTCTTCTAGGGGTCCAGTAGCTCCGGTAGCTGTAGCGATATGGAGTGAACGGGAGGCGAGGGAGATGCGCAGCAGGGGCGGACGTCGGTCTTTTGGTGAAAACCGGTGGATGGGAGAGGCTGTTCGGAGAGTGCGGGTGTTTTGTGGTTGGTGGTTGGCAGAGCAAGGGGAAGCTTGCTTCCTATGATGTATCTCCTGGAGTCGGTCTGGTAGTTGCCACTCGCGTGCGGTGGGTAAGTCAGGCCCCAATTGTTTTCTTGAATTACAGGTCGACTTGTTGCAGATCTCGAGGGCCGGCCGAGTTGTTGTTTGACGTACAAGGGAGGGGAATGGAGCCAAGGAAAAGGAGAAAAAGAAAAGAGAGGGAGCAAAAAAAAAATAAAAAAGGAAGGAGTTAGAAAAGTTTGGGGAGGAGAAGTAGTGGCGGGGGAGATATTGGATATTTGGCTGCAAATGCCAAACAAGAGCGGAGGGCGAAGAGGGCGAAAGTGGATGTGAATTCCAACGGCAGGGATTGGAAGGAAGCACCCGAGAAGCGAACTAGGTTGTTACGGGATACTGAACAAACTGTAAAGTGCCGGGCTAGTTATCTTGAGACGGACAGGCTAGGCCAGATATCGTAGAGTTTGAAGAATGAATTGACGAGTTCGTATTCCAAGACTCCGGGCACGAGGAAGCCACTATTAATTACTAGTGTCCGGGAACCAAGGGCTAGCAACGATAGGAAAGCGTCGACAGCTTGCTAGGTTCTGGGGTTTGCGTGTGAACGTGCGCAAGTGCGAATGCGGACAGCTTCCGTATGCGATTGCGACAATATCACAGAAGATGTATCTGTAATGCAGAAAAAAGAGAGCCGAGGGATAACAAAATTCGGATGAAGACAGAAGAAGAAGGCGCAGTAAACGGCTCCCGAGGTAAACGAAAGCAACCGTGAGCTCAAGCAAAACAAGAAAATAAGAACGTGCTCTCCTCTAAGGCATGAGATGAGAGGAACCAGGATGAAGTGGACGACGGATTTGAAGAATGGGACGAAGACGATGCGATGGATGGGATGCTCTCGTCGATGGGTTTGGCGATTTGTCCCGACTTGCATGCCAGGGCCATCAGATATGAGGTTGTGTGCCAGAATGCCAGCAAGGGGCCACCCCGATTAGGACTGAGGTGATTTGTTCAGTGAGCCACTGTCGCATCTGCTCTGGGGGGCCCAGAAGAAACTCTAGACAATCAAATGAGACGGTCGACCAGGTGCCAATTCCTTCAGGGAAGAAGGGCTTGGCTTTTTCGGGGTTCGCACGTCATGAGTTGCACTAGCCGTGTCGTGTTTAGCAGCAACGTCCTCTGGAGGGATGAACTGGTCCACTAAACAACGAGCATCCACATCACCTTTTTTTTCTTTTTTTTTTTACTGGGAAGATATCAAATACCACCAACAAGGTTGATGCTGCTTGCGCTGCGTAATGAAGGGACGGGGAAGGAAGGGTACTTGCATGTGCAGCCTTGCATAGCGGCTCTGTGAAGTACCCACCTTCCCTTCACAAGTAATACTCTACGTGCCTAGGTAGGGCCTCTTACCAAACCCCGGCCTGAGCATCAAAATCAACAATCGCCGACTGTACGGAGCACACCGCGGCTGTTTCAGAAAGCCCTCGCTTCGTTCCAAGGCTACAGATTGCCAAACAAGCATACGGAAACAGAGGGAAAAGAAGGAAGGAGAGAGAGAGGGTGTGAGAGAAAATCCCTCCAAGCACCTTTTTCTACCAAGGAGCATTCCGCAGTTTCCTTGGCTCTCCAAGTAATTGTGGCTCGTTTTCAGACGCTGCAACTCAGAGAACCCACTCACGATGCTTTGTCCACGCATAACGAGAAGCTTCATAACCTCCTTTCTCGGCATTCAATACACATAAACCTGCGTGGAAACCGAATGCGAGGGATCTTTCATCACCTGAGTAGACGCAAATTACAGCAGCCATATTTCTCCATATAGGCTGCAGGTGATGACTTACGTTTCCACTTTCTGGGGTAGTCATCAGCGCACATCATACAAGGGAAATATATCTTCCCGGTGGGCGAACTTGTCCAGCTTCAAGCGCGTCAATGTCAGCTGCTCACGACCTTCTTCATCAAACTGACAACACCAGCTCCAGTCTCGCTGGTAAGCCAATGCTGAAATTAGCAAATGGGCACCTGCAGAAGGACACGGCGATTAATCAATCACTAAAAGGTGGCATTCAGATTAAGTGGAGTTGAGAATGGAGGGGCTAGAGAGGGTCCAGTACCCCTGGTGCTTCAGTGGTAGGTGGGGGTCAAGGGGTCGAGAATCCGCCCTTCCACTGGCTGCTCGCCCTCGGCTGGCGTTATTTGCAAATTGGCCCCCGTGCCAGGGTCAACTGTGAAAACGGTGGAGCCCGGCCTTTGCAGAGCCCAAACTTACCCCCAAGTGAGGCGCTTCTGCACTCAATCCCTGGCTGAGGTCAGCTTCCCTGCCTGAGGCCCCACACCCTGGCCTTGAAGCTTCCAAATCTCTTCGACGATCCGTTTCCCACCCACGTCAACCGCCAGACACGCAGTTACAGTTCGCGACACAAGCTCATCGGTGGCTCAGCAAACCGCACATGACCGCCGCCATACGCGACGCCGACCGCAGTACCCTAGCCTCCTTGTCGAATCCTGTTTTTCATTCCTTGCGAGAAGCCGCACCCGTTTGCAACTCTAACTCTATCCATTCACCCATCTCACTCTAGTCCCTTTCCTCCACTTCACATCCACCCATCATGCCACGCGCAATCAGAGGTAAGCATTGCTTCGTTGAACCGCAACCTTCGCTTGGAACTTGAGGCCTGCTCACACCCCGGTCTTCCCCAGGAGTGCTCATCGAGTGCGACCCCTCCATCAAGTCCATCATCGTCAACATCGACTCGGCGAACCACGACTACATCATCGAGGACCTCGACGATCAGCATGTTGTTGTCAAGGAGAACATGGTTGCTGCCCTCAAGAGACAGCTGGACGAGGTTGGTTCTTTCCAGGTGCACGCCTCTCGTTTATGTTGCATTCTATAATGCATTTGCACAATGGCTCGAAGGAATGGATCACTGATGAATCATCTATACAGAGATTGAAGGAGACGCAGCAGCCAGACGAGAGTTCAGACTCTGATTGATTGACTACCGATAAAGCCAATCGATTCGCACGACAGGTTCATCATTCTTTCCGGAACTCCCGGCTACTATCTACATCTCCCTTAGTCTCTCGCCTCACTGCCTCGTGCCCGTGGCGGTGCCAACCACCGCCATGATGCTTACATGACTACGCCCAGCTTGGCACAGAAGTACGATGATGCTCTGCGCTATGCTAGGGCGAGACGTAAACTTCTTGACGTATTGGCCCTACTTTACAAGAGTCAAACAAGGGCTAGGAGGTTCGCTAGGCATTCTAACCACAGGCCATGAGGAGTTATGTAGAAGCAGGACGCCTCCAAGGAAGTGTGTGCTGGTAGTATGTTTGCTGAAAAGAGCACTTGTAAATGTGCCTTAAAGTTTCGCAAACGTTGGCTTTGTCTTGGTCAACCCGGACGTCATCGCAGCCTTGAAATCACTCGACTGCAACATGGCTGCGTTCCATACACTGGTGTAACGCAAATCTTTAGAACCCCTTGTTAGCAACGGCCGTCTAGAAAGCATGGTGCTTTGTTTCGTCGGAAAACGGCAAGGCCACCGACGAGGAAATAGAATTTGAAAGAAATTGCTTACTCTCTGCAACCGAGTGATCCCTCGCGTGGTTCAACAGCTCCTTTGTGCCCTGCACCGCCACGGGGCTCTTGCTCGCAATGAAGCCCGCAAGCCGCAAACCGGCGTCGAGTGCCGCCGCCTTGTTCTCGTGAATCTGGCTGACGAAGCCTACGGCCAGCGCCTCCTCGCCCGAAAAGTCCCGCGCCGACAGGCAGACGTCCTTGACCCACGACGTGCTGCCCACGAGCTTGGGCAGCCGGCTCAGGGTGCCAATGTCGGCTGCCAGGCCAATGTCCACCTCCTTGACGGCGAAGCGCGTGTTCCGTGCACAAATGCGGACGTCTGCGCAGCACGAAATGTCGATTGCGATTCCGATGGAGATTCCGTGCAGAACACAGATTACGGCTGCGGTGAGAGTAAGCCAAGTGTTCCGCCATTTCCGCTCGTGCTCTTTTTTTTTTTTTTTTTTCCCTCCATATAGAACGAAACGAATTGGACCGAGGTACATTCAGAACAGCGGACACATGTGGAATGCGAATCCGGAAGAGGGGGTTCACATACGCTTCTCACACTTTTCTACCGCAGCAATAGCTTCCTGAAACTCAACGATGTGACGGCGCATGGTGGTCGCGAAGCGTGAAGGATCCACATCTCCGCCGATACTGCTCCCGAGAACGCCCTCGCTGGCAGACTGAACGTCGAGGCCGGCCGAAAAGGCGCGGTCTCCGGCACCGGAGAGAACTATGGCGCGGACGTCGGCATCGTGACTGAGGCGGTTGAAGAGGGCGCCGAACTCGCGCCACACGGGCTCTGAGAATGCGTTGAGCTTCTTTGGGCGGTTGATCTCGACGTGGACGACAAATTGTCCAGGTGTGGTGACGATGAAGTGCTCGTAGTTGTAATCTTTGAAAGTAGCCATTTTGGACGATGAAATCTGGCCTCCCCTGTGACAATGGGAACGATGGGTCGTAGTTGAGGGTGAAACGAAAAAGAAGAACAAAAAAGGGTTTGAGACGTTGACGTGGTAGTAGTTTGACTTTCGCAGAGACTGGGAATCTGAAGCTCAGGCAGATAAGCGTAAAGTGAGTTTTGTCTTTTTTTGAATTTCTGATTACCGGATGGCAGCTTTTGCGAGTGCGATGATTGTCGAAGCTGACCGAGTTGCCGAGGTATGTCACAGGTGTCCCCAATCAAGGGCCCCGCCTGATCTGGGGTAATTTTAGCGTGCCACCCGGGTGTGGCTAAGAAGCTGCATCTCTTTGCTTCTGAAATCTCCACACTAATGCACTATCTCTTCAACATTGCTCTCGGCCATCGTTAGCTTTGGTTTGTCAATGGAATGATGTTAGTCGCCGTATCTTTATCCATCGTGGACACACGTGGACGCATCATATTTGCTCCAGGGCGCATTACCTGCCTGCCTCAAGTAAGGGAAGATCACCGTTAGTCATCGTTGTCCCAGGGAGTGGTTCCTCATCTCATATTCGAATTAAAAGTTTTTTACAAGTTTTTCAAATCAGACAGGGCGAAACCAATGCCACGGACAGTTATCCTCAACGTATGTTCAGTCCGGCGAGTGAATCCAGAGTCATCCTTATATGGTGCTATAATCGACAAATGGACAACAGCGGAAGTACTTACTGAAGCAGGGCACGTGCTTTCAACGTCCTATTTTGTAAACTACCATGAGAGGCTGGGGATCGATGTTTGATTCAGTCGCAAAATAGATGGAGTATCTTACACTATATTATTTATCTTCTGGTCTCATAACATACCATCTGCGGCGCCGTACTTCTCTCTCAGAATTGAAGAGTTTGACAACGTTTCTCCTCAGCGGGGGAAGCTCACCATCTGACTCACACGCCGAAATTGGTAACTACGAATGACTCTTGGCCGAATCTCCCCTCCAATGATGTATCCGAATGTATACAAGCGAACAGGCCGATGAATTGGCCCGAATAGCTCATGTTGGGTGCATTATTAGTACGCTGCATCGGATGTCGGAGGGGGTCCGTCGGGATTGGAAAGATCGTCAAACATGGACAACTCGTCACAGGAAGCCTATTTTGTAGAAGGTATTTTGGCCCTTTCTCCGTGGGCCTACGCACTGCACTGGACCTGAAAACTTTCTGTCAATGCTTCTACAGCACCAGCTAGGTGCAGGTGCTGGTATGCAAGACAGACGGTGCGGCAGGTGTCACGTTGTGCAACTTCCACCAGCAGCAAGAGTAAGTTAAGGGGTGGTTACCAGGGTAAGAGCAAAGGTTTTCTTTGCGGGTGAGGTATTGTTGTAGTTGTATCTATCCTGAATCATGTTGAGGTTTGTACTTCATTTCATCCGAAAGCAACATCACTCCATCCTCCTCGGCTCCTTAGTTCCCTATCACTCGATGTCCCTCTGGTATTTTACACTGGTATCTCTAGTAAGAACTACATCGCCGGCTTTTCCATGAGGCTTTCTTTCTAGAACCCATGTCTCAGTCCGCCAGGACTCGGTCTCTGACTCCTCCGACAGAGGTTCAGCGCTTGACGGACCTCCATACAACGGCTAACAAACGTTCTGTCGTACGACGTTGCAATTCTGCCGAGTTACTAGGTAGGAAGTCTCAGATTCCAGGGTCTCTGTCTTCCGGCACACACCCATCCACTTTTCGCATAAAATTCTGCTGTCCCTCCCAGGCGGAGTTGGCTCGGACTCCCCAGCCGCCCCAAAAGCCGACAGCAATGTTATCAAGCTTTTTCCATCCCTCCAAAGGTTTCGATTCTTTGCCTCGGCGTCCCTCTGGAGACATCGGTGACTTTGACGACACCCCTGTTCCCAGCCTCCAACCATCCATGGCCAACATGTCTTTTAAGAAGCCAGAAAAGGAGATGACCTCAGTCTCGTCAGTCAGAAGTGGAGTTTTCCGTCACGCGCTGTTAAAGACCGCTCCAGGGCAGTCAGTGGTTCTCGACAGGGACTTGCCAGTACCCCCTGTTCTCAGCCGGCAAATCAACCAAGACGAGTCTCTAGAAAAGAAGCCCGGGGACAATGGCTATGAAAACATGTTTCTAGCAGCACTCCCTTCTAGGAACTACTCACCTAGCTCACATCAAAGTTACTATCCTCCACCACCTAACCAGCAGCTCCTGGGATCCGTAACAAACTCTGATCACCCTTTTCCTCGGGAGAGAGTCTGTATCGACCCACTGCTCCATCCTTCCCAGTCACACATCAAAACTCATCATCGTGGTCTTCTGAAAGGCGCTGATTTCTGCGATACGGGAGTACCCGGTCAACCACTACCCCAGCTAGATGAACCTGAGTCATCGTCTTCCTCCTCTTCATCGTCATCATCTATTTCTTCGAAGGCGGAAGTGGTCCTTGTACCTGTCAAACGCGCTATGACTGGAGATGACTTGTGTCTCTCGACTATTGAAATCACACGTCCAAAGCAAGAGGGTCACAGTCGAGCGGTAAAGGTTCGGCCAGCTTTCAACACATCCACTTTCCAATACCCAACCAATCCTCACAGCCGGGAGCTTTCCTTGGGTGTGTCCAAAGTGCGGCCATTCGATCCTTCCAAAGAGCACCAGGTTCATGACGATAGCATCAATGTTCCGTCATCTTTGTTGGTTAACTACGGCGGCTTCAAGAACATTCCTGTTTCGAAAACTCGTCCATTTGATGACGAACCGCTAGAGTTTCCCCGACTTGAAAGAAATCCAGAGAACTCAGAAATTCAACAAAATAGTGATGAGACTGACCACAGCAATCGGATTAATCGGTGGGAAATGAATTCTGTTCTTGCCTCGGACGTCTCTCCGTGTGATGTGTCTGCGAAAAGCGGGAAGCCTCACTCCCAAGGCGTGCGACGCTCCAGGGCGGGCACTATCGACTATAAACGTACTGCCCAATGGCTTCGAGATCTCTTGAAGAATCCGGAATACTCTACTAAGCTGACAAACATGCCTCCCAAACCGAAACGGTCATCCTATGTTGCCTTAGAAGATCCACAGGGAGCGACCCCTTTTTCTCGGAGGACAACGCGGAAGTCAACTTTGCCGCCTTCAGAGGTTGATTCAGGCGGTTTTCAAAAAACATTCAGGGAACTGGAGCGTCTTCTACAAGAAATCATGGCATTAGCCTCTCAGGTGGCGGACCAGGAGGAAGACAGGACCCCAGGCCGGCGTGCCCCTCGATCCCGTCCCTCAGGCAAAACGACGCCACAAACAAGGTTTTCCGACCACAGCCAGAAAAATTCAAATGCTGACCTGAACGATGATAGCTCAATTTCTCATCCGTTCTCGAAGCGTGCAGCTACATTTCCGAATACTGATAAACGTGCTCTACTAACTGTGGACAACCTCTACAGAAACATATCTCTGGCTCCAGAGACATCCGTTCCCTATGAAGTTCTCGCAGACAAGACGGTGGTGTCTCCTCATCTCCAAACGCATAAAAGCCTACGTAAAATTAGGTCACGGCAAGTCGCATCTATACCAGAGCGGGTTTCAAGTCGAAGGAAAAGCATGGAAAAAACGAAGCGAAGGAGACCAAAACGAATTGCGCCACAACTTCTTACAGACTCGGATGTGTGTAGCATGGATGGTTCTGATGATTCATCTTTCGTGGATTTACCCACGCAATATGGAGCTCGCAACAGAAGCAGCGGGCCAACTCGCCCCAGACCGAGTGCCAAACATGTTCCCTTCATTTCACGCAGCAAGAACGAAGTAAATCTCCCAGAACGAGATATTGCTGGTCGTCCGTTCCATAACTCCCGTGGTATCAGCCTTCACGGCAAATCCCATGTAAGTCTGCGTGGAGTTCAAGCTTTCAGTCTGGCGAAATCGAAGCGTCGACAGCCCATCGCTCGGGACTGGTCTCCAATCCGGAAGAGAGCGATTGCAACTGTAGCTTGCATCAGTACCGCACTCATCGGCTTGCTTCTAGGCATCTACGCAGGGCTGGTGCCGTCTCTACAATATTACATTTGGGATACAGGTCACTCAATCATCAATGGTAACGTTGGTTGCTTCTTAGGCATGGCTCTTCCAACCTTCTTTTGTTGGCCGCTACCGCTTCTTCATGGCCGAAAACCATACATCACTTCAAGCTTGGTTTTATCAATGCCGCTACTCTTTCCTCAAGCTCTAGCAGTAAGTGCACAAAGGTTTCACAACCTCACTGAATAGCGAATGGTGTTGCTTGTGCCTCGGTGTCTCATGGGTATATGCCTTGGATTTGCCAGCATGAACTTCCATTCTATACTCACAGACCTTTTTGGTGCATCTCTCATGAGCAGTAATCCTCATCAGGAGGTTGTCGACGACTACGATGTCAGAAGGCATGGAGGCGGCATGGGAGTTTGGCTAGGCATCTGGACATGGTGCTACATCGCGTCTCTCGGCTTCGGGTTCTGGGCCGGCGCATGGGTAATCGACCAGCTCCCCCCTGCATGGGGTTTCTATCTAAGTGTTATTCTCGTCGCTGTCGTTCTTTTGCTAAACACTCTCTGCCCGGAAGTCCGTCGCTCCGCCTTTCGGCGTTCTGTCGTGGAAGTCAGAACCGGCACTGACATATCACGACGAGTTGCGCGGGGCGAAGTCATGATGCATCGTGTCAAAGACGGTCCAAGATGGTGGGGCCAGGAGATGTATCACGGCGTCGCTCTCTCTTTCGAGATGCTTCGACAACCCGGGTTTGCCGTAATGGCTATTTACTCTGGCTGGATCTACGCCCAAGTGGTCCTAATAATTGTTCTGCTAGGCTCACTTTCGTCTAGGTTTTACCACATGCGATCGCCCTATGTCGGATTCATGGTCGCCGCTTTGGCCTTCGGTGCTGTCGCTGCTATTCCATTTCAAAAAGCCAGCTACTTCTCGAGGGCAAGACATACTCAAGTAAACACCAGTCGTATGACATTCGATAAACAAGTAACATGGACGTCGCATCTGCTTCGCAGAACTGTATTTGCCGTCGGTCTTCCTTTGGCTGGAATCATTTACACAATAGTGTCGGCCGGGCCACCTCTTCATCCAAGCGGACCAGCTATTATGGCTGCTGTCATTGGCTTTCTGTCATGTCTGGCTATCTCAGAATGCAATGGGATAATCATGGAGACTTTTGATACTTCAGATCTGCAGCCTGGCATGACAGGTCGGCAACGAGGCGACTCGGACATTACGCAGAAGAAGAAAAATTACTCGGCCTATCCCCGTGTCACGGCCGGCTTTGCTGTCTGCCACACCTTCGGCTTCATCTTCGCTGCAGGTGCAACAGCCCTGGGTGGCATGGCCCAAAGAAACCTAGGACAGAGGGTATCAACTGGAGTTGTCGCTGGAATTCTATTCGTTCTCACTTTACTATTACTTCTGGGCCTCGTCCGTTTTAAGGAAGTGACCATCATTCCTGAATGCAAGGCTGATGAAATGGACAAATGGACAGCCGCTCGCAGGGAATCCCTCAAACGCCGTGAGTCAGTACCAGCCGAGGAGCTTGATGAGAAAGCTCTGTTTGCAGAAGAGGAGCCCTGGCGCCCTTTCATCGTAGGCAATCCAACCAGCAAGACAAGGAGAGTCAACCTATTGGAACTTGGAGGCATGTCTCGCTTTACTGAAATCAGGAAACGGAACAAACTCATAGACGCCAACACTCATCTTAATCGAGCAGCTCTGGATGTCGGGCTAGAAGCATTGGACGACCAACTGAGTGATATTGTAAGCGATATTGTAAGCGATGCGAAGGACATTATCAGAAAAGGCAGTCAGCTTAGCCAACAAAGCTGGACATCGCGCTCGCGGCGATACCATCAAAGCGCAGGAAGTGGCAGCAGCGGACACTCGCAAATCGAGATGGACGTGATTAATGAGAGATTGAGATCTGATAACCGCCATCCTCGGGAGGTTGACGACGTTTACAACGAGCGTGAATGTCTCCAAGGCCAAACCGTAAAGGAAGAGAGTGAGGAGAGCTTGCTCGCGCTGGCGAGTGATGACGCAGATCGCAAGGCGGCGGTACGCGCCGGCAAGAGACAGAGTAAACAAGCGAAGAGAGATTAAAACAGATTGTGAAGACTGATCGAAGAACCTGGCATGCTACACTGAAGTCACTTGGGGATTAACCTGCTGCCTTTAAGGAGCCAGCGCTTGCAATAGAGAACCTAGGTTGAAGGAACGGTTGGACATTGCGGTCGATGTAGTATACATGACATAAACGGAAACAGCTAGAATGCCAAACCCCTTTTCGAAACCAACTCCATGAATGCAGCGTCCGTTCCCATTCCTTCTATACTCTTTTCCATCTCGTCTTGCCTCGTATTAACAGTTCTAAAGAGGGTGTTGTAGGGAAACAATATCGTTATTGGTACAGACAGGCAAAGGAAAATTGCGTGCTGAGTCTCGTCGAGAGAGAGTGGGTATAAATGGAAAGATGAAAGAAAACTAACAAAAAAGAACAATAATTCTTGTCTTCGTAATGTATGTAAAGGTGGAGAAAAAAAAAAATAGATACGTTTATCGATCTTGATGCGCTACAAAATGAAATAGAGAGAGAGAGAGAGAAAGGGGAAAAGAAAAAACAACAGCCTCGGATCATTATATCTGCGTTATTGCACGTTCAGAAATAAATCGTCACCCCTTCGCGTCGGCGTCAGCTTGGGCTGCCATGTCGGCGTAGCGGGGAGCCCGCTACCTCTTTGCTCACGACTACCCGGGATCGGGGGCGCTGGGAAGAACTCGTCGGGTGAGAAGAGGACGTCGCCGCCTCCTGTCCTGGGACGGTAAGGTCGCCAGTTGGGACTGTGACGTACGCCGCCGTTGAGCGGTGCGAGGGCCGCGGCGCGTTCTGTGCCTAGGCGCTTTGAGAGGAGAGAAGATGTCGTCGATGGGGTCGCGACGGAGGGTGCTTCTGAGGTTGGGCGAAAGGGTGCGTTTAGAGTCTGGGTTGTGATGTCTCGAGGTGGTGGGGGGGCTGATGTTGACAGAGGCCGAGTGGGGAGAGGTTGTTTTGGAGGCGGTGATTGCTGAGGCAGTTGTTGTTGTTGGAATGATTGTCGTTGTAAAGATTGTCTTTGCTGTTGTTGCTGCTGCTGCTGCTGTTGTTGCTGCTGCTGCTGCTGCTGCTGAGAGCGGCGGCGTTGGCTACGGGGTGGAGGTTGTGGATGGGCTTGTTGTTGAGGAGGGAGGGGGTAAGAAGGCTGTTGCGGGCGACGAGGCATATCTCCCCATAGCATTTTATGCACAGTCGCTGATTGCGGCTCGACATTGGGAGGCATCTGTTGTACCTGTGCCGTTTGGGCCTGTGGATGGGCGTCGCCGCGCTCGAGACGGGGTCGCTGAGGTTGCAGGGGGGAAGGATACAGAGGCTTCATTTGTGGTGGTTGTCGAGAGGGCTGTTGTCTTTCTGTGTCAGACGGGGGGGAGGGTGTAACGAGACGCAGAGATGGCGAGCCAGTTGACACCCTGCTCGGGTCGGCGGCCGGACGGGGTCGGGCGACTGGTTTACGAGGGACGTCGTAGCTTGCCATGTATGGACCTCGAGACTGTTGCTGCTGCTGCTGCTGCATCATACCCAGAGTAGGACTTGGCTGGCCTGGCGGGAGAGCTGCGAATTGCCGTGTTGGAGGCGCCAAAAGGCGGAGGTTGTTGCTGGGCCTTGACGACGTCCGGCCCGGTATCACAGGGTAGGAAACTGGTGAGCGGCCGCTAGGGGAAGCGTTTGATGCAGGTGACTCCACAACCGGGGAGAGATTGCTTTGCTCTACTATCGGTTCCGGTTCCGAGGCCACAGAAGAGGCGATTGTTGTCACGGAAGCTTGCGAGACATGGGAGTCATGGCTGTCAGAGCGTTTGGGGGCGCTCACCGGGGCTACAGCGGCAGTTGCTCCTGACGGCTGTTTGGATTTGGAGGAGGAGCTGCGGCGGCCGAGAGAGTTACTTCTCCGACGAGGGGGCTCCGGGTGAGAGAAGGACATGCTCGGCACGGGATGCGGTGCGCCATTCGGCGGAGGAGCGCCGGACTGGAAAGCAGTATTGGGCCGAGTAGTATTCTGGGAGTATATACTGGAAGACCGGGTTTGTGGCGGTGCGGAAAGATTGGCAGGGACTATCTCCGCAGCGGGGAGAAGCACCGGGGCAGGGGGCATTGGCATCCGCGGAGCTGCGGGGGCGATGGGGCTGCCGGCTCCGTGTCCGATACCCGCTTTCGTAGCTGTGGCTGCCAGCATGGCAGACTCTGCATAGGAAGGCTTCGACTTTGCTCCTCCTCCAGCTTTTGCACCAGAAGCGTCAAGCTCGGCGAGCTGCGCCATGTGGGTAGCGCTCTTGGGGTCGCCCAGAACCCAGTTGCCATTCTTGTCAGCAACGTAGTACGTTGCCGCAGACTGAGGAGTCTTGCCTGTGGTGGCGGATGGCGGCCTCCAAATGTTGTTGGATCGCTGAGACCGAGCCGATGTGATGGCGCCGTCCTCTTCGAACTCCGTCATGGTGCTCTCGCGGGGCAAATTGTAATGCGTGCGAGGCGGTGCCGTAAGTTTGGCAGTCCTCTCATTCAATATCTGCGAGTTTGTCTGCTGGGAAGGGCCTTGCCCCTGCGGCTGGGGTGGGGAGGAAGAGTAGAGGTCGATTTTAGGGATCTTGATAGAAAGTACCGGTTTGGGGGATGAAAGAGACGGTTTAGCAGGGAGAAGACGTGAGATAGGTCGGTTGTATTGCTGCGGAGGAGGACGTGATGGAGTGCCGGTGCTCTCCGGACGGGAGACTGCAAGACCAATGGCTGCTGGCCACCAACTAGTACGGCCGCTGGCGCGATTGCGAGCCACGGGAGGCAGCTGAGGTGGTGGCGAAGGGGACTGAGCATGGTGAAGTGGCGGAGAAATGTGAAAGATATTGCCGGGGCCTTCTTGGGGGTGAAACTCCCACGAGTCTTTCTCGCGCACAGGGAAGAAACCCGTCTTGAGGTCTGGATAGTTTCTACGGCGTCTACGACGGGCGAGGCAGATGGCAAGAATGGCGATGCCAACGGCAGCCGCAAGGCCGACCGAAAGGCCTGCCACCTGGGCTGTACCAAGTCGCTCAGATGAGCCCGCATTGGCTTCTTCGCTACCCGGGATGGAAGTTGCTGATGCGGAGGGACTTGTTGTGGATGTTGGCGGCGATGGCGGTGGAGTACTGGTGGTACTCGTCGTGGAGCTAATTGAAAGGCTTGACCTCGTTGAGGTAGAGAATGTGCTGGGTATGGATGGTGTGCCAGTTGCTGTAATGAGTGTTGTCGGGATGGAAGCTGTCGACGTCAAGGGCCTCCTCGTTGACGTCGAGTAGATCACCGATGAGGTGGTGGGTGGTGGAACTACGATTATGCCAGCGCCAGATGTGGGCAAAATCAGGGTTGCGATGATAGCCGTATGTGTGGGAATGACGGCGCCTGGTTGATTCGAACACATCAGATACGCCGCATCTATGACGGTTTCTGGCGGAAGTCAGCTATCGCGTGCTAGTAGGTCAAAGTATGGAAAGCATAAGCCTTACGCGGCGTGTCGCTTTCACGACAGGAACCGATTGTCTTTTCCGCCACGACGCATTGAACAGCACCCTCGCCAATCGTGAGCCCTGAAGATCCAGCATTGGCGCAGAGGCATTGCAAAGTCGGTGTGCTGCCACAAATATCAAGGGCATAGTTGGCACTCAGGTGAGAGCGGAAACATTTGCGTGCACATGAGGGCACGAATCTGGTAACCTCGCTGGATAGATTGAAAGGCGTTGCGATAGTGACGGAAACCGACAATGTGAATAGGAATGTCCGGAGAAGCAGAGGCTTAAGGGCCATGATACTGGAGGACATCTGAAAGCTGAGTGTCAGTGTTGTCAGAGGTGCCGTCTGAGGATGTTTATTTACCTCGTTGAAGATCCCATCCTTCATACGGTCCAGCGACAAACAGACTCAGTCTTGGGAGTGTAAGTAAAGATACAAAAGAGAGAAGCGCTTTCGTTCTTAGAAACCCCAAGAAACCAGATTGAGACGCCCTGGGTGGCAAGGAATAGAGTGTAGGGAGAACGAACCTATAAAGCGAAAGGGCCTATTAGATTATTATGAGACGACCTGCATCTCCAGGTTTAAAGATTAGGCAAAGGAATAGAACACGACGCTGGAAGGTGTATGATCCGATAAATTCCCTAAAATAAACAAGCGGCGGAAAGCTTCAGCCCCGAAAGTAAGAACAGAAGAAAGCTATTCCCTGCAATGCAGCCGAGATGCGCAAGACGTGGAAGAAGAAGGTGAGGAAAAAGCTAGAATACCAGAAAAAGATACCGTTGGGGGCTCAGCGGCGGAAATGCAACTCTTGATACATGAATGGAGACATCCCAAGAGAAAGAGAAAGAACAAGAACAAGAAGCAGATGCGAGGAAGGGGACAGAGAAGGTGGACACTAGTGACTCTTCCGTCATCCGGATGCTCGCATGCTCTCTTGGTCGAGAGAAGCCCGCCTTTGCATTGTCGCGGTTCCTTTTCTTCCATCGACTTCATTCGACCACACCATAACACTCTGGATGTTGCCAGAGTGGATGATGGGGTTAGCGAGCCCAATGTCCTGCCTCATCATGCCGCCAGCCTGCATCTTGCAGGGTCGGTTCCGGTTCCTGCAGTCGCGCCCACGACGGTCCGGGCAAGTTCGCGAGCCGCCTCCACAGATCTCGACAATAATGACGACGGGCCAGACAATCCGGGGGCCATCTGTCCCTGTTTCGGGTGTCTGCCATAAACGCTGGTTGGTTGGGTCACGGCGCTATTTTCGGGGTCCCTTTATGGTAGCATCTCAGATCCAAGCCTTGAGGGCTGTGTGGTGGCCCAGGCCAGAGTGTAACCCATCCCGCATGTCATCAATCCAGGCGAGGAAGGTCAAGCACCCAATGAATACGCAGTTGGGGACGAATGCATGCACGATGAGTGGCTGAAAGTCTTCCAGGTTGGCCCCCCAAATTTAGGCGCCGTTGACTGCTAAGCGCGGAGGCCGAACCAAATGAGCGTGGCGAACCGCCCAAAAGCCCGGCGCGAAGAAGGAAAGAGAGAAACGGCATCACGTGATGCAGATCAGAAAGAATCCAAGCCAATGAGCAGTCAAGTCAAGCTGAGAATACATATTTTGACATCAGACGTAGCGCCGGCCAGTTGTTTCTCGACTCCCTTTTCAATCTGTGACTGACTCCTTTGTTTCGAGCACCTCGACTCTGAGATTTGACGGATGTGATTGATTGCTCAATATGCAGGTGTCAAACGAAAATGGGCCTTCACGCGTACTGTAGCGAGCGACTAGCGGGCGTCATCAAGCTTGAGACACCTCTCCAACGTTGGCAACCGCCCACGCAGGATGCTGCACATCAACCCGTGAAGCACATATAGACCCCAATCTCTTTTTGGCGCTTTGTGTGCCCAAACCTCAGCTTTTTGCGTTTCTTACCGTGGGTTTAAATCGAAGCTGAAAGCTGTGATGGGAACAGCTGCAACCTAAAGCCCCCAATGCAACCATGATTATATATCAATCGTTTCAAGCCCACATACCTTGAAACATGCTGGTCGTCTTCTGCACTGAATCCAGCTAACACTGCAAACAAAGCAAACCAAATGAATGCGGTCAAGTCGAGTCAGCGAACTAGGCAAGGGGCTAAAGATGCAACATAAGTTGTTTGTGTTCAGGATTTTCCCATTGTTTTCCGTTGATGGTATCTCAGTTTTCGTTGCCTCATGTTAGACTCAAGGTCCCCCTGGGGCCATGCAAATCCATATCGCACCTAATTGTGGCAATTCCGTACATTGACCACGTGTGGTCTAATGCTGACGGCCAAAATCTTTCTCTCTCTCAATCTCTTCTTGCCTAAATCCTCCTTCACATCGGTGACCACAAGTCTGTCAAACTAACACTATTGCTTGGCATCGGTGGCGCTCGGAGCGAACGCAGCCTTGGCTCTGTTGGACTTGATGACCCTCTGGACTTCCTCCTCCGTCTGATCCCAGTCGTTGGCATCTAGCTGCACGAGATCGATTTCGTACAATTCGGCAATGTGCTTGAGGGCATAGAAACTCTTCTTGTCATAGACGAAACTGATGCTGACACCGATGCGTCCGAAACGTCCGGTACGGCCAATACGGTGCAGGTATGTCTCGGGGTCGGGTTCGGAGTCGCCGCGTCCCTTCATAGGAATGTCATAGTTGATGACCATTGACACACTTGACACATCGATACCACGGGCCAGAACGTTCGTGGTAAGGAGAACCTTGGCCTGGCCGCTTCTAAACTCCTCAAGCAGGCGGTCACGCTCGGGACCATCTTTGGCACCGTGAAGTGCGGACACACGGTGGCCATCTGCCTCCATTCTGCGCTTGATTTCGTCGGCGCTCTCACGAGTCTAGAAGAAAATTAAGTCAGCTCATGCCTATTTAAACACAGATGCTAGTCAACCTACCCTGACAAAAATGACGGAAGAGCCAATCGTCATGAGACCGTAAAGCTTGACAAGTACGTCGTACTTGTCCTGCTCAGTAGGGCAGTCAATGTACATCTGAGAAATACCCTTTACAGTGAGCTCGGTGTGCTTCAGACGGATCTGATCAGCCTTGGGCGCAAACTTCTCGGCAAAACCCATAACCTTATCCGGAAAGGTAGCGGAAAATAGGAGGATCTGGATGTCGCGAGGAAGCATGCTGCAAGAATATTAGCAGTGGTGAGAGGCGAAACAGATGAGGGTTTTCTACCTCTTGACGCGAACACATTGGTCACCAAGTCCTTGCTGGTCGAGCATATTGTCGGCCTCGTCAATAACGAGGAGCTTAAGCTTCGATACATCCAGCTGACGTCTGCGGGTGATGTCCATGACGGTACCGGGGGTTCCCACGATAACATTGGCTTTAACAACAGCGTTGCGCTCCAAAGCACCTGGAAGAGCTGCTGCCACCTTCAGACCCTCGCAGAATTGGCCGATGCTGCCGACGACTCCCTCGATCTGACGGGCAAGCTCACGACTGGGTGCGAGAATCAATGCTTGAGGCTGCTCTGGCTGAGTATAATCGACTCGCGACAGGGTCGTAACAACAAAGGCAGCAGTCTTGCCCGTTCCGGATTGTGACTGCGCGATCATGTTACGAGGAGGGTTCGTGAGCATGAGAGGGAGAGCCTTCTCTTGAATCTTGGAGGGCTTCTGGTAGTTGAGAGCAAGGAGACCACGGAGAATCGGATCGGGGCTGCATGGCATAATGTTAGTTAAGCCTGCGGGCGGTCTTACTCATTGACATACAGGTTCATGTCGGCGAAGGTCGAAACCGAGTAGAGGGTGCTGTTCTGGTCTGATTGGAGGTCACCCAGCTTGACATCAACATCGTAGGTATTCTCGATAAGACCAGAGCCACCGAGGGCCTCGACAGTGCCATCGACCTGGCCTGCACCCTCGGCGGCGGGCTCAGCAGGAGGCTCGGTGATGCGACTCGCAAGATCGGCCATGTTGACGGGTACGCGCGCGGAATCGAGTGATAGCTGCAATGAGTTGTTACAAATGGAGAGCCGATGATAGGTGGTGATGCGCTGGTAGCTTACTGGTTAGTTCGGGGAGAAATAGCGGTATGCTCGTACGTTTGCGTGCCGACTTCAGAAAAAAGATTAGCCTCCAACGAGTGACCAGTCACGATGTAACAATACAAAAAGTCCAAGGTGGACGCGTAGGGGGGAGTCAAGTGACTTACCTGCGCGCAAACTCGTTGTGTGCTGATTAGAGGGAGGGAAATGTTTCCAGAGAGATTTTTAGGTTTGCGTTGCGATGGCGAATTGGAAGCTCCAAAAGGTCGTAATTCTGGGAAGCTACGTCGTCAGTCGCTCCTGCCTGTGCCTGACCGAAAAGCAATCCAGAAACCAATGGCGGGGCTACCGCGGGGCACTTTTCAGGCCTAACAATTCAGGCGGTGTGCTTCAAGCAACTGTCAGGGACGAGTGACGTCTTGTGGCCGGAGATTTTCCGGCCAGGGGTCAAGCCTGTATTATGTAAGCTCACAAGAGTGCCTGGCTGCAGTCAGGCAAGGCACACCGGGCTGAGTTGAGCTGCAAGTCACCTTATCCAGTCGAGAATATCCCACGTGATAGGTTAATTTGCCTTTTTCGTGCAACCCAAAGCGATGCTCTGAGTGAGCCACTTGACTCTGTTGTCTCCCAAGAGCCATCTGAAAATGGTGCTTCCTTGTTCAAGCGCAATCTGATTTATTACCACCCGACGTCATTTATGCGACTGGTAGCATTATGTTCATGTGTAAATAACACCGGAATGGGGTTATACAAGCTCCGGCGCATCTGGCATAACTACCCCTCAGAAAGATGGCTCTGGAGAAGCCGAGACCCCTGCCACTCAGGCTTCAATGGCACCAATGGCACCAGTGGGTGGAGTTCCAGTGGCTGAAGACCGGACCGGTACCCCACCACAGGCCTCTTCAGCGCTCATTTAGTGGACCGAGTAGCCGGAGAAACACACCAGTGAAGCATAGGAAGGTTCCAGTTTGGGCCAGGAGGGAGCTGACGACGTCTCCGTCCGATGTCAATGCCCCAGAGTCCCGACCCCCCCGGCTTAAAGTATCCAGAATGCAAGGGCTGGAGGAAAGGTACATTCGAGGTTTAATACAGTACTTGGTACTTTAGAGTGGGCAGCACAGCGCAGCCTCGACAACTTTACCTATTTACTCTTTGTCTTTTTGATGATGATCACGGCCCTTGCGACTTCCCATCCGACAAGACGAGGCGTTCACATTACCTCAATTATTCATTGTACATACTCTTCGGGCGCCCTGCGCCTCGTGCTAGCATTCATCAACCATCTCTGCCCAATTTGCATCCAGTTTTAACCGTTTCAGCGGGGTACACCTTATACGATTCTCGCCCCCCCACTGCTCACCTGCTCGGGCCGCCGTCCGCCGTTTGTAGTTTGTCCTCTTTCCGCCCGCCTTCGCTCCTTCGGAGGAATCCATCACGAATCCTCTCTCCCTCTCGCGACAACCCATGAAGGGTACCACACTCGACTTCGACTGATCCCCTGAGCTTCCTTCTTTGCATGCGGTTTCAACAGTATATTCCTCGACAATGGCCGAAGTAGACGTCGCGCCGACGTTCGGCGCTGAGCTGAAGGTCGGTATTCCGCGCTGTGCCCCTCGTCTTGGCTCTCAACCCGCTGACATGTCCTCTAGGATGGCTTCAAGCCGGCCAACGCCTGGGTCGGTCACGGTATAGCATGGCTCGACGAAATACAGCAATTTTATCGCGAAAGGAGCGCAATCGAGAAAGAGTACGCCGCGAAGCTCAATGGCCTGGCCAAGAAGTACTTCGAGAAGAAGAACAAGAAGTCGGCACCTTTAAGCGTTGGCGACACCCCTGCCATGACACCTGGCTCTCTCGAGAGTGCCTCTTTGACGACCTGGTCCACGCAACTTACGACCCTTGAATCGCGAGCCGATGAGCACGACCGATACGCAAACAACCTCCTCTCCCAAGTCGCCGAACCTCTCAAGTTCTTGGGCACTCGCTTCGAGGAATTGCGCAAGCGCCACGCTGAATATGCTGGCAAACTTGAGCACGAAAGAGACTCGCAATACGCCGATCTGCGGAAGACGAAGACCAAGTACGATGCCGCTTGTCAAGAGGTGGAAAGCAAGCGCAAGAAGGCAGAGTCGGCCTTTGACAAGGCCAAAGCGCAAAGCTCGTATCAGCAGCAAATCCTGGACATGAACAACGTCAAGAACACTTATTTGATCGCGATTAATGTTACGAACAAGCAAAAAGAGCGTTACTACCACGAATACGTTCCCGAGGTCATGGACAGTCTGCAGGATCTCGCCGAGTTTCGCACCATGAAGCTGAACGGCCTATGGACAGTCGCATCGCAATTGGAAGCCGCCATGCTGCAGAGTAGCAAGGGTTTGATGGACGGCCTAGGGACGGAGATCGCCCGAAACCTTCCTCACCTCGACTCTATGATGTACATCCGTCACAACCTTGGTTCCTTCCAGGAGCCGCCTGACAAGGTCTTTGAGCCTAGTCCAGTGTGGCATGACGATGATCACATGGTTACAGATGAACCGGCCAAGGTGTACCTGCGCAATGTACTGAGTAAATCCAAGGCGCAGCTGGGAGACCTACGTAGAGAAGTGGACAAGAAGAGGCGGGAAGTGGAAAGTATCAAGCGGGTAAAGCAACGCATTAGGGAAGGCACCGAGAAGAAGGACGAGGTCTTGATTGTCACGCAAATTTTCGCGCTGCAGGAAGATCTTCATGCAGTGGACAGGAAGCGAGTGACCGCTGAGGTCGAGACCTCGACCATTACCTCAGCTGTCGGCGACGTAACGCTTGGCGCGAAGAACCACAACTTCAAGGCACAGACGTTCAAGATTCCGACGAATTGCGATCTCTGTGGAGAGAGAATATGGGGCCTGTCAGCAAAGGGATTCGACTGCAGAGACTGCGGATACACTTGCCACAACAAGTGTGAGATGAAAGTGCCGCCGGACTGCCCTGGCGAACAGTCAAAGGAGGATCGCAAGAAGCTCAAGGCCGAGCGTCAGGAAGCTGCCAACGCACTCCTGAAACCCTCGGCAACCTCGCCTACTGGCACATCTGGTTCGCCGACCTTAACCCGCTCTAACACGATGAACTCTCTGAGTTCGGGATATGCGCAGAGCGCCCGGCGGTCAATAGCGGGGGTCCCGACGTCGCCGATAGAGGAAACTCCTCCGCCAGAGCCAGCAAGCCCGCGGCCGGCGGCTCCCGCATCAACCGTGAGCTCCAGCACAGCCCGGAAGAGGGTTATGGCCCCACCACCGGCGGCCTACATCAGCGAGCTTCCTGGAAGCGCGCCCACCAATGGTTCAGCCAATTCGGAGCAGCAGAAGGGCAAGATGTTGTATGCATTCGAAGCTAGTGGCGATGGAGAAGTTTCTGTGCCAGCCGGTCGCGACGTCACCATGCTTGAGCCAGATGGTAGGTTCTACCGGATTTCAAAGTGAGAGGGTTAACTAACTTTTGTACAGACGGTTCCGGTTGGGTCAAGGTTCGCGCAGGCTACAAGGAAGGTATCGTACCGGCGAGCTACGTCGAGTGGGCACCGGCGTCGCCCATGGTTGCCCAAAACACGGGGGCTTCTGCAAGACCGCCTTCGACGTACTCCAACTCGGGTTCCTCGATAGGGACAACAGCTGCCGGTAAGAAGAAGGGACCGGCAGTGGCACCGAGACGCGGAGCCAAGAAACTCAAGTACGTGGAAGCGTTATACGAGTACACAGCACAGAGCGACCAGGAGCACAGCATGGCGGAGGGTGAGAGATTCGTACTTATCAAGGAGGACCCAGGCGACGGATGGGCAGAGGTCGAGAAGGGCGGCGTGACAAAGAGCGTGCCCGCGAGCTATGTCCAGGCGGTCTAGGAGCCCCATGTCAGAGAAGAGAGGGAACACAGGAGGCCGAGACCTTCGGCCGCAGCATCGTCTACAACCGTATCGAAGGACTCGGCGCATCGAGGACCCCGTGGGGTTCCAGAAAAGGGGGCGGATAGGGGGAAAGGAAACCTCAACTCGCAGGCAGCAGAGAAGCAAGTGACAAGCGTCCGGCTGGTTAGGCGGAACCAGAGTCAGAGAGAGAGACGGAAGTCCTTGCTTACCGCGTCCAGACGGGACCGCAGCAGTGTTGGCTGAGAATGCATTCATACGGGGGGTACATATAGCACGTTCTGGCGAGAAAAAGGGAGGTGGTTGAGTTTGAGTTTGAGCATCAGGAGTGGCGGCTTTACTTACATGTTAGTTTTCGGGGGAGAAGGCGAGTTTCATTTTTTTGGAGTAGTTGAAAATGAGCAAAATCATTTTTAAAGTGAAGCACCGTCGTCCTCATTTTGCATGTTAACGTCTCTCACTTTGCCGTTTGGCTGACTGACTTTGACTCTCTCTCCCTCCACTTAAGTGAGTTTGACCGGGAACAGGAAAGATCCGATGATGCAGACGAAAGCTTATTGGAGAAGTTCATGTCAAAAAAGATAATCCACAAAAAAAAAAAAAGTGTAAACGTTTGGAGTGTCACGATATTTTTTTTGTCACCGAGTTCACCATAAGAAAACCTGGGCGTCAAAGTTGCACCGTTTCTTTGCTTAACCCCCCGTGTTCGGATTGGATCATGGCTCTTTTCGGCATGGTTTACAGGGCAGTAGTGGGGAGCAGCCGATCTTCCCGCCGCCACCACTGCTACTTCCACAAGACAAGACCCAAAACACACCACTGTCAGCCATCCCGCCCTCCTTGCAGAAACCACGGACGTTTTGTGGAGAGGTGCACTCAGTTTTGCACCTGCAGCCATGAAAAAGAAGGAGCAATGGCTTAAAGTTAGATGTCTGGAGATTTACTCGGAGCCGGTGTTTGGATGCTTGCTAGCTGTCACGGAGGGGGGATTCAAAAACGTTTTAATGGATGAGAAAAGAAAGAATAAGGGAAAAATATAAGGAATTTCTCTTTGACGGCTACATGAGTTATTTGGTGTGGTTGCCATTCGACTTGAGACTTGGCAGACAAGCACTCAGTCATGGCGACAAGACGATTGTAGTTTCCCAAGCAGGGCCAAATGCTGGCCAAGCACTGACCAAGAACCAATCAGATGACCACGGCAAGAGTACGGGTAACCCCTGGATGAAGAGTGACGGGGAACTTTGGCAGGGAGATGGAGGGGTGAAGGGGGGTAAAATCTGGGAAATTGGGATGAGTTGGGGTAATGCAATTTCTTGTGCCTGCCATGTGCATTTGGACCTACGAGGTGTTTTCCCTGTTGAAGATACAGAAGTACCTTTTGGCGAACTGGTTTATCTCTTGGCGAAAAAAGAAAGAAAAAGGTCGCACCAGGCTTGTTCACAACATGCTTCGTTTGAGTTAAATCGTGATTCCCGACATTGCGCAGGGCGGACAGGGCGAGTTGGGGCAAACGGACCGAACAGGTTTCTCAACTATTTATCTGCATCAAATCCGTTTAATATGGCCCCGCGGGTTGGTCTTTTCTAGGCACACGGACAACAGGCAAGAACCCAGGCGAGATAGACCACAGCACAGTCTATCCGCCGTCTGCCTCCAATGAGTTGCACGTTGTCGTGGCTCTGAAATGGACAGCACGAATTAGGCAGGACTTAGGCGGTGGAACCGTCGACGGGCTTGGAAGTCTTGGAATATGATAAGAGTAACGGAGGAACCACCACGAGAATTAAGGCGCTCAGCATGGATCGGAGATTTTCAGGCCATCGATGGGCGCCCAGCGGGCGGTACTCCGACGAGCTACCAAAGACGAAAGCGGCGAATAAAATCAAAATCAATGATCGCAATTCAGCAATTACCTGCCTGCCAGCCCGTGGAAGTAATTGAAGGGCAAGTGGAGGTTAGTGGCAGGCGATGTTGACGTCGGCTGGCTCGCGGCGGCATTCCAGCGATCGCCGGCGAAGCGAGGTGAATCTTGATATGGCCACTTCTTAGCTGCATGGTGCTTTTCTTAGAGCTTTCTGGGCCTTTTTTCACTGGATAACAAGGCCTTCTCGGCCAATTGAAGCGGCAAACTTGACTTTTTTCTTAACGGTTCGCAAGAATGGCGAAGGGGTGGTGTGGAGGTCTGGCGGGTTAGAGTGAGGGATGTGGAAGGACGTGCGTGCGTGTCCCATTGATCGCTGTGGCAGTGCATTGCCAGTGTCGTTTTCTGACTGGGGCCATGGGAAGCATGGGGAATTACCTCCACTGTTCCCTTCCCAATGTCTCTCTTCATCCTCTGCGTCTTTCGGCATGGGAAATAGGGGGGATGGGTGGATGTCTTACTCACCTGGCTTGAGCTGCCCTGGAACTGGCACTGGCAGGAATACCAGCTGTGACCTTCTCGCCTTCTCCAGAGTAGTAGATTTGCCATTTGCTGTTGCTGCTTCCATATTTTTGTTTTTGAATTACGGTGGGGGGATGGAGAAAGCGGCTGCAACACCGAACACAAACCACGAACAGGTTGTCTCTTAAGAGGTGTGGAGCAACTCGTGTTTTTCTGTATCGTCAGCGCGTGTCGGAAAGCCATGTCAGTCGGAGGCGCAGACAATAAACATGACTTTGATCATAATACGAGCGCAACCATTACCAGACCGATAAAAAAACCAGGCTCGGCAGAGGTGACTCAAATTTATGCGTACCACATTCAGATCTTGGCCTGAAGGGCGAGAGAATTGCGACTGTATTTTGCATTGGATGCAGTAAGCCATTAAAACCAGTTTCTGTAGGGCGTCGCCCAGCTTCGTTTCAGAGGATTGGACAAGCAGGTGAAGCATTGGAGGAGTGTCAAGGTCGTTGTTCCAGGAGGCGCAACAGGAACAAGTGGGTTTGCAAGACACGAAGACAATGGCAGTAGTCTGTGCTCAGGCGCGCAGGTGTGACGCGCCCAGAGATGGGTGCTGGACGACGCAACGGAATTACATCACCAATAGTGAAAGCTTCCAGTGTTTACATGATGCGCAGTGGATGGTGTGGTTTTATTGGGGATTCCAAGGTGGATCTCAGCGTTCATCCAATAGGAACCGCTCTGTGCTATTTCTGCTCGCTGACTAGCCCCATCTCAACTTCTCGTCTGATGTAGCCACACCCTACCCAGTTCCCCTGAATCCACAAATATTCCCAGAGGAACAGGCCCAAGCAATTGCTGCCACAAACCAGTTATTGGTTGTCTGACAGACCAATTCATTCGTCTAGTGGATCTTCAACGCCGTCCTTCTGTCCTATCCCCTAGGGCAAACAGGGCCCCCCGTTTTAGTGTGTCCACCGTCCACGTCTCCTGTCGGTCTTTTCTTGGCAAGGAAAGGACACTAGTGGGAAAGCTCAGAAAGGTACAGTCGTGCCAGTCGTAGTGGAAGAGAGTCCGGGGTGGACGACGGAAGGTGCAAGGATTGGATAGAGGGAGGGATGGAATTCAATCGTTCGTTGTACCACCACCGTCGTCCACGCCGTTTTTTAATTCACCTAGTCCCTCCTTCCCTTCCGGCCTCGATTTATTCCTCTTTCCCGTCATCCATCTCACTGAACCGACATCTCGTTGTTGCCCCGGGTCTCGAGTGTGCCACATTTTCCCCTTCAATAACTTCTAAAAGTCAACTCCCTCGCTTTGGTTGACGCTTTTGTCTCTATCTACTTCTCATCCTCCGACCAGCCTTTCTAATCACCACCCTTTTGGAACCCGAACGCCACCTTTTTGCTGCTCCCAACTGTCCGTCACTCTTTCACGGCCCTCTATCGCTTGGCACTCGTCCACCATCACAGAAAAGAAGAAAAAATCCTTTTGGGGACTCACGTCAACATGAAGTCTTTCACTATCATCGGCCTTGTCGCCCTCTCCGCCGTCTCGGCCAAGCCCACTGAGAACCACATCAAGGCTCGCTCCCTCCCTACTGTCTCGGTCCAGGGCAATGGTACGATACTGCACTGACTGACACCTCGATCGAGCCAATTGCTAATTCTCTGTCCCCTTGTAGCCTTCTATGCTGACGGCAAGCGTTTCTACATCCGTGGTATCGACTACCAGCCTGGTGGTTCTTCCAAGAACATTGACCCCCTGGCCGACACGAGCATCTGCGGTCGTGACATCCCCAAGTTCAAGGAGCTCGGTGTCAACACCATTCGTGTCTACTCTCTCGACAACTCCAAGAACCACGATGACTGCATGAAGCAGCTCGCCGATGCCGGTATCTACCTGGTCGCTGATGTCAACAGCCCTCAGTACTCCATCAACCGTGCCGACCCCCACCCCTCGTACAACGCCGTCTACCTCCAGAGCGTCTTCGCCACCATCGACGAGTTCGCCAAGTACGACAACACTCTCGCTTTCTTCTCTGGAAACGAGGTCATTCACGACGACCCAAAGACCACCCTGACGGCTCCTTACGTCAAGGCTGTCACCCGTGACATGAAGAACTACATGGCCTCCCGCGGCCTCCGCCACGTCCCCGTCGGTTACTCTGCTGCCGATGTCGCTGACAACCGCATGCAGACTGCCGCCTACTTCAACTGCGGCAGCGACGACGCTCGTAGCGACTTCTTCGCTTTCAACGACTACTCCTGGTGCAACACCAACTACAAGGAGGCCGGCTGGGACATCAAGGTTAAGAACTTCACCGACTATGGTCTCCCCATTTTGTAAGCTTTTCCATGTCATCCTGTGCCCTTGGATATGCTACTAACTACCACAGCCTGTCTGAGTACGGCTGCATCACCAACGGCCGTGACTTCAACGAAATCCAGGCTCTCATGAGCAACGACATGACCCCAGTCTACTCTGGTGGTCTCATGTACGAGTACTCTCTCGAGGACAACGACTTCGGTATTGTCACCATCGATGGCAGCTCCGTCAAGGAGGAGCCCGAGTTTGCCAAGCTTGCCAGCGCCATGTCCAAGTACCCTGCTCCCACTGGCGACGGCGGTGCCGCCAAGACCACCAAGGCTGCCTCCTGCCCTACTTCCGACTCTAACTGGATGGTCGACCCCACCAAGATTCCTACCATGCCCGAGAAGGCCCAGAAGGTGAGTTTGAAACAGCGCAGCAAAACAAATGACTGGGTGTGTGCTAACAGCGTGACAGTACATGACTGAGGGTGCTGGTGACGGCCCTGGTCTGAAAGGCCCTGGCTCCCAGAATGCTGGCGACAGCGCTTCTGACGGTGAGACCACTGGAGGCACCGCTTCCCCTACTGCTTCTGGCGCCGCTTCTGGTGCTTCTGCCACCGGCTCCTCTAACGCTGCTGCGGGCATGACCTTCAGTGGCCCCATTGAGAAGGCCCCTCTCATCATCAGCGGACTCACTGTCATGTTCACCCTGTTCGGTGCCGTTCTGTTGTAAGGACTGTAGCTACATAAAAAACCCAGCCGTTGTGCGGGATGTACAAATGATTTCTAAGGGGCTTCTGCTCTTTTATTCCCATGAAGCACTAGATTTGGACGGCTTTGCCGTGATTTCATTAGTTTTTATCAATGACACCCAGGTTTCGGGCGTCTTCGGCTTTGGCACAGTGAACAACATGGCATGAGGCGGTTTCTTGGGAGTTGCTCCCTGGTGATGGCAAAGCAACATGTTTATGTCGCAAAGGAACAAAGTATCCTTTTCAACGCGGGCGCACTTATTTGTATGTAATGTTGCGCTAAAGCAACAATGATTGTAATTCATTTGTTTGATCATGACTACTCCACCATTTTTATCGGTGCAGTGAAATGCGCATGATTCCCAAGGCAATAGTTACTCCATACACCATAGCCGTGTAGTACCTTGTGACGTTGTATAGTGCGATTGGGGTAAGCTTTGAAGGATGCGACGAGCAATGAGCTTGACTCGCCAAGTTACTGGGCAGTCTCGGTCTCATCCGTGACAGGCAGGGTACGGTCAACCACTCTACTATCTAGTGAAAGGGCGGAGAAGACTCAAGACTTCTGTTTAAGCCTTCCGCAATGAAAGTCATTCGTGAAGGCATGGATGATGTGGTGTGTGCATCTTGTGCCTGATTGTCGGAAGTCAAAGCAAAAGATGTGCGACCGCAGACCCGGATGGGATGTTTGAGGAATATCTCAATATACAGCCTTGGACCGAGACTGCTGGAGAGATGTCGAATGAGACGTGATCGTCTGACTACGAACCACGGTCAATGCCTGTGGGCTCGAGATTATATCAATTTGTCGCACGAGGGGTATTCAACTCTATAGTAGGAGGCTACTGATGTCTATGTTCCAATGTAACAGACACGCCAGTCTCCCAAGCCATTCCGAGTACGGTTATAGAATATGCAGGTCTGAGTCTTCTCCCCGAAATTGGAACGTGCTGATAGACCGAGCCTTGAGCATACGCGAAAGTGTTGTGATGAAGGAATGAAACACCAACTCTTGTCAAAACGGTGAACGTAGCATTCTCTGATTCCAACCTTCAAGACTACTTGCAGTCCTCTCTGTCAACGATGCCCCCTTGTCGTTGCAAATCTCTCGGGTACTCGACTCTTAGCCTCGTCTCCCTAAACCAGATGGACTTCAACAATGCGCGGAAAGGCGGGCTGGTGTATGTATCAGGTAGTTTGTGTATAGGGGTTGTGAGTTGTGGTTGTGAACCGAGAAGTAGACTTCATCGACAATACCGTCTTTCAGCCACTCTTCTAGAGACGTAGACGAGTGTCAGAACGTAGTATCGCAGCAGGCAATGGTGGGTAGCCCTTCTCCCGCGGTAGGGTCGCTAATGGTGACTACGTGTAGTAATCGTCAACGATTCCAATTTTGCGACCGATTCGATTCAGCGCAGCTTGGTGGTGACCGGAGCAGGAGCCTGTCTACCTCTCTTCCGATCACTATCGAGAAGTTTCAACAGGATGGTCACCGCTGGTTGTGAGTACAACCTACAGCAGGTAGCTGGCGGCAGGGTAGGGACGGGATATGTTTCTCCAGTTGGCCATTTCACCCTTTTTCTTCATTTGTCCTAGAAGCGTAAGTGGCTCAAACCCGGTTAATCCGTGTAAAGATCTTCTTAGAGATTGCCATCGGACCGAAGAAGTCATGCATTCAGGTTGGGCTTTTCCTTTCTTGTTTATCCTTGCCCTGCCTCACTTTTTCTACTTCTTTTTATTCCTTCAACGACTTCAGATTTTAGTCGTCGATACCAAACCTCAGCGAGCTCACCTTACCCCCACGACAAAATACACTAGCTCAGTTAACGGTCCCTAAAAAAAAAATGCACTTGAAGACACCGACCCTTTAAAAGACAATAGTCTTATAGGGTTCAATTTTCTGAGGAAATCTCACGGGTAAAACATACCACAACTGCATTCGGCAGTTGAATATAACACCGCGGGCTGCAACAATACAATACTCACGTATAAGATGATTGGTGGACCGATATGGCCAGTTTAGGGGTAATTAACTCCAAGCCAATACGCACCGAGAATCCCCGCTCGACCATCTGGTCTCACACTCCCTACAACGGCATCCTTCGCCAAGCGTCACCCCGCTTATCAGATGAATCAGATCATGGTCGTGGACACCCCTAAGATGTTGACTTCCTCGTACGGAAATATCACTTGATCTTTTGGTCATGGTGCAGCATTCGGAAGTCCTCAGGTCGGAATCGACCCTCGAATCACCTAGCGTGCCGAGAATCCGGCCCCACCCGGCGCAGCCAATGATCCTTGGCATGGCGCTGTCAAGACGGCGTTGAAATCTCCGGAGGTAGTTTTGGTGATTTTTGCTGTCAGCTTAGAACGTCGTTTTTTTTTTTTAAACGAAACTCTCTTTTCCCAAGCCCCGCACAGCTTGTTGCATGTACAGACATCCTGGGGCCAGCCCGGCAACATTCATGACCGCAACAGGGCACTTCCCGTTCCGAGTTACCCGTTGACTCCCCATATCTCTTTGAAACCGCATCGCTTAGACTCTCTTCAAGATGACAACTTTCCCTCATCCCCAAAAACCAACAGCCTGCCGTGAGTGCTGCAAAAGGTCAAGATGCGCCAAAAACATGCTGCGCGCCGCCTCTGGCCCGTTCTTGTGGCTTCGACACTTGGGTTGATCGCCTACGGGGCTCTGTGCCCATCGAAGGTTCGGCTAGGAGGACATTCATCTGAAATACCCATGGTCTTTGCTTCCGAGACGACGGACAACAAAGCAGGTTTCGATAATCTTCATCTCACTGTAGAACAGTGTCAGGCGGCGTTTCCAGGATTGACCAAGGAGATAGATTCGGCCGTGGCTCAAGGTTCATTCCAGCTTAGCGTTGCCGATGCCTCTGTATCCCTGCTGGGACAGATCAAGGACAATAAGATACTGATCATCCGCGCCCCGAGACCAGTAGATATGTCCGACCAATGGAAAGAGGTTTGTATGCCTTGCTCGAAGCCCATGAGCTACTGGGTAGGATCTCAGCCATCAGTCCAGAGCGGCTAATACTTCGACAGCGACAACGAGCAGCGCTTCACCAAATCCACCGAGCCATTTTGACGTCACCCTCCCGCCTTCCTGACACCGTCTTCAATCTGTATATCCAGGATACGCCCGTATCTAACTCATGGTCTCATAGCCGACCCGCCATCTCCTCTTCTCCGAGACACATCTTCCCTATTCCACACTTCGCCTTCTGGGCCTGGGATCAGCCTTTTATTCGCTCCATCCCACAAGCAGCTGCGGCAACTGATGATATAGAGGCAGCTTTGTCGTTTGCCAAGAAGGATCGTCGAGCGGTATGGCGTGGAACGGCTTGGTTCAACAATGGTGCTAGTGCAAATCCAAGATCACGACAGGATCTCATTAGGATGACCAAGGATGCGAAATGGGCCGACGTACAGGCATTAGAATGGACAAATAACGGAGAAAACGCAACGAATGCCCTCAGGATCGAAGACTTCTGCCGCCACAAGTACATCATCCACACTGAAGGGGTGTCTTACTCGGGTCGGCTGCAATTCCACCAACTGTGCGAAAGCGTGATCATAAGCCCACCGATCGAGTGGTTACAGCACACGACACACCTCGTTAAACCGGTATACTCGAGCGTGTTGCTTAGTGGGGGTAAGGAGCATCCCATCCAACATGACTTGACCAAGAAGCAAAGCCAATACCCTTCCGCAAGAACCCAAGAGACGTGGCCGGCAACGGTTCGTCCAGAGGAGGCAAACATGGTCTTTGTCAATCCAGACTGGTCGGATTTGGATGCTACGATCAGCTGGTTGGAAGACCACCAGGAAGTTGCTCGTGGTATTGCGCAGCGGCAACGGGCGCTATTTGTCGGACGCGGCTACCTGAGCCCGGCCGCGGAAGTGTGCTACTGGCGGGCGCTCATTAGAGGATGGAGCCAGGTGACACGCGCCGATAAGGCTATTTGGGAGAACGCCGAGGCGGTCAGCTGGGAAGAGTTCAGCGTAAGACCCGATAGCACTCAGAAAAGACCGTGAGATCGCTCCTTCTGACAGACTCCTGGGCTGGCTCGCGTCGCGGTGCTTTAATTGCTGTGGTGGCTTTGTAAGGGCGGGTGAATATCAAGCCTGATCATTATGGCTCTCCAAGAACCCCATTGGCAGTTTTCCCGAGGACACTGTCGCTACGGAAGCTGTGCCGTTAAGATTGTCTGAAAGAACTTGGTCAGAGGCCATGCAGTTTTTCTTGGTGAGCTCAAGGCTTATCGTGATCAAGCATCCACCAAAGAGGCCGAAAAGAAGTTGCTTCCTAGGGTAAAAAGGAGCAGCAGTACCAAGTTGCGCTCATTGACGGTGTGTAAGGGGCATCTCACGGCAGGTGTCTGCGACTTTCTCATAAAACTGAACTTAGGTTCAAGCAATGTCCCGGGACACGACGTGGGATTGTTTCCACACGGTTCCTTTATCTGTCGATTTCTCGCTCGTTCATACGATATATTTGTTCATCTCCTACCGTGGGGCTGCTTTGGAAGATATGTTCGAGACGAGTTTTGGGGCTGTGAGGGCTGAGCAAGCATGGCCTGATTCCGCTCCTGGTTGAGGTACAACAGATAACCCAAGGAAGAATGCCGAATGTTTGGAGTTGAAGACCAGGGGGTAGCGTAGCTCAGCTAAGACAGTCGAGTAGAGTTGTTTCCGCGGACTAGCATTCGGCCGTTGGGTGTTTGTTTCGATTTTCAGAGCCTCTGAACAATGAACCACGATCAGGTAACCAACAGCCGGGTGTACGGGGTTTATGGAACAGACGCTGCGATTGCTAGACTATGGCTTTCCAGTTCTCACGGCGCCGGCGATAAGATGAATGTGACGGTGTCACAAAGGCCCATGCGCCTCGACAAATAAAGTGAGAGATTTCTAGTTTGGGCAAGCTGCTGACGGGTTACTATTGTTTGTGTAACCAAGCGAGCTTGTGACACATGAGCTCTCATGCCACGCATTCCACGCCGCACAACACGAACCGGGCCTTTGGGACGACATGGTTTTTTTTTGGTTTTTTTTTGGTTTTTTTTTTGGTTTTTTTTTTCCTTCTTTTTTTTTTCCCCTTAGCGAGGACCACTGAGACCGGCTCGTTTTGCGGGAATGGCAGTGTGTGAACGCTAAACGAATCACGAACTTGGCATTTGAAACAAACAAGAAGATCTACCGATCTTGCGGCCGAGACGGGATGTTGGTTGCAAGCCCTGGGATGTGTGGCTGTCTGTGAACAGCGGGACTTATTGTACGTCTTTCCAACACCAACATGCTGGGTACTGGGCGCGAAGGGCCCGAGAACCTGGGATGAGCATTTTCTTCTGCGGCGCAGTATCAAATTCTAAAGCAGCGGGCAACCATCTGAATTGCAAGGGCGGACAGCATGTAGCTCTTATGCGTAGACGTCACGTTTCCTGCATGCATAACGCCGTTTTCCCTTCAGCCGTCACACCGTCTTTCGACAATGGTCGGCAGCTCCAACACGGTCTTTGAAAGAATGCAAGCTTGCAACGCAGTAGATGCAGTGAATCCTTCGTGTTGGAACCAAAACATGACCTTTTTTTTTTTTTTTTTTTTTTTTTTTTCCCCTTCGACTCTTCCGGGGGGGGGGGGGGAGAGTCTGGGCCAGACGGACATTGGTCCAGCAAGGATCAGCAATGGCACTGACGCCAGGCCAATGCAGCTCTCTCAGAGCGGATGTTACCCCAACTCTCCCCACTGACCAGGCCATTGCAGCTGGCTTTGCAAATCATGCCCTGTCATTCTATTAGCGCTTTTGGCCTGGCACCACTTACGCAGCATCCCACAAGGGTGCTCGCATGGCCGGTCTTTCGCAAATGGGTTTGAAGATGGGCCTAGCTCATCGCTTCCGAGGGTTGAGGAGGAGCTTTCCCCCCCTCTCTTTTGTCAGATGTCAGATTTCTGTATGTTAACCATGGTTCGTTCCTGTTGTTCCGGTTGGGTGGACTTGGAGCAGCGAAGAGTTGGTTGAAGTGCCTAGCTTGTCAGCAAAGCTCCGGCAACTTTTCTCCTAATGATCGCGATCCATATCCAACTTTGCGAGAAAGTGTCCGGAGCATGTGCCTGTGTGTTTGTGGTTTCGCGGGCCGTACCACATCTGTATCAATACCAGTACCAGTATCAGTACTTGTACACCAGGCTTTTCAGAATTCAATTTGGCAGTTTTTTCGCCCTCATTTGTGGTTTGCTTCTGGGGCCCACAGGATTGACAGACTTGTTGGTTCTATATCATACGCTTTTATGCACCTTCTTTGCCTCCTTCTCTTTTTCGTGCAGAAACCCACATCGGATACATCCAACCCAAGCCCACCCTGAACGACTGCAGCTAAGTCCAATACTGGCCGGAAACCACCCAATACAATCCAGTTTCCAGTCTCCAGCTCGTTCGTTCCCTCGGCCGATGCCCCCTTGTTGTTTGCTCATAACGACCTGCCCCAACTTCCGGCAGCAAATCGGGGAAGATGGCGCTTGAGGCTTGAGGGGGGGCTTCATTTACCAGTTCCGCTCAAACGCACAAGCTTGGGCATCCCGTTAGTTCTGGCTTGGTTCCAACAACTACCTCTTGCATACTCCGTACACACAACAGAGGATAGGAGAGGGTAGGGAGGAGAGGAGAGCCGGGGGGTACCTGAATAAAATAAAAAAAATACCAGGTCCCAGGGTCCAGGGTCCGTCCCCCAGGGTTGTGGAATTGTATTAGTCGACAGCAAAGTTCCAACACCAACACCAGCAACCGACCTATTGGGTCCTCCCCCGTGTTTTCGTTCCCGCCTTTCCCGCCTTCGCGGATTCAGACCGACTCAGTCTGACCCAGGTCTCTGGGTCAGAAAGGCCACGGTTCTCCCCTCCCGCCCCCCATCACCTACGCCCCAATCTCTCATCTCAAGCTCTGTCTCGGTCCAGTTTCATTTGTTCTTCTCGTCCTTGCTCGCATTACTTTCTCACGAAGAATTGGGACCCGCAGCCTTCTGTCATCCCCTTAATCCGATCCGTGACACCCTCGGTCGTTCGATTTCCTCATCTCTCAATATCTAATTCCCTCCCCTGGCTTGATCTAATTGTCTTACAGCCAAAAGGAGACTAAACCCAGGGATTCGGCTATCGAACTATAATACATACTGCAAGACAACCCCCCCCCCCCCCCCCCCCCCCACGACTAGCACTTAAGAAACTTTCTTTTGTTCAAAGAATCACCCACGAGCTTCCACGATTGAGTTTGCGTCTCCACTTGTTCGCTGAGGTCTTCCACGGCCCTGGATTTGACCGCAATCGTCCTGGCGTTCCGAACCCGTCATCTTGGCTCATAAAAGCTCCCGTCGCAGCACTTGCGCACCAAGCTCCCCGTCGGCGCTCGCTATTTCTCAATTCATTCCATGTCACGCACCAAAGTCATGTCCTTCTATCCGCCTGGCGCCGTCAACGGCCGCCTTCATGGTTTCGAATTCACCTTTGAGGCCATCCCCGACAAATCATCCTTGCACGACAGCAGTTTGGAGCCCGATGTGCGTGAGCTCCCAGCCCTCCCGTTCATCTGATGTCACTAATAACTCTATTAGTCTGATCCCTATGAGGGGTATGCCTGTCACCTAGCATCAATGTGCACATGCGAACGCTAACTGACACCATAAAAATTCCAGAGAAACGGAATCGTTGCCGGATAGCGTTGAATGTTTTCCTCGACATTTTGGTAGGACTTATCACGCGTATCAGGCCGGTTGTAAGTGTCATAGTTCTACATCGCATCGACGAACCGCTGGATTGCTGACACGAAGCGTAGCTTACGTCTTCCCCAATGACGCTGCGGAGCAGGAGCGGTTAGACCTCCAATCGCTAGCTCTCACACACCTCTTCAGTGAAAGACTGCATTTCGCCCCTATCACCGAGGACCACCCCCCAAAACGCATTCTCGATGTCGGCACGGGGACGGGGGCGTGGGCGATGGACATGGGTGACAGCTATCCGGAAGCCCGCGTTATCGGAGTTGACTTGTCGCCAATTCAAGGCAATGCTGTCCCGCCGAACGTTCATTTCTACGTCGAGGACGCGTGAGTTTGACTTTTCAGATGCTGCAACTCAACCTGACATGTCTTATAGTTCCCAATCATGGGCATGGCCGGACCCTTTTGATTATATACACACCCGCGTTCTCCTCGGTTCCTTCGCCGACTTCAAGAACGAAGTTATTCAGCAAGCATTCGACTCCCTACGCCCTGGCGGCTGGCTCGAGTCCCAGGATTTCAACGTTGAGGCGGCCTCTGACGACGATACCTTATCCCCGGAAAGCTCGTTATCTCTCTGGGTCAGGGACATGAACTACGCAAGCGAAATGATCGGCCGGCCGTTGTCCAGAGCGCAATATTTGAAACAGTGGTATGAGGAGGTCGGGTTCGTAGACGTGCACGAGCGCGTGTTCAAGATACCGCTGAACGGATGGGCCAAGAACCCCAGGCATAAGCACATCGGCAAGCTCTGGGAACAAAATTTCCTGGACGGTCTCAGTGGCTTCAGTTTGGCGTTATTTACACAGGTTCTGGATCGCAAACAAGAGGAGGTGGAAGTGAGTACCCGCTTCCTTGACTCTCCCCGGTGGTGAGCTGACCAATCTCGGCAGGTTTCGTTAGTAGGTGTGCGGAAAGACATTAGTAACGTGCACATTCACGCATATCAACACATCTGGGTTGTCTGGGGTCGCAAACCATATCCAGGAGAGACAGTTCCTGCGGCTTCGTCGGAGAACAGTGAGATGACAGGATGATGAAATGATCGATCTTATGATGGCTTTTTTTACTTGCATTGGCGTCCTTGGACCACGGGCAGCGGGAGTCTAGGTGTTCACTTGCTTCATTTCAGCAGAAAAGCATACGTTTATATAGCAGCTACTTGCTTGTGGGCTCGGCATTTTTACCGGCAACATATACAATACATACGACCGGGAAGAACAGCATTGGCATCAGGAGGAGTACCGGGGTTGCAAGATGCTTGCTTGCAAACGAACATTCAAAGCCATATTAGAGGCTTGTATGAATGATGATTACATGCTTCACAATAAAAGATACCATTCCTGCTTTTCATCATCTACACCCGCTTCCCTGATCGCTGTCATCGCTTCTGTGTTCATACTTTGAGTACCAGCCACTCCAGCCTCTTGGCTTTCTCCCCACCCACCACCTCACTCAGTCTTTCTTTCGTCAGGAAATCATGATCGCAGAACTCGAACCCTGGTACCGCAACCTCGGTGATTAGCAATCCGTCGCTCGCCTCCTTGCTCTCGTCCTTGTCCGGCAGCAGGAAGCTGGCCTTGTAATCGCCTCCTTCGACGACCCACTGCAGCCTCTCGCCCGCGGCCACGTTCTTCCCCACTACGAAACTCTCGACACTGCCGTCCTCGTGGATCAGAACGTAGCGGCCGCGCCCGCTGTGCAAGGAGTGTGTGATGCGGCAGCGGTTTCGGTGGAAATGACCCACGGGCGAGGACGGTGCGAGGTAGTAGAAGATGCTGGAGGAGATATCACGGCGGCCGGGATCGAAACCTGGACGGTCGTGGCCGCCTATCATGGCGAGAGTTTTTGGGTTCGCGGGCGTCGAGGGGAAGGGGGAGGGGATGGAAGTTACGGCGCGGTCTGTTTCGGCGAAGTAGCCGCCTTCAAAGTGTTGGAGAAGGGAGAGGGCGGTGATGGTTTCTTGAACAGACTGCGGATCTTGGGGTGGGGGAAGGGAGGAAGGGGTTATGTGTTCGTCTGGTGTGGCAATTGAACCCATCGTGGTTATGCTTCAAGGCTGAGATGTTGTTGGTTAACGATGAGAGGGGATATTGTTGGGACGAACGCTGATGATTTCAAGGATGGCGGCTGATCCTTTTGGTGAAGGATTACCGTTGTGCAATGCTATCTATATGTGAGGCAGATGGGTCACCTCATCGGCTTATGGCCACAGCTGTCAAGACTGCCCCCCCCCAAGACCCATGTGTGATTTATCATCTTGAGATAAGACGCCGGGATAGCGTTTCCAAAGGCACAAAGTTCCCATCTATGCCGGCTCCTTAGGAGTAATGACGATATCGTGGTGGGTGGTCAGCTTAACCCCGCCAGTGATAGTCATTGGTTAGATGTATTTGTTCGGCGATATCTTTATTTGGTTAGGAGCATAGTAACCTGGTTAATTTTCAAAGCAGAGAATCAAGAGCTCCAATGCTCCAATGTCCAGCGAGAACGCTAAGATCTGAGTAAGAGAACCACGCCTGGGAAACCAGCTTCCGGCCTCCCGGAAAGGAACATGCCAAAAACTAGTGGAGAAACAATGGGCTGGATCGGAACAAGACGTGGTGTCAACATGACGGAGATCCTGGAAGACATGCAGCAATGGAGATCTGACGTGGGATTGAAGAATCCCAGCCAGGGGGCTGTTGAAGATGGAAGACATGAACCCCACCCGCCACAGGCGCCACAGACGCTATCAAAGCTTACCCTGGATTGTGGCTGGCACACACCGAAGCTCCACATCTCTTATCGTTATCGCCAGCCAGGCCACCAGCTCCAAGAATGACAGCATCAATGGAGCTCAACATCTGCCAAAGACGTCTTAAATTTACTAGCCGAACCTCCCGGTGAGCTCCACGATTGCCGACAGGCTACTCGAGCCAGCTCACTTGCCTCCCAGAGACGAAATACAGCCGCTCGTTCCAGCCAGCGCTCGCCCGCGCGCCCGGCCATGTTACCCCTCCGCGCTCTCCTCCGACAGCCCGCCGTCCGGGCAGTAATATGCCGCCCACCGACCACTCGCGGCGTCTTCTTCCAGCCCGACCTCCTCCGGCGAACCGCCTACGGCCATAATGCGACGATCCGATCGCCTACCTACAGCCGCCTCTTCTCACAAACTCCACACCGTCCTGTACCCTCCCATGACCCCCGTCACCAAATAGACCAGCACTACCTTCAACAACAATACCACCAGAACCGCCTTCAATCAGCGAGGCCCCTCGTCACGAACGCGGGTCTCTGGCGCCTCGCAAAATCTCGAGGCACTCATTCCGTCATCGTCGCCGCCTTCATCGCCGCCATTGCGTTCTACTTCTACAATGTGCAAACCGTACCCGTATCCGGCCGCAGGCGCTTCAATTGCTACCCGGAGCACTACGTCGAGAAGGTCTCGGCCGAGCAAGTGCGGCGAATTGTCCACGAGGTCGAGTCGCAGGGCGGACGTTTCCTGCCGTCATGGGACCCGCGCGCGCAGATGGTCGCGCGGGTCATGCGCCGGCTGATACCAGTGTCTGGCATGGAGGGACAGGAGTGGGAGGTCCGGGTAATTGACGACCCGCACACGCTCAACGCGTTTGTGCTGCCTGGAGGCAAGGTATTCGTTCACAGCGGCATTCTGAGAGTGACGAAGAACGAGCACGGTTTGGCTGCCGTGCTGGGGCACGAGATTGCGCATAACCTCGCCGAGCACGTCGGAGAGCGTATGAGTTCGTCCATTGGGCCTAATATCCTGCTGGGAAGCTTGGTGCTGTTGTCGGGAATGTTCCCGCCGGCTATCATCCTGGTGCAGTATCTGGGCTCGGGCCTGATGGACCTGCTGTTCACGCGCCCGATGGGACGGTTGCAGGAGAGCGAGGCGGATTACATCGGGCTGATGCTCATGGCCGAGGCCTGCTACGATCCGCGCGAGGCCGTGTCTTTTTGGCAAAGGATGGATTGGGCGGCCAAGAGGGGCCAGGCGGAGGAGATTCCAGAGTTTCTAAGCACGCATCCCTCGGTACGTTGGAGAAGCCTCGTCTCTTCTGGGTGTGTATTCCCTGTTGAAGAGTAAATTGCTAACACTGAAGCTTGCAGAACGAACATCGCATTGAGAAATGCAGAGAGTGGATGCCAAAAGCTATTGAAAAGTGGGAAGCCAGCGACTGTAAGGGAACTGCAAGCTTCGCAAACATGTTCAGACGAGCATTGGACAGGGGAAACATGATTGTGGAGTTCTAGATGATTTCCACACTTGCATTATCAGAGCACAGCGGCATAACATGGCCGGTGTCTGGCGCCCGGGAGGGGGAGTTTTTTTTTTTTTCAGTTTTGCGGTACGACGAATATGGGCAACATCTACTGGTGTCCCATGTATCACTATCAGTCTTATCATTATATCATATATCCTAGCAAACTTTCTTAGACTAGATACCAACGACATCATTTCACCTGTTGGAGGTCCTGTGTTTCGCCTCGGCTACTCACCCAACATCCCCTCCTTTTTAAGCCGCGAACTCGTGCGGCACCCCAGGATCCTTGGCGATGACATACCACTGGAAATGAACAAACTACCACGGCTTAGGAAGATAAATAAGCGTGTGAAAGGCAGGTAGCGGAGCCTCGGATCTAGACTATACCCCCGGATCTCACAAGCTGAGAAATTGGGGTCTCGTGATTTGCTCCCGCATTTACTCCAGGTCCAAGGCGGAGCACCCCCAACCGACGGACGAATGACGTCGGCCGCTGATCCCTGCTCGCGCAGAGATGAGCCGAGGTAAGTTGACTCGTGCAATCCCTCAGCACACGCTGGTGCGTTGCAGTAGGCACGCCTGATGCGCTAGAACAACGCCAACAAATGCCCCCCAGACGACCCCTTCCTAATTCGCCGCGTCCCTTTTTCCAAAAATTTATCAACTTCCTCTCATTCAACACCGAAAAACTCACACAGTCCTCCCCAAGGCTTCGCCATTTTCACGCGTTATAAGTGCTGTTGTCGAATCGCAAGACACTGCTCTCAGCCTCCAAACATTGCTTTTCCCGAACCACGTGTACCCCTCAGCCATCAATCCCCCCAGCCACCAAAATGTCCAAGTCCTTCACCACCGCCGAGGTCGCCAAGCACAAGACCGAGAAGGACATGTGGATCATTGTCGAGAACGGTGTCTACGACATTACTGGTAAGTTTTGAATCACCATTTACCATGGGCTCTGCAGCCACAACTCCGTCCTCCCCCCCCCCCCCCCCCCCCCCCCCCCCCCCTCCAGAGCCCCAAAACTGACCCCGTCCGCCTTCAGCCTTCCAATCAGAGCACCCCGGTGGTGAGAAGATCCTCAAGCGCTTCGGAGGCAAGGACGCCACCAAGGTCTTCTGGAAGTACCACAACGAGAAGGTCCTCGAGAAGTACGGCGGCAAGCTCAAGATCGGCACCGTCGGCGAGAGCGCCAAACTGTGAGGTGGCACACCCCTGTCTCTCGCTGCTCGGCTGCTCGCTTTATCTTTGCCCCGTAAAGATACCCGCGTCTGTTGCGTGCCCTCGCAACTAGGACGCGGCTGTACTTGATGGTTATTGTGCTGGAGCTATTTGTATGATTTAAGCATTGCGATTTAGCGGACTGGGATATACGACTTTTTTTTTTTTTTTTTTATTATTATACACATCTGGGGTGGGAGAATCCGCATCGTAAGATGACGCCAACTCCTAGGGACGACCTCTTTTGGTTGGCCGCGTATGGGGAAGAAACGGCGCTCTCCTTCGAGCTCAGGGTCTGTCTTCTTTTCAGAAGAATCATGTTCTGGTAAAAGTGCGAAAATCCATTGTCTTCTCGGGCGCCAGCGTCCGGGGGTCGGGCGTGAGGTCTATGGTGGGCAACCCCCTCCCCCTTTGAGGAGTGGCAGGAGAAATTACCTGGGGGGTTCTGGCGAGTTCTGCATGCATCAAAAACTGTTATGCTTTGGTGGGAAACAGTAGATACATTTTAGACAGCCCCCTCCCCAGGACCAAGTTCCGAATAGATAGATGCTGGAGACACCTCAAAAGAGTCTCGGGCCTCAAGAGAGCATTTCGGGATTGTTTGCAAATACATTAAACAGCTAACTACTGTGACACCTTTTCAAAAACGTTTAATCATTAGATAAGTCTTTGCCCGTGAACTATGTACAGTCGCTGCGGGTCAGTGACTGGAGAATATTATGTTGCAAGCCCTGCCGCAGCGTATCCAACTCGTTGGAAGCAAAAGCGCGCGTTCTCTGGCCCCCGTTTGCCTTCCCATTCCCAGGGCAGTTCTGTCTAGATTTTAAATCATTGATCGGACCTCAATTCCTCCTCCTCGACCCTCTCTGTAATATCTTCAGTAAGATAGATTGTCAACCCCTTGTATGTTTCTTTCTCCCTTTCCCAAGTCATAGAGGGTATAATGCAATTCGTCTCGTGCGTTATACAAACGGAACAAAGAGAAAATGTCAATGTAAGCAGGACCCCTACTGCCCATACGATGTCGTCATTAAGCGGCGGCATGGCTCATTCTGGACTCAAAATAGGAAAAAAAAAAGTTTGTCAAAACTCTCATCGTTTGTCTTATATTATTTTGTTTTTAATGATGGCTATTCAGTAGCCTCTGAGGAGCGAGTCGTCATATCTGTCGGGACTGCCGGCACCGCTGCCGTTGGCGCTATCGCTGCTCGAGAAGTAGCTCTGGTCGATACGGAAAATCCAGTCCATCTTGTCACGCTCGCTGCGTGCGGCAAAGAGCCACGTGTTGTCCGTCCCGTAGATAGCGAACACGCCGGCCTGCAGTCTTTCGCTCAATCGCTGTAGACCCCCATTGGACCCGTTCGCGGCACCGCCTGTGCCGGTGCCTGTCCAAATGGTTGAGATGACGCGCCCGGAAGCAGTCCGGCGGTGGCTTGGACGGAACTCCTCGACGCTACCGTTGGCTTGAGAACTCACATCATCGTCATCACCCGATAGGAGGCCGATCACACCAGGCTGGCTGTCAACGCGCGAGTTCCGTAGGCTCACAATGGCCACTTCATCGCCATCCGTGACGGAATGTATGTGAAGGTATGGCCGTCGGAGCTCCACAAATCTCTTGACCCATCTTGTTGAGCTGCTATTAGGAACCAGCAGGTAACCTCCCTTCAGTACCTTTGGGTTTTTAGGTACTCGGATGATCGTAGGAATCAGACTCGGTGGGGCAGATTCAGGCGCAGAGCCGTCCGCTGGTGGGTCAGTATTGGCCGGACTTAGAATTTGCAGGAGCGGATCAGGATATTTGCTCCAAAGCTTGAGGCATCGTTCAAGAAGATGCTTTTCCCGCTCTGGCATTTCCGCTTCGTTTGGCCCCTGTAGCGGTACAGTCTCCTCACCCTGCTGAGGGGTTTCTTGACCGTCACCGCTCAATAGATCGTCCTCTGGTATTTGCGAACTCTCTGGTGTGTCGTTCAGAAGGTCGTCATCGTTGTGGTCGAAGGTTGGCTGAGGAGGCAAGTCCTCTTCTTGGGGTTCTTCTACCGCTGGCTTCGATTTTGGCTCAGGGAGACCAATCTTCTTCAACAGCGTCTGCACAGCTCCTATTTCTGCGATGCGACTTCTCTTCTTGCGAGAGAGGATGAAGTCACTGACAAGAGATACACCACGAGGAGTCCAAGTGGTGAGCTGTTCCTCCCCCTTGACGTAATCGTGCTGGCTACTCATCCTCCAAAGATCGCCGATCCTCTTGATCGGCGCCGGACGCATTGAGAGTGTGAAAATCGCGCTGGTTGCATGAACAAACCGGACACTCTGCCACAGCGCGGAGAACATCGATGTCTGCCGTATGTAAGATCTGGACATGATCTGGCAGCAGATGTTCATTGCGAACTTCATTGGCTCTGCAAATTTGCTGGAACTGACCTCCCAGGCCACCGTCATCTGGACACGGTACTTCTCCGCTGTAACTCTGTCTAGCAGTAGCGAGTTGTGCAAGCTTGAGTCCCACTGCCCAGTCAGCGTGATGCTACGGGTACCGTTTGCGTTGTCGCGAAAAGCAGGCTTGTTGGCAAGCTTGAGGGTGATGGCTGGGGATGAGGAACCCATGTCGGGTGACTTTCCTGCCTGATCCAACAGTCGAATCTTGCCAACTCTGAGGTTCATGGCGTCGTCCCAGGGTAGGGCATCGCCAGAGCTGTGAGTTATGTTAATTGCAATCCGACGTTGTAGACCTTGATGGAGGTGGAAAGTGCCTCCATCCATCTCACTTGTCTGGGCGACCTCCACAGGAGCGTATTCTCCTTCTTCATTGAGCTCTAGAATTTGTATCCTCGCAAGCATATCATGTTTCTCCTCAGTATAGAACTGGGACTCGGCAATCCGCGCGTTTTTACCTTTACCTCGAGATAAGGGCACAGCATCTCTCATATCGTCCCAACTCAAGAGCTTGTCTAAATGCATAGCTGAGACCTTGGCGAAGATAGCTGCTCTGAGAGTCACCGTTTGCGAGCTAAAGAGTGGAACGCTCATGCTGTGCACACTCTCAAATCGGATGGGTCCTTCGTCGAAGTCTTTAATCATCTGAGTGGTCGTAATGCCGTCTTCTTCGGAGACGCCAGGGATGAACAGTTGCGCGTGTACCTCAGTGCCCTCTCGTTCGGCGAAGCCCACCATCTCATGCATAACAACGTTAAACTTGAGCGTATTTGAAGGTGCTCTAGCATGAGACGGCTCCAATGAAAGCTTGATCATGCCAATTGCATGGGAAGTATGGGGCGAGAGGACATCGAGGTTAAAGTCCTGAACCCTACTTTGGAAGACTGCCTTCAATGGCACGTCTACTTCTCCAACAAGAGTGTACTGCGGCATGCAAGTCTCGACAAAGGGGTTGTCAAGACTGAGGTGCTGAGCGTACTCTGGTTGGTCAAGATACTGATGCATCTGTCTCATTTGCCGGACTCTGTCGTGGAGTTTCTCCAAGCTCCAGAGGTGAACAACACTGTTCTTGTAGTCAATAACGCGCACGCCAACACATGGCTTTTGAGCCTCATCAAGCGCTATGTCGTCGCCTTCACCAGTCAGGCCGTTGAGAACCATATCGTACGAAGAGCACAGAGAATGGCCGACGTCGATGACTGTAAACTGAAATACAACTCCCTCATCAAGTTCGTTACTCATGATTTGTGCCTCCTTTAATGCTGATGCATGCTGGAGTACTGCTTCGGCCATCCGCACGAAGCGTCTGGTTTTCCAGTGGTTGATGACCTGTCGGCCAATTTCGATTTCTTCGTCTGACAGCTTTGGGTTCGCTTTCGGTCTCTTGAGTGGATCCATCTTCTCGAGCTTTTCCTCAAATTGGCGACGTTGAACCTCCAACTGCTGCTGCATATCTTCCTTGATAGTTTTCAACGTCTCTTCCATTCTAGTCTTCTCCTTCTTGATCTCTTCCACCTCAACATTTGCGGCTTCCGCAGTCTTGAGTTGTTCTTGATACTCCTCCTTTTGACGATCAAGCTGAGATTGCATCTCTTCCCGTACTTCTCTCATCTTGTCATCAATTTCACCTGGCTTTGGGGTCGACGGCATGGTAAGGGCAGTGTCTAATGAGAAGTTGTCAATGGTGCCGGTTGACATGTACTTTTCCCGAATTGGGTAGGAAGTAACTGATTCCGTGTCATCGTCTCCGTCCCGACCATTGACACGCTCAGCACGAGCTCGTTGAATGCCTTCGAACAGAGCGTTAAGCTCTTCATCAGTCAGACTTGCCAGGTTTTGATTAGTGCCGAGAATGGCCTCAGCTGCCTCGCGACGTGCAAAACTCCAATCATTATCACGACCGGTACGGAACGGGATGGGTGAGTCCGGCCGGCTATCACCAAATTCCGATCCAGCCTTGCTCCAACTGCGCTCATGTCCCGGACGAGGGCTAGCAGCCGGAGTTGGCACTTTCCCTTCGAAATTTTGCAGTTGGCTAGCTGTGACGGACTGACGCAGAAGACTTTTGTCAGCCCGCTCCTTCTGTGCCTCCATAGGATGATTGAAACGGAAGATATGGAAGTCGCCTAGGATAACACGATAACCAGAATGCAGCTGCTTAGGCTCTTCGATGCGTTTTCCGTTGACCATAACAGACGCTCCTTCACTTGGGATGACCATGACGGTGCCGTCTGACTGGTTCTCGAAGGCGCAGTGATCATGCAAGATACGCGTCCCGTTAAGGCGAATGTTAGCTTGATTGTCGGCGTTCGTGTCCATGTTGCCAACCGTCGTTAATCCGGGCTTGAGATTGTAAACCAAACATTCTGCAAGTAACGGGTCGTCTGAAAGATTAACCAAATGGGGCATCTTCTTCGGCGTAGAAAGCCCAATAAAGCCCTTCTCGATGCTGATGCCGAGTTCCTCGAGGGCGGCCTCACGCTCTTTTTGGATTTCTTCGGTCTTGGCCAACTTTTGCTCCCAAGTTTGGTTTAGATCTGATAGCAGCTTCTCGCTCTGGTTAAGCTGCTCGGCAATCTCGGCCTTGGAGACTTTTTTGACCGCTCCATCGCTGGATGTGATTGACACAAATTGTTTCTCCAGTGGCGTACCTTCAGGGTAGACCTCTTCAGACGTGATGGTACCGCCAGCGCCGGCTCCTCCAACAGCACCAGGTGATCCGCCGCCACCACCTAATTGAGTCCGTAGCAGCGCCAGCTCTTCTTTCAGTTCTCTGATCATGCGTGCATTGGCATCCTCGTTGACCACGGCATGGTTCTTGATTCTCTTGGCGGAATCGGCATATCGTAGAGTACTGAGGGTTTCGTCGTAGTTGATGTCGGCTGGACTGATGGCGGCAATCATAGCCGTCATACTGTTTCCACCTAACGAATCTTTGAGTAGCCACGTTAGGACACTGTCTCTGTAGGGGACTTGTCCACCTGCTCCCTTCTTTTTCTTTCCGGTTGAAATATCTGCTAGGGCTGAAATGACACGACCCAGTGAGGACAATGATCTGTTGATCTCTGCACCTTCCTTCAGACGGGCACCCGTTGCACCTGTCGATGTGGCTCTTTCTGAACCAGCCAAATCGACCAGACTGATCTTTGCAACTTTCTCCATTTCCATCTTGGTTTCTGGGTCAAACTTCTTTTGTGTGAGCATCAAGGTGAAGACGGCGTGACTTCGACTGGATGTCTCGTTCATGTTTGTTGCAGCAACTGTTCTGGCCTTGTTTCCCTCGTCCATCAAGTGCTCAATCTCCTGAAAGCTACCGACCACCAGTTTCGCCAAGTCTTCGACATAAGGACCGGTGGACGGATGTTCGCGCACTTTGAGGTTGCCTTTGGTTGACGGGTTGAGCAGATCCCTGACACGCTCGTTGTAGATTTCGAGATAAGACACTTCGACAGTACAGCGCAAGTTCTTGTCTTCCTGCAAGGCCGAGATTCTCCTAAACATGTCTTGACAAATGTTTGGGATGATACCAACTTCCTTGCCGTAGCCCATCATGGAGTACGACTTTCCTGAACCGGTTTGTCCATAGGCGAAAATACAGTTGTTGTAACCCTCAAAGGCATTGTCGAGAAGTGGTTGACCAAGATCATCGAAGAGGTTATCTTGTCCAGCGTAATGGCTGTCTTTTCGATCGAAAGACCAGTACGACCTATCGAATGCAAACACTTTCTGACCAGTATCCTTTTGGCCTTTTGTGTGAGCATCGGGTGGTGAGGTTAGAATCGTCTGGTTCTCTTTCATTTCAATGATACATTTTGAACCCCGGTCGATTTCTTTTTCCCATCTGTCAGTAAAGCGTACCAGTCCACAGACTTTGTTGCCCCCTCATATCGCAGCGGAGACGTAGTAGAGCTCGGCATACCTCGACTGTTGAACGGTCTAACTCTCACCACCACCTTAATGTTTCCACCGCCGGCCGGAGGCATCTTTGCGATTGTTTTGGGGGCACCTGCCGCCCGACTTCACGGCAAACCGTGCCGGTTGTGCGGATGGCAGGTTCTCTTCGGCAGACCAACGCTGATACCGTCCGGTAAGGAGGTGGGCACCGTCTGCGACTGGATGACAGCAAGACTCGAGTCGAGCGGGTATCGTCTACTTGTGATGCCGACAGCCCTCTCAGCAGCTGGCCGGTATCATTATCCAAGGGTTGGAATTGTAGTGGGCTGTCTCGGTGGGCAGCCGCGGATCGTTAGGCGGGATTATGTCGATTTCGGTGGCCAAGTATTTCCCTAGGCGCTTGCTGGAATGACGCAGGCACGGGCCCCGCAAACAATATGGCCGCTCCCGCAGAAGAACACACTACGCTTTCGGTCGTTGATAGAGCGTCTTCGTACACAGAATCGATATCGTTTCGGGGTCGTATGGTCGTGGTCGTGGTCGCGTAACACAAAGGGGATATGTCGTTGAGCAGAATGCGAAATTACGGTACGGAGTACATCGGTGTCAACAAAATCTCGGAAGGAGGACGCGGTCGCTCGCGCACCGCATGACGGCCCTGTGCAGGGAAAGTACGTTGTTTGATTGGGTCGGAAATTAGCTATGCTCAGGGTCATTTCACGTGCCAATCCGCTCAGCGGGGTGTCGTCACCAGCTCTGATTGGTGTTTGTGTGACTAAGCAGCGCGAATCAACTGGTTTTGGCGCCGTTGTTGATTGTTTTCTCAGCGCTGGTACACAACAACCCACGGTTGTAAATACTTGGTCTCGACTTGATAAGACGACCTATCCTGGTTTTCTTACCTCTTCACCCTAAATTGAGAGTGGGAAAAACAAGACCAATGATCTCCGAAATGAAGACTTCAATTACAAGATGCAATCGAATATGGCCCCATTGGAATGACCATCAGAACCAATGCTCTTCTCATAAACCTTGGTTTACTGCAAGCTCCCATCTGAAACTGTTGCTGAAAGCAGCTCAAGAACGTATGTGCCTTAAACATTGACTCATCGCTTCCATTTAGGTCTCTCTTTCTCAAGATGCCAACGACCACAATCATGTGCTATTACAAAGCTTGCATTCCAGATCTCCTATCGCGCTTCAGTGTTGCCGTCGTCCCTCTTTAACTGTTTTCATACGGCTCGAAAGAGTTCATCTTAATCTTGTCAAATCGTTTCTTGGTCCATCCCTGTCGGGTCGCGAACCGGACGCGTGTAGGCGCTTCGTAGTTCTTCCTGTCAACTGAACTGAGAAAAAGCGCAGCGGGTATCCTTGGTCACAAAATTACGACCATCATGACGTTGGCCAATGGCTTTGTCTCACCAGCAGCTTGTTATCGTCCGAGGCCTCCGCCCCTGTTGAACGGACAGGCAATCAATCACCAGCAGAGATTTTTGCGATGTTCAAATTCCCATGTCAAAAGACACTAACTAACGAACGCCGTCTTGAGTAATCCAGCGAACACTTATCTCAACCCTGACCTTCTGTGAACCGCTCTTGGTGTCAAGTTGTTTCTACGTCATTAGCGCCGTTTTCTTTCTCTCTTACAATTATGTTCTCTTGCTTCAACCCATAACAGCTGAAGGTAAAGTTCTTGATGTAAATCTGAGAGGCCTTGACCCTGAATAGGAAATCACGTTGGTTCCCAAAAGGCCCCTTTTTGCAAGCAACACATGACCAGAAGCTCAATGGACATATTTGCATTGCAGTTTGTAACCTGGATGGTAACTCGCTCCATCTCAACGCTCGACGCGAGTAATTATTTGCAACCAAGTTCAAACTAACGAAACCCTTGCATCGGCATGAAAACAACCATTGTTGAGGTTGCAAAGAACTACCTGGTCCACCAAATCATTACGACTATACGGTTACGTCTTATAAATCCCAATGGCTAACGCCAGCTGTTGAATAATCCCTCGACTTTGGAATGCAAGCTCCATCTAATTTGCATAAACTGGCATAACTTGGTACTTGCCAGTGCTGAGCATTACGAAGTCATTCCCACGTTAGGCAGGCTACTGACACTGGCACCCTTGAGCGAAGTCCCTCAGTTTTTATCTGCGACAGTCAAACGTCGCTTGCCGTGGGGCAGTCTCTTTTCCCCCAGGTCTCAAACAAAACTTCCGAAGATAACCTTCTCGACAAGTCTTCCGCCCCCTCAAAGTGGCCCCCCCGGGACACGATGCCTGCACTTGCAGATACGGCGACAGTTCCCCGGTGACCATTCAAGAAGACCATCCGCGGTCATCAAGGAGCCCCGGCTGGCCACCAAACCGCAGGGAGCTGCAAGCCAGCCATCGGACGCCCAGCGTTGGGTTAGTTGGGTTGGTCACCCTCGGTGACGGGGGCGTTGACGTCTTGCGAATGTCTCCTCCTCCACCAGCCTGCAACATAATACATCAACTACATAGTACCCAAATGCCTACGGCAAATCAACCCCTTCTCCACTAATTTTCTCACGAAGACCTTCTGGAATCAACAACCCCTGCTTGTTCGTTGTCCGGGTCGCCTTCGTCTCAGAAGGCGCCACTCAACCGCCACAATGGATGGAACGTCGTGATGGCAATAGCAACTGGTTCTTTGAACCTCCTTTCTGCTCACGTCCGCCCTCGCACACGACCGCTGAGCGGTTCGCACGTCTATAGTCCCGTTCATGAGAAACGCCTCCAGTGTTCCAGAACAAGCTTGTCGGGAAATATTCCCCCACTACGACAGGAAATCCGACCCTCCAACCACCCCCCGATGCTCACGGATGTCCCACCCCGCCTGGAACGCGACGGACCCCATCCCCTCTGGCACCCTGCGCGGGAGGGCGGAACCCCGTTACCTTTTTCCAAACAAGCTCTTAGGTAACGGATGCCAATAGGTTTGACAGCTGCTTGAATAGCCATCTCCGTAGACACGCCGAAGGCCCATCGCCTTGGCAGCGCTTTGTCAGAGGGTGCGCGTGCACATGTCACCATTGAACAAGAAACATAGTGGATAGGGAAAAGAAAAGAGAAAGAAAAGAAAAAGGAAGAAAATCAAGTATACCGTCGCATACGCTAGCGTTTCGTTGTGCCGTGCCTCCGGAGTGGACTCGTTCTAGGAGATTTAGGACCATCTCTCAAACATACCAATACTCTCGGCGAGATTTTCCTCCTAACCAAACAAAACGGCGATCGACCGTCCTTATCCTGGCCGATAAGATGCAAGTAAGCAGCCCCCCAAACGGTACTCTTCAAGTACGACAGGGGTCCCGGTGTTTCTCAAACACACCCAACGACCGGTTGACCCGTGCCGGATCCGGGAACGACGCCGCTCCATCTTCACCCATTTTCTTCTTGCTCTTGTCAAACTTGTGGGAAAATAAGAAAAATCCCGAGCCACTAACTATGCCCCCCATCCTGCAGAAGTAGTGTGTTGCAAGAATCCCCGTTAGCTTGAATCCGCTCCCACGTTGTCAGAAATGACGTCTGCCCTCCAACCTTCATATCCGCTACGGATTGGTGTGGTAGCAGTGTACCTACCCTCCCGTCTAGAGGGATTGGCCAAAGAGTGGCGGGAACCACAAGCAACACAACACGACCCAAATTAGGGGCGGGCGGGAAGGGAACCAGAGAAAGAGAAGAAGAAAAAAACCTGAATTATAGTATAGTTAGTATACAACCGAAAGCTTAGGATTATGATCACCGTCAACTTTAATGCCCTCCAAGCATAATCAGACCCTGCCATCCCGTCCGTCCCTTCCCGTCCCCTAAAAAAAATGTACGAAGTTTAAAAGAAAAGAAAAAAAAAAAAAAAAAAAAAGAAAAGAAAAAAAAACCACCTCGCGCAGTAGCGCCCACGTTGCCCCAAAACTCTACCGGCTATGCACTGCACCAGTCCCCAACAACCCTGTCATACGATGACCTCGCAACCTTTCCCAACGGACCGTGATCCAATCTCGTGGCAACGTCGCAGTATGCTGGGGGGCGCTAAGCGGACTCACCGATCGTCGCCTTTTGCAACTCTGCACGTTATCTCGCGTGCTTGGCGGATTCTCATATATATCATCTATACCAAGATTGTCGTTAGCTCTGAACTAAATCGTTACATGCGGCTACCGCTCTTGGCGGTATTTGCTTTGATTTTCACACACTCCCCCTCCTCCTCCTCCAACAAATAAACTAATTGCCATGCGAAGCGCTACCGATCCATTAGCCGCGATTCAATTTTTTTAAGTGCGCGACGTTAAATCTAGAAACCGGTAGGCCGCTAAATGACGCCCAATGATGGATGCTACAGTCAACCGTCGAGGTCGTGCCGTACCGCGTCGCTAGGGGTCTGGCTCCTGGCCTTTGGCCGCTTCTCCAACCTCTCGTATCAGCCGCGCTCCAGGCGCCCAGATCCGGATTTCTCCCCGGGAGAAGCGCATAACAGGAGGCAAACGCCTTACGCCTCGAATTAGTTGGGATTTCGCAATTGGAGAAGGGGGGGAAACAAAACCGAGACATATTGCTATGAACCCGGGTCGGACTCAATCCCCGATGCCAGGATCAGCAAGGGATTCCCCTCCAACAATGTCGCCTGCTGCATCATCTGTTCAGATAGTCGTGAACACCGCCTCTCGGAGCACGGCCTGACCGGCTAGTAAACCCAACTCTATTTCACTTTCCAGCACCCTCTCGCTCTCATCCCACCCCACGGCCGCCAATGTGCGTCAGTCGTGCGTAATAAGTCAAACTCAGTAGTAGATGCACACCCATGTTCATCCACCACGTCAGGGCCTCGCGGAGAATTCCCATCTACTAAACTAACTACCAAGACTTCGGAGCAATGTAAGACATCGTACTTACTTTCCACGAGCAGCATGCATGAATTGTCAATTTTGCTTTTGGCAGGGGCCCTACGTATGTCAGGCAATGGTCATGGTAACGGTCGACGGAGAAACAGAAAAAATAAAAATAAAATTTAGAAACCTCCAATCACCGGGGCGCTTGTAGATTGTCAGTTTTAATCTTGCGACTGGCATAAGAATAAATCGTCTTCACAGTAAAAGTCCATCGAGTGGCGGGAATGATGTCATCTAAAAGTTTTGATTGTTGCCTCTAGTTCCCCTCATGGAAGAGTGCTTTATGCTATGATAATACATTGCAGCCATTGACTTTGCAAGGCTGGGGTGAAGAATTTAAAACATGTGGTATTGTGACAAAGAAAATGAGGGCGCCGAGGCTATGCCCGCCCATACCGGGGCCGAGACTGTTTTGTTTCCCAGAGTGCAAACAATAACGCCACCCCGCACCTTGGATGATGTACATGAAAGACAGAGTACGACGATGAAAAGAAGGGAAAGGCGATGTAAGTAGTAGGGTAAATGAACAAGTATATAGGTAGAAGGGAGCGTCGCGGACGGGTATCAAGTTTGGTGTAACAATCAAAGTTGCTTCTCGGAAAGGAAGGTAGAGGGTCAGCCGTGAAGTCGTTTGAGACGTAGGGAACGTAAGCGTCAAATGGACAACAGTTTCGTAAACAGGAAACAAAATGAAAATTGGGACGAAGGGGAAGTGTCAGAGAAACAGGATGGAATGAATATGGAGCAGTCGTGGTTGGCTTCTTAGCCTCGGAACACGGCACTGGTGAGGAAGATGGCCTCGCCCTCCACCGGGCTATCCTTGATTGTAGGAGAAGATGCTTGCGGAGAAGGGACGGGACTCTTGGCGTCCGCGGCTGACAGTCCGCTTAGGGCCTCGTGGCTGCGAGCTCGATGAATTTCCTTGCGCTCGTCGTCGGACATATTTGCCGGAGTCTCGGTCTGATTGGCGGCAGCGCTCATCTTGGTGATTTCGTTCTCCACGTCGGCCAGCAGGGCGTACACATCGCTGTCGGCGTAGATACGAATGCTTTCAACATCGGCGCGTCTCTGGCTAAAGGTAGAGGCGCGCTTGCTGGCAGCAGACTCTTCCATCACCGGCTGCTCTACAATGGTACTGGGCACCTGGGCAACAACGCGCTGAGGTGAGGGAGAGCTGCTTGTATGCGGAGGAAATCCGTTCTTGGTGGGGCTCCGGGGAGGAGTGGAGATATTTCCAACACCCACTTGTGGGGTCGGATGGACGCCCAAGGCAAGCTGCAATGACTCGCTCGCAGCCGCTGTCGTTGGGGCAGGGAGTGTAGCTGCAGCAGCAACGTGTTCCAGAAGCTTTTGGCGCACTCGTGTGCGGCGGTTCTCGGCTTGCTCTAGCTTGCTGACCCAATCGTCGATGGATGTGTCCAGCTCAGCGAGAGCTTCCTCTTGCTTGAGCATCGAATCGGTGCTGAATTTGGCCATGCGCGGCGAGCGTAGATATTGGCAGATACGGGAGTGAAGGTTACGGCGACCAGCACGAAGCGAATTATATGTGCGGCGCAGATATTCAGTTCGTTCATCAAGCTGACGAAGCTCCTACATGATAATGTTAGGGATGAGCGACTTGGAGATGGAACGATTTGTAGTTACCCTTGAGAGAAGCTCAACATCCTCCTTCCTCAAAACCTCGAACCTCGAGGCTTGACCAAACGCCTGCATCTGAAGAGCCATCAACTCATCTTGCTCGATGTGTTTCGACGCCTCGCTAACTTTCCAGCCAGTCGGCAGCTCTTCAAAGGCCCTACGTTCGGCACTCTTGTTCTGGGTTGAGCAGCTTCGCTTGAGCATTGGACCGTTGTTGTTGCGCGCATCGCTACGTTTCCTCGGCCTTCCCCGATCCATGATGCTACCAGACTCGGACTGACCCCTCCTGTGTCCGTGAAGATAGGGTCTCTGGCCACCGTCAGCATCTGGTGATGTCGAACTATCCTTAGATAAATTGGGCGTCGTCGCGGTCGGTGTACTATTGTCCCACATGTTGGGCGAAGGGCGGTTTTCCATAATGGGAGCCGAGACAGGGGTAGTGGCAGATTGAACGCTTGGGCAGGCGGACAGGGGTGTGGTGAGCGCCGTCGAGGCAGTGAGGGGTGTATACGGGGTTCGGGATAGTGATCTGGGCGAGTCGTCGGCGCGGGCAGACAGCTGGCCACCATCCTGACCGTTGCTTCCAGAACGCATGCGGCTGTGTGACATTTGCCTAGCTAGGCGAGGAACGTTACCGATGTGAGTTGGTATGACGAGAGGAGCCAGTTGCTTCGGCGAGATCGGTTGTCGAGGAGTTTGATTCTCTGAGGCGGATCTTTGATGCCGCTCGGGAGATCGAGCAGGCGCCGCGCTGCCGTTGATGTTGCCGTCGGCGTCAGGTCCAGTCACGGATGAAGTGGAACCAGATGATTTGTGCTGCTTCACGTGGTGACCAGGAGCGCTAATAGACCTCTCATGGAGAGGCGGCCGTCCCGGAATTGTGGCTGGAAGGCTGTCAACTACAAATTCACAGGATAGACGCTGGTATACTCACGCGAATCCATAGGAACTTCCTGTACCGTCGTCATTGGGCCCAACTCGGGGATGCTGACTTTCCGTCGCCTAATGAGGTTGTGCTCCTTGATACGTAGGCGGAGCGAGCCGCTGCTACTGCAGGGCTTTTCCGTCTTCTCGTTCTGTCCCATGGCCAGTGCAAAGGCTTGTTCAGGGTCGAGACTCTTGCCCGCCTGTCGTTGTTGGCGATCTTTGGGGAAAAGCTGATACTTTCGTGTCTCCGGATGATGCATCCTCCAGACGAAAGGTTTGTGTTCTGTTGGCGGTTGTGTCTAATATTCACCGAGACGATTGGGTTAGATAAAGAAGCAAATCGATTGTAGAGAATATAGGGTTTAGGGTGATGAGGTAAAAGAGTGAATGCCATACCATTTCGCTGGGAGGGAGTAGGGAGGGCGACTTTGCTATATACGAAGAGCTCGCAGACTCGCCTTCGACGTCGAGCATACAGCTTGCGATGTGAGCCATTGGAGAGGAAGGATTAGGATGCGGCTGCAGGGTTGGGGAAGTGAGAGATAAATGACAAGCTGGTACAGGTCAGGAGAAGATTTGGCACAGCTATAGCCAAGGAAAGGCAGGCTATAGGTCCGGTCCCACGCTCTAGTAAAACGGTGACACGCTGACTGATGAAGACGTCGAGCAGTGAGGCTATATATGTCTATGCAGTGGAGAGGAACCAGACTGGAGAAAGACTGGAGAAAAGGGAAAAGCTCGAGTTGCGCTTGACATGGGCCCCCTCGGCCGCTTCTACATGCAGGCCAGTCTGTTTTTCTGACAGGGAGCCTTGACTCTGTCACGACCGGGAGGCTATGGGCCCTGGACAAGCATGCAGCATGGGAAAGGGAGAAACGGAGGGTCAGAGACGACTGGGGGGGTGTGGGGGGACGGCTCGAGTTGGGGCGAACGGGGGAGAGAAACAAGAGAAGTGACGACTTGGGTTTGAATAAGCTAAGGTACTCCTTTTAGCTTAGTTTCCAAGTGTGAAGGTTGTCTGTCGGTTTCTTGCCGGGACGAGAAAGGGTACTACAAGTGACCACAGAAAGGAAAGGATGAGTGGGTGCATGTATCGGGTAGCCGGGGATGTCCCTTGCGAAGCAGAAAGCAGTGGGACCTCTGGTTTCTGGGAGAGGCCAGAGATATGGCACGCAGCCAGCTAGCACGTATGCCACGAGCGAGCTAAGGTAAGGTAATACGTAGTTAGACTTGATGTCTGCACTGCGGTTGCAGCAGCGTCTTAGAGTATCCGTACATAGCTGCAAGTTGGGACTGCGGGTCATGACAACGACAAACGATATGCTCGCGGTGGAGGCCGAACCGACGAGGTTCTCACTCTTCATCCGAGTCGCAAGGTCTTGCTTCCAACATGCTTCCTTGGGCTTCTCAAGAGAAGCCTGGACCGAAATTGCTTCGAAATACCTGGCCAAGCTGGGCGAAACACGAGAGATGCACTGTCCGACTGCCGGAGGTAAAATCAGAATCGGGCATAGGGCATAATGGGTGGTATACCAGAAGCGGGCAAGGGCCACGCGTGGATGGGAAAGAGAAGAAGAGAAAGTGGGTGTGAGAAGGAGAGGCCGCAACGGGCGGCGCAGGCTACGCATTGGTAAGAACCTAAGGAATATAGAGAGAGATGGTGTACAATTGCGTGTCTGTTCATAATGGACTAGGTATAAAGCGTAATAGTCGAGGCGTGGATGAGGTATGCAGGAGAGGAAAGATGTGCAAATGTGCATGCATATCTGCGTCGCTCTGCATGGGGAGGAGAACAAGTTGAAACGGCTCGAGCACACTGAACCAGAGCTGGAGCTAAAGTGTCATGGGTGCCTGGGGCTTAAGGAAGCAGGGGTGGAAGAGAACTAGAGAGGAAAGGACCCTAAAAGCAGAGCCCCACTCATGGGCTCCGGGGTCCGCTCTGTGTAAAAAACAAAAAAAAACCAGCGGGTCGATTCCAACGTCTGGGAGAACGTCTACTGCAGGTACGTACCCTTAGCAAGGGGGTCGGTGCCATAACATTACATCCCTACGTAGTATGTGAGGTAGCCCCGCTCCCATCCATCTAGTACCCCTGACATCAATGTCTGTTGGGCCTGGCCCGCTTAGTTGCCCTCTCTTCGGCAGGGTGACCTCAGCAACAATGCACCAGTGCACATGGCAAGCTTCCCCTTCCTTCCATGCCCTCATTCTCCGAATAACCGATGAGCATCATGCTGATCGACATCGACATCCTGATAGCTTTTTTTCTATTCTTTATTATTTTATTTTATAGATATATATAAAAAATGATTGTTTCAATGAGTCGGGTGGTATGTCTCTGCAACATCAACAGCTGCAACTGGAACGGAATGGCTCCAGACCAAGTCAGGTAGGGTAGCCACTGCAGTGGGTTTGAGCCACCACTTGCCACAGAAGGAATTGCACTCGTAAATGTAACCTGACGGTTTCTGTAATATACTGAAATGGGGGGGCAAGCAAGTTGTCTTTATCCCACCTTACTAGGTACTTGGTTGTTGAGAGTTACCGGAATAAGCGCACACACAGACACTTTGTGTCGACATCCAGTTGTAACAGCCCAATGAGAATTCGACGAGGTTTGCCTTCAGTCATGCGGGTCAAGGTCTTTCTCCATTCTTCTCCGAACCCCCGAATAAGCAATGAAAATTGAGATAGGGAGAGATCTGCTTAGTCCAAGGTAGGAAAGTCTTAGAGTGTTTCTTTGTTGAACTTGCAGTCGCATTTGCACTTGCACTTGCACTTGCCATTGACACTTGCCTGGTTGAACCAGTGCCTGACGGGTGGTGAACGGCAGGCGCGACTTGCCCAAGACTGAAAGCAAGACCCGACTCGTCCCTGTGTTGCCTCTGCGATTACGCGTAGTTAGGTAGAGGCCTATCTACCTCTGCGCCTGCCAATTAATTACCTTTCACTTGGCCGCAAAAATGAGGGGTCAAGTGGCATTTTCTTCACTTCCCTCCCAATCCCTGTAGTCGACCTCCTTGCCCCTCCATCTGCTTTGGGCAACTGGCGGCACCAACTTCAACACGAGAGGCAAGAAAGGCACTAAACAACGACTCACGGCCTTGCAACTGTCTCGTTGCTCCCATAATCGGCTTCAATGCGTTAGCAATTGGCTCTCCTGACTCTCATTCATGACTCTCTCCATCGCCCATGTGGGTGACTAGCCGATCATCGCCATCACGAGCCCCAACGCTCCAGCAGCATTCGCTTGTAGTGAAACCCACCACGCCATGTTGATTTCCCTGATTGACGCCATCCATTTCTGACAATTGAGGGGCTTCTCATCATCCAGCAAGCCTACAACACAGGCGTCACCCCCAAACCGCCTACTGTAGTTCCTTCAATTCTGGTACAACGGCGTGGGATTTCCACTCTATAGTCTACTTCAAGTCAAGGATGGCAATCAATGCAAGGCACGAAGATACGGGTGCTCGGATGATAAACTGCATGTCCAGACCCCTCATTCTCTATTACACCAACATCCTCACATATTCCCTGTCAAACAGCCATCCGTCGAACCAGCCAGGCCATCCCGCCACAGCCCCTCGCTCACCACCACCAGTTTTTGGTTCGCACGTCCTCTCACTTGCAGCAGGCGGGCCAGACCCAAAAGGCTGCTGGCCATCCTGTTTCGCTGACTCCGCTAGCCAAGGGACGCCATCACATCGGATAATATTTTGGGTGTCATCTAGATGTTGTCTTTGCGGGGGAATATCTGATAAACGACAGCTTCTACAGCTCCGTACGGACACAAAGACATCTTGACATGGTGGTTGCCACGCTCGCCGCTCGGACAGCAATTGGCAACAGTATGCAGCTCCAGTCAGTGTCTCATCAATTTCGTTCTGGTTCTGTCAACTTACACTCTCCTCCTATAAGCTATCACGTACTCCGCCAGTCACTGGAAGTGGGGCGACACGACCCGAAGTTGAATCCAAAATCACCCCGCACAAGCATGTAGTCTTGATAAATCACTTGATCCTAGCAAAGCTCACCTTTGCGGCAGGCATCGGATCATAGCAGCACTTGGGAATCCCACGGTAATCTTATCATGTTAGGCGCTGATGTTGTCCAATACCACCTTCACGACTCACCCACGGGCGGCGACCACCTGCAAGTGTGTCACAGCATTGAATACAAACAGCATCACTTAAAGAGCCCCCAGTAATATTTGCACCCTATTGGTTCTCCGGCCGCGAAGTGGTGATCGACCCAGACCGTCTCGGCGCTCAAGCTCTCTAGACGCTTCCGCTTGATTTGAAGGGAACTTCCTGGCAGCCCAGCGATCCGGGGAATTTTTGCGTTATTGGCTCAACGCTTAGAGACTCGCACAGGCGCACACCGCGCATTATCTTGCATGAACAATGTCCCTGTGGATTGGACAAGCCAGGTCAATATGACAACATCTTTTGGCTTTATGAGACGGTGGCATCCAAGCAGTTCCTTACAATATTCACGTCGTTGATAGCAAAGCCCTTCATCGGTTCCAGCACCTTGCCAACTTGGTGGATCGGCGTTACTGGTGTTCAAGTTGTTTTTTTAAGGACTGCACGAGCGGGATAGCGCCTAACGCCAACGCAAGCAAAGCTTGTCTGTTCCTTCGGAGGCTCGGGAAGACACGAGTCAAAACTAAGATTTCGGTTCCGATGGCACTAACAAGACACCAAAGTCGGGAGCAATGGGCTTTTACACGGGCGCGAAGTCTCACATCCCACCCGAAGACCATCTCAGCACGGGCGGTTTAGGGTTTGAACAGGCTCAGATGTGGCGCTCTTTGACAACTTGTTTCAAATCCTTCTAGATCCAGCCGATTGCCTTGATTTCTTATCAGTTGGCCTTCTGTCAGCAGCATGTAATTTTATCTATATGCCACCAGTTCACCCGTCGCATTTTCAGACTTCTCAGCATCGACGCAGTCCTCCATCTTTTGATGGTACAACGGCAGTGCAAAGATATGACCAAGTTCATCCATTCCAACGCCGGCTACGCGCTCTCGGCACTTTGAATCATCCATGAACAAAAAAACTGGTTCAGGTTAATCTTCTCCCAAATCTCACTCGGAACACCCGCCGAATTCCTGCTGCCAAGCTTTCCGGCCCAGCACTAATCATCCACTACCAAGGCCCAGCAAAAAAACGTTCCCCTCCCCACGCACTTGACGTCGGTTGTATCAGCAAAAGCCACGCAAAGCAACAGCGGCGCAGTCTCAACGTCTGACATGCCCAGGATGCACCTGGACCGCCAAAAAATTATGATAACAATAAAACACTGATAATTGTGATAACAACTATTTCACTCCCTTATGGGATACGCACTTCTGCCCTTGAGAGAAAGACAAAGTGCACCAAACTCGAAGCGATATTTCAGCCGGCCATGCAGCGTCAATGCGCAACTTGGCCTCTCCGCCATACCCACGCCTTGAGGGACAAAGCGCCCGGGCTTTCGAGGTGCTCAACTTGTTCGCTTCGGCCTCCACCAAACTCCGGTTGGCAACTTCGGTTCCGGTGATTGACTGACATGGATATTGCTCTTTTTCCATCACACCGCTAGTGCAGAGCGGCTGCTATCGAGAAAAAAAAAAATAAAGACCATGAGGGTCATTCATATCGGTTTCCCGACCACCAATACTCCGTACACCATTTCGCTCTCTGTTTTTGAACCGGGAGGGCTTGTTTGAGGCCCGTTTACCGGATTCTGACCCGGGGAGCAAGGGCCCCATGCCGAGACCCATCAGTAACCTTGTTCTTAAGATCATCGTCCTTCCCACGCTGCTGCTTTCGTGCTGTGGCCCCAATATCAATCTCTGCTGTGAGAATACTGATGGGTCTCGTAAGAATGCAAGAGTCAAGTGAGGTCGAACTTGACTCGAGAACGTGCAGCCGCAATCCCGTTTCGGGAACCACGTGCTACCAACTTACCATGTATGGCTACGTTGATACGAATACTGGGCACGTAATCAATTAATCAATCGATCGAGCCGTTCGTTCTGTGTAAGGGTTTCTGGCCGTGGGGAGCTTTAGGCTTTTTCTCAGCACGTCATTTCTACCTTAACGCTGTAATCTCAGAGCCGCTATTTGTACTACCCATTGGAGTCGTCTAACCATTCTTGGACACTGATTACCAAGAACAGTCTTCTTTCAGTTTGAATTTCGGACAATAAGTCTGTGTTGGCGAAAGACTACATAGTAAGTCGACACTTTCAGAACATACCTTACCCCCTCGATCAGTTGTCGTGAAGCCCCCACAAAATGTTTCGTCCCAATTCTTCACCATGTTCCACAAGTCGGCAGGAAAAGCAATCTGACATTAGTTTCTTGAGGGATAAAACTCCCGTAATGCAGAATGCATTACATGTCACATGCACAACCTAGGGCCAGCAAGTCGATAAATCACATTCCTCGCCTGGGGTGAAAGCTTTGCTATACATTTTTGGACCGTTATCCAGTTCTCTCCGACATCCTTGCGCTTGCAGCGAGAACGTCTGGAATAGGTTGCCGTCTCCGCTCCCAGTCGCTCCCCTATTCCTAACAGCAACCAGGGTGGTCCTGGTTTTGACCTCCCAACGAAGCTCCCCTGTTGGCAAACTGTCTCGGTACTGGCTGCCTGGAGCACATTGCTCCAGCTGGCAATTAATGCAGGGGTTTCGTCACTTTCCGAACGGTGGCAGAACAATATCTGAGTTTGGTGGGTTTTCCTATGAGAACGGGGATCGTGGGTTCTAAATGATGTCAATATCGCGCTGCTGTATGGAGATGGGGCAGATTGCTTTGGCCAATTTATTGGAAGAATTTGAGTCAACTGGAGCTATACGATCGACCCAAGGCTCAGACAATAACGGCTTTGACGACCTTGGGCGAACGTCTATCATCTATGCTGTAATTGCCATACGGCCGCCCTATGGTGTCTCAATGTAGGTGTCTGTTTGGCTGACAGAATCGAAGACTTTCAAGACTGATGTTCACTGTGCTTGAGACGTATCCGTCCTGCGATCGGCCGGCTACAACATGGTTCATGGCCGTGCTGGTGTCCTGCGCTGCTACCACACCGTCGCATTCACGTTGCCCTTAGCAGCCTCTTATCCCCGCCTTTGAGACCGCCTCTGCAACAACGTCGTATTCTCACATCGCTTATGCGTAAACGAGTCGCGAACAATCAGAGCCATATGATGAACTGTGGGTACTTACGCGTTGGCGAGGGTCATGCGCAAGTCAGTCATGGGTGGCAAGCGTCAAGAAGACAGGAAAAACGGCAGTAATCATCAGAAGCCAGCCACGCAAAAGAAACATCGTGACTGGAGTGTTAAATACCGGCTTCCCATCTGCTGGCCTAGTATCAGGGCGGTACGGTGAGGGTTTTAGAGTTACGCCAACGAGCGACAAGAGGAACGCATGGTCCGGGCCTCATTGACCTGACGAGATAAGCACTAGACGCCGAGACAACCAGAAATGAAAATCATACATCTTGTTGGTTGCACATGTTGTCACTAAGCCCAGCGACACGAATGGACAATGACGCTACTGTTGATCATTATTCCAGGCTATCTGGCTCCTAATATGTAATCATCCTTCCCCAGGCTGATCTTACACTCTTTTGATGAACTTTCCCGATCAACTGCCGAAAGCTCCACGGCATTCTAAAGTTATCACGCCATAGGAGGTGATCCCCAGGTTCTTTACAGGTGTCTGAGACCGTGTGCCTGGGACCCTGGCCCGTCCACGCTGAAGGGCCATTGGTCCCTCATCTTCGATTGACGATCAAAGACGGCATTACCTGTCTCCATCAAAACTATGGTTTTGTTCATACAACAAGCCAAATCTGGCTTGAGATGACATAGAACGTCGCTTGAACGTATATGCAAGGAATAACTTTTGGCTTTCTCATCATACAGACCCTCTATTACCCAGCACTACGACATATCCCCTCCCTCAGGGCATAGCTGGTTGATCGTCTGTAGTACCAACTCCGTTTGGCTCTAATAGTGTTATGATGGCAAGCAAATCCTACGTAAGTAGACGACAAAGTTGCTACAGAATCAATCCAACTGATATCGCCGTCGGTCACGTTGTCGGTCGATGCCCCTCATCTGGCACTCTGGTCCGCCAGAAAGAAACCTCAATTGCCGGAAACAAGCTTTCAAACAAACTCCGGTGGGGATAAAGCTTTGGAATCCTAAAAATTAAGGGAAGGTGAACCGCTGACTTCGAAGCCATGGCAATAACGGCTCGAGTGGTTGACAGCCGGCACCCCCATGTCGGCGACGAGCCTCGCCGCAAGATAGGAAGACTGGGTGTATTGATATAGCCTACAAGGCCAACGATGAAGCAGGAGTTCGCTTTTCCTCTGCGAAAAAAGTGGTAAGGATTCGGTTTCAAGAGGAACTATAATCCCTCCAGTAAGCCTTGCCTATATTCTATGCAGATATGGACAGGCACCAGACACGAGGTTGTCGGAAACCCCTGCTTAGCGCCACAGCCTTGTCAAAGAGGTTCTAGTCGTTGTTTGGTGCCTCGCACGCTTGCAACTCGTCCGAAACTCGGCCTACAGCTCTTGCTGATGGGGACACTGGCTTGTCCAGTTTTACGTAGCATCTAGGCCAGATCAACGTGGAAACCTAGTCACCCCATACCATCCCGCCGATGATGGGTTGTCTACCATCAACTTTCCCGACTAAACACAGTTTGGACTTGTTACGGATCCTGGAACTAGGAGTGTCTACACGTGTTCACGAGATGAGATACAAACTACGGCTGGCTAAAGCGACGACCTAAGGATTTAACAACAAGTCTAATTCGATAGTCAAGAATCAGATATGAAGAAAGGAGGGATGGTGAGGCAGGTGGGGAAGTGTCCTTTCCGCAACTCTTGGAGATACAAACAGAGACCCGAGAGCAGGAGCATGCTGTTCATCACATGTGGGACGGGATTAGACGAGAATCATTTCCTTTCCTCTTGATCAACGATGTTGCTACGCAATGTGAGCGAGCACTCGTGGACCCCTTGGAAGTGCGGGGTTGAAACGCCGTCCCATCCAAAAGCCGGGTCTTGCAATCGTCGAGGGCGTACGATTCGCCAGTGGTCAGGATATTCCCACGCGGTGCATGCCCTTTTCTATGACTATGGGCGGGATAAGATCGCTTCTGGACGGTCTAGATTGTGTCAGTGTGGGAAGCCACGAGGACATGCAGGCGCTTTGGTAGCCGGAATCCCAAAACGCAATCCTTCGGTACACGCATACAATGCTGAAGCCCTCCTCCCACACCAAAGACGTCTGTATCGCTGCGGAACCAAGGCCGAAACTGAGAGATTTCAGACGAAGCCGATGGTTAGCAAGGGGGGGAGAGGGAAGGGGGAGGGTGGTAGGGTGATGTGGGTTCTGATAGTTCCCTTGCCTGCCGGAGTTTACCGTCAGTCTGATTCCTGTCAATGGACGAAAGCAACGTGGACAGGGCTGTTGAAGCGCGAATTCAAGCGACAATGACCCTTTCATGACGCTGTAACAAGTTCAGACAAGCAAAGATAAGGCATCCCAGTCTTGAGTTTTGGTTGGCACTTCAACCGTGAGAGACGGCCCAAACCGACATGGGTATGGTGGCTCGCAACGAGTTGATCAACGTGCGGAGGTTTAATCGTCGTATAATTTGACTTTTTGGACACCCGTCACGGGAACTGCGCATCAGTGGACTCTGCTACGTATATACCACTTGTGTGCCGTACAGGCGGGAGAGATCAACAGTCAATCGATTCCGCAATCGCCGCTTTTCTCCAACAAATTAACTGAGACAGAGACACGATTGAGTCGTGCTCGACATCCTTAATCTATACTGCTGATCCGGCCTGACCAGATATGAATAGAAGGTCGCAGTTAAGGTTCTGCTGCAAGATCAAGCCATCACAGTTGCAGGAACGTCGGAGGCCGGTGGAGATGGCAGAGGATGGGGGCCGGTCCTCAGCATCGGGCTCATTCAATTTATTCCAGCAGCATTAAGGTTTGCCCAATGTTGCCAAGCCCTGTCATGTCAAAATCTCGTGGGTGGCCCCCCATAAGCACAACGGCCTTCTCCCCGGCCCCTGGCCTGTCAGGAACGCTGAACATTCCCATCGTCCGCAGCATGCAGCAAACGGGTCCGAGAGACACGGCACGCGCGCCCGAACTCGGGCCTCTTCTGCAACTAGAATAGCTGCTGTCATCCTGAAGAGGGAACGCATATTTCGGTTGAGCATTGACATGATCGCCCAATTTTCAGACTTCACACCCCGGCCACAGAAAGGGGAAGGAGGAAAAAAATAAAAAAAAATTGGCGAAAGTCGTATCGTCGCAAAGAGTTGGACGTATTGCTTCGCATGCTCACCCTCCCATCAAGAACGGCCTAAGAACGTTTGGTCTAGGTACGTAGGGTTGAAAGACTGGTTCCTGGACGGCTGATTGTGGCTTACCCCGGTGCAAAACTGGGTGCGAATTCCAACCGAAGCCGCAGGCGTGGTTGTGCCTGAGATCCGGCTAAGCTTGAATTGCTAGCGTCCCTTCAGCCCGGGAAGCACCACCTGCTAATATCCGTCGACCAACCAGGTCCAGTTGGGCGTACGCCGTACCATATTGCGTGTGACTAGGCTCGGAGGGGCAGGCAGTGCCCGTGAGACTTCTCTTCCTGGTCTTGGCTCCCGCGGGTATGCTCCGCGGACTGGTCTAGGGCATGGCCTCACTACGCACCTGCAGTGGTGCGAAACTGCAATCCGTCCAGCGTGGTGGGATGCAACTAGATCACGCATCCAGAGCCAGGCCGCCCCCCCGTCTCCATACTCGAAAGGTGCCCATCCTCCGTGATCCCAAATCTCGCTGAGACCTCCAACTCCCTCCTGCTTTTGTGCGAAGCCATCGTTCACCCTTCCACGCCCTAAACCGCCCTAAGCCCCTCACACATCGTGTTCCTTCTCCCCGTCACCTCACCCCTAGCCTCAAAGGCATTGAGAAAAATTGCTGCCTCACCCCTGCTTCCAGCGTATCTGGATCCCAAGCCTTTTTTTGGTTTGTTTGTCATGGCTGACAAGCAAGGGAGGGGGGGGTTGCAGTCCAACACGATGGTTGAAGTCATGGGGAGCGAGGGCTCATCCCAGTTTAGCCCAGAGATGAGACGCACTACTATGAACACGAGTTCGTTGGTCCCAGCATTCAGGACGTTTCAATGCCAAAGACGTCGAGACCTGACAGAACGACGCACTCTGTTGCAACCCGCCCACAAGCCACAAAACAAATATCGGCAAAAAAAAAAATCATAAAATTAGATGGATATTCCCGGCGCAATAGCTCAGATCTTATCGTATGCCAGGCGAGTATAACCTCCCTCCCGTAGACGAGGTCTTCCAGCCCCTTTCTAATTTCGACCCCTCCTTCAACACAGAAACGCGCCACCCCTGCTCCCCGTATGAACTCCGGTTGGTCGCAGGCTTCCAGAAGACTGTGGATTTCCCATGGCAGGGGCCAAACACGCCCCCCTCTCTTCAGTACGGCCACCCCATCCAGTGTGGGGTAAGAAGGATGTCGGACAAGCTCGCCGCTCGCGAGGCCCTGAGTAAATGAATAAGAGGGGTTTGTTATTGGTAATGGATGTTGAGATTGAGATTCCTCGGAGCGGCGTGGGAACCGGACAAAGTCCAGGAAGCCGACATTTGCACCGTGCTCATCTTTGGGGTGCGTCGATAATGGTTTTTTTTTTCGATCTGAAAAGCATCGCCGGTCTGAAGATGGATTCTCTGCCCGAAGCTCAGTAGCGAGAAGCGATATTGCTATGGAGAGAAACGGGACTTGATCTCCGGCCTAGTCTGTAGGGGGTTTTTTTTTCCTCACCCTTCTTATGGCGTCACCTTCATATTTTGCAGCTGCTCACGAGGGCCGTTGGCGGATGCGATGATTTCGCATCCCTCAGATAACTATGGTAACCGTTTACGCAGCGAGATGGGTCCTGTCACATATCTCTCGGCTCGGGCTTGGCCGGAGAAAGCTACGAACTCCCAAGAACCTTTGGGAGCGGGATCCACAACTCACGCCATGCCGCGCTCGCCGGTGTGACTACGAGGAGCAGTAGCCACGGCGGCGGATGCAGATGACCCTGGCCCTTTTCGAAGAATGACGACCAGTTCAGGCAACCCAGAACGGAGCTTTGGGACATCAGCGTCAGAAAAGGGCAGGAGGCCGACGATAGCTCATCTCAAAGATTACATTCGCAAAATTCTGAGCCTGGTAGATGGGTGGGAACAGGGCTGGTCGTACAGAGATCGGGCCATGGACCGTATGCGAGGTGAGAAGAAGGGAAAAGGAGGCGGCGCGCGCTGCATCGTGACAGTCCCAATAGGGAGTGAACCCTTAGCTGCCTGCTGCTTGTTGAAAAATCTTTTGCTCGGGGGGCACGCTGGACTTGGGTGGAAGCTCCCACGGCTTACTCTCCCCTGCGACATGGACAGCCCTCTGGTGAAAGGCGTGCTTCGAAACCCTTTGACTACTATGGACCAAACAGACATCGAACGAACTATTCTGCCCAGTAGACGGGGCCACTGCCCCTAAGGCAAGGGTCAGGTCAAGGTCCAGGTCAAGTAGGAGAGTTTTCGTCCGGATTTTCCACCCTGGAAGAAGCCGGAGATATTCTGCTGACCTCGTCGTCCCTTCTTCCCTTCCTCACATCTTTCCGCGGATAGGATAGAACCTTAGGAGGTGTGGGCGACCTGGACAGGGGGAAGAAACCGAAAGGCCAAGTCGGAATGCATAGTAGCCACGGGTCACACACCCACACGGAAGATTCCTACGTCACGCAGGGAGATCCCATCTCGGAAACGCAGTGCTGGTTTCAGATGCTGGCCGTCCCGTGCTGCAAGTTGGACATCGCTGAATCACATAGATGCACCGTAGTATGCCCGTGTGAGCTTATCGAGGTGCGGTGGGAGTCGTGCCTAGAACATGGCCAAGAAGCCGATAGCTCGTCATTGAGACGTGCCGTGCATCTCATGTAAAGAATGTGTGTGAGTTTGTGTGTCTAAATCTCGATGAGGTGGTGAGCAATGACATTGGACGACCAGTCAGGCGAGAGGGACCGAAACATATACAACCATCGTCGTTTTGGATGATGCTTAGGGGTGGATGGCAGAGGGTGTGTTCGCTGAAACGGTCAGTCACCGGAAGCCTGAGGCAGCAGGAGCATCTTTGTAGCGTCTTGTAGCCCAGTGGCTGTGGCGCGAATGTGGCGGCACAGCAGGTCTTCAAACGGTTTGTGGCTGAAGCTCTGAACTCTAGTCCTAATCTGGCAAGTCCTTCCAACGACATCACGAGAGGAGCTGGAGGTATCAAAATCTGGAGACCAGTTGCTCCGCAGTAAGAATTCAACACACATGTGGCGATCCCTCATATCCAAGGGGTCGATTCCGCTCAGAACAGCCCTCGCCCGCGCCACCAACTCTCCTGCTCGTACCGCTGCCTTCTCAACAACCGCCAAGATGGCCGCCAACAGAGACCCCAATACTCTCTCCAACTATGGTGCATGGCTCACCAAGCACACCACCGCAAACCTCTCCATCGACTTTAAGGACAAGTGTCTGAAGGGTTCCGTCACCCTCGAGCTCGAGTCTCTGACCGACAAGGAGAGTAAGGAGATCGTTCTCGACTCCAGCTTCCTCTCCATCTCCGGCGTCAAGGTCAACGCCGCTACCTCAACCTGGGAGCTCAAGGATCGTGTTGAGCCCTACGGCGCTCCCCTTCACATCTTCGTTCCCCAAGGAGCGGCCAAGGGCGAGATCGTTAAAGTCGATGTTGACCTGTCTACCACTGAGAAGTGCACCGCGTTACAGTGGCTTACGCCCGCGCAGACGAGCAACAAGAAGCATCCATACATGTTCTCGCAATGCCAGGCCATCCATGCGCGCTCCCTGTTCCCCTGCCAGGACACGCCGGACGTCAAGTCAACGTATACCTTCGTGCTGGCTTCCCCGCTGCCCGTCGTTGCATCCGGTGTGGCCGTAGAGGGTGAGAATGAGAAGAAGGGCGACAACACGGTGTACCGTTTCGAGCAGAAGGTGCCAATCCCGTCGTACCTGTTTGCTCTCGCATCCGGAGACATCGCCACGGCGCCTATTGGCCCCCGGAGCATTGTCGCCACGGGACCTGATGAGCTGAAGGAGTCGCAGTGGGAGCTGCAGAACGACATGGAGAAGTTCATGGAGGTCGCCGAGAAGCTCGTCTTCCCGTACAGATGGGGTCAGTACAATGTCCTGGTTCTGCCTCCCAGCTTTCCCTACGGTGGTATGGAGAACCCTATCTACACTTTTGCGACGCCGACCATCATCAGCGGCGACAAGCAGAATGTGGATGTCATTGCTCACGAGCTGAGCCATTCGTGGAGTGGAAACCTGGTTACCAGCTGCAGCTGGGAGCACTTGTGAGTGAACTAATATCTGAAAATAGGATGTGATGGGATACTAATATGTGAGCAGCTGGCTTAATGAGGGGTGGACGACTTACCTCGAGCGTAGAATTGGCATGGCTGTCCATGGCGATGCGGAGCGTGACTTTTCTGCCATTATCGGCTGGAAGGCTCTTGGTACGAGTCCCCTTTTGCTTGAATGAGGCCGCAGTTATTAACTAATAACAGAGGATGCCGTCGCTCTCTTTGGCGCTGACTCTGAGTTCACCAAGCTCATCATCAACCACAAGGGCATTGACCCCGATGACGCCTTCAGCACTGTCCCCTACGAGAAGGGCTTCCACTTCCTCTACTACCTGGAGCGCCTTGTCGGCCGTGATGCCTTTGACAAGTTCATCCCCCACTACTTCACCAAGTGGTCGCGCAAGTCTCTCGACTCCTTCGAGTTCAAGGAGACCTTCCTGACCTACTTCAACGGCCTCGGTGATTCCGAGATCAAGGACAAGGTCGCCTCCATCGACTGGGACACCTGGTTCTACAAGCCCGGTCTGCCTCCTAAGCCCGAGTTCGATACTTCTCTGGCAGATGTGTGCTACAAGCTTGCGGAGAACTGGAAGAACGACGTGGGTTTCCCCGATTCTTTGCCTATTTCCAAACATCCTAGCTAACGTATCATAGAACTTCACTCCCTCTCCCGAAGACGTAGCCTCATTTTCCGGCAACCAGAAGCTCGTCCTTCTCGAGACCATCGAGAAGTTCCCCGAGACCCTGTCCGCCGACCGCGCCCGCCTGCTCGGAAAGACTTACGATCTTGTCTCGTCGCGCAACGCCGAGCTCAAGACGGCTTACTACAAGATCGCCCTGGCCGCCAAGGACACGTCCTCGTACGCTGGCGCCGCCGAACTTCTGGGTCATGTCGGTCGCATGAAGTTCGTCAGACCTCTCTTCCGTTCGTTGAGCAAAGTCGATCGCGACCTTGCGCTCAAGACTTTCGAGAAGAACCGCGACTTCTACCACCCTATTTGCCGCGGTATGGTTGAGAAGGATCTTGGGCTTGTGTAGAATATTCAATCTCAACCTTGATAAATGAAATGAAAAAAAGCCTCCTGAGATGATATTTTGCAGCTTTCTCAAAGAAATAAACACTGTAGAGCGCTATTTCCATGTGACTAAGGATGAGTCCTTAACTTTCCGACAATGCCTAGAGTTGTGCCCACAATAGCAAGCTGCTCGGACAAGCACTGCACGACTATCCATTGAGCCCTGCAACATGTTATCATGTGATTGTGTATTTCCACTCACAGCCTCTCAATATGTCACTTCCCCAACAATTCTCTGGAGTTCCAAAGCCCATATTTAACAGAGCATTCCGGCGGCGTGACTCCCTCATCGTCTGCGGGTTTATATCTGCACCGGAGCTGGGGCAAAACAGCAACCTTAGCTGTCGATAAATACATATCCATGGAAAGAAAGTATACCCAGTTAAAGAATAAATTGCCTTTTGTGAAAATTTTAAACAAGCGCTCAAGAGATATTTCATCAAGTCTGGCATAATTGAACAAATACCCCTCTATTATAGTCTCTGGATGCAGAAAACAATCCAACGAGCTATACGGAAAAATTTGGCGAACATCCTGGGGAAGACCGATGCCATGAAGGATTTTCCAGCTTTAGGTGCACCGAGAACAAGCAGCCTCAGCCCGGTATGGTACGTCTAGTTTCGGCACCCCAGTAATTTTATCAATAGTTGTACATGAGCCCGAATAACACTCCTCCTCAACATGTGTTTCCGGGGCTTTTTCTTCCTCTTCCAGCCAATCGAAGAATGTCTGGTTTCTTTTCTTATTCGTCTGAGCCCCTCTAGAATCCGCGTTTAGAGTCTCAAGGCCCGCTATCATTCTCACGGAGACAGAGGTTTCTCTGGCGACGTATCCCTTGCCTTGCAGCTTTGCAATTATCTTCTTGCCTGCTAGGAATTCCGCATCAAAGGTTCCAAGAACATGGTCAGGGACAGCAGAGATATGACAAGTACCAAGATCGCAGTCGCTCAACCAACGAGCCTCAAGCTCTATGCTGACAAACTCTTCGAGGGCGACGACTCGGCCACTTGGTGTGATGACGGTCATTTCCATACCCAGTGGGTATCTCGTCTTGGATAATCTCAATTTTTCGACAACGGAATGTGTTATGAGCGAATAAGAACGGGTTGGATCATAATGCGTTGTAACAGGCTCTGCTTCTGTGAAGCTTTTTGAATCCCTGATCCATAATATTCCAGAGAGAGGATGTTCAGATCCAAGGGATGTTAACGAACGGTCACCTTGAGCAGCTCCAGAGAAAGGCTGTTCAGATCCTAGGGATATTGACGAACGATCACCTTGTGCAGCTCTAGAGTTCTTTTCACCAGATGACGTGTCCACATCTGCCCTTATGTCCCTTGGGGCAGCAAAGGAAGCAAGCCTTTCCATATGGAGAGCCATATGGCCTGCGAGACTTTTCTTAAAGGGCCCACGAGAGAAGCAAAACGGGCAAACTTTACGTGTGTCTTTCGTAGTAGAAGCATTGTCAAACCCCGACATTGCCTGTATTTGAGCCATGCCGAGAGAAGGATGTGACTTTTCAAGATGTGCTGTTAAAGCTTCTCTTGACTTGAATAAATTTTTGTGCTCGAAGCATCGCCAAGCTCTACGATGAGCATTTGATTCGTGATCCAACCAAGACGCTCGGCTGATGTACATAGCGGTAGCCTCAGGACATTTGGGATAGGTGCATAGGTATGGCTGGAGGTCACGTTGAATATGTTCCCTGTCGACACTGTCAGATAAGAAAGGTGGGTAATTGGGTTGGGCACATACCTCCATCGCCTGCCTTTTACTTCTCGCACTGGACACATTATATGACAACAGGGACATACGATTTTGGTTTGGCCAGGAGTAATTGAAGGAGGGGCTGGAAGTCCAGTAGAGCTGGACTCGTCTAAAGTTGTTGAGCTGTAAGACACGGTTGAAACCGTGTCGATATCATTCACCTCCTGAACGTTTCTTTTTGCTTCTGTTCCAGATAGAGTCGATTGTAGAGTCGATTGCTTGGCATAACTCTGCATTAGAGACTGGGCTGGACGTAACGGGAAAACAGCTTCAGCGGCAGTCGTAGGAACGACTGTGTGGGCTGTGGACGGCTCCTCTTTTGCCAACTTTCGGGCGTGCCTTCGCCAGTAAGCAAGAATTCTTCGCCTACTTGTGATCGATTTGGCCCAGCGTTCAACTAGGTCGTTGGTCAACTCTTGTTGTTTTTCTTCCGAGGGTCCGGTGCTCTCAGTGTCTCCATCAAACAAATGCAGCTCCATTTCAGCGTTGACTCTTCGAAGCTGTCGGAAGAACTCTTCAACATACTGCCTATCATAGTCCGAGTAAATCAAGAAAATATCTTCAGCCGCGGGACCATCCACATTAATCAATTCCTCATGAGCCATGGCCTTCTGGTTGAGCTGTGTGGTTCTAGACCCGGGTCCCTTGATTCGGAAGGATACTCTCATGAGTGATGAAATAACATGGTCAATTTCAGCAGTGTTATGACCTAGCTCAGTCTTTGTATTATTTTCATCGTCGCTACTGTCGTTTTCAGAACCGCTACTGTCGCCGGAACAGTTAAAGCCCTGATCAGAGTTGTCAGGTATTATCTGCTCGATAGGTGCCCTGAGTCCTCGAACTATTTCGGTGCCTGTCGCAAGGTGTAAGCTCTTGCTCAACTTGATATGTTAGGAGCTCATAATTAGGAGGCCTCGATAGGCCCAATTTTAGAACGAGTTAGACTAAATTTGAAAGCATGTTCTTACTTTTAGACAAGGTCACTTTCAGTCCATTAAGAAATTTGAGTATTGTAGCTTGAGTGAGCGAGGTTTCCATCAAACGAAAGTCCAGAGACGCTCTTCCACTTTGTAATGCTCCAAGATTTGTGGCCCAAATCTTGAATCGAGCTCGCTGATTATTCACCACGTGAAGCTGAAGATTGCCTTTGGAGCTTTCGTTAGGGGCTGACAGACTTGTCAAGAGATGATGAAATGCCTCCATGCATGCTTGGCTTGCTGCTGCAAGAGGGAAGGCTGAACTTGTCTCCATATTGATATTGATCTTTTGTCATTAGGAGACCGGTTGTACACTGGAAGTCAACTTTCACAACGAAAGCAATAGTTTAGTCCGTTGGCGGCGTATAACATGCGGCGGGAACAGGATGAGGGTGTAACTAGCCCTGCTTAACAGTTGAACAACGTCTGGAGTCTTCAGTGCAAGAACACCCATCAAAAAGTGCAAGAAGAAAGTACCTTGATACAGATAGAGAGTTCGCGGCTGCCGATGGAGATCACGCAGAAAATCAGAGAAGCATTCATCTGTTGTACGATCACGGAATTATTGGGCAAAGTAAAAAGAGGGGTAGCCAAGCTATATCTAATCGGTATTTCCTCGTGTTGGCTTCTTGCCCAATAATACCTCAGAAGTGACGAGGCTACAGCAACATGAGATTATTGTGCCCATCATTGGAGCGACTATGCAGTGCAGGCCCGATTCGTCCCCAACAGCCTACCATCAAATCCACCGACAACTTTCTGACCACAACTTACTCCAAGCTTGTGTCAACAAGGTCCCAGGCACTCCAAACAAATTTACACGGGAAACCGAGAGGCGAATTCCAAATGGCCGAGATCGCAGGACTTGTTCTTGGAGCTGTGCCCCTAGTCATAGCTGCCCTGGAACACTATCAAGACATTGTCGGTCCCATGGTAGCATTCGTGCGCTGGAAAGGGGAACTTTCGCATATAATTCGGCGCTAGACTCAGAATGCGCAATATACGACCAGAATATGCGCATTCTTCTGGCCCGAACCGTGGACAAGGAGCGACTAGAACATATGATCAGTGACCCTCAAAATGTGCTTTGGGGTTTGGAAGACGTTGCTTGGGAAATGAAAAACGAGCTTGGGCGGGCATATGATCCTTGCATGCGGCTCATAAAAGATATTGGGGTTAAGCTGGAAACTGTTGCTGCCAATCTTAATATCGAAGGCTCTGAAAAGGTTCGTAGACCACATGGAGAAGCCCTGCACTTGGCTAATGTGTCCTTGGAAGATCCAAAAAGCCGGATTGGAAGCTGTCGTGTCCGCAAACCCTCCTCTGGCTATTACTTCAGGCTTTCGCCGTGAGTTCTATTTCCGAAAACGAGTGGATTTTACTATGAAGCAGCGATCCATCAACAAGACCCTGACGGAAATGGAGGAAAGCAACGAAAAATTACGCAGCCTACTTGAAGGGGCAGACAGCGTTAACTCTACCCAAGATGACGAGGACCTGTTTCAAAAGACACGTACGCGGTCTGTAGCACCTCTGTCGAGCATACGAGCGAATGCTTTTAGGGTTCATGGCGGCCTTCACAAACGATGGTGTGCCGACCACGATTGTCATCAAGCTGGGTTACTTCTCGAGCAGCGGCTACATCGGCGAAGGAGAGGTGCAAAGCAAAGCCAACTGAGGGACATGGGGACGTCAGAACGCTTCGGGATTTCTCTTTGGAGGTTCTCCGAGGCATCTTGGCTTGACGCAGAATTTTGTGTAGAGGGCGAGGATTCTGCAGCCCCTAGGTACGAAAAATTGCCCCATAACAGGTGTACTCTTTGTCTCGCGGCTAACAGTATTCCAGAAAAGTTGATATCCCTAAAGTGAGGATTGCTATCGCAGGAGTTCAAACAGATCCAAATCCAGTGGCGAAACCTCTGGAAGTTGCACAAGAGGTCAACAACATATGTATCACGATCCAGCACGCCGTTCACCCACAAGTTGGGTTCAAGATAGATCCAGCGGGAATTCTTAGGGGCTTATATGAGGTACAGACCCGACCTTGCTGTATCGCTAGTGGCTTTGTCACCCTGGACGGGCTTCTCCCCGAGATTAAGCGAAGAGAATATGCTGTGACGGACTTTTACTGTCTCGTAGTAACTCTAGTTTCTACCGTGCTGCAACTTGGTGATACTCCGTGGCTCGAACAAATTTGGAGTAGACAGAATATTGTCTTTCTACGGCTCCAGGACGATGATCATTCGGCGGTGGACATGAAGCACCCATACCCTGGCATGCCAGTATAATAGAGGTGATATCTTAGTTTAATCAACCCATGAGATATCTCAGAGCGACTGATTATGCAAACTCAGATGCCTCGGCACCGAGCCACGATACTTACACGCCGCCGCAAAACCAACGAAACATGCTCGCTCTTGCCATCATGCTGCTGGAACTCAACTTCGGCACACCAATCGAGAGCCTCCGACACCAAGATGATCTGGGTCCGGACGGACAACCAAACATGTGCACAGATCTTCTCACGGCGCAGAGATGGTTTAACGCAAAAGCGCTTAAAGGGCAGCTGTCGCACGGGTTCAAAAGTGCCATCAAATATTGCCTCCAATGCTACCTCGACCCAGACGCCTCCTTCGACAACGTCGAGTTTGTCCAGTCCATCGAGGAGCAGGTGTTGAAGCCTCTCGAGTGGGAGATGCAGCAGTTGGTTTACGGGAAGTCTTTATAAGTTGGAGGAACAAAGGTACTAATGCTTGCGCGCGGTAATTCGGCGAAGAACCAAGTTTAGCAGACTCTAAATTCGAGCATAAAGCGTCAGCGGTGTAGACGACGGACGAGGAAGGATGGCGACCTATGGTTGATTACTTTGTACCTGATGAGCACCTCGCCCGGTGATGAGAAATCTGAAGAAGCGAGGAAAAAGACGGAGAAACCATTTGAGATCCGGCAACAAAAGGAGCCAAGAGATCCAGAAGCATCCTCACACGCACTTGATGTCACACACTATGGCAATTGACGCCCAATGTTCCTCGCCGGCCGGCCTCGAAACTCGGCCCTCAAGTGCGTAGACAGTAGTAATTCGGTAGTTATCGAAGCGGTCCAAGTCGTTCATCCTAGCTTTGTCCGTTCGGTGAACAATGTTGATCTATGATCAAGAGGTTATCGTTTCATTCATATGCATACCCAGTCTTTCAAACGGGATTGACACCCTCAGAGCATGTTATACGACCGCTCGGGGACCAACAAGTACATCATCGACCACACCGCAAGACACCAAAGACACGCACAAGGTAATCGTTGGAGTTGTTGCTATCTAGCTATACAGCAAATTTCAAAGCCGAGATCGCAAACTATCCAAGTTCGCCCGGCATCGTGGCGCTCACGTATCAAAGATGGCACGAAAATACTTTTCCAGACGGATCTACCCAGCACCCCAACTGCACAACCCCCCAATAAAATAACCAACTGCCATTCAGTCGTACAGTTCAGTATCCCAATCCGGTCAAACACCCATTATCCCAACAGGGCGAATCTATAATGGATGCCCCTCTTCTTCTGCTACCTCCAGGATTAGATCCGCGAAAAAAGATGAAATTGCGCCATCTGAACACCATGCCATGTCAAATCAAGACTCCTTAAACGCCCATGACACATGTCAACGTATATGGTTGATATCTAGCCTCAACTCCCAAACTCGCTGCGTCATCTTCATCAAGACAAATAGAAAATCAGATCGAGGAAAAGATGTGATACGAGACGTTTGGGGCTTATGGCCAACCGTTCTGCATACGATCATTGTCTTCGTGGATACGAAAACCAACCCCATCATCGGCGCCGGGGACCTGCCAGCCACGCTGAGTGCTGGGATACTCGGATGGCTGGCTACTGACGTCGGATTGGGCGTCGTCGTCGCCGCCTGCAGGGGAGAAGAGCGGGTCGATATTCTCCCCGTCTGAGATGTGGTCTTGGTCTTCGATACCGGGCCAAGGTTCATCCTCAGGCTGCATCTGACGTGCATGCGATGAGTCACCCTCTCGCATGGTGACGAGGTGAGTCACTTCAACACTATACTCGCTTCCCTCCTCGTCATAAGGATTGGTGCTCCCGTACTCCGGGCCATGATTTTCGTCATCCTGCCCGTCGTCTTCCGTGTTTGACTCGTCTACCACACCGCCAGAACCACGTGGACGTGACTCCGTTAGCGGTGCATTGCTGTATGGGGTCGCGTAATACAGCGGCGTGATTCCACGGCCCGGTTGGTGACGCTCGTCGGCAGGTATCATTCCAGGTGCTGGGCTTGGTGATATGGTCCACCGCGGGGTGTTGCGGGGCCGGCTGGGTGAACGGGTACGTCGTCGTTTGTAGGCCGTGGACATGTTAGGAGGGCTGGTGCGAATCTGGGCAGCAATCTTCTGCTGCCCGAAGGATGATACCCGCCGCTTAATCTGCGCTGGAGAGAAATGCGCGGGGACTGAAGGTGGCATTGAGGTAGTGCGGATGTATGCCGGCTTTGGACCCTTCCGCTCCCTCATCGACGTTTGCGCACGAGTCATCATTGGGCTAGACGATCGCATAGAGGACTGCATCGTAAGGTGGTGGACAGAAGGAGAGGCTGACACGCGCTGCCTGGCTTGCCGAATGCTCAACGACGACTGGGTACTGGGTGCTTCATCTAATTGATCGTTCCATGCCCAGTAGTCCTCGCGAGCGTCCGCTTCGGGTACCTCCTGTGCTATTTGAGAGTCAGGATAAAATCGGCTCATCTCTCGGAGACGTTGCCAAGTCCAACCGTATTCAAATGAATGCATGTCCTGCAGGTACGCTTCCGGCTGCGTGATGAAGAGGCGTGGCAGGGAGCACCGCATGATGATGGAGTGGAGGAACGACACATCCCAAAGGGCAGGCGTTACCATCTCCGCTGGCGTCAAGAACCGGAGGCGGGAGTCCTTATGGATTTTGCGAAGAGGCACCCAAGGTTGTTGAAGACCCAAGAAGCGCTCAGCTTTGCCGTCAAAGCTACGCCGGCGTGAAGACGATGTCGCCGCATTCGAGAACTCGGCGAAGGTGGTGGAAAACGCAGCATGCATCGCAGCTTGTACGCTTCTTGCATTAGAGCCCTTGATAGAAACGGTGCGAACGAGGCCACGGCTTCTCAATCGCTGCTCAAGGAGACTTCGTGGACCAAAAGCCTTTGCCATCAGCCACTCATGGTCGTGTCCGGGGTCAGCCCATTCTGCGCAGAACGGCGATTGTGCTCTCAGGGTCGCGGAGCTGTTCGTATTAGGCATCTGAGTCCATTCATCCAAATTGGAGTGGACATCGACTTTGAAATCTTGAAACTCTTGCCAGATCTTTTTAAGCGGGAAAGGCAGAAAGATGACTTCGATTTCCCACGGTTGGGTCATCGACGGTAGCTGCGACTGAAGCTGGAGAAGTTGAGACTGTAATGATTGGATCTGGCTGTAGATCTCATGCGAATGAGCGGCTCGAGTAGTTGTGCTCGTCGCAACAGAGACGACGCTATTGGTCGATTCATCGAGGTTTTGCCGGTCTATGCGGCGGCCTGTGCCGTGGCTGCCATTATCATTCACGAATTTCTCAACCTCCTCCATGCGCACCTCAAGATCAGTAACGCGGAGGTCGGTGCCATCATGCTTCTCATGACACTCTTCATGACCAGCAGCAGAGAAGGAAACGGTCTCCAGCTTTTCCAGGCGGTGCTCATGTCCCTGAACGGTATCCGAAAGATGGCGTAACGTATCGCGCGAAGGCCCTGCGAACAAGGCATCGACTTTCTCCGGGGCTCTCGGGGACTGCGCCCTGGGGGTATCGGCGCCATTGTCACTACGCAGAGCCATTGCGCCTGCATCATCCTTGGTAACCTTGTGGCCCAGTTGGGTAGCAAACGATCCGACATCCTGAGGGTTTTCCTTGTGCGGCGACCGGTAATTGGGAGGAGCAACACCACTAAGTGTTTGGAGACCTTTCCCGGCAAAGGGACGAAGATAGCGGGCCTGACTGGAAGAAGCGGTGGAGCTGGGCTGAGATGGCATTAGGCATTGAGCTGGTATCGGCGGTAACGTGGTATTAATTCCTGACTGGGACTGAATGAAATCACCCCAGCTTAACGTATCCTGTAGGGAAGATTCCGGGCGTTGGCTAGGCAAGTCCGGTGGGCGAGGCCTGGGTTCCTCGGGTTTAGGCACGACAACGGCATCCAGGTTCATAAACTCCACGGTCGGGGCAATTCCGATAGGCAAACGGAAAGACATATCTGGCAGCTGAACCGGGCTGAGTGGCTCCCTGGGCATCCTTGGCTTCTCATTCTCCTGTCCGGCAACGTGGGCAACGAGCGCAGGTGCGGTCGCAGTGGTGGGAGTCTGCGCAGACACGGGCGCTTCGCTCCCGGCGCGCCCATCATCATGGTAGCAGGCGTGATGGGAACACATGCACCAGACGGAATTGTCAGTGCCTAAGTTATCAGCGTATGCTCGTCCTGCGGCGAAACGACTCCAGAAACGTCGGCATCCACACTTGGCTCCGTTGGCACCGGGTGTCAAATCCACGTAGTTGCAGGCTCCTCCAGGAAGAGAGACGGGATTACGATGGACGGCGCCATCATTATAAATGTCGAAGAAAGATGAGCCCGGGAGAGGAGCGTCGAACGGTGGTGCTGCCATTGGCGGCAGTGATATTCATCGGGGAGTTTTGAGGATCGGTGCGACGAAGAAGAGGATGGCGCGGGTTGGGAAAGGGACGGGCTGTTGAGTCGATTGAGTAGGGATATATCGGTCGGCGATGGTGATGTTGAGAGGAAAGCTGATGAAACGGGAGAGGCAGAGAGAAAATCCCTAGGCGGCCCAAACCAGGGCCCTGCTGGGTCGCAATCCGAGAGACCTAGAACATGGCAGCTGCTGCAGTTGTTAGCTCTGTCCTGTGCTGTCCTGTCCGATCCGGCAAGGTATACGGCATGTCCAGGCTGGAAGTCGGCATTCGCAAGCCCACCGGGGGAATCCTCAGGCCCGAAGTAGCAAAGCAAAGGCACCCACCCAACACGGAACAAGATGTATGAGCAGCACCGGAACAAACTTCCAAAGGGTGCGCTCTTTTTATACGCGCGTGCACTCTTCTGAAGATAATGCGCGCGACTCGAATAAAGTTGCAGGCGAACTGTCGGGCGAACGAAATGACTGGCGGAGGGATGAGATGTTGTTGATGAAAGTGAGGCGGCGACGGGATTGGGCGGCAGCACAAGCACGACAGAACCGGGACGGTGGTTGATGGAGGATGGCGGGGGTGAGGGACGGGGGAGAGCAACGACAACGAATGACCGAGAATGAGGGAGGAGCCAAGTCCCCCCAGTATCCGTATGGAGTGCCCAGTATGAATATAACAAATGACACAGAATTGTGGAGAAGGAGAGAGAGAGAGAGACAGAGGAGCAGTCAATGAGTTGCGCAATTGCTGCAGTTTCCCAAGGTGTTGTTATCAGGAAATGCAGGTTAGTAGGAGTGACTCGTAAAGAAGATGCAGGGGTTCCTGATATCCCGAGTTGTATCTTAAGGCCAAAAGAAACACGCACGATACGACAGTGCCAGTAGAACTGCTGGCGGTAGTTTGACGTGGGTTGTACGTAGATAGCTGGACAAGAGCTGCACTGCAATGCAACAAAGTTGAGGCGGCGTGTAGGTAGGTCTGTGTGCCTGGCTGTAGGCATATGCACCATGTGCACCTTTTCTGTACGCGAGGTCGGTGGCCGCCTCCATCCACCTTGCGTTTGTACAGGAATTAATTCTGTGTGGATGGCTTCAGAAGGGAAAGATGGGCTGTTTGGCCAGAAGTGCACCCATGATACCTAGCTACTCAGCTGTTCTTCCCCCGCTGCAGGTGGCAGTTAATGCACCTAAGTCGTCCCCCCATGTTCTAACAACAGCGTTGCGTGCGCATTGGTCGGCGCTTCAGGCGCGCGTTTTCCCTAACCGAGCAGCAAGCAAACAAGCAAGAATAAGAAAAGAGGGAGAGAAAAAAAAAAGGTAGAGCAACCACGACGCGTCGTTCATGGATTAAAGTGTCCAGGTGGTTCGCGGAACCCTGCAAGCCCCATGTTCCTGGACTTAGCGGAGGCATCCTATTGGCCAAAAGCGCCAAACAAGAGCGACTCGGGCCCCTGCGAGTGCCAGGTATTTATGTACCTTTCAGAGTAAAAACTCCAATTCTTCACGCCTTTACCTGTAGAAATCATGGAGATGGCTCTCTTGCAGCTACTTTTCAACCTCACCTCCCATGTTCTGCCTAGCCCCAAACCATGTGTTCCACTTTACACAGGCGGCTGCCCATACGGTAGGACGAGCACTGTGCCGTGTTAGTGGAGGGAGGGGGGTAGAGGGGCATAGGTTGCAAAAAAGCAACGACAAGCCTGCCTATCCATTCCAGAGATAGAAGGCCGGGTCGCTTCCTGGATGCCCGCCCGCCAGGTTGTTGAACCAGGTTACTTGGAAATTCGGGAGGGGGATCGCGAGCGCGGCACGCACTGATTGCGTCTTTTTTTTTTTCTTTCGTCCCAAGGCGAAATTGTGAGCAAAACGGTTCGATGGGGCCACGCAGGCTGACATGTTGATGATGCTGTCCATTCGCAAGCGTGAGGCGTCCGCCCCTACGATCCGCTGAACGCGAGGCGCCCGACATGACTGGACCACAAGCTAGAGTCAACGGTCGGGGATTTGCTGGGCCATGCTGAACCGACGGCTCCAACAAAGCCACCAAAATTTGTGCAGTTTCAAATAGCCCCAAATCCCATGTTTGGTTCAGAAGTGATACCGTGAGCGTGCGTGTGGTGGAGGTTCGCCTTGACTGCTGACTGAAAGTGTCATCTAGTCGACCAAATATGCCATAAGGCAGCCCATTCGGCCGATCTGTTCTGGGAATCGACACGCGCGAGGGATAACGGTGCGCCGATCAAGCTTCGAAACGCTTTCGTAAGACATTGTACATCATCAAACTTCCCTCACCGATACTTGGAATTGCCTTAGGTTTAAAAAGAAGGGTTAAAATCGCTGCACACCAATTCAATGCCAAGTTGCCTGTGTCACACTTCCCGTCCCGTCCTCGGAGTACAAGCTCCACATCTACCGCCGCCTGACCGGTGCATCCGGCCACTGGCACGGAAGGGTGGGCCTTTCCTTTCCCGGTAGGTCAGCTTTCCTATTAAGGCAAGCAGCATATCTTTTTTGATTAATGCATCATCGATTGCGTCTCGGAAGTTTCATCGACTATAATTGCACTAGAGAGCAAAGGTCTTGATCTGAGAAATCCGGTGCTTGAATTGTGACTGCACCAAATGAATTGGACGTTTATGTATTCTTTGATACCCAGGAGCTCCAAATAGCTACGTCGGTATGATGATATGTAAATGCTTTATCCAGAAACCCGAACCCCCCGAAAACTTTCGCAAAAAATTCAAAGATGATCCTTGACTCCCGCTAAACCGAATAATATACATCTAGTGTAAAACAACCGCATACGCACACCGTCCCGAGCTGGTAACCACATGGTATTAGAGTAGTGATACTGCTTTGCTGTTTATTTTGCTTGTGGCTGGTTAAACCTCGCCCCAGCTACCCATGGGGCCTGCCGAAGCAATGACTGATCCCGTTCCGATAGATCCTCCAATATCCCAATAGTGCCGTGATGACACACTGCTGCGTCTCGCAGATCGTCGTGTGCTTTGGCTAGCACAGCTGGAAGCGTGCCGCATGGCTGCTGGACTCGATGGCGTCGTCGCTTTGAATGTTCTCCGCTCTACCGGTCGCACTCGGGAGACGAGCGGGTGATGCTGACGCACCCGCGCGGCCTTAGCTGCTGTATCTGGCGTGCTAGTGGTGGCAAGGTGGGAGGTACCAGTTGTGAAAGCGGACGACGGTGTAGACCGTGAACTAAATCGTGACCGCAAATATCTGAAGACGAGATTGACATCCAAGTCTTGCTCCCACTCCTCCTGAGTAAAAGAAGCAGGCATAGGTGTTGAGTCATCTCGGATTACGGGCACAGGAGCGTCCGGCTGATTCCTGGCAGCGGAGATGTCGATGGGACGTGCGTGTTGAACAATTGTTGGTTTAAATTCGGGCATCGCCGTAGACACGTCCTGCACTGTGGGGGCAGTGGGCGTGTCAACAGCCGACTCTGGAATGACTGGTAGACCGGCGTAAGGAATAGGCATTTGTTGCATGCGGGTATAGGTCGAAAAGGCACCTGGATGCTGCGACAGTTGGTTCACCCGCATGCCAAGCTCTTTGGAAACACGCTCAAGGGCCCGCATTTGCCAGGACGAGTCACTGGGAGTCGGGGTAGCTGTGCTGGATAAATCTGTGCTTGCCTTGGGTGTTGTAGACAGGTCATCATCCATGGGAAGGACCTCTCCGAGAAGGATGGAGAGCATCCTTTCGTCTATGCCCAAGTCATCGAGAACTTTCTGTGCAATCCTGGCCAGCAGGCCTCGTTCATCATCCTTGCTGTCATATGACTCATAATGCCAGTCCATGCTGTCAGCATCGTCTTCGTTTCCGATGACACTTAAAGTCGCAACATCTTCAGCCTTCTTCTCCTCTGGTGTCACAGCTGGTCTAACCGACGCCACAGACTGTCGACGCCGCCTCGTTTCCTTGCTGATTTCTTCCAAAAGGATGCGGCTTTGCTCCAAACGCCAAGCCTCGATCCTCTGCATCTTATGCGTCTCTTGCTCTTGCTCGACTTCCATCTCAAGCTGCGCAAGCTCAATACTCTCGCGCCGCCTCCGCACGCGCTTGGGGTTGAATCTCTCGAAAGCATAGATTTGCTCCTGGACTTCAGGACTATCTATCCGGAAGGAGCCTAGGCCATCATGAGCGGGGAGAACGGGGAGATTCTGGGGTATGGCAGCACCCGTTGGCTGGGTATATAAGCTGGGAACTGTCCTAAACTCAGGCAAGTGGCTATCGAGACTGTCGAGCTCGGGGTCATCCTCTACCGACTCCTCGTCGATAGCGCTTGATAGGACGCCAGACTGCCGCGACTCGGTGTCCCTGACGGAGTGTACAAAGGTGTTCAGACTTCCTATGTCACTAAGCCTCGATCGACCGGGGGTAGGTAAGGATTCTTCTTCTTCTTCTTCGCTGAGGTAGGAAGCTGTTGTTGTGTCGTCGGCGGGCTCAAAAAGCACCCAAGAGTGGGCGGCATCGGTGGCGGTTGGGTCTTGAATATGTACCTGGGCAGCGTCTCGCTCGTCCTCGTGCACTGGGCGAACGGCGCGCTGCTGGGACGGCCGCCGCGTAGGTTGTTGAAAGGCCATGGTGAGCCTCTGTTATCAAATTATCAGGTCGGTTGAGGGGGTAGAAACAACCGGAGTTGTGGTGTTTCGTCCGAAAGAGGAAGGGCGTTATCACGATAAAGCACCCCGAGTCGGGGTATCGTAGTGGCGCCTGGATAACGGCGTCCTTGTGTTCGTTAGCGTATATCCGTATGTTGCTCGATAAACGTCTTGTTGTTCGAATCAGGGAACAGGTTCGAGATAGAGATGAGAGGTTCTTCACAGAAGGAGTTGAGAGAAAGGTCAAGAACCAGGCCACACACCAGATATATGTGGCAGCGAACTACTGGGACCAACAGTGACGGGCAAGGAAGAATGCGGGATGAATGATAAGAGTAGGATAAGGGGGAGGGGTGGGTGCTTTTTGGGGGCCAATGCTAAGGAGAGAGGATGACGGACTGGGGCTGTCAATGATTAAGGCGTCACCGACTAAGGCAAGTACATGACAGAAAGTACCTCAACACTTGACCCTTGCAGTTTCCAGTTACCGGAGCTTAGCAACCTGCCAGATTGGTAGGATATTTACTTTTTACTTGAACTGAACCAAGTACATCAATAAATGTAAACACCGCGCGCTGTTACGAATAACCCCGAGAGAGATACGAAGAGAAGTGGGCAGGTAGTTGGCGAACTATGCATGACGGCGGATATCGTCAGCCCCCAGCCCCCAGTAGAAAGGCAAACATGCAATAAATTGGCAGAACCACCAGTGCAGTAGGAAGCGACGTGGGATGAAGATTGGCGAGTGGAAGGGGGAGACTAGGCGGATGAATGTACACGAGTGAGGCCGGGAAAGGGGAATTGGGGGGCGACGCCTGGTGCACTCTTGGGAAGAGTTGGGAATGGATGATGTGCTCGCGTGCGGGATCCAAGGACAACACCAAGAGAACCTTTGGGACAATCATCCATGACTTTTGGGGCCCCTACAGCGGCGGTTGTGAGTGCCACAACACTCACTGCCATCACCCACTGACTTGAGTCCTGACAACCCACACATCCATGAACTGACCTGGGCTGACTGATTTGACTGATGAGGTGCCGATGGCGTTAGGCCCCTCTTACAGGCTGGCTGTCCCACTGGCTACGCTGAGAGTCTGCCACACCATCCCCTTTGAAATGGTTCAGATGTGCCCTGAGCGGAGGGGCACACGAGGAGACTGAGACATGGCGGTAAGACTCTCTCCCTCAAGTAGGATAGAAGCTATGAACTCTGTTTTTGCTTGTTTGTGCCGCTACCTTCGCAAACCTCTTAACTAGCAGAAACTGAACGGATGCGAGAAATTAAACACTCGTACCCTTCCTTATTTCTTGTTTTGGCTGACTACGAATCATTATCCGTATGCGGGTGGGAAACATGTTCCTCCGTTCACTTTTACCCATCCAGTCCAGTCCTTTGGCTGGCACCACTGTTGCAGATTGCTCCGGTAAGTCGGTACCCGTATCCATTCTTTTGCTGCAGACGTCAAGTGACATATCCCGTACGTACATGTACGCATGTCCTGACCTCTAGAGGTTTGGAGAGAACGATAGGCCTTGCTTTCCCCCTTTCAATCCACAACAGGATCATCTGTCCTCGACGTAAACTTCAAGGGGCTGGCGGGTAATCTTGTGGCTATCACTACTGTTCCTTTTTTCTTTTTTCCTTTTTTGCCTGCCAAGTGCAGGCAAGCCCATGCTTGTTTGTGATGTATTTCTGCTTGCCCACCCCCCATTCGCAGACGGGCAGCGCCTGCAGTCTAGGAATCCCATCCCACCCATCCCCATTAGCTTATCACCGAGATCAATGCAGTCGCTCCGAGTCTTCGGCCCCTCTGAAAAGAAAAGGGTAAGAGAATGAAGGTGAAGGGGGGGAAAAAATCATCTCCCCATTCCCACTCTAATGACTCTTGTCCCGCTACTTCTCGGCTTGTTTTGTTCCTCAACCCGACCTTCGGAGCAACCTAGGAGAGTCTTCTCGAGTCTCTCATGAGTCGTGGCAGAAAAGGTACCCAGGTCAAGTCCCTAAAAGACGTTCCAACTCCAAATCCCAGCCCAACGTCTCACACCGAGCACCATCCGAAATCCCGATAACGTCATTCAAGTCACCTGAGATCTCAGTGGGACCTGATCGCCGCCCACCCTTTGGCCTTAGAGGTTGGCTGGCTCTCCGAAAGTCGCTCCCTCTTATCCCTCTCTACCTCCGACTTGCTCACTTCTCGCTGTAGTGTAGTTGGTGTATGTACGTACCTCTACCACATCCCACCAACCATTTCCCCTAGATCTCACTGCTACCATTTTACTGGTCCGCACCATCTGCTCCCATCTCGTGCACCATCTGCGCTGCGCCTACATCACCTCTGACATGGACTACCGGTAAGCCGTCCGAACAAGGAGAGAGGGGGTGAGATTCGGCGGTACATCCGGCTGTTCCTGCACTGGGCATCCGATACACATACGTAGTGAGGTGCTATTATTGTGAGATGCCAGCCTGGCGCGTAGTTTGAAAATAAGCCTATTTGATTTTGAAAGAATTTATTTGTAGCTCTTCCTTCCGGCTGATTCCTTCAGCCGCCACGTTGTGCTTACGAGATCAGGATCACCTCAGCTTCCCGAAGAGCCCGGAAAGATGCGCCAGAGTAAAGGGAACTGATTCAAAAGGTAGGAGAGAAAAATAATTTTTTAACGGTTATTACGTACGATTTGCCTAAAACAGTCTCCATCGCATACATCATCAACCACACCTCATTTCTGACAATCAGATGGGGCCGCTCAAGGACTCATTTTGAGACATCCAGGGCGCAGTCTGGGCAGATGGGGACGTCTGCGTGACCCGGCAAAAAAGGGTGCCCACCGACATGGTGTCATCTATTGCCACGGATGATCTACGGGCCAGACCGTCGGCTGTGATACTGGACTAGTAACGCACGATTCCAGATTGACATCATGTTGGCTTCAGCCTTGGGTATTCTTTTCGTCTGCCTGCATGTCTCAGAGTAAGGGTATCCGTTTGCCTGGTAGGCTCGTCCATTAAGCTTCTTTTTGAAGCCTGCCTACGACCCTAGCAACAAAAGTCCGTAATTTTGTTCCACCCTTTTCCCAGATCCAGATGCAATTCATCAAGCCGTTCGTCAGTAAAGTACAAGACGCATGTTAATCGTGTGTGACGTATGAAATGCCAATGATTGAATTCCTATCTAGAGCCTGCCTCGGCATGACTCTTATGATGATGACATGCAATTCACTTTAGACGCCAGCCTGTAGAACCCCAAATCCCAGAAGAAACACAAACTTTCCCACCTTAAGCCTCGGAGGCAAAGGCATCAGGGAAGCGTCTGATGTTCTCCTCGAGCTTGCCGTGGTTGCTGAGGAACTGAACGTAGGCACCATCGACCTTGACGCGGCCAGCAGCCTTCTTCTCGAGGTACTCCTCGCGACGAAGGGGGGTGAAGCCCCAGTTCTTGGAGATAATGATCTTCTGGCGACCGGGGAACTTGTACTGGGAGCGGCGGAGGGCCTCAAGGGCGGTGGCCTTGTCTATAGAAGCGGTTAATAACGAAGATACCATCACAAATTTGTTGGATGACCTACTGGAGTCACGAGTGCGGACGCTCATGATGATCTGGCCAATGTTGACACGGGCAACAGTGCCGTTGGGCTTACCCCAGGCACCACGCATACCAGTCTGCAGTCTATCGGCACCGGCGCAAGACAACATCTTGTTGATACGGACGACGTGGTAGGGGTGGGCACGGACACGAAGGTGGAAACCTTCCTTGCCGGCAACCTTGACGAGGTACTTGTTGGCGCAAATACGGGCGGCCTCAAGGGCCTCGGAACTCAGCTGCTCATACTCGTTGGAAACGAGGTGAATGCAGAGAGGGAAGTCGTCGACAGTGGCGCGCTTGCGGCCAAGATCGAAGATGCGGATCTTGGGGTCGGGGACACCACGGTTGAACCGAGACTTGGGGTACGGCTGAAGGGGGAGAAAGTTAGCATCACCATTCGCCGTGAAGTCATTCCGAGTCCTGCGACGACGCCGTCATCCAACCGATTCAAATGCGCATCGTATCCATCCAAGTTCGCGATCCCAGTGCATGCCATCTTCGTGATTCCCATCCGCCGTGATATCGTCGCCTTTATCCCAATCTTCCGATGCGCAAAATCGATGTGAAATCTCGGGCGTCGCCGCAGCAAACAAGGGTCTGATCAAATATGCTCACCTTGTTCTTGCAGTACCGGTAGCAACGGGCGGGACGGCGGGCCATTTTGTCGGTATTGATCTCACGGGATCCGTCGAACTGTTATGTGGTTTGGTTAGTGGGATGGGTGTCGACCGACCGAAATCCTGGCTTCGACTCACTTTTGTAGAAGTTGGCGCGATGCCTCAGACAGTATACTTTTGATTTCAAAGCAATCGCTGGGTAAGCAAGTGGTGGCCAACTGCCCCACTCGGGCTCGCTAAAAATCCGGCCCTTTAGGGTTTTACCGCAGAGATGGAAAGTGCCACAGTCTGATTGGCCACTTTCTGCGGAGACTGTTCAAGTAGCCAAAACTCCAAGCTGCAAAAATTACTTTGTGAATTTTCCCTCCGACGACATCGACGACAAACTCTCGCCCAACGCCCAACACCCAATTTACCGGCCAATCCCGCCCAAAATCAATCACAATGGCTCCCAAGAAGTCGAAGAAGGACCAGAACAGCATCAACTCCAAGTTGGCGCTGGTCATGAAGTCCGGTAAGGTCGTTTTGGGCTACAAGTCGACCCTCAAGAGCCTGCGTTCCGGCAAGGCCAAGTACGTTTAACCGTCAACCTTGGATACATGAAAATATCTAACATTGACTCTAGGCTCATCCTCATTGCTGGCAACACTCCCCCTCTCCGCAAGTCTGAGCTTGAGTACTACGCCATGTTGTCCAAGGCCCCCGTTCACCACTTCTCCGGCACCAACGTAAGTAACACCAAGTCAGCTTTCTAGCCGGCAAGCAAGTGCTTCGTCGTGGTATAAATCTTCTATTGCTATCGTCTCAGGACTACGTTCCTATGACAACCCAGCGAAGAAGTCTCTTTCTAGACTTTGGAGGGTGAACAGAGGCTTACATGCTATCTACAGATTGAGCTCGGTACTGCCTGCGGTAAGCTCTTCCGCTGCGGCACCATGGCCATCATCGATGCCGGTGACTCCGACATCCTCAGCGACCAGGTTGCTTAAGAGGATAACTATGTGAATGGGTTGGCTGGGTACGGCGTTGGGGAAATTGGTCAAAGCAAAAAGATAATAACTGCAAATTTCGCAGTTTGGGATTGCGGCTTGGGATATGCCGCTATGATACCTCGGAACTGTCGCAAAAGAACGACTTCATTATGACAAACCAAATAGGCCACTTTGAATCAAAGACAAAACTAGCCTGTTACCCAGCCACTTAGCGATGTTCATCTGGCATTTACCTCTTCAGACTTGTGCGGGCCTAAACTGCTCATTACATGTGACTTGCCCGTTTTACTAAGCTGTTATGGATAGCAACGTATGTTGCTTTCGTCCACGTACCCAAGTTATGTGTAATCAAACAAGGACTTCAAGTTGGCTTGATTCCCAGACTGCCGGTACCGGCGCCGGCGGATTACACTTTGTTGATGGAACAAAGCCATGACCACGAGCAAGGCAAATCAACGAGAGGCTTCCCGTCCCGCTGAACCTGTTCGTCTGCGGATTTGGACCAGGTTAATGGCGGTCAGTCTTGGGCGGCTGGCAGCCGCCGATCATCGAGGAAAGGAAATTGGATATACGTCAAAAGGAGGGCTTCCTTTAGGCTTGTTCAGGAAGGCCGTGTTTGTTCTAGCAATGTGCATTAACAGCAACATGAGGATAATTTCGCTGTTCCCACTGCGTAAGTTCTGGCCGGTCTCGTGCAAATTGTCATCCAATGACTCAAATGGGTACCTTGGTACGAACGACGGGCCGAGCCCACTAACACTGACGGCTCCGCACTCCAGGTTCTTAACATGGAGGAGATAGGGGTGCAGGACCCCTACCATTGCATGTGTCTGCTAAGATGCCGTGGTAGCCCTTAGCAGGCCGCTAACTGCGAGGTACAAGCAGTCTCCCCTACGTCCAAGGGAGAGAAAAGCAAGGTATTCCTGAAGTTTCTTCCACTCAAAGCGGAAGACGCTAGAGGGCAGCCAAAACGGATAGACGACAATGAAGCGAGCAGGACAAACAACATGGCCCCTCAAGGGCTATGCCTGGCTAACTATTGACAGCGAACGAGGGTGACCTTTTGTCACGACTCCCATCCTGCATCTCGATCCGATTCGCTGATGGTGGTTCTTATCGCCTACGTGTTGTGTTGTTATTGTAGGACGCGCGACCCAACACATGACATGACGGACGATATTGTCTGAGCTGTGTATAAACAGTAATGTGCTTCCCGCCAGCCCAGTTCATGTGTGCGGAAACACCGAGTCCAGTAGTTCTGCTGTCTCTCTATTTCTTTCTTCCCTCCTCTCTCCCACTCCTCCATTCATGGGAAATTGCCACAGAGGAAAAAGATTACCATCCCAGTCGTCCGATCTTGACGGAGGGGAAGGAAATCAAATAAAAATAAAAAAAAAGAGACAAGACGGCGTGTGCGAAGCGTTGGCCACTGTCGGGCACTGGCGTCATCGTCCAGCCTATCGAACCATCCAGCTACGGGCGTGGGACTGAAACAAGAATTTCCCACGGAGTCCCTCGGACGCATCCAACGATAAAGGTCTCAGCAAAGACAAAAGAACTCGATCGGGAAGAGCATAGCGTTGCCTGATTTACGGGTCTGTCTGGTGTTTGGAATGTGCCAAGCTTAGGTTTTCTGGATGACGGTCCCAAGAACTGGTCTGGTTCGTTCTGCAGCAGCGCTCGAGCGACAGAGAGAAAAGCATCGTTCTCGACCTCTGCCTATTCTCCCTCTCCTGGTTGGCCCAGAACCTTAACCCTGGATAGCCTAGCGAATTAGGCCCCCTGAAGCCGCCCCCGAAATATCGGAAATTCACTGGAGACAACACCTGAGGCCTGGACAGTGACTGGACAACCGACACCGACACCGACAAAACTTACCCGACCTGTGGGGTTTTGCTGCTGCGTACCGCCATATGTACCTGACCGGGGCTGAGGCCGTCTGACACGACTTAAGCTTGCACAGCTGCACACCCTCTTTTCTGCACAGCACTCCTATTTGGCACTCAAGTCACTGCGTTGCACAGCACACTTTCGCATTCCGTTCTTTGTAGGACCCCAGCGATCGTCGTCCTGTCCCTCCAACGCCACATGTTCCAAGAATAAGCATTTCCAACATACATGCTGAGATAGCCCGCTTTCTCTGGAACGAAACATCGTCACAGCAGAAACTACCCTGTCCCGCACCGCACCGCAACCGCAAGTCTTCGCCCTTCATCCCTCGACTAAAAAAACGAACCCCCGCCCTCGTTTCCCCAGGTTACCTCCGTTGCGACTCCCACACAACAACCCACCGCCACAACAACGCCCGCCGCGACAACAATGTCCGCTGCCACCGCAAAGAAGCCTCCCGCCGCGGGTGTAGGTCGGGTTTCCTCGACTGATCCCGCCTCGCCTTCTGCGTCTCCTGCGAGAACCCCTTCACGATCCTCTACTCCCACCACTGCCCCAGCTGCACGCAGAGGACCACCTCGCACGACAACGCCAGTGTCTGCTCGCGCTGCCGCCCACGCGAGAAGAGGATCTACAATGAGCAACAGCAATGTCACTATTAGCACCGAGGCCGAGGAGGCCGCAAGGGCCGAGACCGTTGCATTGCTCGACGACCTCAAGGAGCGTCTTTCCAATGCTGAAATCTCCTCTGAGCAGTACAGGAAACAGGCCGAAGTGCTGCAAACGAGACTCGACGATGCACTCAAGGAGTCTGCAAAGTTGGAAGAAAAAGTCCACGAAACCGAGGAGCAAATCGAGACATTGCGTAATGAGAAGAGGGAGACCGCGAGGCAGATGCGCGAGATGGAAACCATCTATGAGGCCGAGAGAAGCTCCATGAACAAGGAGAAGGAAGAAATGTCCAACCGGGAAGAGGAGATGCAGACCATCATCCAGAGACTGAAGGACACCCTGTCTCAGAGAATGAGCGACGAGGAGGGCAGGTCGTCAAGACAATGTAGGTTTCATCATGTCAGACGCTATATGCCTTTTCTTACTAACGTCAACCAGCTGCAGCAACGTCTCCCAATGTTGACAACGGTAGCTTTGCACCGCCTTCATCTCTCAACCGCAGCGACTCTCGGAACAACTCCAAGCTTCTCCTCCAGAAGGACAAGCTCATCGAGTCTTTGCGGCTAGAACTGGCTGAAGCCCAGATTAAGCTAGTTGAGTCTGAGAACCAGGGCGGCGGAAGGCTGCAGGAGGTAGAACGGCTACTGATGGAAGCCCGCATGGCCAATGCCCGTCTCATGGAGGACAATGAGAGCTACCAGCTGCTTCTGCAGGAGAAGACTTTGAACGGTGATTTCTCTAAGAACGACTTCAGCTACATGAATGTTTCTGCCAATCAAGACGCGCTCAATGCGCTCGAAGGTCGCTCTGGTGGCACGAGCTTGGCGGATGAACTGTCTGAGGCATCGGAAGGCGCCGATAACAACGACAATGTCCGCCGCCTCGAGACGGAGTTGAAGTCTATGAAGGATCAGAACAAGGCATTGACTCTCTACATCAACAAGATTATTGAGAGACTGCTTCAGCACCAAGATTTCGAGCACATCCTTGATACGTCGAGCGAGCCTAAGCCTCTCGCCGCCAACACCAACAAAGAGCTCCCGCCCCCGCCGGACAAAGGCGCATCCGGAGCTTCGCTGTTGCAGCGGGCGAAAACCATGGCTGTTGGCCCGAATAAGACTAGGCCTAGGCCCATGTCTTACATGCCTTCAGCTCAGCCAGCCAACTCGGCGCACACCGATCCGGAGACGGCACCTCGCATTCCCATCGGCAACCTGACCCGCTCTTCCAGCACTCGTCGCTCCCGCCCCATGAGTGAACAGTTCACGGGCGTCAACTTGGTTAGCCAGATGTATAAGGGTCCCGATGGCCCCATCTCTCCGCCTTTGGGCTCTCCTCGCACGCCGCGAACCTCACAGACCTTCTTTGGCGGTAACCCCAACGCTGCCGCGCGCGCTCCCAGCGGTCAGCAGGCACCGACGGCGGGCAACTTCCCGGGCATGCGTAGCGAGACATCGAGCTTAAGTGGTGACTCTGGTGAGCTGACCACGCCGCCTTCGCAGTCGCCTCCTCGATCCCACCACGAGAAGCAGACCACATTCGCCGGCAACAAGCCCCGGCCCCTGCGCCTGGTGCAGGAGAACGCCGAGAAGCAGGAGAACAACAAACGATCAAGCTGGATGGGTTGGGCCTCAGGCTGGGGCAAGAAGGACGAGCCTGCCGCGGCCGCGAACAGCGAGGCCATCCCCGAGTAATCGCCCCCACATAATTACGCTGTTATGTTTATGACATTCTCCATTACGCCCTGGCATCGCATTGCATTTTCCCCTTCGCTCACCATTCATCATCTTTCTACTACAGGGCGCAGAATTTGGCATCGTTGGATACAGAAAAAAAGACAGATGGGATACCCTTCTCCTTTTTGAATCCCGCGCGCGGGAACTTGTCTTGGGGTCCTTCACGTGGCACAGCTTAGCTTGGTTTGCCCACGCACACAAGGTCTAATGGCATTGCAATTAGAAGTTGTGCGAGACAAAGATTGGGTTTCGGAGGCGCCGTTTTTTATCATGTCTTCTTTTTCCCTTCCTTCAGAGGTTCTGTTTTGCTTTTCCTTCCACCCTAGTGGTTACACTTCTTTTACTCTCCCAGAACACTATTTCTATCCTTCACTTGTTTCAGAAGAGGAGGGACAGGAAGACCCGTTCATGTGGCTTTTGGATTATGGACTGGACGAAGAAAGACTTATGTTTGCAATGGTTTTTCATGAACAAAACAGTATTTCATATGCTGTAATAACTTGATGGCAGGCGTCTTTGCATAATGTTGGCCTCTGGACCTTGGATCCTGTAGCCAATTGAAATAGGCGCAATGTTGGATAGATACATGAGTAATGCAGAGATGGCTTGATGTTAGTGTTACGTTCTCATTCTCACAAACGGATTTACTTGATAGACCGGACGGTCGGTCTTGGTTTGTCGGTATACTCTAGGGCACGTCTACGCTGTGTTTGTCAACATGTGTCTTGTATACGGAAATATGTTCATAGTGTTCTTGGTACAGATAGAACAGGTACATGGCTGTAGAAACAGCGGGGTTTGATAGCTTGAATAACCGTTTTCCAACCAGATCTTTGTACGAATGTTCCCGAGGTTAAGTCAGGTTAAGCGGGTGTTGTGGTCGCCGCCGCAGTCGTCGTTAGGATGGCAGAAACTCAGTTGCATGAGTTCTGAAGCGCCTAAGTCTTCCCTCAGAAACTGCACCTTGGAAGGTAATTGGTGTGTATGGTCATTTCTCGGTAACTATGAAGACGATGGACGGCTAAGGAGTTTGGTGGTCTCTGACATCACCACCAAGAGCACACATCTTCATAGAAGCTTTTTATGACTTCCCCTCTCGAAAGTCAAGGGCCCTTCTTCGGTCAGTCTTGGCGGTATCTTCCGAGAATGACAAAGAATAGCCACGGAGTCCATAAACTTTCACAATGTAGAGACGACCTTCTCCAGGCTTCGCAAGATCCTCTAGGAGGTCACTCGCTGTACCCAGCATTTCACATGTCCACACTTCACAGGCCGAACCAGTAATCGGAAACGATTACCGCTCAATGGGGAAAAAAGCGCTGGAGTAGGCCGACAGAGGTAGGTCTATTTGAGATAGCTGACTTGGCCCACCAGGGGAAAACGGAGGGTTTCGACAATGTACGACAAGCGTCTACGCTTCTTGAAACTCTATCGTTTCGCGACTCGAGACAAGCTCCATCCTAGCCACAGGCTTCTGGTCAACCCCAACGATCACAGCTGGCTCAGCAATCTGGTTTATGTGGTCTTTTTTTTTTTAAAAAAAAAAATTAAATTTTTTTTTAAATGAATCTCAGCAAAACAGCTCGTGGTTGCATTTGTACCAGATCTAAACATAGACCTCTACGGGATCCTCTCCTGGGGCTGGCAACCCACCTTTGAACCTATAAGGGACAAAAAAAAAGAAGGGACTGACCACAGCTTCATTTGCTGTTCTAGCAGTTTACCCTCACAAACAGAAACCTAGTAGATTTCCGCGTTGCTTGTTCCTTGCGCTGAATCTACAAGCGGCTGTTACCGCCAACAAAGGCATCAAGCTTCTTCTGATCGTAGACGTCGGCCTCAACCAACTTCTCCCACTTCTGAGGCACTCACATGTCAGAAAACCATGACTCTTGGGGTGTGACAACTGAACATGTGTCATGTTGCGGATCGACTCACATTGTCACCAGTGACCTTGATTAGGGTGGGCAGGTTCGTGACGTTGAAGGGTGCTTGCCTCCACTCGTTGTCCTTCGTCCTCCATCTAGGACCACGCAGTTAGCATGCTGATTTGCTTTGAGTTCTCATAGTGTTTATAATTTTACTTCATATACAAATGGAGTGAGAGGTCGGGAGGAACGAGGGGTGGGGGCAGACTCACACCTCGGGCAACCCCGCATAGACAACACGGACGGTGTTCTCCTCGCCGCCAAACTTCTTCTCAATGTACGGCTCGGCGGCCGTGCAGTCGGGGCACCAGGAGCGGCCGTTGCGGTGAGAGGCGTAGACGACAACATACGCGGGCTTGGACTCGCTGGCCTCGGCCTTGAGAGCGGCTGCAACGGCCGAGGCGGGCTCCTTGGTAGTGATGACGGGCATCGTATAACTGGATGAATACCGCACGAAAAGTATAGACTAGCAAAACGAAGAAAATGTTACTCGATATTCCCCGGGAGAAGCAAGAGGGAGTGGAAGTCTCACAAAGCTGTTGCTGTCAATTATATGACTCGTTCCCGCAATGACTACGTAAATGGCACAATCTGCACAATTATTTGCGTTATTTCACACACTTGGGGGGGGGACATCACGCCGTCCCGAAGCTTATCCGGTTTAGATAACCACCGGCTCGGATGCTGTCGTGTGCAAACACAACATCTCAAAACCAGAGTAATCACAGTATGACAACAATTCAGAATGGAAACCAAACATGCAGGCTTTCCGCTGAAAAACCAGAGTGGTGTCAGCAGCATGACGCGTGTGGTTGGAAAGGACTTATTTAGCGGCGGGGTAAATAGAGCCAGGAAAATGTACAACCGTTGCACAAAACACAGAACATACAAAAACAAACGTCCAGGACTACCTATGATGGCAAAATGTAATGACAACTGTGAGATTCGAACTCACGCCTCTTTCGAGACCAGAATGCTATCCTTTGTAAGGACAAGCTTGCGCTTGAGTCTGGCGCCTTAGACCGCTCGGCCAAGTTGCCCATTAATTAATCCACAGCCAGTGACGAATGACAGAAATGCGGTGGACCGTGTAGATGTTGAATGTCCCGAGTCACACCAGCACAAGACCCTCATCTCCCCCTCCAGTAAGCTGCATTCATAGTACAGAGGGGCAGTCGGGCATGTATGTATGAGAGGCGGGAGGTGACCAGAGAAATTGGGAGACAGAGGGTTGCTTTGTGGGTGGGTCGTCCAACTCTCCGATCGGAGTAACAATCACACTCCCGCAGCAACCCCACGTTTACTCGTCGCCGCCTACCCACAAAACACCCCTTTTCGGACTTGAATGGCAAAGGCGGTCAGTTGGGAGTCACTAGTTTCAAATTCGCCCGCTGCTTGTGCCTCTGTTGATCCAGGGGCTTACAATATTAGGGCTTAGGACGGAGTACAGTGCCAGACATCCTTACGCGGTTCATCGGGAGGCATAAACTGATCAATATGAATCCGCTGCTCCATCTCAGTGAGCCTAGCTTGAGGCAGAAGTATACTTAGGAAAATGTTATCCAGCTAGGGAGGACCTTACTTACCCTAAGTCAATTCATGTATGCTATGTAAATCTGGATTCTATGCCGTTCTCAACCTCACTATTTATTAGTCTATTGACTATACTGCAAGGCTTGGTTGAACGTAGCATTTCTTCCAGCCACGCACCTATTGTGGGGTGAACGCAACTCTCCTTTCTGTCTCTCCTGTTGGTCGTAAAAAGTTTCGTTACAATTACAACGATGTAGTTGCCACTTTTCCCGTCTAATGCAAAACCCTCCTGTTCAAAAGGCCGTCTCGAAGAAGATCCCCAGACCATAAAACGATAAAGAGAAAAAAAGAAAAAACAAATGTCCCAATCCCTAACCCCGAGTGAACAAGTCCCGTTCCTGAATGAGTGCGCTGTGCTTCCTGCGATGTACCCGGCGAGGGTATGTAATCCACGAATGGTGGGGTCGGTTGTGATGAAAAGAACCAAGGCAAAAAAAAAAAAAGAAAAAGCCAAAAGAAACCCGAACAAAAGTCGGCTGAGCATGAAGAGTATCGAGATTGCCAATACTCTCGAAAGAACGATAGGTATATACAGGTCGCTTTTTTCCGTCTTTGTTCAAAGCGCTTGTTGCTGGAAATTCCAATTCAACGCCGCCTTTTCCTTGAAATGCTATGCCACGCCATGCACGCTCGATATACAGAACAAGTTAACAAAGGAAATGGTGAAGAGTGTCGGCTTCTGTGAAGAAGCACTACGGCTCAATGCCTGGTATGTCTCCAGGCAGAGTCATGTTGGGTCGGATAGATGGATCGTTGGCAGAATTGGGCTTGACTGTTGTTCTCCCAGATATCGGTGCGGTACGTACTCGTTGGCTGAGAGGCAAGGCATAACGAACCACACCTTTTATGATCAGGTCGAATTCATCCTGGATAATCCGACCCCAACGCTCAGAGCCACCTGCTGAATGGTTGCCTGGAAGATGAAGCCGCATGGTACCAGTTGATGCAGATACACCCTTGTTGAAGAAGGACCCCTCGAAAGAAAGTGGGCTGTCAAACTCAGTAATCGTACCCAGACGCATGTTCGGAGCAGCGTCGTCATCCGGCGGGTCATCTGGAGGATCATCTCGGATGTGCATGTCTGGATCTTCCGGATCACTGCCCTCATGAGGCCGCTTCCACCAGTCGAAGTCGGTACCGGCATGAGGTGACTTGGCAAAAATCTCAAGGTTTGCCTGATCAATTGACACCACAACAATATTGGGGTTGTGAGCTTTGACCGTAATGTCAAACATCAGTTCAGGGTCGCTGGCGAGAACGTTCTTGATGGATACAAGTTCGATATCCGTCAGTGGCTGAGATGTGGCGAACATGAAGCCGATTGCGCCCGTAATAACTAGGAGTAACATCATGGTTATTACGAGACAGGCAGCAAACCGATTCAAATAAGAGGGCTGCTGCCTGTATGACTGCGATTCAAGGTTGCGCGCGTTTGCGGGGTGGCGACGAGTCCTCCGCGAGGACCGAACCGTAGACGTAAGTAATGGGGTGCGCTCATCATCGGCCCCGGTGGTCGTTGTGTCATCGGCGTCGTAGCGAGCCATCTGAATGGAAGACCGCTTGCCCAAAGCATGGGGACCGCCTCTGGTTGAGCTCCCAGTCCTGGGGCTAGGAGGACCGGACGATTGCCTCGAATTGTTGATCGTTAGCTTAGATCGCGCGGCATTTGGGAACAAGGATTCATTGTCGAAAAGTGAGGGATGCGAGTTTCCGGGCTGACGTCCCCAGCGTCCAAAGTGGTTGTGATGGTGGTGTCTTGTGGTGCCTCTTCCTGAGCCCACTCCCACACTTCTGCCACTGCCCTTTCCGTCCTCGTCGGCGCCTAGACTGTCTGCACCATTGCTGTTAAAGGTGTTTACAAATTTCATGCTTTTCTTTAAACCAACAGCTGCTGCACTTCCTTGTAGAGCCTCGTGAATTGAGCGCATGCCCAAGGCGCCAGCTCTGTCGGCTTGGCTAATCATCGAGGTAGCGCTAGGTGTCCTGGAGTGATATCGGCGTCTGTCGCCAACATCAGGGGGGTTGGAATCATAGACAAACGTCTCCTCAGAGTCTGATGTGTTCGCCTCATCAACGGCGCTGGCCACTTTGGCCTCAAAAATATCGGCTTTTGAAGATGCTGGAAAGAATTGGAAATCAGTAAAAAGTCCATAAAGGAAACGAAGCTGCGAACGCAATCCGATGACCAAGACCGATAGGGTGACTGGCACCACCACGCTTCTCCCACCCACCCTGTGCTCCGGTGCACTGGATCTAGGTAGGCCACCGGACACTGACTGCCGCCGACATACATGTCGCAGCATAAACGAGAAATGGTAATGTTAGGAACAGATTATCTTACCATTACCAGGATTGACAGTCGGCTGCTTCCGGCTAGTCCGCTTCTTCTCCTTCTTGGGTCGAATAGTTTCTGAGCTTGGTTTGGCCTTGAGTGTACCGTTGGCAACTTCCAATTTAGAAGCAGGCGCCAATGCTACCTGGGGGATGGAGGACACTGTCTCGGTTTCGACGATGAGGGTAGATCCTTCACCGGTCGCCTTGCTCTTGCCCTGCTTGTTTGATAGGACACTGGACTGTCGCGTAACTGTTGGTACGGGCGCTGAGCTTTGTGACCGTACTCTGACTGTGCCGCTGTCCCCCGTACCTTCTAAAGGCTGCAGAGCTCCTCTGCTTAGCCGGACAGTTCGATTATCAATGTGTGTGATGCTGTCAGCACTGGCGGCTGCCTCGTGAGCCAGCTTTTCGTTGACCTTCTCCAATGTGGAATCCATCTGCCCCGGCGAATTTGGTAAGCTCACTTCTTGCACTGTTTCCAATGTTGATCCGCTGCCAGTGACTGGGGTTCGCACTCCGGATTGAAGCTGCGAGTCGTCCGTTTCGCTTTCGGACATGGAAGGAAAAGGTTCAGCCGGAGGGGTTGGTGAGGCCTTGGTGAGATTTATTCTTGGGGGCTCCTGCTCAATTCGACGTGCTTGTGGGGGGGGCTGCGGCTTGTTGAGCTGTGGAGGGGGTGAACGGAGGCGAGGCGACACAGGCCAGCGCGGGCTGTCTCTTGCTTGAGTGACCTCAGTGTTGAGAGGTAGCTTCTGGGGGTTGATAGATTTGAGGAAGGATTCTTGCGAGTGCGGGAGGAGAGTAGGGGTTGTGGCGGCGGAGAGGGTCCTCGACGATACCGGCGGGCCTGGTATGCTACTGGTGGACCTGGGGGTTCGAACCGTGGTCAAGTCCTGTTGACTGCTCCTGCGCGACCTCAGGCCAGCAGCCGAGGATGACTTTGGAGTAGTGGCGGCAGGAGGCTTTGCAGGCTGACGGGTGGGCGAAGTGTCTCTCGAGTTGAATGGTGATGGAGTTTGGGATGTTGTGGCCGAGGACTGCTTGGAAGGCGGCTGGCGCTCGGCGGTGGTTTGGGAGGGAGAAGTGAAGGACTTCTCTGGGTGTTCTAATCGTGACTGGCTTGCGTCAGAGGACCCGTTCATGGTGTTGGATGTCTTTTCCATGGCCGAGGGTTTTCAAGTGAGACAGCAAAGGGAACGGAGCCTCGTCTAGTCCTCATACCAATCGAATGTGGGTATTAACTCGGGAGCCGGCAGTCGTAGTTCGGAACTAGGCCTATCATGATGTTCGACAATGCGACGTGGGATGCGATGGAATTCAGGGTTCAAAGGGTGCAATCCTATTGGAAATCTTGGGCTATTGGTTTCGTCGGTTACTGTGTTGTTTCCGGGGCTGGAAGCAGAGGCGAATGCGTGGTCGTGTGTCTCTAGGAAGGTTTCGTGGTTGACGAGTGGCTAAGCTGGTGCTGGCGAGCTGGCTGTTGTGGATGTGTCTGACAGGGACACAGGTGCAAGTGTTTTGCAGAAAGAGATCTGGTGAAAATAATGAAGTTTGGCTCTAGAGTAAGAAGCTCGAAAATGAGGGGATTGGGAAGGGGGAATTGAGGGTGGTAAAGGTAGTGTAAGGTAACGGGAGAGAGAGTGTGTGTCTGATGTAAAAGACGAGAACGAAGACGGGTCGTAGGTGAGGGAGACCAGATGGGAATGAGGTCAGTAAAGCAGTCAGTGCAAAGCCAAAATGCTGCTTGCTGGGTGCGCTGGCGCCAACGCTGGTGCTGGCAGCTGGGGGATTGGGAGGAGGTGAGTTGGTGTGTGCTGGGATGGACCGGTCGGTAAGGAGCGGGTTTTAGCGTGTGTGACGACTACGACCTGCCCTGTGAGTCTCAGAGACCTCAGTCCTCAAGTCGAAAGGCACCTACCGGAAACCAGTGCCCTGTTTACAAGGGGAAGTACTTTCCCCAGGAACAGTCGGTACATGATGAAAGGTACACGACCATTTGAATGAGATCCATGCGCTATGTCATAGTACTTCAAGACAGGGATCTCCCTGGTGGCCGGCGGTTGGAAGGCGTGTCAGCACTCCAGTACCGCAATACAAGCTGGAGTGTCCAGGTAAATGTACCTAGCCTTTCCAATGAGGTACTCACAATCATCCATCTACGTATTTTATTGCCCTCACCTTCGAAAGGCAGAGACGATGCACAGATGCTGCCGCTGCCGCCACCTCCCTAAGGTGTTGCTTTCCCTCCTCTATCTGATGCCTTATATCCTTTTTTTTTTTTTTTTAAAGCATGCACTATTTACATCATCCCTCAACGATGTGTGCATGTTAGGTACTGTCAGTTGCTGCATTTGGTACCCTCCTAGTATTTGTGTCTAAGCGAATGATATTATCCCGCCCATGCATCCCACTCAATACATCCAGTCAATCATGACACAGGACGTCTTCCACAGGAGTCGTAGGAAGCAAACAATTAGTTCTGACCGGGCCGGAGTCAAGCACCCTGTTGTCGATGGGCAATAATAACCCTTCACAAAGGGAAGACCTGGAAGGTACGAGTAGGGCAGAGTCAATGAGTAAGGCAAGAGAAAGAAAGAAAGAAAAGTCAACAAATCAGAAATAAAGAGGAAAATCTTGTTTAAAAAAGGAGAATAAAAAGAAAAAACAACCCAAGATGGAAGGGCGTCCCTGATGTGTCTGCCCAACGGCCTTGCCTGGCGTATTCAGACCACCCAGGCAAATGACGGTACCTTACCGTACAGGCGACGTATCCGCCGTCGGCACCAAACAGCAACGCAAGTCGCCTGTCTCTTCCCATTCCAGCCCTTTCTCGTCCCTATTTTTCTTCTCATCAATTTTGCCCTTGGATGCTGGCTTCATCCCAGCACAAAATGTTTCTGCTCAACTTCGGCGCCTTTGGAGTCAACGCAGGCATGGACAGGTCTGGGAGCTTGATGCTCCAGGCACCGCGGAAGCCTCCCTAATATCCCGAAGCAATCAGAAGGTTTCTTGAGGGATCCATCGGAATAAGTCAGCACGAAGCTTTCCCCCCTTCACCCAAGTGTGCCTTCCGGGGTTTAATCGTCAAGGGTGGATGGCTTTGATCAAGGCCGTGCTGCTTCCAGCTTGCCAAGTTTATGGGTCGTGTCGTCGGTCGTTTCCTCTCCTCCCCTCCCCGCTAGAAGAGAGAGAAAAAACAACAACAAAAACAATCGAGAACCTCTAAAGAGGGGCAAGGTACAGCGGACGGGTTCCTTCAGCAGCAAACGCAAGGAATGGAACCCAGCCTGCTGCAGGTCCCAGGATAGCGTCACAAGAAGGAAAGGCGGAGGGCCCGGCGAGAATGGAAGAGCAGGGGGCAGGAGAAAAGGAAAGAAAAAAAAAAGGAAAAAAAGAGGGGGAGAACGACAGACAGGCTCCATCAGTCGGCCTCCAGCACAACGTCAACCCCCAAGCCTAACCTCGGTGGACTGTCCGGGCGACGGTCGGAAGGTACGTATCTTGAGTGAGTGCCTGCTGTTCTGGGCAAGGGCTGGGCGGGGGAAGAGTCCCGTCGTCAAAGTACGAGGTACATAGTTACCTAAGTGTGTAAGAAATCGGCAAGTACTCAATCCAAAATGCCGTCAATTGGGGCCGAGTGGTAAAGGAGACCCATGGCCGGCAGAAACCCTGAAACTACGCGGAATGCCTCAGACCGCAACTTTTCTCTCGGATGCCTTTCCCCACACCTGATTTGTCCTTGTTGGCGTATCTCGCAGTCTGGAATTATTCTGGATGCACTCTTTGGTAGTCCAGTTTACTACACCCCAGATCACAACCCACTACTTTCAGGCAGGCACAAAACCACATGTACAAGCACAGTGACAATACTTGACATGGATACTCAAAACCTACCCCACTACTCCGTCCTGGACAGGCAGACACGCAGATAAGCACACAAGGCAAAGCCATAACACACTGTGCATATGATCTCCATTCTAGAAGCCCACATCAGGCACTTTTTTTTCTGTCCCCCTCGCTTCTAAAAGGTTTGGATTCAGTTTTTTTTCTCTCTTTTTTTTTTTTTTTTTTTCCCGGTTGCACCGGGAGCCTGTCACCGACTCCCCCCGCCGCCGTCATCACCGCTGTTTGGGACCGGATTTTCACACACCCCGGAATGCTGCTCTTCCAATCACATCCCCTGTATTGTCTGTCGTGTACGTAGTGGCGTACTCTTGACCCTGCCTTCGAGTGGTTCTGGGTTCCAAAGATCTATCGCCCTCACTCTTGTCCCTTTTATCCCATTTTGTTGATTTTGATATCATCTTTGAGATAGGATGACAGGGCCATCTTCACCAACCGTCGTTAGTCAGGAACCACCGCATCTGGACTTGGAACTGCCACTGGGACTAGGGTCTGCAATCTGGCGCAACTTTTGCCTCGACACGTGCTATTTCCATCCTCCAGGTACCGTGGCACGAACTTTGGCACGAAATAGGATACAAGGGACCAGAGCAAAGCTCTTTGATTGCAGCCATCTCGCTACCGGAACATCATCCGTCAGCTGCTCAACTAGCCGGATGAGAAAGCCCTGCAGGAACACATCACTGTGACGAGACGTACCCCAAAAGTTTGTCCTCAGTGATCTGACATGAACGCGACACTACTAGTATACAGAATAACATACCATTTGGAACAGCTCGGTTGTCACACTAATCAAGTGCCACTACGTGAAAGCCGGTCCCAGGCCCTAGCGAAGACATACATTTTGGCATTTGTCCCGAGACTCTGACCCTGGTCTGTCCAGGCACAACTTACAACTCAAGTCCGCACACAGTAAACTGTTGATCATGGTGTAGACCGCGGGCCTGGCGGAGAACAGCGTTTCTCACCAATCGAGCTTTCATTGTGCTGATACCCTGTCTTGTTGATGCGCCCATCACTTTAGGCTTGAGATGACTCTTACTTGGAACACCTACCCCCTCTCTCGTGGGTTCCGCTTCCCTTCATGTCATTGTCGATCAACCCATGGTCAAGGGTTTCTCTCACCCACAAACGGAGAACCAAAAACCACCAACCTCAACTCGATTCAAAGATGAATTGCGACCTGCATGACTGTTTAGTGATATCCCATGTCTCCATATGTCTGGCTGCCAACAAGTCCCTGCGCTTCGTGCAGACAGCTGCGAGTCAACAGACCCAAACTCGCTCTGGGGGATTTGGCGCCAACCTTCAGCCTCTCACAGGCGGCCAAGTGGACGACGTGGCAAGCACGCGACTGGCTGCATTCCCATGTGCACCCGACCTTGGGCTCTCATTAGGGGGCCAAAATCCAAGACATTCCCGAGATGAATTGACAAAGGTGGAAGGGTGCCGGCCCCCCGACCGAATGTCGCAGCAAACCCACCCGCCCACGAGGTAATTACCTGCACTTCCCAGACACTATCCCGATGGTACCGGCCACTTGGAGGCAGAGGTGACGGACTATTGGTCCCTCTCCATGCTCCCTGGAATCCCCTCTGTTCGGAGGGGAACCGGGTAGGGCACTCCCAGAAAGGCGCAACGGAGACACTGCCGACGAGCCCTTTTTTTTTTTTTTTAAATCCTCTTCAAGCGATGCTTCACCAAATTGCTTGCTACTCATTGTTGTTCCACTCTTCGCAGCCATGATTGGCGATGGCACTGCTAGAACAAGATCCGAGCCTTCCTGAAGGGACTGTTTCTACTTGCTCTCTTCATCGACGCCTTGCCCTATCTGTCCATAGTTTCGAGGAGCTTGACTTCGTCTCATGATGGGTCTGCCAATGGTACCCACAAAGAAAGTGACAGGAACGGTCCCGCTTCCCGTCCTAGACCGAGACGCTCAGTGGCAGCTTTCCAGCGCCGAAATCCGACGAACCTCTGATCTGACACCTGCTGTTACCGCGCAACAGCATCCGCTGTAACATACCAGGCATTTGCCTGGCTATGACACCTCAGCACCTGCGCAAAGGATTTGCAGAGGCACCAAAGTGGCTTGGTCGGGCGCAGGAAAAAAAAAGAGGTACGTCAGATTTCGTTGCGACATTCCAGCGGCTTGTCCCTAAAATGGACCCGAGAGGGTTGGCCCCTTCGTCAGCTGGCTGGCTGGCAAGTCTCACCCTCCCGTACGACGGTGTCGAACGAGGTGAACACTTTCGCAACGGAGAATTCCAACTCGGGTTGGCAACCAGCGAATTTGTCTAGTCCAAAGGGGGAGAAGGAGAAGAAGAAGAAGACAGAAAAAGGAGGACTAACTAGACGTTTCTCGAACGAAACAAGAATCCAGCATTCACCGTCCCTTTTTTTTTTTCCCCTTGCTTATCAACTCCCTTGGCAAGCCCCAAACGTTCTTTCTCCCCCACGTACAGCCGGGGTTTAGAGAGACATACCACGTCAAACTGCACTCATTTTGTGTCCTATCCTACCCGTGCGTGATATAGGTTTAGATAGTTCTTCCACTCACCCCGTGTTCAGCGACGTCGCTGGACGTTGATCAGCTGCGCAGGAACCCGGAAGTCTATAGGCTGGGTGAGTTTGACCGAAAAGTGTGTAAGGGTATAGGCATGGGCATGACGTGCCACCACTCAATGGGCAGATTGTCTTCCAGACAGCAGGCAATGAAGAAATTGCCTACCACCACCCACACCACTCAAACCGCACAGTTGGCTCGCCCAAGCCTGTCAGATGGGACGGGCCTTGCTCGGCCTCGTCGCGATGCGTTGGCGGGAAACCACGCGGGTCGGCAATGTGGTGGTATGTCGTCCTTTCTGCCTAAGTAAGTGGTTGTACCTAGGTACCTTGCCTTAACGCTCATGACAGTCGGGTGAATGGGTGGGTGGCCGGTCAAGTCTCATTTCGAGAGACTGCATGCACCGTGCCCCCTGTTTTTCCTTTTCTGATCAATTTCCTTCCCGGTTTCCAACGCTGCGTTGGCGGTTTTTTCTCCTATTCCTGGGATTTGGGAGGCGGTGCTTTATTGCGCCCAGCGCAGACAAGGCAGGAGGGATTGAAGGAAGGAGGGAAACGCCGTGTCCCAGGACGAGGGCTGAGACTGTTTGGTACGTCTCTCTTGGTGAGAGCCCGTGCTGATCGACCAGAACATCTATATCGGTTCCATCCGACTTTTGACAAGAGTGACAGGTCCAAGGAAACGTACAGAGTGGCGTTTTTGAAGGATGCAACCTTCAAATTTACACTCATTCGACATGTCCAAGACTTCCTCCCTCCCTTACTGCGGTTTACGTTACCAAAGTGCGATCGTCTGGCCTAGGCCCGTCCATAGCCGCATCATGATGACTGTTTGTCTCTCTGTCGCGCCGTCTCTCCCCCTCTCTTGTTCCCCCTCTCGAGTAGAAACAGCCTTGCTTGAAGATCTCTGCCTCGTGGGGACTGGTCATACGGAGCCTTCGTTGGCCTCGATTGGGTTGGTGGAATCCTGCAATGAGGCTCTTGTTTTCTGGGAGTTGCAGCCCGGAGCATGTTTAGCGGAGTGCTGGCAAAGGAAACGTACCACGGCATGTGTTAACGCCGTCCGGTAATGTCCGGCATATCGTTGTATTTGGTGTTTAATGCCGCCGCTCTGTTGCATAGAATGCCTTCGTAAAGCACATGGTACAGATAGACAACATCAAAGTAATTCTGCCATGGCTTCATCAGTACGACAACGTATATTTGTTGACTGGAAGGTTTTTTGACATTTCAAGCGTCCGGCAAGTATGCATGCTGCTCTCTGCAACGGATCCAGGATACTTGGTGTCCAGACTGAGAACCTTCGAACACATAACGAGCCGGTAGCACATTATCAAGGAAAATGTCCATGTAGTAGAGCTGTTTCTGAGCGTTTCACTAGATTAGTGAGAGCATCATTCTATATTCGTACCCTGATATCTCCTTTCTTTTGTACGCCATTAACGCCAGGCCATAAAATGCCGCCCACAGTCCATATCTACCCTAGGTGACGAAGTCGGGAATCGACTCAAGCAAAGTGAATGCCCTCAGAGTTAAGAGCGGACAGAAGCTTCAGGAAATCTGTCTCGTCACACGCACGCGCACGCTTGTCGAGCAGACCAGTACTCTCAAGGGCACCCTCGATTTTCTGCCGGACGAGCGCGGCCACCTTTGTCTTCTTGCGCTTGCTCTTGGTCTTCTCCGGCGCCTTACCAGCAGCCGTGCTGAGCTCCTTGAAGAACTCGGGAGTGTCGTCGTCCATGGGCTCGACATCATCGTCATCGCCGCCGGCGTCCACATCGTCATCCATCTCCATGGCGTCGTCTTCGTCCTCTTCAACGAGAGAATCGTCCAGGGGAACACTGTTAAGGGCTGCCCATGTACGGTAGTTCTGGGGTGTGTTAGTTTTGTATCATTCAGCGGATGTGACTTGTTGAAGACTTACCTTCTCGAGCATTTGGAGAACTTCCTTAGTGCCGAGCCAACTACAATCAGTGTAAGCAACCGTATTCTTTCCGACACAAGCCGCTGTTTCCTTACCTTGCTCGCATGGTCCTGTTCTTGCGGTTAAAGCACTTTGCGGTTTGTTAGCGATTTGCTCAGAGAATGACAACTAAGATATACCCACAATGCGAAGCAGGCCGTCAAACTCCTCGAAGCTAATGGTAGGGCGCTCGGCTCCCTGTTTGGGCACAATGCGCACGACGCAAGAGTCGACCTGAGGCGGTGGCCTGAAGTTGGCCTTTGACACTTTCATCTGATATAGATATTAGCAGTCGCAGAAGTTGCATGGTCATTTTCTGTTTTACTCACCACGTTGGAGCACGTCGCCCAGAAGTTGGCATTAACACTCAATCTATCCCAAACCGTTAACCAAATTTTCACCCATCTGATTCTCAACAAGACTTACCGGCCATAAAGTTTGTCTCCAGGCTTCGCCACCAATCTCTGTCCAAATTCGAGCTGGAACATGAGAATTGCTTGTCGCGGCGGCTTGGGCATGGCAAGCATCTTGAAAACCAAAGGCGACGAAATCTGGCCTTTCATTAATTCCATAGGTTCTGGCTTAAGGACTTTAAGTACGTACCTGGTAAGGAGTGTTCGAAATGAGGACATCAAAGGGAACCCAATCGACCTGATATGTCTAGTCAGTACGAGTTCCATTTCTTAGGCTCGATACTGCTGGAAATATGAAGCTGGATCATTGCGCATAAACTGACTTTGATGGCGTCTCCGAGCATGACCTCAAGCTTTCGCTGCTCTGGCGTTCCTTGTACACGCTATTGATGCGCTGTTAGCACAGGAAACCGTTGCTTATTTGTGATGTCCAACCTTCGTGACTTCGGCTGCCATTCGAGGGTCGAATTCGATCGCGATAAGCTTCTTCGACTTCTCCAATATCCGTACAGTTAAATTGCCCGTACCGGGACCAATTTCGAGAACAGTATCGGTCGGTTTCAATTCGGCTTTCTACAGCGCTCTGCTTAGTGATTGCATTTCTGGGCGATGGAGTCCGAAACCCACATGAACAATCGCGTCCGCGACACCGGGGTTCTTCAGGATATGCTGGCCGACATTTGTCTTCAAATGATATCAGTGACGCATTCTAGAGCCTGTATGGCATTATCCATACGTTAAACTTGAACACATTGTTCGTCTTGTTTGATTTTGCTGGGCGAGAGTAGGGACTGCCGGATGCGGTAGCGTTCCGCTTTCCGGCTTTGGCTTTTCCCATGATGATTAAAGAGTCTTTCGGATGCTTCAAATGTATTTAAAAAGTTGCTTCCGATGTTTAGGGTGCACAAGGGTATCTGGAGGTGGCAATCGGTGTCGCTGTGGCAGCTAGTACGGCATCGAAATCTTCGCGATGTCGAAGTCTGCGGTGAAGATGGAGGGGCAGCCTTTTGGAAATTTTAGTGGGACCACCCCACTACTTGCTGTGGCGACAGGGGTTCGGCAGCTTAAAAACTTAGTACCACTTCAGCCTTGCGCCTCTCACCCAGCTCTGAGCTACAGGTATCCTCCAAATTCTGGATCTGCCTATCCATACATTCAGTGTGTTGTGCGCATTTCCAAACCCCAACGCGACAACGACACCCGCGCAGCGCACTCGATACGATGACCAGTCGACGCGATTTCTTGAGTCAACCGGCACCCGAGAACTATGTTGCCGGTCTCGGTCGAGGTGCTACCGGCTTCACGACGCGATCGGATTTGGGTCCTGCACGCGAAGGACCAAGCGAAGACCAGATCAAGGAGGCTGTTGCCAAGCGCGCAGCGCAACTAGGCCTGGGAACTGATGGCAAGAAGCAAGATGCGGACGACGACGACGACGATCGGTTCAAGGACCCTGATAATGAGGTCGGCTTGTTTGCCGGCGGTGTATACGACAAAGACGACGAGGAGGCCGACAGGATATGGAAAGAAGTTGATGAGAAGATGGCGAAGAGGCGACAAAAACAGCGTGAGGCGCGCGAAAAGGCTGAGAGAGAAGAATACGAGCGCAAAAACCCCAAGATCCAACAGCAGTTTGCCGACTTGAAGAGAGCTTTATCAACAGTTTCCGATGAGGAGTGGGCAAATCTACCGGAAGTTGGAGATTTGACCGGGAAAAACCGTAGAAGCAAGCAGAATTTACGGCAACGATTTTACGCTGTTCCTGACAGCGTCCTTGCTGGAGCGAGCGCCTCCGGGGAGCTAGGGACGACTGTTATGGAAGATGGCGCAGCTTCGAGCTCAGAGGCGGCGGACGGTACGATGACGAACTTCGCTAAGATCGGCGCGGCAAGAGACAAAGTGCTCAAGTCTAGACTGGAGCAAGCTTCTCAAGACGGTGGCGACTCTGTCGCTGGCAGCGCAACGAGTATCGATCCTAAGGGCTACATCACCAGTTTGCAAAAGAGTGGCCTCACTGAGGCCCAGGCGCAAGTCGGCGACATCAATCGAGTTCGTGAGCTTCTAACTTCAGTCATCAAGACCAACCCGAACAATGCGCCTGGCTGGATCGCAGCAGCACGGTTGGAGGAGCTTGCTGGCAAGACCGTCGCTGCGCGAAACGTGATTGCACGTGGATGCTCTCACTGCCCGAAGAGCGAGGACGTATGGCTAGAGAACATCCGACTCAATGAAGGCCGTAATGCCAAGATCATCGCAGCAGATGCTATCAAGAAAAACGATCGGTCTGTGCGACTCTGGGTTGAGGCCATGAGGTTAGAGAACGAACCCAGGGCGAAAAAGAGAGTCATTCGACTCGCCCTGGACCACATCCCTGAATCTGAAGCGCTCTGGAAAGAAGCGGTCAATCTGGAGGAAGATCCGGAAGATGCGCGGTTGCTACTTGCCAAGGCAACTGAGCTTATACCTCTATCTGTCGATCTTTGGCTGGCTTTGGCAAGATTGGAGACTCCTGAGAACGCCCAGAAAGTCCTCAACAGGGCAAGAAAAGCAGTTCCCACGTCACATGAGATTTGGATCGCTGCGGCTCGTTTACAGGAACAGCTAGGCACCGGACTCAAGGTCAACGTTATGAAGCGTGCCATCGGTGTTCTCATTAAAGAGTCTGCTATGCCGAAGCGAGAAGAATGGATTGCAGAAGCCGAGAAGTGTGAAGAGGAGGGTGCCATCATCACCTGTGGAAATATCATCCAAGAAACCTTGGGTTACGGCTTAGACGAAGATGACGACCGCAAAGAAACCTGGATGGAGGATGCGAAGAGCAGCATCAACCGTGGCATGTACGAAACGGCACGTGCCATCTACTCTTACGCCTTACGGGTGTTTGTCAACAGCAAAACGCTGTGGATGGCCGCTGCTGACTTGGAGAGGAACCACGGAACTAAGGAATCACTTGCTCAGGTCTTGGAGAAGGCCGTCGAGGCCTGCCCCAAGAGTGAAGTTTTGTGGATGATGCTGGCCAAGGAGAGGTGGCAAGCCGGAGAGGTCGACAAAGCCAGGCTCGTGCTCGCCAGAGCCTTCAAGTCAAACCCTGACAACGAGGATATTTGGCTTGCTGCTGTCAAGCTCGAAGCCGAGAATGGAGAGACTGAGCGCGCACGTAAACTGCTCGAAGAAGCTCGGGAACAGGCTCCTACGGATCGTGTGTGGATGAAGAGCGTGGTATTTGAGAGAGTACTAGGCAACAGCGAGGCGGCATTGGACCTTGCCCAGCGAGCCCTGCAATACTTCCCAGGCACAGCCAAGTTGTGGATGCTCAAGGGCCAGATCTATGAAGACCTTGGAAAGGTTGGCCAAGCACGCGAGGCTTACAGCACAGGAGTCAAGGCGGTTCCTAAGTCGGCACCCCTCTGGCTGCTATACTCTCGTCTAGAGGAGAACGCCGGACTTGTCGTAAAGGCTCGCAGTGTTCTTGATCGAGCCCGTCTTGCAGTTCCTAAATCGCCAGAGTTGTGGTGCGAATCCGTCCGCATCGAACGACGTGCAGGCAACATCAACCAGGCCAAGTCCCTCATGGCCAAGGCTCTCCAGGAGGTGCCCAAGAGCGGTCTCTTGTGGAGCGAGCAAATCTGGCACTTGGAGCCACGAACACAGCGGAAGCCCCGGTCGCTGGAGGCCATCAAAAAAGTGGACAACGATCCAATTCTTTTCGTGGCTGTCGCCCGGATCTTCTGGGGCGAGCGTAAGCTGGAGAAGGCTCAAAACTGGTTTGAGAAAGCGCTGGTGCTGGACAGCGACAACGGCGACACCTGGGCTTGGTATTACAAGTTCCTGCTCCAGCATGGTACGGATGTAAGTGACCAGCTTGTCAACCTGACTTCCTGTTTCGTCAAGCTAACCATGTCCCAGGAAAAACGAGCGGACGTTGTTAACAAGTGCATCCTAAACGAGCCCCGTCATGGCGAATACTGGCAAGCCATTGCCAAGCACCCTAAGAACGCAAGGAAGGGGACGGAGGAGATTTTGAAACTTGTAGCTGATAGCATAGAGAAATAAGGGTGTGTAAACATACATGTATTGAATATTTCAGCCTCGATGATGGATGGGACAGGATCAGATCAACAGGTCGTCTGAGGCGCGCACATGGTATACCAACACGGAGTTGACTAAATATTGGGACAGCGAAAATTGAGTCAAAGTCATTAAAATTGATTCACATCATGATACTCGTAATCTTGAGCTGAATGAACCCGATGCTGTATGTCGCAAGCAATTCAACAGGTAAAAAAAAAACCCAAACCTTCAAAACACCATACAACAACATGCTGCTTATTTGCCGCCGAACCAGCTCGAGATGCCACTTTTAGCCTTCGCGGCGCCGTCTTCAACCTTCTTGTCGAATTGATCGACCTTCTTCAAAGCCTCAGCCTTCGCGTCCTTGGCGTAAGCCTCGACGTTGCTCTTGGTAACAGAGAATTGTCTGTCTGCCTCAGCGGCCTATCTCTGAGGTTAGTCTCGTCTCTCTATCCCTGCTTGGGTCAGAGCTGGCAAGTGACATACAGCAGAATCAAGCTTGGCGCCGGCGCGGGCACCCGCGTCACCGAAGCCTTTTTCAGCATCAGGAGTTCTACCGGGGAGATGCGACTTGATTTCTGCCGAAGCCTTGTGAACATCGCCTGCAACCGCCATATTTAGTTAACAGAATCGCTCTCAGGACATGTCGCTAGTGTAAGTTTGGGAAGATAGGCGTACTTTCGAACTTCTTCTCAGCGGCGTTGGGGTTGCCGCCAGCGTTGTAAAGGTAATAGCCAATGCCGCCGGCGGCGGTAAGACCGAGGAAGAGGGGAGCCTTAGACTTGGACATGATGTATGATAAATGTGTGTAGTGCTTGTGGCCCGAAGCTTGCAGACCTATAGGACGATAATGATGGTTGTCGAGATTGTGCACTGTGATTGATTGATGAGGAAGAGGTGGGAGAGGACAGCTTTTGTTACAAAGATGGATGGATGGATGGCACGATTTATTAGTGCTACCAGTTCACGGGCCCTGTAGGTATTAGCTGTTGCTATTGTCTCATTCGTCGTGTGAGTATTTCTGTGCGGTTACATCCTTCCCCTCCTGGCGTAATCGTACCAGTGACCTATCTGCCCGTCACCTGGGCAAGGTGTGAGCTCAAGCTGAGAAGCTCTGGCTAGCCGGTAAAGGTGTGAAGGATACATGACGTAGAGCAACATGGATGCGGGGAATGGAAAGTAGCTTCCCCAGCTAGTCTTGGCCGGGAGTCCCACAAGCACTGAGAGTACAGCACGCACAAGCCATTTCTTCAGAAGGTATGCAGCTATTACTTTCTGCCACACGTATGCAGTGTTCGTAAAGGTACCTTCTAGATTACTATTATAACGTGTATCCCAGACCTAGAGCGACCTCTACTGTGTCTTCAAGATCACCCTACAACTATCAACTCTTCAAGAATCAGCTGTTCCCAAAGAGGAACTTTTGGAAAGGTCAAGGCCTTCTTCCTCAGCCGACAGCGCGCCTTGGTCTGCAGCTTTACCCAGAGCAGTGACTTGCATAAGCGGCTTGTCTGAGCTGGCTGGCCCCGGCATGCAAGCTGACGACAAGGGGCCAAATGCTCGGCGAGAAAGCTGGGACATTACATCATCAACAGAGGACAGACACCCTGCCTCGTCCTGGCGTGACTGAGCTTGTGAACTGCCTCAGAGCCAGCCCAGATCCAGCCAGTTGGCCAAGCTTTCCACCCAAAAAAAAAGTTAACCTGAAAAAAAAAAAAAAAACAGGAACAACACGGTGCCGTGCTACTCCTGCGTCGCATACGCCTCGCCCTGTGCCACTTGCTAGGTTATGGCGGTCTAGCCCGTCACGCTAGACCTGGACGCGAGATTTCAATCGACTTTCCTGAATTCCTGGTTCTCTTCTCGAGTAGTTAGACATCCTCGTCAGCCTCATCATCTGCTACTTCGCAGTCCCTCTTTCTTTCTCAATCTCTTTACAGGCATCTGGATTTAACTCGGGCTAGTTTTCGACTCAACGTGATGGTTTGGTGAAGCGCAATTTCCTCCTTTGTGTTCGAACATCCTAATCTCTCCTTTCTCCGCCCTACATCAGTCGTCATCGATAACACGAGAAGCATCTTGAACCGCAACGAGCCCGGCGTCTGATTCCCCACACACATCTGCAGTACTCTGACAAGGGGTCCGGCATTCCCCGCGACCTTGTCTGTTCAAGACGGTATCGATACACGGGCTTCCTGCCATATTGCCATGCAAAGCTGTTCACATTAGCGATGCCCCCGTTCCGGAGTTCTCGTCGGGTTACCGGCTTAAAAGATAGTGACTACGACCATGAGATAAATTTAGTCAACCACGATGACCGCGTTGCCTCGCCGAGTATCGACACCATCGGCGAAGGTCGCCGCGCGTCGACGGGCTCAAGGCTACTTCGTGAGGAGGAGCAAGAGGATCATGAGACGATTGGGACGGTTGGAGCTCCCAATTGTGAGGTTGATGGTAATGATAATAGCAACGGCGATGCTACTTCCTCTCGAGAAGCAGTAAATCGAAAACCATCTCGGCAATCCCGTGCGAGAGAGCGGCCGAAAGTACCAGCATTAGGGCCCAGCATTACAGTGGACACTGGAGCGCCTTCAATTGAGGTCGAGCGTATGCCATTCTGACCTTGACGTCGTGATTGGATAAATCCCTGACATTGTTTTGTAGAGCCTACGCCGCACGAGACCTTAATGCCCGCTCTAGACGCCGTCCGGACAGGACGACCGGCCAAAGTAGAACGAGAATCTGCCATCGATGTACTATGGGAGAACGAGAGAGGTTGCATCTGCTGTGGTGTCGCTCTTTTCTCTGGTAAGGCCTTGGGCAACCTCGACCCGTCGCCGTGGACGAACCAATTTCACAAGACAAGCCCAACGACAACGAAGACAGCTCAAGTTCCTGATCCAACATGGGAGTGGGCATGGCCAGAATGGAGGATACACCGAGAAGAGGGAGTTGAGATGGATCAATTCGGATGGGAATACTCGTTTATGTTCTCCAAAAAGTTCTCCTGGCACGGGCCAAAGTGGTGGAACTCCTTCGTCCGCAGGAGAGCATGGGTTCGGAAGCGTGTTAAGAAGAAGCCCGAAGACATCTCCGAAGATCCGCACATGCTGAACTCTGACTACTTCACTGTCACGCCAGCCAATCACAGTCGTGCCTCTAGTGTAGCAGGGAGTCATCGAGAAAGCATCAGCAAGACAAGCGTACAGACGAGCGTTACGGAGGACAAGCCTCATATTGAGGACATTTGGACGCTTATGGCGGTTCTGCGAGCTTCGCGAATCGACCGAGAAAAGATCGAGGCTGTCGAGAACTACCTGGCACATTCCAAGGACAATCTGGAGCATTTGCAGGATGAAATGCACGACATAATGGGGATTTTTGTATTCCAAGCTTCAAGGAGGCTGCTGCTGAGTCGGTTGACCCAGATCTATGATGAAGCGGTCTCGACAGAAGGGGAACAGCATAAGTCGGATGAGCTGGAAACGAGAAAGAAACATCTTTCCGCAGCGATCAAACACGCGGACGAGGAAGTAAAAAGACTGTCGTATTGGAGCGATGTGAAGGGACTTGCAGAGAATGGCGAGGCTAAACACGCAGTGGAAGAGGGTAAAGGCTGGGATGAGAGCTGGCAAGGCGTGGATCAGAGCGGGCCAGCGCATGTGAACTCTGGTACCTTACCCGGCTCGCCAAAAAAGTAATAAGGATGGAGGTGGTCTATTCATTTCTTGTATACCCGTCTTTGCAAAAACACACTATCAGCTAGTTATTAAATTTGTATGGTTCACTGCAGACTCAGGCCCGAATAGGTGTACTGTGCTTGTCGTCAACAGCACACTGTACTTCCAGGCCATGCATATAGGTTCAGACGCGAGTCTGCAGGTGGCGCCTGCACGGACGGGGCCGGGATCAATCGGCGCGAAGTGGAAATTTCATCCAGCTGGCTTGCTACGTCGCTTTCTAAAGCTTTCCGACCTTTCAGATGTAAACTGCGAGCCCAGCATACAACATGGGCCACCAATAGCCAATGTCCCTGGGAATCGCGCAACTATGGAGAGCCCGATCCCACCGCATTGGTGTCTCTGGGATCTCTCTGATTCCCAGGGGTCCTCGAAGATGGTCTCGGGCACCTTCAACTCAGCTGCCATTCCTTTGTCGATGGACGCACGCGGCCTCCGGGTCTGCGGCAAAGCCGAACCCTGTTGAATCGACCCTTTCCCAAGACAGGACCGACTCAGAGAATACGGTAAATCGAGCGGGTTACGACGCCGCTACAGATGCGGCTGAAGCTGCGAGTCTGCCATCGGCTCGACGGACTGAAGAGGGGGAACAGACCACGAGCGCTGATCGGGCTCTCGAGACACGACTATTGGATTCAGAACCGTCGTCAACGTATGACGCTTCATTGCCTTTTAGCGCCCAGTTCGCTACATCGTCACTACGAGAAACACAACCTACTGCGACAGTTGGATACGGCCTGGCAGCGTCCGGCGACAAAGACCTCCGACACCGTCTAGCAGCACTGCGTAAAACACCAAGTACAACGAGCGTACGATATAGCTTGTCATCTAAAGGGAAAACAGCTCCATTCGAGCGTCTCAAAAGCAATCAAACCGATACATTCAAGGATACGCAAGGAGGCCAAATTGACGATGGCGCAAGCAAAACTACAGACGAACACCAACATAGTGCATTCAAGGATTTAGGCCAACGTCAAAGTGCACGACCGAAAAGGAGGGGTAGGAAGGTGGAAACACATGCGGTACAGCTACAGCCAGATTCAGTTCTCGTTCCAACCCCTGTCAAGTACGGAGACACTCGTGAGACCTTGAAAAGCCTCAACCGATATCATCGGAGTCTGACCAGGCAACTACGACTGGAGGCCATCCGACGTATTAAGCATGAACCTGTCACGAACTGGCGCGCTACGTTAGACATTTTGCGATTACAAACTCGCTCGCTCAGGGGGCCCTGGCAAGAGCATGGCCGTAGGGTTTCGATTTCGGCAGAGCTTGCAGAGGTGCTGCTTTATGATCCCGACCATACCATTTGGGATATTCACGAGAAGACCCGATGCCATATCGAGCTTCATTCGTTCAGGGATAACAGCAAAGAAGGTGCGCCAGACGTAGTGTATTTGCTGCTCTCAGGAGACGATGAGGCTCTGGATCATGCGATTGAGGAATTCACCCGACTTGCTACAAAATCTGACAGCAAAATGAGCGTTGAGGGGGTTATTGGTAGCAGTTTATCAGGACCTGGTTCTTCGGAGGTGGTTACAACGAATGTTGAGATGACATGGTACAGTTCCAGAAAGTCTCAGCGGCCTTCGAACATGCCTGCGTACGCACTGAATCGGAAATATGAGGAGATCTCCAAGCCAAAGGAATGGACTCGTCAAACATTCGAGGCCTACGTCGCGGCCATTACGAACGCCGCGCTTCCTGCGCGTCTCGCGCACAAGCTTTATGGCTCGGGAGTCGCCGCAAACAATGCAGCCCTCGCACTTCTACACGCCGCCTTTGAAGATCCACTTGCGCGATCCTCGTTGTCGACTCGAGCATTTAAAGTGGCCTTGCGATTTATGGAGTTGCACGGTCATTCATACCGCAACCACGCCCGTGACTTGTTCAACAACATGGAGAAATTCCGTTTGCCTATGGATACCGGCGTCTTCAACATACTTTTGGAAGGCACCGTCAAGGTCAAAGACCTACACAACTTCGACACCGTAGTGAAAATGATGATGCGTCATGGCTGCCTACCAAACACAGAGACCTGGTCGTTGTTCCTTCAGATGATGGAAAATGAGCAGGTGCGGCGTCACATCATCAAGATCATGCACTCCTGTGGCCTTCTCATTGAACCCAATACCGTACAGCTAGTTGCCAGGGATCTAGTTGTTTACGACGTTCGTGAACATCAACCCAGATGGACCGGAATTCATGAATTTCTTCAGTGTCAGAACGCCAAGTATGGCAAGAACTGGGTTTCACTTGCGGCTATGAACAAGATTATGAACGAACTTGGGCGAATGGGTCACCTCGACTCCTGCCGCGACCTATTTGATATCATGGCCAATGTGCCCACTACTACTCCAACCGTACTAACCATCAAGTCCCTCCTCTATCATGCACGACTTCAGCGCAAACTGGCACCAGCTATCGCCGTACTGGAAAGGGCGCACCGATGCAGAGTACGGCTTGACGAAGACTGCTATCACGAGCTGTTCCGCCTGGTATTGACGCTCCGCAAGCCCAACATGATGGGTATCGTCTGGCGCCTTGCCTGCATCGAAGGCCGCGCTTCTTGGCATATGCGCAGTCGCGTCTCGAACTTAATGTATCCGGAAAATGTCTCTAGAAACCCACCTGAGCTACCTGCTCTGCCCGCCTTCCACCAACCAGACATGCTTCCCGAAATACAAAAGATCCGGTCCAGCCATACAGGTACCAAGATAGGTACTCTTCTGTACGATCGTTACAGAGACTGGCGTCCTGAGGTACCGCTTCACGAGCTTTTGGGCCGCGCGTGGGAGGCCGACAACAAAATATATGAGGCAGTCAAACAGGCCAAGGAAAACAAACGGCAGCTGCAGGTAAAGGAGCAAAGCGAGACAACGCCTTCTGATGCAACAGAGCTTCCAGCTCCAGCAGCCGCTCCAACCCTTCATAAGGTTACCGTTCCAGGCATCCCGCTCATCCTCCGTCGCAAGTCCTGGGACTCTGGGAGAAAGAAGCTTGAGCGTGTTCAGCTAGGAATGACCATCACGCACATCGCCCCTGCAAATTATCAGCCCCAGGGCGACGACGACGCTGCGCCATCGCTGGACTAAGACACGGTTGACGAAGGCCAGAAAGTTTTGCGCTTCCGGAATTACTATCGCGCTGTCGGTCTCTCCAGAAATTTTTGTACAACATTATCTTTGCTAGCTAGAAATACCCATAGACCATGTATAAACTATATCTTCTGCCTCCATAATCCTCTCCCTGATACTCTCGTTCCAATATGCTGTCAATAGTTCATGTAGGCCCTTGGGCAATTAGCAATACCTGCCATCAGCAGCGGTATAGTTCAATCCAATATATATATATATATATATATATATATATATATATATATGTTATTGGAAATGGCGTTCTTGAAATTCGACTCAGGCCTAGACCTACACCACAGTTGACGACAAGTCGGAAATTAACTTCGCTTGGTAAAGAGGTAAATAATGCCATTATATCCATTTTCTCTCCTCCTCGGTCTAACATTGAGCTCTAGCAATCACTCGGTCCGCGGAAAATTCAAAGTAAAGGTTTTAAGATGGTTTATGCAACTGAATCCATGAGGAAGGCGTGCTATTTAGGTGTACCGCAAAGGCAACCCGGCTACAGCACGTATGGAGGAGAGCCTCTGCCACATACAGCTGTGGCCAGTCCTCTTCTCCCTGCCTCGGCAGCTTGCTCTCCTCCCTTATCACGATTCTGACAAAAAAAGGCCCGGACACCCAACATGATGAAGAAAACAACAGGAAACATTCAGTCATCCATCCCAGCCAAGCCGTATAAAGTCTCTCTTGCTCTCTTGTCATACGGAACCGTATCCATCCGATCCGGTCCAATCCAGCATGCTCATCCATACTATTCGTCAGTGGGAAAAAAGGTCGTCATCGACAGCATTCGCCTTGCTGAGCTCATTTCTCCTTGCTCTCGGTCTTCTGCGGTTCCGTAGACTCAGAGGTTACGGCAGCCTTTGACTCCTCCTTGGACTTATCTGCGCTTGTCTTGCTCTCCTCCTGCTGCTTGGTCGAGTCCTCCGCAGCACTATCCTTGCTTGTGGTCGAGGTGGCCTTTGAAACCTGGCTTTCGAGATCCTTGTCCTCCTCCGCGTTGTCGAACATCTCCGTGTCGTCAGAATCAGTCAGGACCTCGGTACCGTCGCCGAGGAAGATAATACGGCCCTTGTAACCGCCAATGCCAAAAGGCTTGCCCTTGTTCTCCAAGTCCACGTCATAGCCGCTGTCGCTGTCGTCAAAGTTGTGGTGAACTCCGGGACCACGGAATTCAGCTAGTTGCACGGGATGGATCAGCTCTCCTCCTTGGAAAAAGAAAAATGGGACACGAAACAAATGGGTGGCGGATGTGGGGAGCAATATGGTTGTATTAAGGGGGGAGAGAGCGAGGGTGCAACTCGATGCGGATGGAGATGTTGGCGGTGTGTCCAACGGCTTAGGATGAGGTGGATTCAGTCGTACCATATTCGGGAGGGGCGCAAGGTCCGTCTCCAGCAGCAACCCGTCTGGCAACCTCCTCATACCATTCCTCCTTAGACTTGCCGCGCAGAAGGCCGATAATGACCATGGTCATGTTATCGCAACCGACGCCACCAGTCTCCGAGTTGGAAGCCAAACAGTTGTCCATCATGTTCTCACAGATCTTGTCCAGATCCTGCTTGGCCGCAATGCCACGTCGAACGAACTCAACAACCGCCTGGGATGACTGACAATCCCAAATTCCTACAAAATATCAGCACTCTATCAACGCGTCTGCGTCTCGGGACGACGAATAGTATCTTACCGTCACAAGCAATGACCAAAAACTCATCGTCGTCGGTGATTTCGTGGACTTCGACATCGGGGAACGCGGTAACGATCTGAGCCTCGGGGGAGAGCTCTGCGCTCTTCTTGAACTCGAAATCACCAATAGCACGCGATAGGGCCAAGTTGCCATTGACACGGCCAAAATCAACGAAGCCACCGGCGGCTGTAATACGGGATTTTTCGGCTGTTTCGTAGACTGTTAGCCACAATTCCTCAACCAGCGCAGGTGCACTAATAGATAATCACCTTCAAGCTGAGGCTTGTGGTCCTGGGACAAGGGCTTAGCTCGTCCCTTGATACCAAGGACACTTCTCGAATCGCCAGCATTTGCCTGATTTCCATTGTGGTTGGTAAGTGGAACCAAATAATGTTGTGTCGGCAAGCATAAGCAAACTTACAACGTAAATCTTGTTGTCAGAGATCAGGCCAACGCAAGCGGTGCAACCAGAAACCTCCTCCTCATATTTGGGATCTGAATCACCAACCAAACATTAGCTCATATGTCCAAGGAAGTTGCTATGATGACTCTGGTCTCTAGCCAGAAATGCGACCCCGGGAAAGTGTGAGGACTGCACAAGTCAAGAATTACCGTTGAGAATCGCGCGATCCGTTGCGAGGAAGCCATCCTTCAACGCCTGCTCGTAGTTGCCCTTCTTGAAGGTCTCCTGCTTCTTGATGATGTCGTGAATGTGCTCTCCAGCAAATAAGGCCACTTTGTCACCGCCGTGTCCGTCAAAGACTCCAAAAAAGGAGAGTTTGGAGTCGTGCTTCTTGGCTTCGTCGCTTCCGGGGGTAAGGAGGTCGAGGACGGTAGTGTGAGCATCCTCCATACTTATGCGCCAACCCTGCATGGCCGACACACCGTAGAGGAGGCGTTCATCTTCACCCTTGGCCGAGTTCTGAGGTTTTGTCACCAAGGTTAGTGAGGCGGTTCACTTGGGGTGCAGGTACGTCATCGCGGGAGGACACATCGACCAAAATAGGACACAAGCCACAACTTCATGTCCCTCGCCCGCACAGAATATCACGTTCGTGAGCGGGGTCGGAGTGACCCCCGGGGCTGCGATGAGAGGGGAGAAGAAAGACAGGTGCAAAGAAAAAGCAGGTCGCAAAAGCGAGGACAAGGGCACATTGGTAATAGAAGCAGAGCCTCATGTAGGCGCAGCAGTGGCAGATCATTACATACCTTCTCGACAACGGGTTCGGAGAGAGTTTGACCCATGATGGATGCAATTTGTCGGCAGCACAGCTACCGGGAGGAGATGTATCGGTCGGACAATTTCCTGGTGTTGGGAGGGTCGAAATCGTGAGAGGGAAGAATTTTCAAAGCCGTTCGTGGGTGGTGCGCAGGAAAGGCTTGGAAAAAGAGGCGAGGCGAAGAAGGTGGTGCCGTTGGTGGTGCGGTAGCAAAAGGTTCTAGATCGCGCACAATAGGCAGGAAGCGGGGTATCCGAATCGCAGGGAAGTAATAGCAGGGGGACAGTCGGCGATCCTCAAGACTGTTGAGGTCCAGAGGAAGAGGGGGATAAGAAGTCGGAGGATTTGGCAGTTGCGCGAAAAGACGAGGTTTCGCGGGAGGGGGGAGAAGATGAAGGGGGAAGGGGGGAAAGGCAACCAAACTCAATCGTAGCTTGGTGGGTGAGGTTGTGAGCAAGAAGAGTTTTCCCACACGGTTGGGTGGTGAAGGTCGCGTGTGGCTCGGGGGAGTTGTTGTGCGATACGGAAGGCGCAAGCAACACTTGCAGGCACAGGCCAGCGCTGGGGGCAGGAAGTTGGTTGCTGACTCTACAGAGTACCTACCTATGGCAGAGAGGGTACGTACCCATTATTTAGGTGACCTCAGAAATCAAACCCGTACTAAGACCAGGGGAGGTAAGGTCAGGCAAGTGGAGGTAAGGAAAGGACCAGTCCGGTAGGCGTAATCCGTTGGAAGGTACGGAGTATCCGTAGGCGCTATGGAGACCTTGCTTAAGGCACGCAGTTGAGAGGTGAGGCAAGGTAGCAAGCATACTGCTGCGTATGTCTCCATGGGCTGGGACGACTGCGAGAGTTGAACTGAGGTGGCCTTGTCGCTGCCGAGACCGTCGCCTCCACCGCTTGCACCGACAAACAACAGCCAGAAGTCACCTTACGGAGGGGTCGGTTGACAAGACTGCAATTGCAGGGAGCCCGCTGAAAGACATAGAGAGATGGTGAGAGCATATCATGTCAAGTGAAGCAAGTATTGGCCCCAGGGAACTACTCTAGGCGACAAAAAATTTGTCTTTTCATCTAGAGTCCTTAGCTATGTGTTTTTTGGGCTCAAGTTGTGACTCCCATATGCCCCAGTCAACACCTGGCAACAGCTAGCCAATGGCACACAGGAATGCACGTACTGGAACCGCGGCATGGGTAATACCGTCATCTTCGAGGACTCACACCATACAAAGACTTTGCCTGCTGTACGAATGCCATTCTCAATCCCTGCTGGAAGTAGACGAATCTTTCTCGCAGTGACATTAATGCCCCTGCCTTTTGCTATACCCAAGTAGGAATTATACCATGCCTACTATTCACCTGTCAAGGTTATTGTGGTTCATTTTCATGAAGTATAACGTCAGTCTGCTTCGGCGACCTCGCCTCTCATCCCACCTGGAAAACATCATCGTTAATAGGCCCGTGTTTTTTCGCGGGAACACAGACTTCCGTCATCGTGTTTAACGAAGCCCGCCCAAGCCATCCTACCCACCTGCCATATCGACTGCACGGTGCTTCTGCAAGGTCCCCCTCCCGCCCCTCTCTCTTACGAAAAAGTTCCCATCCCCCTCTTCTTCTATTGACTCTCCCCGAACGAGCTAGGACCTAGGAGTAGAACGACTCGGGGGGATTGGGGTCCAAGCTCTCTTCCGTTCTCACTCTTCTAGTCGGCAAATCCATCCCAACCAAACCGACCTAGAGATGCCATCCCCCCAATGTCCTAGTCGGCCGACCCCCAACGTCCTGTACAGTCAACCCCCGAATAGCCTAACAGTGGGGGTTCCTTTCTGGGGCGCGGGCGCTAATCGCCTAAACTGTGGCTGAGCCCCCGCCATCGGGCAAGTCGGCGGAATGTGCGCCAACAGCTTCCCCACAAGGCCCTTTTCAAGCCTTTCGAGCCCTGTCCAGGATAAGAGCACAGACTCATTTTGCTTAAACGGAGTGAGGGGAGAAAAGGGGTCCATGGGAATTACTATGGCCATTTACCAGTCTAACTTTTATGACATCGTCAATTCAAAATTACAGTCTCAAACATGTTGGGGTGTTAATTGATGCAGTATTTATCCCGGTTTGTAACCAACACTCTTTCCCATCCTACAAATTACTACATCGCCGCTTATGGCGGCAGACCTAAACTACAGATAAACACAGAGCCACGGTCGCTCGGTGGGTATAAGAAATCGCAACGCTTCCAAATGAGCGGACGGGCGTTGACAGATTGCCCCTTCACATGAATACACGAAAGTCCTCGCTGCTGTCCAGTCGACTCCGAGGTCCCTTCTTCCCCACAGTCCCCGCCTCAGTTACCCAGTCAGAGTTGTCCGACTCATGGCCTGGGGAATATCGGGCAAGCGCTTTCCCTTTACCCAGCACTCCGCTGCTCGCCTGTGAAGGTGCGTAGCCAGAACGGCTGCCCGTAATGCCCTTGTCGGCCGAAGAGTTCCTGCTCCAGTGGTCTGTTGACTTGGCATTGGAACCAAATGACATTCCCTGCGATAAGGGTGCCTGGTTTGCAGACCGGCCCTCCCTGGAGTATCCTGGCCCGCTGGAGGAGTCCTTTTTTATTATACTGAGAGGCCGAGGAGAGAGTGACGATGATGTGCGCTTTAAGTACGGTGAATTTTGAGACAACTCAGTGTAAGCAATACCAAGGGAATCTCTCGGGATTGTCCGCCAATTCTCCGTCCCCTTGTTCGACTCCAGCGAGTCTGAATCGCTGTCCAGGTGGTACCGACTGCGAGACGGCATGACCGAGCGCCCTGCAAAAAACGGGCTGGAATCGGATTTCCTACTGATGGGGCGAGCCACCGATCCCGACCACGACCCCAGCTGCGAATCTTGCCGCCCAAACCTGCCTCTCCCTGATCCTGACCGCGAGCTGCGAAGACTGTTCTGTGACCTAGGGTCACTCGCCATATTGAACGTCTGTCTAGTCCTCTGAGCAGGCGACAAACGGTTTCCATGTGTGGGATTCGATCCCAATGGTGTTGGCTGTTCAGGGATAGAAGCCAGACTATCAGAATGAGATATGCCGCCGGATGTTGGCATGGACCGGTCGAGAGCCAGTCTGGAGGGGTCCCGCCATGGGTTTGTGTAGGCCAAATCAGGCGTTGCCTGAATGCTGCTTGCTTCATCCTCCATGGAGGGGATGCTGACATCCAGTACATTTCGGTATGACTCCTCTTGCTGATGCCGTTGGAAGTCGGAAGACGCAAAAGGCACATCATCCGGCCTATCATAAGTGGTCGCCAAAGGGTGGTTCGCATGTTGTGGTTGGAAATAGACGCCATCACTGAGCCAAGATGAACCAAAAGGAGGAGTTTGCATGCTTCTGTCGCTCCGAGATCTGCGCCAAAGGGATGAAGTGCGATGGATTGACTGGGAAATGCGGGAGCCAGTAATGGTTGAAAGTGTCCTCGATTGCCTTGTCCTCGCTATGGCAGAGTTCCAATATCCTCGACTACGTCGGTTCTTCTCGGGCTTGATGATCTCAACGATGGAATGGTCGGATGTGTCTCTACTATGCCTACTGCCGTTCCAAACAAAGGTACCAGGTATGGGCTCCGATATCTCTCGTTTCTTCTGTTCGTGTAGGGATATAGAGAGCCGTTGCTTTCTCCGTCGGCAATAGATGATCAGAAGCACCATGGTGAATAAGAAGAGCAGGGGTAAGAGTACTGCCAGCGCAATAAGCCCAGAATTCAATCCCTTTCTTGAATTGCCGCTCACTGCCGACTTCGTTGGACTGGCAGACGGAGTCGGGTCTGCTGGAGTGGTTGCAACAACCGACAAAATCCTGAAGTCTGCAGCAACTGTCTCAGATTGTCCAGAGCTCTTCGAGGTTGCCTTGACAAGAAGTTTGGTGTTCTGGGCTAATGCAGATCTGGGAACAGTCCCTGAAATAGTGAGCCCATCTATCTTGACCCAGTCTTGAGAGTTGCTTAGCTCAAGATCTATGTCTGATGGGGTCCAAAGGTAAGGATTGACGTTGAACGAGAAATCCTTGCCTGGTGTAACTTCGAATTGAAGCTTGGTTTCTCGGAAAATGCGCGTCGCAACTGAAACGGATAAGAGAATATCAAGAGTGTCGGCGTATATGTCTCGGAACGTAATGGTAGAGTTTGATGATCGAGCGTCATCAGGAGGTGTACCCTCAACCACAAGTGTCGTATTATCGACCGAGAGCCAGCTCGGTAGTTCAGAAGTGGAAATGTTCAGCTCAGTCGGTACAACCGGTTTCCCGTCCAGTTTAATGCTGTCTGCCAGCTTCTCGTAGAGCACCTTTGACCCGTGCGTTGCGTTGATTTCGATGACTGGCGTATCTGTTGTCAATCTATGGGCGCCGACAACAATGGAAAACAAAAGTGAAGCAGCCGAAAAACCTATGATGTCGGACCCAACCAAATTAAAATCGAATTTTTGAGGAGGCTGAACCAAAGACTCAAAAGGTGGAGTTGTTCCGGTGAATGTGAGGTTTCCGGCGTCAAATTTGATCCAGGAAGGCAAAGGGCTATTGTCTGCTGAGGTGGCATAGTAGTTGATACCGTCTCCAGTATAAGAAAATGTGTCCTTGGCGAAAGAGAAGGAGAAATCAGACGCGGGATAGGCTACAACAGCAGATGGCGAAGATACTTCGCCTATTTGTCGAATTTGCTCTGATAATGGTATTTGGACCTTTGGCGCCGGGTTTCTAGTCACTACCAACGTGGCTGTCATTGTTGTCGAACCAGAGTCGTCGGTCGCAATGATGTCCACCGGTATTCCGACTACTTGGCCGGGGGCCACATCGGCGTCTTGAGGCGTTCCGGAAAGACGTCCCGTGCTGGAATCGATAGAGAGCCATTTTGGCGCGTCTTTTAAGCTATACGAAATTCGTGACTGCGATGCAAAAGTTTGCGGCGAAAGAGTGTAAGAAAACGGCTCAGATATCCTCGTTGCAGGTGGAAGCTGAGAGTTGAAGGGAAAGTAAACGACCGGTATTGCTCCTGTAAGCGCAGCTAGACATAGGAGCACCCACAACATCCCAAATGAAGCCATAACTGATGGGATGAATGAGAAGACTGGCATCTACGAGCCAGAGAAGCGGAAAACAAAAACAAAATCAACGAAAGAAAAGTCATGGCAAAAGAAGGCCATCTCTGTAGAAACGGAAGAAGCATAGGACTATACCCTTCGATCGGCGCGAATACCGTTGCCATGGGCTCCTGTATCCCGGTGTTGAACGCATCCCTTCATGCCAGTGGTCGCGCCCCTCGCCAACGAGTCGCGAGAGTGCGCGCGTCTCGTATACTGCCATTGCCCTCTCATGTGGTTTAGTAGGGACGCTTGCCCAGTCGACTACCCTACAAGGACAAGAACGGTGACCGTTTCAGAGTGATGTGGGCTGGATTGCCATGGGTACTAGGAGGCTCAGATGAGAAATACTCAAGGGTTTGCATTCCAGCAGTGGGTTGAAGGGCTAAAGAGTGTGCCATAAAGGGCTGCATCTCGAAGGTCAGAGGGAGGCGGGATAAGACATCCCCCCACCCGTACGGTCGCCTCCGCGATGCGCGGAATGCAATTCTGCGTCTAATGAGTAACCTGAGCACTTCTAAGGAAGGCCACTCAATAGTATTAAGCCCGTCAATGATAAAGCCCAATAATTATGCTCTATTTCATCAAGTTTGAGACATAAAAGATGCACCTAACCTCCGGGGACGGAAGGTTGGAGGATTGTGGTGTTATGTAAGCAGCCAGAGAAACGGAGATGGCGACAACGGCGACCCTTCTCAGGCTTGATTCTACGCTTAACTGGGGTTGAATATCAGCGTGTTGATAATCATCACATGGGGGAAGGCGATATGGAGGAACAAACTGGACGGGGAAAGCACATAGCGTGTTGCATGGATAGAACGGGACCAAAGTCGGGGCAACCCCGCTTGAGGCAAATCGCACCTCCCCTTATCGGAAAGTCTAGATTGTCGTGGGCGTAAGAAAAAAAAAAGTACCGTCAACGCCAGCGATACCGCTCTTTTCTGCCTCTTCGATCTGCCACACCAAAAAAAACACCTGTTTGAAGATAAACTGACATCTCCCGGCCTGCTGTACAAATTTGCCTTAAAAACGCCCGACTTACCTTTTCCAGCACCTGTGCTTACCCAAAAACACAATAGCATTATGAGAATTCTCAACAACCCTCTCATACCAGAGCAGATGGAGTCCGCCGAGCGTTCTCCCTCTCCTGAGTTCTCGCCCTTGGCGATCGGCGAAGATCTCACCCCGCTGCCCGCCTACAAAGCTGCACAAACCTCATCTTTTGATATCTTCGGTCTTCTTTCAACTCCGCTAAAACTTCACGAGGATCTTAAGTCAGGATGTGGTGGGCAAACATGGCCCGCAGGCATGGTGCTGGCAAAGCACATGCTACGTTACCATCGGACAGCTCTGACAGGAGCAAGAATGTCAGTGACCATCACTACGCTCGCCATATTTGGTTCCCCATATCTTCGACCCATGTGTTACCTCGCGACTTATTGCAACTGCTGCAATACATGGATTCACAGCAACCCAAGTGCATGATCATGTGAGAGAACATATGAAAACATGAAGTTGGGCTGACTCATCGCTTTTCGGAGCAAACAGATTAGAGTTGGGAGCTGGCGGCGGATTGGTTGGTTTGGCTGTCGCGTTGGGTTGTGAGCTGCAGCAGACGCCTCTGTACCTGACAGACCAGGACGAAATGTTCGAACTCATGGGGAAAAATACCAAGCTGAACAGCCTTGACGACAAAGTTAAGCCTCTGGTCCTGAACTGGTACGTAATTTCCTTCCTGATTGCCCAATTCAAGCCGTGCGCATCCTTCCACCAAGTCTTTAACCCCAAGACTTGGGCGGGGTGGTAGCTGAGAGCACAGAACGCGGCCAGGACGCTTGACGGTTATTAATGGCAAAAATCACACACAACTCTCGCATGTGGATGCTGCGTGGCGCTGTAATGCACAAGTCCACGCACAATCCGACTGAGTATGCACTTCAGCTGATGAGTGGGTGACTAATAAATGACATAGGGGCGAACCGCTATCACAGGAAGTTGTTGACTTTAAGCCGAATGTCATTCTTGCAGCCGATTGCGTATACTTCGAGCCGGCCTTCCCACTACTGCTGGAGACGTTGTCCAACTTGCTGGTCCTGGAACCGGACGCGACAATCTATTTTTGCTTCAAGAAGAGGAGACGTGCTGACATGCAATTCCTCAAAAAAGCACAAAAGTCGTTCAAGGTAACGGAAATTATCGATGAAGATCGACCGGTGTTCAGCAGGGAGGGCTTGTTTTTGTACACTTTTGCCAGTAAAAAGCCGACAGGTACGCAACAGTAGTCAGTGGTAACTTGCAGTTAGTTAGTGGCAAATCGGTTTCTTGTTGGGTTGGGCTGCGCCAGACGCCAGTTGCGAGGGATGTGAGTGAAGCATGGAATTGGATCCCATGCTCCTAGCAGTCCACCATACCCAACATTGCCTCAATGTTGGAACTTGGAGGACCTCTTCTCCCAAGTCAAGAGCCGGAGCGGGCACCCGAAATTGTATGCTGCTGGCGAAGTGCCTGGCAGTGTATCGAGAAGGTGATAGGAGGGAAAGCTCGATAATTGTTTCTCTTTACGTGCCTGTTTTGTTAGGTGGAATTACTGACAAAGTCCGGGATCACTCGTGCGCTGTTACACGTGAGTAATATAAGAGGTGCGGAGGGAGATCAACGGCATAGAACGCGGAGGCAACAATAAACTAATCGAGTTATCATCTAATTATCAATCAACCCATCCATGCATGTACTACTAGTTGCTAGGACCGCTCTGCGTCGATCGACAGACATGGCGGGGACCTGAGCGGAAGACGAAAAAGTGAAAGCCAGTCCCTGAGGCGCCGTCAGAATATTGTCCCCACAATGCTCGCCCAAGTAATAGAGAGATAGTGTGTGTGCGAGTGTGTGTGTGTGTGTGTGTGTGTGTGTGTGTGTGTGTGTGTGTGTGTGTGTGTGTGTGTGTGTGTGTGTATGGATTTCAGGTTCACGCTCAGAACTGATTAAACGAGGTCATCGACGACGTAAGACGTTCTTCGCCTTTCGCCCCTCCGTATTTCTGCAAGCCATTAACGACTCGAGCAGGTGGCCGAATGAGATGCAAAGTAGGGAGGGGGAAGACAAAAGAAAGAAAGAAAGAAAAAAATGCGTCTTTTTTTCTCCCTTCGACGTGGCACCCAACCAACGTGTCAGAGTGTCCACCGAACTACTGCAGGTTTGCAAGCCAGAACTATTAATGGGTGAACAATAGTACAGATGCTGGCGGTTGAGTCGCGAGGCATACTGATGTGGTATTGCCTGAATTGCCTGATCATCCGGGATCTTAGTTGGGTAAGGGGGGGTGGGCTGTGAGGGTTGCTCTGGGAGGGGGGCAGACATAGGACAGGCTGCGATTGGTGGGTACCTTGCAGCTGCAAGGAACCCGCCGGTTGAGTCTGGCTGTCTGGACCAGCTCGAGCGTCGCCTTGTTCACTCCAGCCGTTGTGGCATTGCTCTTCGATTATTATCCCCTCTCTCTTTTGTCCTCTGCCTTAGGTACCGCTGGGGTTTGGTGCCACGCCTTAAAAATCTTTCCTTGACGGCACTTCACGCTGTCGACTAATGTTTATTTTCTTATTCACATATTTTCCAGGCGAACCGTCTGTTCAAAGCCGCTGCATTGCAGTCGTCAAAGCGTTGCCATTAGCCACTGGAAGTCTTCGCCAGCGCGGCAACTACCCTTGATGAAAGGGAGACGAGGTAACGGACAGCCAGTAGAAGAAGACACAGACGCAGGCCTCACGGCATTTCATGATGGAAATGTACTGCATGTGCATAGAAGTTGGCGACTTCCAAGTGTGTACCCTGTCATGTCTTCCACAGCCACCGGCTGATCGTCATTCTTTTGTTTCCAGGATTCCCGGACAGTGGCATGGGATGAAGAAACGACGTTCGGACCACGACCCCTGCCCATTTTGGGACATGGGAGTCCTCTTCCCAGTTTCCGCATGTTTCAAGCACTAGGACATGTCCGACGGTCCATCCAATCATCATATGCTGGGAATGGAAACGAGATAATATTTTGACGAGAGCTGGGAATGAGGCAGAGTGTTAAGCACTAGGAGATGAGGTGAAGGGCCGTTAGCCGTGCCGTCAGCCGCGCTGAGTAGCAAAAGCAAAGCAACCAGCAACGACCAGCCTTGAAGTATCCTGAGTGCAACAGCTGACAGACGCATGTGATAATCTCAACTCACCATGCCAGCTGCTGAAGGGTCCAATGCCCCGGTTCAATTTTCGTCATATGTTGATATATATATATATATATATATATTTACCGTTCTTAAGTCCACGGAAGCAGCCTCGCTGCCCACTTCGCGAGTCCCACCCACAATCTTCAGACACATACTCCGTAGTGTTCGCCTCTTTCCATTCATTCCCTTCTCTCAATGCATCGTTGCCGACTCACTAAATTCACTAAAACCACTGGCGGGTTGCGTTTCCTCAGCATCCACTGGTATTAAGTTGCAGTAGGTCTTCCTGGCTACTTCCCCAAGGTCAGGTTTGGGGTCTCGCTGGCAACCATCCAGCCACCCCCCTAAGTGGATCATTCAAGCCCTAGAAGGCAGAACTCCCAATGGCCCGTCCAAAGCACGTCGATTTTTTTTTTCTTCGCTGGGAGGATTCTGTTGGCATGTTTGGTGCCAACAATGCCAGTCTAGAGCGGCCGGGCTTGCACTAGGGCAATCCAACGGGTTACTTTCGCCCCCTGAACTTGCTTCTTTCGTGTTGGTACGTTCTTTTTTCGGACCTCCAGTACCCAACGGCCCAGTAACGAGAGCCCGTCAAGGCAGAGATACTGCCTTGGCTGGAGGTTGCAGGGACGGTAACCACTGCTGAATCCTTGCTTCCACGCCATCGCACCGCCCCACTCTTCTTTTTATTCCCTCTCGGGGCTTTTGCAACTTTTGCAATCGCTGGCACCCAGGCACACCCGGCACCTTGCGGCGTGGTTCAGGATTTTCAGGTACTTCTCCGTTGTGTAGCACGGCCAATGAGCGCTGAGTGACTCAGTCTCCACGTAGCCGTCAGCACTGCAGCACCTGCAGGCCTCCACTTCTCACGCCCCCGAGCCCCCCCCGTTCCGCCCCTAACCCAGTCTCGCCAGTCCCGAACTGGCTTCTCTCTTGAGTTGCGTCGTCCGTTTGGTACTTCGTATGGTCCATGAAAGTGGTCTGGGATACTGCATACAAATCCAGCCAACCTCCACTTCCCAGATCGCTCATCTTCTAGATTTCTGTTTTCCTTCCTTTCCATCCAACAACACGCTCCCTCTTGTTCGACCACACACTCCATTCATTCATTCCTTCGTCCTGGACACCCCTGAGCAGTGCTCGACCGACTTCCAGTCCAATCCAACCATTCATTCCTTCAGACTGTCTCGAGGCTTCATCCAAACGACCTACCAAACCACCAAACGGATTCATCCAGTCTGTCGCAAGAGAGTTCAGTGAACTCCTTTCATCCCATCTTTACGACCCCCTTGCCAACAAGCTACTTGGTGCATACCAAAGCGTGCCCCGAGCTTCTGCCATCAACTGTGTGCCTGTTAGGTTTCACACGCTCCCGCAAGCACATTCCCTGAACCAGAGGCTCGGCCCATTGCATTCATTTCGCTTCGAACTCAGCCTTAACGGAGGAGAAGATCATCACTTACAGGGAGACCATATATAAGCCTCCTGACCAACAAGACACCATCTCAACATATCAACCGCAACCGACTTCAAGATGAAGACCACTGCTCTCCTTTGCGCCGTCTTGGCCACTGCTGCCATCGCCCAGCCCCACCAGCATGGAAACAAGAAGCGCCATGTCCATGGCCAGCACCAGAAGCGTAACGTCGTTACCGAGTGGGTTACCGAGACTGCCTACGTGACCGAGTGGATCGACGCAACCACCACCGTCTGGGTCGGTCCCGAGGGCTCTGCCACTTCCGCCCTTTCCTCTACCACCTCTGCGCCCGCTCAGTTCTTTGAACCCGCCAACCAGCCGTCCTACAGCACGCTGTCCACTTCCACGAAGGCTGTTGCTCCTCCTGCCCAGGAATCCAGCAAGCAAGCTCCCCCTCCCGCTCCTGAGCCCAGCACCAGCTCCGTCCCTCCGCCGGCTCCCCAGACCCCGACTCCTACTCCTACGCCCGAGGTCCCGACCCCCCCACCTGCTCCTGTGCCTACCACTACCTCTGTCTATGTTCCTCCCCCTCCTGCTGCCACGTCTACCACCCCTCAGGCCGCGCCCAGTAGCCCCTCAAGCGGCGGCGGTGACTCTCACAAGGGTGACCTGACGTACTACGCTGTCGGTTTGGGCGCCTGCGGTGAGGATGACAGCGGCAAAGACAGGACCGACAACATCGTCGCCATCTCTCACCTTGTGATGGGCGCTCAGTCTAACGGCAACCCGTATTGCGGCCGTAAGGTCAAGATCACCGTTAATGGCAAGAGCACCACCGCCACCGTCCGCGACAAGTGCATGGGCTGTGCCGCCGATGACATTGATGTTAGCGAGAAGTGCTTCCTCGAGATGTTTGACAGTCTCGGCGTCGGTCGCCAGACTGTTGAGTGGTCCTTCATCAACTAAGCTCGCTGCCGGCAGCTTCTCTCAGTCCAGTCTCAATCACGGCCGTCAGGGGTTCTCTTTCTCTTCTAGTGGTCGCGCCTCAATCGCCTTCCGCCCGCCATGCCCGTTTCCCAAGTGGAAGCGACGCACCGGTCAGGTTTACTCTATCTCTACAATGATGGGTCCAATCTACTGGCCAGCCTTTTTTCTCACACAATTCTTGAATAACAAAAACTTGGTTATATATACCCCAGTAAAGGGACGGCGCCTGGTTCAACAGTACGGGACTGGATTGGATTAAGAAAGGAACAGGAAAACAAGACTGGGCACACCAGTTCTTGAATGACGTGATGACCATTATCTCTATACCCGTGGATGTGAATTACCCCGATCCTTTCTTGGGAGTTCCCATCTAGGGCGCACAACATCTGGTGTTATGTTTTTTTGGATTGTCGTACCACTGGGTCATTTTATAGAAATTACACTTCAATGTATATATCTATTAGGGGCGGGTGTGTTCACCTATGCCCTCGACTGGATTGTTGGCATAGTCAAAGAGGAAATATGAGAAAAAACAAAATCTTGGAGACTCGCATACCGTATCTTATCCCAGCTGGCCCAGCGTCGAGTGTGTTGAATACTACCATTACCCTAAGTCGTGTTATCAGCTTCTGGATCGTGTGCCACATCAACGACGGCGGAAATGAAGGAGTAAAGGGCTCCCCAATGAGGAAATATGAGAAGGGATAGAAGCCTTTCCCCGTGGGTTCCGCTGGATGACAGAATCCACATTCCAATCGCGGTCGCGTGTGACGTCGAAAAGCAAAGCAGGCCGAGTAAATTCTGGATTTGGATCTGTTACCGCGGCGGCGCACGTCTGGTACTTTTGGCCGGCACAAACGTCTCTGCTGCGTGTCTCGCGCTCCAAGCTAAACCATTCAGGCTTGGGTGTCGGGTGAGCATCTTGGCATTCCTCCGCCATTGTCATGCTCCTCTGGGGCGGAAGGGACGTCTCAGGCCAAATCTGGAGTTTTTCGAGACACGACAGAAGTCTCAGTTTCGTAGGCAATCAGCGTCATCTTGTACTGCCCCCTCTGAAGGCTAATATCATTCCCAATGTTTCCACTCTCTGACAGTAACAGATTCGGGTTTTCTGTCCTTTTCTTGCCACCAGCTGAACTCAGCCAAGAATATGGGCAAATAAACCTCCGCGCATCTTAGGCTGAATCACGCCCGGAGCAACTGGGAGAGAAAACGCCCTACAGCAAAAACATGTCCAGGTCGTCCATTTCCTTGATGCTGGGCAGCGCCTTTGCCTTCCTTGCCCGGTCCTCTCCAACCACAAACTCCGTCGGGATCGAGATGCCGTTGTCTCTCCCGGCCATCATCCCGGCTACGGCCCTACCGCACAGCGCGGCCTGTGGCATCCCGTGTCCGGTATACCCGGCGCAGATCCACAGCCCTTCTCCGCCGTCGAGGACCCCGCCAGCCGGCACCTCGCCAACCCACGGCCGTCCGTCGCGCGAGAAGGCCATGATGCCGGTCCACTCGTAGCTTGCCTTTAGTTCTTCCCTCTTCTCATGACCGCCGTCGCCCTTTAAGTCGATGTTCTGGGAGCCCGCGCGCCGCAGGTATGTCGCAACGACAGGGTCGATCTCGTCGTCGTCGGAAATCCCGACGCCCCGCGCCGTGCCGTTTGCTCGCCCTCCGCCAAGAATCATTTCCAGCTCTGGGTTCGGTCGCTGGATAAGGTAATCATCTTGATTGGGCGATGACCCGGACGAGCTGGCCATGAAAACGTAGCTGCGTCCCAGCTCTGCGGGGGGTTCCGGGAGCAGCGCGGCAACTTGCCCGCGCACGGGAACGATGAGATCAGAAAAAGCTGGGAGGAGACGGCTGGTATAAGCGTTTGAGGCAAGGAGAATCTGTTTCGTCGCCACCTGTCCGCGGTCTGTGTGTACGATCCACGACGCGCCGTCGTTGGCGTCAGATAAGCGTTGAAGGCGCGTTACCGGGGTATTGGTTTGCAGATTGAACCACCCACTCTTTTCTGACTCGTTACTCTCACTGGCTGCTGAAGAACCGAATCTCTTAAGAAGATCCTCAAATACCCAAGCAACGAGTTTGTACGGCCAAACACTAGCTGCGTTCTCCTGGATTACGGCCCCAACAGCCCCAGGAACGCGCAATGTCTTCAGCTCCTCTGCATCCGTAACAAGACGAACCTGCTTAGCAAGGTGAGGCGGTAGAGCGGCTATTGCCTCAGAAGCCTTGACGACGAGATCCGGCGAGAAGAGGGCGTGGCAGCCGCGGAGAGAGATCCAGTCACATGGAATAGAGTGTTCGGTAATTAAGTCTTGGAGGTAGCCATAAGTGCGCAGCTCAAAGTCCGCGATAACCTTGTTGGGCCCGTAGGCTACGGGTTGGCAGTGACCGCCGTTCTGGTGAACGTGTTAGTCATGTCGTATAGCACTGCTGTTGGTCCATTGTCGTAATGTAGGCGAGGACAGATAGGACGTGGAAACATCTCGTCAAGGTCACCTAACCGACATTGGCCGAACAAGGTGGCTTCCGATCAATCCCTCTATTCAATCGAAAATGAAAGACTTACTCTTCCCGTGGCACCCCAACAGGCCTCCCTCGCCTCAAGCAAAAGCACCCGCTTTCCTTCCCCACCGTGCCCCTCCTTAAGCTCCTTGGCTGCGAAGGCGCCCGTGATGCCGCTTCCGACAACGACCACATCAGCGGTCGGGGGCAGGTTCTTGGTAGTCCGATGCCCTAGGAGGGCCTCAGATGGCTCGCGATGCCAGTAGGACTGAGTGCTCCTGGTCGAGGGGAGGTCGGCTTGTCCTTCCTGCAGTGTTGCGCCCGTCATGATGTTATGGCCTCCAGTTAGACGCGATAAGATATCAGGCTAATGTCAGAAGTTAGTTTTAATGCTATCGGCAGGGGATTTTTATTTATGTGGACTGATTGTGACTTCTGTGATGGCGGTGGCGTGGAGATTGTTTTCGTGTTGAAGGAGTGAGGTTAGTCGATCATCGGAACTTAGTGGGCATGTAATGCTAAGTTGACTACCCCTCCGACCTGCACTGATGGAGCAGGTCAGGACAGCGGCAAATGTTACCAGCGCACACCACAGGACAGGACACCTTGTCAGACGCGCAGAAGATGGCGTCACAGAATATCAAGTTGTATAATAATTTTTGTTGCCATTATCCGCGACATTTTGTACCAATTTTGGAGAGAAACGCCAATGTCTATTGTGCCATCCATCCATCCATTGAATACCTGGGGCGCCACAGCCAGATTGCTGCACCGCACACTGCTGGCAAGGTCATATCTACAAGACAAGAGTACGCTAAAGGACGTAAATAGCGCAGAAGAACATCTCTCCAACACTTGCCATTGCCCACGGCTGGGTTCCCTTAACCCTGCATCTTCTTTCTCTTGCCGACCTGGGCGGAGAAACCAGTCTTGATAGCGGTGACGGAACGTCTCGAACCGCAAGAGTTGCAAGTAATGAAGTACAAACGGTTTTCTCCCTTGGAAAGTTCGGTATCGGCAGATTTGCCTGGGATTCCAGTCAGTCACCACGAAGGCGTACCAGCGTTGGGTGTTCAACTTACAGGTCTTGCAGGTGACGTACTCAACTGCAAAAAGTTTTCGTCAGAAACTTCGTCTTATCCAAAACGGAGGCAAACTTACTAATGTACTTGCGCAGGACGTTCTCGAGCTGCTTCTGTTGGAAACGACCCTTGATAACGAGACGTCTGCTACCATCGACGGAACCGCTGGTACCCAACTCGGCAAAAAGGTAAGCAGTCACGTGCTCTTCCGTTCTCTTCATACGCTTGCAGATCTCAGCAATGTTTGCGAAGATGGTCTTCTTGTTGCCTTCACGCATGCACTGCGGGGGAGGGATCTTGTAGCTCTTGGAGCCGCTGAGGGCGTGGTCGGGGTTCTTCTGGGACAGCTGGTGGAAGAAACGGTTCAGCAGGAGGCTGTAGCTGAGGGCCTTAGTCTCGTCGTGTTGCCAGATACCGGTGCCGGCGTCCATATCTCCATCGTCAGCCTCGGCGGGAGCCTCGGCGGTCTCGCCCTCCTTGCCCTCCAGGTCCAAGGCCTTGAGCTTGGCAGCAAAGTCATCCTCATCGCCCTCCTTAGGAACCTTCTTGCTCTTCTTCTTCTTCTTCATCGTCAGGTCCAGACCGCCATCCTCGCCGGCGGGGGCCTCCTCGGTATCGTCGCCCTCCTTGGGAACCTTCTTCTTCTTCTTCTTCTTCATGGTAAGGTCGAGACCACCATCCTCAGCGTTATCGGGAACGGGGGTAGTCGCATCCTCGGCTTGAGAAGTTGCATCAGTATTGAAAGCTTCAAGTGCTGCGGAAAGCGGCGGCGTACGAGGCGTGTGCGACTGAGCCGTCTCCTTGGGTTCGTCGGTGGCGTTGACCATCGTAACTGAGCCGTCGGCGTCAACTACAACTTGTTCGGTGTCAAAAGCAACGGATTTACGTTGTTTGCGCTCGGGAAGGCGGGTTTCCTGCAGGAATGTACGTTAGACAACAATGAGTTTGGGAAAAAAAAAATAGTACAGAATGGTCAGAAATCGATTGGGGGGAACAACGTCGAAATATGGTGATGTCTTCGGTTCGAGGCGGCGTTGATGTTGAGTCACCAAAAAAAGGTTCTGTCTGGACAGACCGTATCCGATTGCCAGTGGGGTAATAAAGACGAATAAGTTCTGGTGGAGGGGCCAATTGGTGGTGGGTGGTGGGCGGTGGCAGAAGTGCGCTTGAGGGAGGGCTAAGGAATGGTGCGGTGCGGTACGGTACGGAGGAAACTTACTTCGACGTCCGCCATGATTGTGGCCTGTGTCTCACTGAAATGGGGGGTTCTCGGTTAGGTATCCTGGTGAGAAGGACAGTGGTCGGAGGTGTGGTTGAACAGCGCAAATAGTCGGGAAAGGGCAAAAAAAATGTCTGGTGACTCTGGGATATGGTGTGAAGGCGGTTTGTGCCGCTCCGGGTGGTTTGGTAATGGAAATTTGTGAGAGGGAGAGAGAATCGGCGTGACTGTAGGTGGATGGGATGCTCCAAGTGACGTGAGGGTGAAAGGAGGCGACCCCCTCGCTGCAGTGCCTAACGCCCACCACCCAGTCACCTTCTCAAGATGTGACTCAGCGATACATCAGATCATGTGACTGCTCGTCGTCCCGTCCCTGTCCGTATGACCTCCTCAGTTCTTGAACTGCGATGCCAGGATACAATAAGCGATGCAGGCGTTCTGTTAAAATTTTGTTTTGTTTATTTTTATTCCACATCCTTTTCTGCATTTTGGGTATATTGAAGGGGTCACAATCTAAACTTTTGTAAGATCCGAGTTTCCGACCAAAAATTCGAGTACGGTGACTGATGCATGTATGCAAAATTCCGTAATTGCCAGTTACGTCTCGCTGTGCCAAATGCCCCACTGTTGCTTTCTAGGAGCCAATCACTGCCCGATTCTTCCGACGTCCGTCTACTGACCGTCCTGTGCCGTTTCTGGTTGGGGAAACGGGAGACAGCTCCAGGCTTCCGAACCTCCATTGGCACCTCCAGCTATCGATTATCGGAGGCATCACGGTCTCCAGAACCGATCTCCTGTGGGACGCCTATCCGATAGATTGTCTTGAATTTATCCTCCTTAACACGCATACAGAATTCAGACTGTCCCCCGACTTGGAAGGCGTTGAAACTGACATCTCGATAACCATCCTACCCTGTCTCTCCCGTGTTTCGTCACCTCGAAGCTCCAACAACCGAGCGCCGAACAAACGCCCGACGTCTTGACGCCATCACGTCTACCTCCGACACGATGCAGTCCACCGATTCTTTCATCATCCACGATGATACTGCCCCCTCGTCCGATAATGATGAGATCGATTCCCTTCCGTCAATATCTAGCAGCGTACTAGACTCGGAGGACGATTCGGATGCTCAAGAAGAATGGGAGCGCAGTCTGGAGCAGGTCCAGCTTTTGCTTACCATGGTCATCGTTCCATTCGCTGGCAAGTACTTGGGTCGCAAGTTTGCGTATTGGAGTAAGCTTACCAAGACCTTGCTCTCTTTGGGCGGATGCTAACAGCAGTTGCAATAGGCTGGTCGAGATACATGGAATGGATGCATAATGTGGAGGTACGGTGGACGAACAAGGGCGCCTTCAAGGCTGTCGGTGCAGTTGAAGCTGCGGCCACATTATAAGAAGACAAACCAATGTCAACAGACATACCACCAAAAACCGACTGTCGGACCACGAGCCCATGATATCGTGAGGTCAATTGGTGTTTAAATACGGATGGCGTTGGGGCTCGACGGCACAGAATAAGGCGGCATATTAGGAAGCAAGGCACACAGCCTAGCTATACAAATTTGAATTCATTGCTTTGTTAAATCTCTACTTCAGAGCGGCATAACTGTAGCAGTATCGCGATCCGGTCTCACCTGCACATATCCCAAAGTCCGAGGCGTCACGGTGAGCTATCGCTCACAGAAACAGTCTTGAGAGTAGATTTCAATGCAGAGGTATCAATTGGTTGTTGTTTCACTACAAGAGAATGCACAGTAGCCTCGCGACCGTTTCCCAAAGCACCGCGGCATTATAGCCCCGCCGTATCCATAAGCCATATATCCATGTCATCCCATATCCCAAATCCGGTCATTCATTACTATAACATGCTATCGTCAAAGGTAACCTAGAATCACAACCTGCCACCAACGCCGTCAGGACCGAACAGCTGTCTCATGACCAGCTGTGCAAGCTGTAAGTCTGACCTATTATCCGTATCCGAGACGTAATTTGGGCAGCCATCTTTTTGGAGAAAGAGTATGCTGCGTGTTGAATCGCATCACTGGTGGGCTTTAAACGCCAACCTGGGCCATGGATGGTCGAGAGCTGCGAACAGAACCGCCACCTCCGCGACGGAAATCCATGAAAGTAAAGAAGGCTGCTGCACCGAAACTGGCGAACAGGAACCACATAAAGACAGTGCTTGCCTGAATTTCGCGGCATCGCTTCTCGTCATTCGCTGAACCCCAAACAATGTAGTTGCCAGGAAGGTTGTTGGGGTTCAGGGAGCCACAGTTAACAGCGCGCAGTTTAGCGGACAACACGATACTGTCAATGAAAGTAAAGAGCAGAGCAGCGCCGTCAAATGCCAGGACGATAAGAGGTATGGCAAGAGCCGGGATGAAGGCGGTAGCCAAGCCGTAGAGGGCAGCGAGCCAACAAAGAACGGCGACAAACATGGTGAAATTGATAGCTGCCATAGCAGACCCAGAGCCGTTAATGTTGAGAGCGATGACGTTGCCTATTAGTGCTGTGACGAGCACGACCCAGAGGATCTGGAGACCTCGAATGGCTACCCTAATAACTGAGTCCATCATGCTGGGCAGTTGGATACGGTGTTGTAGAGCCGATGAGGATCAATATGTTGTTCAGGGCAGGTCGCAAGTATGGCGTTTTGAAAAGGTACGTTGTATGTCGATGCGGATGAATTTGTGTGTGCGATTATACAAGCTGAGGTTTGGGGGAAGTAGCGTGACTGTGCTTGTGATGATGATGTTGAGCCCACGCAAGTATGATTCACAAAAAACTGCCAGTGAATGCTTCTTGACAATGTGTGTGCGAGGTGTGGAAGAAGACGGTAGTTCAAAAGTGTGGCAAAGTGGGCAATGCGACAAATACTATGGTAAGACAACTGTGGTCCGGCCGGGCTTGGTTGTCGGGTGAGTAGAGTCGCGCAGGAAGGAAGCGGCAGCAGCAGCAGCAAGGGTATCTTTAATAACTATAATTAGGAGGGTGGGATGACTTGATGGATGAGAGGAAAGAACAGCCCAAAAGTCAGAAACTACTCCAGGCCTCCCAGACGTGCCCGACATGGGAAGAGGGGGCACGAAGAGCCAGGACATGGACAACATTCAACGGAAGTTCGATGATTTCCATGGAGATCGGCAGTTGCGGGAACTATGACCTCACCAGTCCATATTCCACTCATAAAATGCACTCTTGCCGCTGCGCTCATTGACGGGTACGTACTTTTCCCAAGTTTGCTAAAGCACTCTTTGCTGGTCCGAATAAATTTAATGGCATCATCCAAGGGTCCAAGGGCCCCGATACTGCCGCTAAGGAGCTTGGACAAGACCGCGTGCAGCCCAATGAATCTCTGGGCGTCTGCGACCGTCATTCATATTGTCTTCAACCCTGATCCACCACAGTGCTCCCTGAAACTGAGGTCGTAAAGACTTGGAGAGCTAAGAACCAGAGATGATGGCGCGTTTCTGCTGGCGCGTCTCCCGAAGTGCCCGAGAATTTGAGGTCGAATTGTGGCACTGTTTGCAGGTGCAGGGTTCATTCCTCATCGACAGGGCTTTGAGTAGGGAACGTTAAGTTTTTTTTGTATTTTTTATTTTTTTCCTGCTGCTTAGCTGCTGGCTGCGGATTCCAAGCCCTGTCATCCCTCCCTGCTGGTGGGGTGATGCTGGTTGGCAGGTGAAGAGCCTGGAAACCCCCTCCATGTGCTTTGGCTGTGTGTGTTGGCTCTCCTTGCCTGTTCTGCCCCTCCTCGGCCCTTCCTGTCGGGTTGGCTTGCTGAAATTGCCCCGTCTTGCCTCTTGCCCCTGCAGCATATCCCGTCCTTCCCGGCGATTCGCTGCCAAGAAAACACAATCTGACCCAGCAACCCCGGAAGAAACACCCATATCCATCAATCTGTACCCCAGTCGTGATCGCTGTCGCCCTATCAAAACCCTGTGAGTTGGCTTCGGTGAAACGAGATGAGCCAGCATATCCGTGTTTTGTCAACCCGTGGTTGACCGAGCTAGCGCTGCGTAATATACCTTTTCTATACCTTCTCAGCTGCAACTCGTTTTGATGAGCAAAGTCTGTCGTCCAAAAAAACCATCCAAACTCCTCTTTCGTTGCTTCTCCAACCAGACGCGAATCCATTTCCCCAGTGATGGCCCGTTGACGGCTGGACAAGCCGCAACGGCTGTCCTGTCTATTGCCCTTGCCTTAGCATTAACCAAGATACTGGAATAAGAAAACAATGGCAGATATAGTTCCAAGGAGAGCCAGTCTTGGTGGCATGCCTGCTGAGGTCCTTAGCCTGATCATCTCCAACCTCATCCAATATGCTCCACCAACGCATATCGTCGGAATACTAGAAACTCTTGGACTTCACAAGGCAGTACATGAACTGCACGACAGCCCTAAGCAATATCGAAACTGGAAGGAATCCAGGAGCGACCTCGTCGCGATACACAGCACTTCGAAATACATGGCCGAGGCAGCAAAGCCCTTTTTGTACAGGTCCATCGCCGTTGAGAAACCACATCACCTGGAGGGTTTTTACCGTGTCTTGAATTATTCAGGCGGATCTGGTCTTGGAAGACTCGTTCAAGCCATATACCTCCTTGGCGACCTTCAGTTGGGACCCCGACTGCCTCACTACCGCGTCCAAGGGCCACTATGCCATACCGCACCCCTCAGATATCTGGCTGGCATCCTCTCACTTACACACAACTTGCACGAACTCTTGATCACATCTCCCAATGAGAAATATGTTGAAATCCTCCTACAACAGATGTGTAGCTCTCAAATGCCAGTTCGTCAACCCACCGACCCAGTCCAAGAAGCATACTCCCATCTTGCCTCATGTTCAGTGACCTTGAAAGAGGTTGGGCAGCAGGAAACCGACGGCCATACAATGCAACTCTTTCCCAGTTCTTCATCCTCCATTTTGCCCCTCAGCTCCGTCCGTAAATTGCGATTACGGCACAGCCTCCACAAATCAGACTCGATTATTGGCCCAGTGCTTTTTCACAGCTACAAATACCACTATTCCTGCCACATGCCTACATATCTTGAACAGTTTCCCAATCTCGAGACATTGGAGCTTCTTGCAGACGCACCGTGGTGCTGGAGGCCCAGTGGCAGAACGCTGACTGATACAAGCCCACCATCATACTCCCCGATGCCAAAGTTGAAGCATCTGCGACTTTATCTCTCATCCATCCAAGAGCCAGAGTTAGTTGGCGTCTGTCTTGCGTGCCCTAACCTCGAGACACTTTTAGTCTACTTTGCAAACGCTACCCGGCCTCAAGACCGACAACGTCTTCCTCAGGGTAAAGGCCTTAATGATGTCCTTCTAGATCTCTCCCGCAGCCTGCGTCACCTTGAGCTCCTCACCGCTGAAGCTGGAAACTACCTATCCTCGCCTGAAGGTGATTCCAATGGCCAATTACGGAGGCTCATTTGCCTGCCCCGTCTCACCAACTTACAATGCCTTGTTGTGGACTTTACAGGCTTGTTTGGACTCGTCGACTTTATCAATGGCCAGGATGTGGATGAACTCCCAGCGCGCTGTCCCCCCAACCTCACCCAGTTAACTATTGCCTGTCGATGGGGCAGGCGCTCGGATTGCCTGTGGCCTATTGATGGTGACGATGAGATGCGCGTCATCAGCGCCTTGAAAACTTGCTATGCCACAAGACTCAAGAAACTACGGGTATTAAATCTTGATATTCCTTCAATCGGACGCGTTATCCACACGGCGCGCCAGTTCATCCAGGAAGAGAATGTGCCACGAGAAGCGGCTCGCTCGCTGAGCTATCTCGTAGATAACTCCGTTAACGTCGGGCTCTGCGACCTCTGGGAACAATTTGAATATCAGGGCGACATTCGCGATCAGTTTCCAACCGACGCGCAGATCCAGCGGAAGAGACGCAGACTCAGCGAGGCGAACTTCCGGCGCGGGCTTGTGGATAGCGGCCTTCAAGGTCCGTGGTACAATACTTAGTGACCAGATGCTCCGGGATAGACCGGGGCCATGCTCTTGGCTTCGGCAGGTCCCATAACCTCCTTGGTCTTGAGGTCATCCGACTCCCATCGCACCGGACGAAGTGCGGTGACGCAAGTTGAAAGTTATTGCCACTTGTGGGACCTCGTCGCCGTCGCGGCTAAAGAGGATGTTTGAATCATGGTGTCATCAATGTCATCGCACTTTATACTTATAGACAGGTGACCGCATGAGCTCTTTTAGCTTGTGATCGCAACTGACAGCCAGTTGAACAAAGTAGAACATGGCATTCTGGTTATTTGGGGGGGTGGGGGGGGGGGGGGGGGGGGGGGGGGGCCGAGCCGAGCGAGTTCTAAACATGTCGTGACTGCTACCCAGCTTTTGAGGGTTATTGGCGTGTGGATTGTTTGTATTAGTTTGAACGAGTGCCGCACATATAACCTCACGCTTTACATACGCATTTGAGAGGGGACTGAAAAGAGGGCGCATAAGCTCAGTCGAGGTAGATGAATAAGAAAAGGATAAGAAAGCCGCAGCCATCAACGGCAAAACTAGTTACCCAACCGTGCTTACTGCGAAATCAATGACCGACTGACTCCTTTGATGCTGCCTGCCTTTTCCCACTGCTCTAAAGGGACCCTTGATTTACCGTATCAAATAATCATCGGCTAAAGTTCAACAGCCCCTCTATATACTTACGGGTATCAATACCGATCCCTGAAGCCAAACGCCCAGCGCCGTCCCCCCATCCTGCTCCGCCCTCAGCATACGACGAGCTCACACCCCGATATCCAACGTGGTCACTAGCTCTGCGGATAAGAAAGATCTCCTTGCTAACCGTTGGACTAGTTGCCGCTGATGGCTTCCTGGTCAGTTGCGCGCTCGAACCAGACCCGCTCGTCTGCAAAGAGGCATCACTCTTGGAACGGCCCTGGTAAGCCTCCTCTTCGGTTTCAGAGGAATGTCCGTTGGGTGTTACAGGCTGGCGTTGCAAAACCCGCTGCCAGACAACCCACCAACCGCGGTTAGTTTTACAAGTCCGCTCAAGCTCAGTCATTTCAGGCCGCGTTAAGTTGAAGATATTAAGCAGCTGCATGTGTGTGTTCATGGCTTCGAAGCGCGACCAGGCCGGCTGCGTCTTAGAATGAGACACTTGAGTGTGGTCGGGGATGTTGGGTATCGACGAATGCACTGTCATGGCCTTTGCGTCCCATACAAGGTCGTAGATGCTAGCGGCTGGGGAGCCGATGTCAGGTCGTTCTGGTCGATATTGAATAGAAGATAACAGAGGTTTGCGGAGAGGCAAGAGCTGGTAGTGAAGGGATTTGTAGAAAGAGTCCCAAGCCAATGATTCGGTCCTTAGCTCAAACAAAAACGTGAAGACGAAAGGCTTGCTGAGGTAAACGACGACACGTAGTTTTCCCATCTTGTTAGAGTCCTGGTTTCCAAACAGCGGATTGGAGCTTACGGCGTTGACTCCAAGAGGTGTCGCGCCGTGTGGCAAGGTGCCAAGATCTTTGACGATATCTGCTTCCGCTCGGTCCTTCCCTGTCTTCTCGAGTTCTACATGAAGGGTGCGAAGCATGGTGCGAGAGTTTGACTCAAGAGAATCAATATCGCCTGGCTCAGTTCTCTCGCCGTGCTCACTACCGCCGCTCTCCTCAACATCGCCCATTAGTCCGATGAGAAAGTGTCCCACATCATCATCCATCTGTTTAGGTTTCGGTGCTTTGTCCACAGGATTCTTTGACGACTCCCCGCTCTGAGAAGGAAGGGTGGGCAATTGGGCTGTATCAGCCAAGGTAGATGCGTCCGACTTCCCGATGGACCAATATGTGCCGTAGCCAAGCTTCATGTAAGTCATTAATTTGTCCAAATGACCATCACCCTCTTCCTGTACAGATGCTGGAGCATGATTTTTGCCCACGTTGGGGCGCTTGGCTTCCTCGACAGTGCCTATCTCCTGGCCACGGCGCTCTGCAAGCGTCATCGTAGACCTTGAGCTTCCTCCAGACCCAGAACCGGAGCCTGACTGTGTGAGTTTTGGGCGAACAGGTGACCGCAAAGGTATTGTGATTTCTGAAGATCGTGGCGCTGATGTGGATGTAGTTTTCTTCGTGTTCCGAGAGCGCCTGGTGGCTGTTGGGCTATCAATGACACCGTAAGCGTTCTCACCCCAGGTATAGAGATCCTCCATCCAGTTCACCACATCCTGTACCGATTTTCGAGACAAGGCACCCGTGCCCAAAAAAATGGCGCCGTCCTCAGAACCAGGATCTTGTCCGGAACCCAGCCAAGCCCTCTTGGGCTCCTTGCCAGCTTTGTGTTCACCATCGGCATCCGCAGAGCCAAACTTAGACACAACAAGGTCAACAAGGCCCTCGATTCTTCCAACAAGGCCTTCTAAAACTTCTCGCTCTCCGCTACCACGCTCTTCCTCACCAACTCCAATACCTAGTTCGCCAGAAGCCGCGATGTTGATGCCACCGAACATCGTACGCGCCGGATTGCCCTGTAACATGACGTTCCAGGTAGACAAGAAGAGGTCCCAGTACCTACCGAGAAGACTGAGAAACTTAACCCTGCGACACCGGACGAAGAGGGAGCTGAGTGAGGCAGCGTGGTGAAGTAGGAAGATGGAGTGAGCCCGGAGCAAGTCCTGCATCAGAAGGGATGCAGGCTTGATCTCCTTGGAGGAGTACTCAACAACCTCTTCTGGCGACTCTTGAGCCTTTCCAGTCTGCAGCTTAGGCGGCAGAGGGATGCGGGTCAGATCAATAGACTGCAAAAGTATTAGAGAATGAAGTTTTAAAAAGGATGCGGCATAACGTACGGCAAGAATCCACCAACCAGGCTCCAATTCATGTAGAACAACACGAGACTTCTCGGTGTCTATGGAATCAACAGACTGGCCGGCAGAGAAACTCTTGCTGAATTCAACCATGCCCTGTGCAAGGCCAATCTGCCTAAGACGCTCATTGCGCTCTTCCTGCGAGATGTTCTCGGCAGGCTTGCTGCGAGAGCGGTGGCGACGTTTCTGACGCTGCATGCTCACCGATGAGTAGTAAACGAGTTGATCTTCAAGGGTGTCGTCGGTGTTTCCTAAAGACGGGTTGAAGATAGCAAGGAAGCCCAGCTGCGCTGGAACAATGCCACCCGGTGGTGATGCCATGGCAGACTGTGGGGGAAAGAGTGCGTCGTCGGTAGCGATTCACTGGGAGCGGGTACGGAATGTGGTATCCAGGTCCAAAGACGGCCGCGGGGCAACGGAGGCGCCGGGGACAGCAGCAGGCAAGAGAGGCCTGCGCGACAGTAACTGTTGAATACCAACCGCGGTTGATGGCGAGGGATATGACGTCCGGAGAGGTTAAGGAACGAAGGCTGTTGGTCCTTTGGCTCTAAAAAGCGTCCCTGGGCCTCAACTGGGGTAGACGTGACAGGTGAATGGCAGCTCCAGAGCGGTCCACACAAGCGCGAAACGGGTGGGTGCCGACAATTGTCACGATGTTGGTAATCTGGGACAACAGGCCTTAAACGGTCCGCGGTGGCCGAGGCTCTGGGAGGCGAACAGGAGGTTGCTCGGATGATAAATAATTTTACTTAGATCTGAATCGAGATCCCCAGCGATGCAGGGCGAGCCTGAGTGGCGCCAAACAAACAGAGGCGAGGCGATGGAAGTGATTTGACTTGATTGGGTTGAACTGAAGCACGAGAAGCTGAGGGTGGAGGCTGGATTACCATGCAGGTGGGAGTGGTCTGTGGTCCAGACCACCATGACCCTGGTCGGAGACCGCTCCGTTCTCGACAGGCGAGGGGCAGTAGCGTGTTAGGAGCGCTGTACAACGACAGATACAGCGGTGGTAGCGTGTCATACTCGCCTAATTAGGCGGGCTCTGACACTGGCAAGGCCCGACGGGTAGTGTGAGACGGGACGACCGACCGGTACTACACTAAGCACAACCAACGGAAGATTTTCACCTTCAGTTTCCTGTTTATCATCTTGCTGATTTCCCTTTCAATCATTTCCGTGTTCCTCTATCTCATTATTTTCATAATGTGCTTGGGGATGGGCAGGCAGGCAGGCTTCTGGATAAGTCATTCCCTATATGCTGGATTATATGTCAGGGCCCGTTAGACACTTGGTCCAGTATAGGCAGGTCACTGATTGCTTGAGCTCTCTGCTCTTCACCAGTAGAAGACACAAGGAAGAGTGGGGTAGCCACAGCCCAAATATCTCAGCAGCTACGAAGTACATACTAGTAGATAGTAACTCTACTTCCACATTCTGGTCGAATCGGTTTCAGCGGCGGTCAAGCATATCCACGGACGACGCAAGGAACAAGGGGGGAAAAGAGAGAAAGAAAGAGTAAAAGTACCAAAAGAGAGGTCTGGACTGATCTAAATGACTACTTGCCGCTTGTTGTCAACACCTGACATCGAATAGCACAAACCGCTCAATCTTTTTTTTACTGGACGAAATTGTATGGCGTGACATGGCAATCCCGAATCCGCATGAAAAATTCTGCCTCTTCGAAGAGTGTTCGCCTCAAAATCCATCCAGTCGCCTCGCACGGTCTATTCAACTCCCCAAAACTGGACGAGCAAAGCGCCTGGCCAATCATCAGAGGTTTTGCCGGCCCCCTACAACTATTAGGTGGGCGATACCTTGTCCAATATGCCTTCCGCGATGGCGCTAGGTAACTCGCCCCCTCAACCCGGCTGCCTCCCATGTGGCCTGCCAGCCCTAGGTTACTGCATCGAGCGTAGCACCATGTCACCCTATTGCTGAGATCAATCTTCAAACCGTTGTAGCGAATGACCCCGCGAAGGGTTTATACAGAGGTCCCTCATCCGCCACAGGCAATTTCCTTACCCTGTCAGCTCTGTCTCGGGCCGCTCATACTGCAGCTGGTCACGGGGAGAGACAATGTACACGGATCGAGTCGAAGTACGGATACTGGGTCATCATTGGTTGAGATTAGTGCGTTGTTGGAGATACCAGTCATGTAGGCCTACTCTGAGGATCAGCACCTCGATTCTAATTTCGCCTGCTCTTGTGGCGACAGTAGCCGCAACGCTGGCCCAGCACGATTGCCATTCATGGCCATACGCAGCGTGGTCTCTCCGTTGACTGCCCGGCGAAGACGCGAGTTCTCCCAAGAGCCGCGGGAGCGGTTTCGGCAGCTTGCTCGTCTGGGATGGGGAGAATCTGGAAAGCACTGCAATTCGTGCCATACCCGCAGTCCGCACCGTGGCGTGAGAAGAGGAGAAGGAGAGTGACTTACTGTCCCGATTCACCCCTTGCACAAAAAAAAAAAAAAAAAAAAAAAGAGGCCCTCAACATCCGGGTAAAAATCAACCACAAAGTCTCCTTTGGGGGTATCGGTATACCAACACGGCCGTCTTGTTGAACCTCTCCCTGTCTGCAAACTCGATGAAGAACACATTGGCGCCCTCCCTCAGTCCATTGTAGGTATCTTGGGACAACCCAGCCACAGCATTGCTCTCAGTCAACTTCGGCCCAACCACCCTTCTTCCCCTGGCGACCACCTCGTAGTCCGGAACATACCCGAATCCATGCCTCGCAAGCTTGGCCAAATTCGTACCCGAAGTAGTAGGGAAGCAAAAGCCCCCAGTACCCTCGTCAATCATCACCGGCAGCGGCTGTACTCTCTTTTCCACTTACAGGGTGAGCCGGATGAACCTCGCAGGCTGTTCTGAAGCAGCCATCGCATGTCCTACATCAGGCATAAGATAGGTTGTCCACGTTCCGGCGACAAGGATGACACACGAGATATCAATTCTTTATGAACTACCTATTGAGAATAGACAATACTACGAGATGCTGATAGGATCAATATCGTAAAAGGGCGTGTGTATGTGGATAGTTGGATTAATGCGTGGTGAGTTGCATCACTACAAGTGAATACAGGAATCGGCGTCGCGCGCAACCCAGTAATGTTGATGATGAACGGCGTGAAGTTGGCCGGCATGCCGAGCTTGTCAACGCTTGAAGGAAAGCCCACTTCCATAATGGAGTAATGCGGCGGCCAAAGTTGTATGGATTTGGCCTCCGCAAGCCCGGAGCCGGAACTGTGGGTCTCAAGTGCTACTGCCTCTGGACCGATCGGAGATGCTTCGGCAACTTCTACGAGTTACTCTTTCGCTCAACACTTCGGGAAGGTATTGGTTCAAGACGAATCGCACAGATATCATTGACGTGCCCCTGAAACCCCTTCCAAAATGGCCTCGGTGCATATCCATCCAACATACAGTATCCGTACCACCATTCCAACTTATTTAATTTGTGGTACCATCTCCAAGTCGTCACAGTCTAATGAAACTGGTCTTCCGTCACACCCTTGCCCATAGCCGCCGTACTGCTGATACCTCCAGTGACCATCTTCTGAAGCTCATCAACGTAAGTCGCACCGCTCCACTTCTGGTGCTTGACGACATCGACGCCAGTTTCCATTTCGGGCTCCTGCACTAGTTCGCCGTACGCACGCATGCCTTGCTTGCTGTAGGCCTTTGCAAATTGGTCGCTGATGAGTGCCGTCGTGTGCAAACCAGCGAGGGTAATAAACTGCCAGCAATAGCCGAGTGTTGCTAGACGGCGGATGTACGTCTCCTGCTCGGCACGAGGCATCGCCGTCTTCCAGTTGAAAGAGGGGGAAAGGTTGTAAGCGAGCCTAGAAGGCGTGGATCGTTAGCATTAATTTCGGCCAAACAAGGTTTTAAATATGACTTACTTTTGCTCGGGCCAGACGGCGTGCACACCCTCGGCAAATTCTTGGGCCTGCTTGTAGTCGGGCAGCTTGCTCTCCATCCAAATGGCGTCGCAGTAAGGGGCATAGGCGATGGCTCTGTTGATGGCGCAATCGCAGCCGCCCTTAAGACGATAGTAGCCCTCGCGAGTCCGGGGGGCATTCCAGTCGAAGAAAACATCGCTACCCACAACGCCCTTGGCGATTGCGCGAGCCTCAGTGTTGCTCTTGCCCTTTGCGGCGGCGGTGTACTTCTTGACAAGCTCGTTCTTGTTTGGATAAGGACCAGCCTGGATAGCGTCGATGACGGCCTCGTCAAATCGCTTCAGGTTGGCCTGCTTCAGCCAGGCATCTTCAATGGCCTGGAGCTCATCGCCAAGCTTGCCAGACTGTTCCGCAGCGACCATGAGGTCGTTCAAGGATTGGAGATTGGGGTTTGTGGAGCCGAGAATGAAGGCGTGGTCTCTGGGGTCGATATTAGTGGAAATAAGGGTAGCGGCCTCGGCGTCAGTACGGGCGACGGCGACGAGGTTTGAGCCCATGATATCAGCCTGTGCGCGAATAGCGACCAGGCGGTTGATGTGCTCGCTGATAGGGACAAGAACCTTTCCAGCCATGTGACCGCACTTCTTAGTGCCGGGGGCCTGGTCCTCAATATGGATACCAGCAGCACCCTTCTCAATAAACAGCTTGGTAAGCTTCATGACGGCGGTCAGACCGCCGTGACCAGTGTCAGCATCGGCGATGATGGGTCTAAGATAGTCAATGTTGGCAAGCTTGGATCGGGCAGCCTTTGGGACGCTGAGGCGCTCTTGCCGCTGTTTCCGGTCGTGGAAGAGCTGGGCCATAAACAAATGAGCAACCTTATTGGGCACGGTAGTCTGCACCTCGAGTAAGTAATATGCTCATTGGAAAGAATGCATCATTCGATACTTACGTAGGGGTAGTCAGCCAGATCGGGGCCTGGCTCGTCTGAGGCAGAGGCGGTTGATGATGATTGCCAGCCAGAGACGTATACGGTGTCAAGGTATTTGGCCATTTGGGTAACCATCGTGGGCTCCAGACAGCCGTAGGTATAACTGGCATCCTTGGTTTTGAAGCGATGCTCAAGGATGTCGAACAGCTTCTTTGATTGCGCGTTACTTGGGTAGTCGACTTTCAGGTGACCTCTCTTGGATACAATCTGTTCGGCTGTGAAGGGACGCTTTGTGAACCTCCAGCGCGGCTCGTTCCACCACCGCTTGACCTCCTCGACCTCCTTGAGGAAGAGCTCGTCTTCGCGGTCGGGGTCCACGGCGGGATTAACCATGTTGTTAGCAGCCATGACAGGTAGTGGTGGCTTGGTTATTGAATAGGGTGAGTTTATTCCAAGATGGTGTCGTAAGAGGGGTGCTCGGTGGTGAAATGCTCCGTTAGTAGTTAAGCAATCGGTACGTGATACAATCAAACACTTGGAGACTGGGCAGGCCAAAAACGAAAAGGTGTAGCACCAGACTAAGGATGCTATTCACAGCTCAATGGACGATGGATCGAGTTCAAGGAGGAAAGATTTGGAGCAGATGGCGAAGACCAAAATAAAAAGTCAATCAAGTAAGAGTCACAAGCCAAATGGCAAGGCAGAACAAGAAAGAGGTAGCACTAGCTAACCATGACTGTCTATCGGCAGTCTTCGGCCAAAAGGCGTTCCTGGCCTAATCGTCTTACATCTGTTTCGAGGTAAGTACCTCTGACCTAGGCTCAGGCCAGGAACTGGACAGTGTGAGAGACAACAATGACTTGGGTAATCGCTCCCATGCTGTGTGTATCAACAGCTGTTCTTGATTGGGAGAGCAGTCCGTGTGATAAAATAGACCTCGGAAGCAGAGAATTGGCTGGTACGGAAGCAAGCCGAAGTACCCTATACATTGGCACGTCTTCTTACCTTCCTGCCAACCATGTTTTTTACTCTGTGGGGGAAGGCTTGGTTTGTGAGGCGCGTGTACCGACCGCAGTCAGGCTTCGGGGAAGGTGAGGTATGAGTGTGAGAAAGGGGTGACGTCTGGATTCGGCTCAAAGGGGACGGATGGGGCGAAACCGTAGCTTCTTCCTCATTGCCGTCATTGGCCGAGTTGCCGAAGCTCCTTGCATGTCCCCCGCCATGCCCCGCCATGCCTTCGGTACCTGGGGGAGAACTGGGGGAGGACAATATGCGGTGCACAGCTTTCTACTGCCATTGAGCCCTGTGCCGTCTCCGGGCCATGGGAAATGATCTGCAAGCGGTCGACATTGACGTGTGCCCATTCTGATTCTGCAGCAACATCTCCTTGCGCCGCCGGCTGCCTCAACCCTGCCCCCAGATTCATCATTACTTTGCCCGTCGTTTGCAAACGAAGTAGACGCAATCTGAGGACAAGTACTCGTATTACTATGTATACTCGAGAAAAAATGCGAAGTCTCGCCTACCTCGATACACTGTCTAGTCCTCCTAGTAGAGCGGCCGAGCTTTCCCTCAAATCTTGCGGGGTAACTATTGTCTGGCATGTGAAGACTCGGGCTGAGTCGTCCCCATTGGTGCTGGCACATTTTGGAGCTGGCCACTCCTTCCAGCGTGCGTCACACCATTCTCTAACCTTGCGGCTCCAACCTTCAATGGACCTCGGCCTTCTCACACACTGTCCCGGTGAGTCTAGCCGTTCATACGAGCATACCCGGGATTACCCTACGTTCTGAATGTCCTCATGCCAGTCACATGTCTTCCCTGCCAGCCTAAGCCACTTTGCTGTCAATCACCAAGCTTGATCAAGCGAAACGAACCTCACAGCTCACGGAAGTTGTCCGATGTATGCCTACCACTCCTCTCCGTCGTCTCCCCTTGTCTTACACACGTATTAAAAGGTTTAAATAATACTTCAACTTCTCCAGAATTGATCGCATTGGGCGGATATTTAGTTCGGCTTTGCAGCCAGTCTAGCCTCTTTTGACAATCTTCCAGACCTCCCCGCCGCCGCCGAGCCATAGCCTTGTGCAACTAAACGACGTTACCATGCGATATCATGCATTGCCTAGTCATTCGTTGTCAACTCCTTTCCCCGGCCTCCAAACTATGAAATTGCCGCGGCATAAAAACAACAAAAAAGCAATGCAGACCCCTCCCAATGTCAACCTAGGCGATATGAACGATTTGGCGCCAGAGCTGTACCGTTTGTACCAGGCTAATGCATTCGCACAAGAGAGAGTGAGCATGTCTTCTCTCCTGTTGAGTCCTTCCAGGCTCAAGAAAGTTCTGCAAGAGATCTTTCGTTGTTCTGTTCGATAGCCTTGACAAAGGTCTCGTATGGGGTGAGTGTTCCCAAGGCGCGTCTCATGTGTGCGTTAACAATTTGCAGTCCATAGACGTAACTGGCGTTGACCCATCCGAATCTGATCACAGTTAGCAATCCACTCATACTAGTCGGCAAAAAGATTATCCAACTTACCCTTCCTTCGCAACACCCTTGAAGTCAAGGCCCTGGTTGCCATACTCTGCGTCGACTCTGTGAGGGTCGATGGGTCGAGTTACGTCGTATTTCTCAACGACGACTCCGTTGAAGTCAACAAAGGCCTTAGTGATCATGAACAACCACTTGTACGCCAAGCGTTCGGCCTCTTCAGTGAAGCTATATCGGACCAGACCGGTCCAGGCAAGCATCTGCTGTGGAGCCCAGCCGTATGGGTAGTCCCACTGACGGTTGGGTCTCTCCAATCCAATCTCACCACGAGATTCCTCCGTACCCGATAGAAGGCCACCAAAGGCCTCAAATTTGGGCAAGGCCTTGTGAACCATGTCTGCGGCTTGCTTGGGCGTGGACACACCTGCCCATAGGGCCCAGAAGGTAGTGCAACTTTCGTATGAGCACTGCTCCTTCTTGGCAGTGTCATAGTCGAAGTACATACCCTCCTTCTCGTTCCATAGGTACTTGTCAATGGCAAGCTTTCTGCGCTTCGCGCGGCGGTCCCAGATTGCCGACGTCACCACGTCGCCTCCCTTGACAGAACCAACAGCAAACTCTTCGGGAATAACGAGCTTATCGTCGAAGACAGTGCGGATTGTACGGCCAATGTCCGTCTCATACTTGAAAAGAAGCGAATTCAAGTCGATAGTTGCAAGATTGGCACATATTCCCTCGAATCGGTAGGTTGTATCGTGACCGGATTCACGTACAGCTCGATCATGCATGAAATACTCGTCCAGCTCAGGCTCCTTTATCTCGCCCTTGTTGTAAGCCTGTACAAATTCCTGCCACGTAATGCCATGCTTCTCGGCATACGGCTCCAGGATGTGAACGAAGTGGCCAGCTTCAGTCTCAGGCGGAACACCCAAGCCCTCAGGTCGGTAACGCGAAAGACCCGTCACAGGATCCAGACGCGGCTCAGCAACCCATACACTGTGGTATTCTTTAATAGCGGCTAGTATGGCAGTTCGCAGGAACTCCTTGGCGTCGGGTTCATGCTTAATCTTCTCGTAGACGCGGAGAGCCATATCGGTAAGGAAAGGAGGCTGAGAACGGCACAGATAGTACGAACGAGTAGCGTTCAAAATCTTGCCATAATGGCGGATACAGAAACAGAAGTTCTGCACCATAGACTTAGCGAGGTGAACCTTGTCGTTCACAAGGAGGCCAAGAGACTCCATGTAGCTGTCCCAGCCATAGAGTTCGTTGAAGCGTCCACCCGGCACAACAAAGGGAAGGCCCCTCAAAGTGTCCTCGCCAGTTTTGGGATCCTTGATCTTTTCCATCTCGACGGCGAGAAGACCTGGCTTTGCATTCATGTCGCGGACAAGCTCAGGAGTGATAATCTCGGGGAGCTTCTGAACATCCAGACGGATCTCTGGCCTATCTTTGGCCACCTTGGTATAGAAGTCAAACTGCTCTGGAGCGCCAACCGGGATGTAAATACGGGGGCGCGGGTCGTCCGTCCAGTCTTTGGGATCTCTTGCCGCAATCTCCACACTTGAGGCATCAATTCTTCTGGTCAATCCCTCCCAGAAATGGTCGCGGATGAGTCGAGATAGGCGGTTGACTGGGTTCTCGTTCAATCGACCCTCGTCAAGGATGATCTGCTTTCGGCCATACTCTTTTGCAAGTGAAAGTTCCTGCAGAAGGTTGGAGAGCATGTATGTTCCTCGAACGTCGAATCGATTGTGGCCAGCGGAAGCGGCGGTTCTCAAAGATAGCACCTAGGCGAAAATGTTACTTCTATGACCAAACTCAAGCATATACGGAAATGCCCATACCTTGGGACCATTGTCCTCAATGGTGATCTGCATGTTTCCATCGGTGTCTTCCTGAGCTTGCAAGTTCTCCAGAGTCTCGTCTACCTGGATGAGAAACTTTCGGTTATGGGGAATGGTCGATTCGTCTACAGGAATCGTAGTCAGCATATTAGCCTGTCATGAGAAGAGGCAGTGCGCGGGTATAAACTTGCCATGACTGCCGCGACGAAAGGGCTCACGAAGTCCCAGGCGCTCGATTTGCTTGAGCAAGCTGTTCTGGCCGCAAGTTAGCTCATCCTGGCAAGAGCTCCCTTTAGGGAGCACAGGCGGTCAGGGACACGGAAAATGGGGCCATATGGTACCTGAGAGTATGTTCGAGTTCGAGGGCCAGCTCGGTTAACATGACGCTCATCTGAGGTGTAGTACGTTTTGGCATCGTCAAAAACACCGTGGCCATATTCGTCGGTCGAACCGCGATGGCGGCGTTGGGTAGGAGACGTCATGGTCGGATATCCTCGGCGGGGATGTTCGTGGCAAGTGACACCTCAAACGCGGGGACACTGATGTCGTCAATTGACTGTGATTGGGAATGGGAGCACAGTCGGTGAACAAAAGGATGATATTGCCGACCGGAACGGAATTTGTAGAAGGCTCTGAAGACAAACAAAAAATAAAATTCCGGCTGCGTATCGTTCGTGGCTGCGTTGTCCAGTGTGTGAGAAATGGGGGGAAATTGGGATGTATGAGAATCTGTGTCACGAGGCCACTAATGGAGGGAAAGAGACAAGGGCGGTGCGCGGGATGGTGGCCGAGGTGGTCTCGAAATCAACCAAGCTATCTTGGCTGGAAAGCTTCCTGCGGCTGATAACGAACAGGGGAGGGAAGGTACCAGACAGTACACAAGATACGCTTTCAGAAAGTCTCGCTTCTCTTGTTCGTGTTGACGAGATGTTGTTAGTTTTGACTACAGTACGGTGTGACGTTCTTTAGGGTATCAAGTGTGAGTTCTCAAATTGAAAATTAACACTCGAAAATATTCAGATCGTGAAAAAAAAAGGTTCTAAAAACGACCACTAAATTCCAGGTTCTGGTCCTTTCTCAGTGATATCCCGATGACGCTATCGCGCATTGATTTTTAGTGGTCTCCCCCCCACGCTGGGTCCATTTCGCCTCGCTGCAGGGCACCCGTACGGAAGCCGGTAAGGCGTAGTGAGGACCAATCACTCACCACCGATCCACCTACGACTGGATAGCCAATCAACTTGTGTCTCACTGTGGAACCGTAGGTCCAAGCTTCCTGGTGCAGCCTCCAGTGACTTGGTACAGTGGCAATTTCAACTAAGACATTGGCAGCTCTAGACTCCTGCTCGACTCACTTGAAATCAACATATGGTACATCAAATGTTGCACCCAAGTAAACTTCGACTATTCAATATCGGTCTTTACGCTGCAATTCTCTTCATTCGCACGAATACTAATAAATAATTACGGTCACTTTTGCTATTATTCCTCGCATTACCTAGAGTCTGAGTGCCCTGTGGACAACTGCGGTGTGCAACTTCCGCAGTCCCTTTCTTCTGTTGCTTTCTTCTTCCATAATGCCTTTTTGAGAATTTCTTGTGTACCGCCACGAATTTGTTTCACAAGTTTCCGCACAGAAGATCTCCAGTTGTCGCCAAGATACCTGGGCATAGACATTCCGGTTCGCCAGCACAAAGCCGATGACTCTGAGAACTGCCTCGGCTCTACTTTGGTATGCCGCAGATTGTGAACACCAGTGAATTCCAGTATCCATGAAACAAGTTTGGTGGATTGATATAACGACTGTCGACGTTACTGCATATGCGTGATGTTGCAGCCGAGACAAATGTCTGCACTACCTGGCAGCGGAGTTCTATTTCCGCATCAGAAACATGGCGGCAGTTACTAATTAACTATCTGTGCTGGTCTTAGAGAATGTAACCCATTCTCAATATTGTTTGCCATTTAATGCACCGCCTTGTCTCCATAGATATCATTGAAGAAAGCTGAGGGTGTCGAGTTGTCTGAGTCTGGAGAGTAAGGTGGTGTTAATTCGACAGTGCTTACAGATGAATCGGGACTACTACAACGATAACGTAGTGGGTTATCACTGCCATCTGTTTTACTCCTTCGGCTGCTCTACTGGCACTATCTGCCTGGTGATTGCTCACATACATACAAATCCTTTCTAGCTTGAAGTGGCAGGTTTTGTCGTCAAAATATACACTCCAAACTGACGCTCAATTGACGAGCGTATAAAATTATAACAATTATCATGAACTCTTACATACTGCTATTTGAGTTGTTGAGCCTTGTTCATAGTTCGTTGCCCACATAGTATTCTCTTTCTTACGATATGCAAACAACTCAACCCAGAACACCCATCAGACGACCAATGGCGGTTAAATCTAACATGTCCAATACTTTATAAGCTAAATTGAAGGTGAGACACAACATTTCGTTCGTACCATTCACCTAGGACTAGTCACGGACTTTGAATCCCGAGTCCAGGCTCGTAACTCGCATCTGGGATCAATGGCTCGTGTCAAGTAGCAGCAGATGATACGAAAGACACTGTAAGTGCCAGTTGTACCAACTATCATACGATGATCTAACTATGTGTGCGCCTGTCGAAGGTCTCTTATATGCCTAGAATGCACAACAACCGACTAAAATCTATCTCCAGTCCATTTCCACAATGAGCACTATTTGCTTATATGTGGAAGTCTTGAGGGCCGATTATGAACGTAACTCGTGAACCATTGAGGTCTACAGCACGCTGAATAATACTAATCAACCAGTTGGCGTGTTAATGCCACAGCCTAACTGTGCCTCCTCTGAGGCGGCGTCAATGCAGAGAACCCAAAAGGACGGCGACTTGTTCATGCCAGTCATTCATCACCGATTCGCACAAACCCATCAAGTCTCTGTGTCGTTTATTCTGAACTACCATGATTCGGTTTAGTTGGCTATTCGCCTCTTTCCCGCTCACCGACCATCAGGACTATGCTATCACGATGTCTGACTTGACAAAGCTATTCGTTGTAGATCCATTCCACTACGAATATAAAATTACGATCCAGATACACAGTTCTTCGCTGTTCTTCATAGAGCAAGTCATGTTTTTTTTCGACATGACTTAATTCATAGCTTCTGCCCGCTCTGCAATGAAGTTAAGGGTCCTCTGTATTGGTCATCGAGGCATCGCGTACGTGGGTGCAATGTTATGTTGTTGGCTGTCACTGAGGACTGTTGGCTATCTTCATTATGACTTCCCCGTACTTAGAGAGCAAACATCCGTCAACGATTACTCCTTGCCTTTGAATATAGATAAAAATATTGTAGGCTGACACAGAAGGCGCTGTGAATGACCTCACTGGTATTCATCTGTTATGCCGTAGTTCACATGGAACCTTCGGGCGTTCGTTGTGCGACTTATAGTAAAAATCTTCGACGGACATTAACACGCATGAAGCTCAACGTCCTACGAGCTGACACCAAGAGACATGTTGCAATCAACTTATGTTCTTGATTTGTTTGTCCTCTTGTAATGGAACAGCGAGTTGCAAGGACTTGACCAAGTTACTGAAACTGATTCTATAGACCCCTCGGTTCTGTACGTAAAGATATGCATGTCACTGCAGGCAACAGCAGGTTGATTGAGGAAAGGTTCTATAAAATGACAATTGAGTTTTAGGAACCATGATATTGCCATTAGTTACACAGGCCAACACATCGGTGCAGTGACTACTAAGGTAGCTGTAGAACTGTCTGCAGTCACTTGTTCTTCTGAAGAAACAACAATTATATGTCTTGATACGGCCTCTCTTGAATAAGGCCAACATGATCGGAGACACTTAATATGGCGAACTATGTCTGCACCAATCGATACAAAGTAGTTGATCAAGTCTCTTTTGTTGTACATATCTAGGGGCACCAGGTTGATGAAGCTCGGCAGAGACGCTCACGTTCTCGCAAACTACGTATTGACGCAGAGACAGACACGTTAACCTCGGGAGATAATAGCATCGCCTACATCCAAGACTATCAAACAATAACCGGTGTGTATACTGTGATCAAAGACCTGAATAAAATAAGGCTGCAACGCCGGCACACACAAGATTCCATGACCCTTCTACATACTGACGGAATCAGCGAAATCGCCCCTCACATGTGCAAAGCATTTCTCTGAAGATTGCTGTCTTCTATTTCTTAGCAACTAGAGACCTGTATAAGCTAGAACCTCCATCTTTATCATGTGTCGGAAAGTGACAATCTCATTTCCTCGAACTGGTCTCACCGAGATATACGCATTTGTAACGAGAGGCTGCCTGTTGTCTATGTGTGATTGGAGGCGGACAGGAAAGCACACAATATAGTGATAAGCTACATCAATATGTGTCATGATCCTCGCCAAACACTTCTATGGTAATTAGGTCGCGCTTGACGGCGATGCGATCAACTAAAAAATGATTCATCAACTCTCATTCGTTTACATATGGTCGGGCAGGAATCGCTCATCTGCCTTCAAGCTCGACCTCGTATCGTAGCCCCCTCCTACACTTCAAGCCTCTCTGTAAATCGCTCTCAAGTGATCTAAATCACAAGCATACCTGTCTCATCCAATTTGGCAATCTCATTTCGTCAACCAAAGTTCATTTCCAGGCAGCCTCTCCCTGCTCTTGATGCGAGGCATCCTCTTACGCAACTCGACATTCTGCTTCAAGACAGAGTTCCTTGGCGAAGGTGTTCATACAATGTCTCGTTAAGAGGCGGCCATTTTTGGATCTCATCAGCCCCGACCCGCCGGGAAGTGTACTGCTTGTTCTTGGCATGTCAGCAACATCGGCGGGCCTTGACTTGCCACGAATCAGAGTTATACCGCGTGAGCTTTGGCAAGGCCCTATAGGCGAGGTTAATTGCAGAGCATAGAAATTGTTATATTGCTTGGCTGGTCTTAGTGGCAATAAATTGCTGACCCTGCCTTTCTAGGAATAGCACCACACCGGCTTTGGCAATACTCCGTGAGGCATCAAACAGCGGCCACTTTGCCTTGAAAACTCCGTTCGCCGAGGTATTGGAAGGCAATTAACCATAATTTCCCCAACATATCGATGACTAGCACGCTATTGCTATGGCTCTTCTTGGCAGAGCTACCCGAGTCCGAAAACGAGCGAACTCGGTTCGATCTTGGCTATTGATAACAACTGATAGCTTCAGGTAACGGGGTATTCAAAGAGCAATAGAAAGGAATTAAGATTCTCCGTCCGGCAAAGGGTCTCATTTTTGGAATAGACATGTTCATATCGTATCGCCCATTAGAGTTCCATGCGAAGTATCACATTAAGGAACAGGAAAACAACATGCTACAGAGGAGCCTGCTTCAACCTGCTACTCTCGGAAAGCTGAAGGAGAGTCCCGCAGACCGTTCCGCACATCGTCCCAGAGTTAACATAACAATTCAACGCAGCCACGTTTACAA